GACTGATTCCTATGTGGAAGCTTTTGAGACGAAAGCACCCGACACTTTTTATCTAAAACAAAATTTATGGAAACACTACGTCGATGATACTTTTGTTATTTGGCCTCATGGTCAAGAAACCCTAGTAGATTTTCTTAGACATTTAAACTCTATACACCTTAACATACGTTTTACCATTAAGTTGGAAATTAATGATAACCTTCCATTCTTAGATATTCTTATCAATAGAAAATCAGACCTAACATTCGGTCATTGTGTTTGCAAAAAGCCTACGCACGCAGACCGATACCTTAATGCATTGTCGCATCACCATCCGACATGTTATCCAAAGCAAACAAAAAATAAATATTTTGTTGCACTTAGGAATACATTACATTTGTCAAAAAAAAAATCGAAACATACAAAAAAATACTGGTGCCTAAACGAACCACTGGGAAAAAATATTAAATAATGTTTTGGGGCACATAAGATGTAACATATAATTTATACATAAATATACAAAAGAAAGTTCAAATTTGACAGAAAACAACTAAAAGAAGATTGTTTTCAAATAGAACCTGAACTCGAAAGATCCAACTATATCACTCTTGTAGATTGATGTTATCGTTCATATCTTCTTCGTCAGTCAAGGTCGTCAGGTAGAATATACAGAGCGTCAATTTGTTCTGTAATATTTTTTCACGTTATTTTTAGCATAAAATTTGCAAGGAATGGAATGCTACAGTACATAAGAATGCGTAAATCCAAATAATACTTACGACTTTCATTGTTATTGTCCTCATCCATCACGATCTCCTCCATAGCCGCCTCTAATTGATTTTGCGAACTGTAACGTTCACTGCACAAAGCACAAACTAATACCAAAGAACACGCTAATTGTTGGATGTTTATTCTACATGCGCTGACTTGTCTCGAGTTGCAATAACAAAGTTTTGTCTCACAGATAAAACCAGTGGTGCATTCATGCACCAGCAAATATCTTAAAAAAATAAAGCATAATCAATATAGTATTTCCAATGTATGTTTTCTGCGTTGTAATCTGCATGCTATAATAGACTTAACAAAAATGCAAATCCAAAATATTTTATTTTACTATTTTGGATTTACTTAAAAAAGTACCGCTTTCGTTAACTTTTGAAGTCATAGCCAATATCTTTCCTTTACACATAAATTAGCGATTTCTACGGTTTTATGTCCTTTAGTACTGATAATAATAAAATTTTTAAATTGATGTGCAAAAATATTTCCTGGATGTGACAAAAAAAAATCATAGAAATATAATCATGCTTGTTACTATTGTCCTTCCTTATATTCAAAACATCACTGACCACATATCAAAAGTTCTAAAGAAATATAACGTCCCACCACCACCACTTGTCCAAAAATCTCTCAACATCTTTGGTCCGTCAAAGACAAAATTCCATATGAGATATGAGGCAAAGAATACATTGGGGAGATCGGACGAAAAATATCAACTAGGCTAAGACTAAAACAAATAAACTCATCAGCAATTGCCGAACACAATCACGAAACCGGACATAAACATATGTTGTTCGTGTTCTGTATTAGGTTTCGGATCTATTTATCTGTTCTCTGGATTTGTTTTTTATTTATAATTTTATCGATAATGGACGGATTGTAGCCGTTGTTCAGTGCAATTTGTTTAAGGGTATTAAGTTCTTTGTTGTAATTTTCTGTTGAGAGTGGCGTATTAAGAAGGCGCTGATGGTGTGAGTTTGAAAATGCTTCTCTATCTAATTCCATATTTGAGTCCTCACATTACATATATTATGAACAAATGTATCTTTACCGGTAACTTTCCGACAGCCTGGAAAGTAGGGCGTGTGGTGACCGTTCCCAAACGCACTTCTCCTAGCCTCATATCACACTTTCGTATTGGAGTATTGGAGTCTATAGTCTGTAGGCAGTTGGTGTCCTTTTCAGGCTTCTACCCTGCACTCAGTCAGGCTTTCGTGCTAACCACAGTACTGCCTCCGCTCTGCTGATAATTGTGGATGATTTGTTTAGGGCTCACGACAACTTGGAAAACACTTGTTTAATTCTACTGGACTATAGCAAGGCTTTCGACACCCTTGTTCATAAAGTTTTAATTGCTAAGCTTAAATATTTTGGTCTGGGTGATGTAACTTTAAATTTTTTTTAAAACTACTTTGCAAATCGCGTCCATAGTGTGGTATCGGCTCTCGAAGCGTCCAAGTTTTGTGTTGTATCAGAGGGCGTAGCCCAAGGGAGTATCTTGGGACCAATACTCTTTTCTTTATACACGTCCGACTTTCCTAGTTTCCTCAGACACTGCAAGACACATCAATATGCGGACGATACTCAGCATTATCATTCTTTAAAATCGAATGAGCTGGATCAAGTCGCTGCAAGGGTCAATGAAGATCTTGAAATCGTCAGTCGAGTCTCCGCCGCCCATGGATTGAAACTTAACGAATCAACAACACAACTGATGGTATTTGGACGGCGTCGGGAGGAGATTGTTAGTAATAATGATTTTATAGTAAACCTAAACGGAACTATTATTAGTCCGGTTAATAAGTGCAAAAATCTAGGTTTAACGATTGATTGTGATTTGCGCATTCTGGATCATGTCTCTGACGTAGTTCAGAAATGTTTTTACAAACTTAAGCTCTTATATTTGCATAAGGACGTCTTTGATACAAGCATTAGATTGAGACTCTGTGATACTCTGGTTTTGTCACATATTAATTATTGTATTTCAGTTTATTGGCCGGCCTTATTTCAGAGGGAAAGAGATTCGCTCCAAAAATTGCAGAATGCTGGTCTGAGGTTTGCGTATGGTTCGCGGAAATTCGATCATATCAGTCAAAGTTTCATTAACTCGGGATGGTTTGCTATGCAAGAAAGCTTTGAAATTAACTTTTGCCGTTTTTTATATAAAATTCTACTACATTGCGAACCTATCTATTTATATGAAAAGTTGGTTAGAGGTGTCGATACCCATAACAGGCTAACTCGTAGTCGTGAACTCCTTAGGGTACCTAAGCATCGTACAACTTTATTTCAATGTTCTTTTACGTACCAGGCCTCAAAATGTTTTAATAAATTACCTTCCAGTGTCAGATGTGCCCCCACGATCTCAATTTTCAATGAAAGGTTATTTACTTTCTACCGTTCTATTAAACATGAGTATTCTTATACTACAGTAATCTGTGACAATCGTACATTACTCTTGTTATAATGATATACCTTGGTTATCTTGTTATTCTCTTAGTCTGTGTTTTGGATATTTTATATGTTATTTGGTTAATCTGGTGGTTGTATGAGCAACTCTGTTGAATACCGTCACCTACTTTATAAGTTTTTGTAAATATTCTGTCAACATGAATAAAGACATATTATTATTATTATTATTGTTATTATTGTTATTATTATTATTACTATTATTAAGAAGTCTGTGTATAAAAGAATGAAATGCAGATATTTTGGGTGATTTGAGCTGGGTTCGTGTGTGTAATTTAAAAACAAATTCAATTGTTTGTCCGTTCCACACACGTTTGTAAATATTACATTTGATAAAGACACGGTGTTGTTGAAACAATTGTCATGCAAATTAAGATTTCAGCTATAAATAAGACTCGACCTGTTTTTTAATTTTGCATAAATATGAAGATGTAAATCTTTGTGTGGTTTCAAATATATTATTGAGAGGACCAGTGCTTTAAGAGGCAGTGAATCTCGTTTACTCATTACATTTAAAAAGTCTTGTAGGGCAGCAACTATACCCAACAAAAGCAGATGAATAAAGATAACTTTAGAAGATAGTGGTGTCTACACTTTTATTTTTACTGCTCACAGAACTCGACATGCCTCAACATCGTCTGCGTTTTGTAACGGTGTTTCAATTGATATGATTGGAAAAACGGCAGATTGGTGAGAATGCTCTAAATGTTTTGCCCTTTTTTATAATAGACCTATTTTTACCGCAAGTGCAAGCTTTTTTGTTAATGCCACATTTGGGACATAGAATTTTTCAGAAGGTTTGTTTTCTCGGACAGCCATTTATTTTGTATTTGTACTCGAGGCTTTCATAAACTTCATAAGGATTGGATTTGTTTTTATAGCCAAATAAAATCGTTTTATAACAAATTTGCTGAGTTGCCTTTGAAAATCTACGTATATTGATTTCATAGAAGAGGTGTAACATATAATTCGATGATCAAACGAACTTACCTGGTAAGTGAAGTTCGATCGTAATTATATGTTACACCTCTTCGTAGAAGTCACCCATTCCCGCCCAATTTACTGTTCTGAACAGTACTAAAATGCCCTTTGGCAAATTTATTATAAACGGGCTTTAAAATAGAATGAGGTTAAGACCATAGATGGCGAATATACCGTCCATGGTAAGTTATTCCACAGTTTTTTGGCTCTGCTTTAAAGCTGTGGTGCCACCTAGCGACTAGAAGGGGGACTACACAATTTCGTGAAAATCTGAACTTTTAGTTCTTATTTGTTTTTTTAAATGGATTTTCATCAAGTAAAAGCCACCTCAGTGCAAGTCTTCATTTAACGTTTGATACGCAGTCTTGAATTTAATTCTTCTAGCATTTCTGTTCTTATTGCTGAAACTAAAAGCTTTCTTGTATCTATATTTGTATGGCCTAAGATTTCCTGATTTTTTTTATTTCAATTTCAATGTAGCAGAGAACAATGAGTGATCTGTGAATACATCTACGCCTGGGTAGGTCTTGGCATGTTGTATGGTGCTCCTGAATCTTCTGTTTCAATCGATCTCAACTAGCTAAAACTAACTAAAACTAAAACGATCGTCAACCCGAATTCTAAAGTCATTTTTGCTATGGAATCGTCCGAGAAAATTCTTACTGGTCCGTCACTGACACTGGAGCAGATAACCAAGATTGCGCATGGCGGCAAAACACTGCACCAAACACTTGAGACGGTAACTGATAAATATGAGCGTAAGATTGCCTGAGCATAATTGTAACGAATAACATCCCGGTAGCAATATGGAGACATTGAAACTGATCCTAGTTTTCTCGGTACTGATCGGACCAGGAAGTTTTCATCCCAGGAGCGGTAATACTCGATTTGATTATTACTTTACACTGTATATATTATCGTTAAATCTTAAATATAATTTTCCGTCAACCCGAGATAATCGTCATTTTTTATAATTAATCAATCGATTAATTGATTAAATCTTTAAATTAGTATATAGCACACAAATATCAAAAATGAAAGTTTAATAACATGTAATTATACAGGGTAATGCTTCTATATATCATCTCGCTTGGTTTAAATGGCACCCTCTGTACAGGGCTATTCACTATCTTTTGACACCCACCTACAGGGTTAATTTTGAAGAAGAAAAAAGTGTATATGCAAAAATTGGAAGATTTTTGCTCCATTACCTTATGCGAATTTCAGAAGAAACAAACGACGATCGCAAGCTGTCAAAATGACAGCAACTTTTTTTTAAATGGAATGCCCTATATATTATTAGCTTAAATCGTAGATATTTTTTTTAGATTTCAAAAACATATAGCTTATTGACATTTCAATTAGCCGTCTTCGAGATGCTTCAATTTAAAAATAATAATCATTCGATTTCTGGACAATAGCCATATTGAAACTTGAACAAAATTGGGTTAGTTTTATTTCCTATAATTCTAAAATGAAAGAAATTGTTGAAAAAGTATGCAAGATGTCGCCACGTTCGTATAAAAGCGGCAACGCTGCATATTTGAAAATATTTTAGAGATACAGATCACCTCCTCTTATAACCTGTATAATTCTTAGCCAGATACTTCTAATAACGCATATTTCGATGCGTTGTTGGCGTATAATTAAACTTACGGTATATTATTTGTTAAATAACTTGAGACCATTAATTGTTTATTTCAATAATAAAAATATAAAGTTACTGTCGTGTCGACTCCTACATTAACATTAATATTTTGGAAAACCAATGTTTGCTATACCAGAGTTTCGTCTATATCTATTCCATTCTGTTTTGTTTTATTTTATTTTATTTTGTTTTGTTTATAAGATGCACATAAACAAAATGGTAAAAAATTGGGCGGTTAATAAAAAATAAATAAATTTGCGGGTTAGTTTTCCTAATATCTTTATTTATTTGTCAAATTAATTAATTAATAAACTAAATTAAACTTTACATTGAGTAAATTAAGTCAAGTTTAATTTTCATTCGTTACAGGGGAGATCAAAGTGATCCGGCAGGGTTATACCGAGTACCTTGCTTCGGGGGTGATTCCGGAATTCATGAGGGGGGCCGTCGCGGGGCTCCAGCTGCCCGGAATTTTCCGCGACGACGACAAAACCGAAACTTTGTACGCCGGTCTGTTTTCGTCCGACGACGACGACGACGACGACGACAATTACTGTACGTTGTGCGCGACGATGGTCGATTTTCTGATCGCCCAGAGGCGCGCGGGGGTTTCCAGAGACTCACTGGCGCGCGAGGTTGTCGGATTGTGCGTCGAGTTCGGTATCGAGAACGCCGGAGTGTGCGAAGGAACCGTCGATCTTAATATAGTACGTGTTAAGATGGTTGCCGGAAGACTGAGGCGATGACGGTTTGCGTTCGCAGGATATATTTGTCAGCATAGTCGACAAACATCCCGAACTAACCGGGGGGCAACTCTGCGGGATCCGATTCGAGAACAAGGGCTGCGTCCCGGATAACAAGACCGCAATCGATTGGGAGGTCGATATACCCCCATTGCTCGAGTCGGCCAAACGCAAGGTTAGTTTATGGTGAAGGTAATAGACATATAATTTTTACAAGTTAAGGTTTCGTAATCACAATAAATATTAATAATAATAGTCTTTATTGAGATATAATTATTGCGCAAGGTTTAGACAAAATTACTTAATACAAACTGATATAGTTGCACATCTCAAAAAGATCTTGATCTCAGCTACTCAACATTAACCGAATATTAAAATAACAATGAAACAACAAGCGTTAATAATAGAAAGAGTCCAAAAAATTATTATTGGGAAAATACTAATTTGTTTAGGACTTTTGTAATTCCAATAAGTGGACTATAATTTTTTCCCTTCATACTAGAACATTTAACTGATAATAAACAGCTGAAAAGAGTTAAGCTAGTAAAAGACTTGGGAATTATTCTCAGTCAAACTTCGAGGCTCATATCGAAACTATTGTCAAAAAATGACATTAATTTCATTTTGAGAACTACCAAAGGGTTCAACAAGCATCAGTCAGTAATAATCGCATATAATAGCACGATAAGGTCTGAACTACAGTACTTATCCACAGATTTGGAATACTATTTATAGTAAATATATCATCGGAATAGAAAACGTGCAAAAAAAAAACTTAAAAATTTATAATTTGAAGTCACTTGAAACTCGAAGAAACTATTTTGGTGTTGCTTTTCTTTACAAAATTGTAAATAACCTTGTGGATTCTTCTTTTTGTATCAAACACTTGAGCTTTAACGCTAATCCATATCAGGTGCGCACGAGACTGACTTGGTTAAAATAAAGGTCACTATAGTTTAGACAGAAATTGAGTTTATATGCTTTTTTTTTCATATTTTCATATAAAATTGTGATCTGATGCGCATCAGCTTATACAGGGTGTCCAAAATAGGTGCCGTTTGGGCTAATTTAATTAACCAAATCTCAAGATTTTCAAAGGTAACCTATATTTTTATTCAGATATCAATTCTAGGACAAAAGACACGATAACTTTGTAATTTTTTATATATTTAAATTTGGCTTATTTTTTGAGATATTCGAGGTTTAAGAAAACACCCGTATAAATTCTTATTGAATTTAAAGCTGCCCACATTAGGCAGGCAATATTAGCTATTTTTTAAATAGCATAGACATGATACTTTTTCTTTTAAAGATGTTGTACTCCAGATATACGAATAAAACCTATTGCTAACAATACAGGGTGTCCATTAATACGTGGAGATTTTGAGAAACATAGACTCTATGCTAACAGATTTAATAAAACTTCAGAATATAATTAATATTTAATAATTTAATTAATTATCTAGCTTGATTGAAAATACCTAATAACAAAAATAAATAATTGAAGTTTATAGGTTAACCAAATAACAATAACTTATCTGGACGATTTTTGTTTCACGTGTTAAAAATATATATTTGTGTAATAGGCATGTATTACTGTCTAGGAAAAATGAGTAAAAAAATCTAGACATGAATTTACGATACTTTTTTTTGCAATAATGTTGTTTATAAACTCCATTGCGTATTCATTGAGATTTTGCAAGTATGGGTAAAATAAGAGTGGATTTGCTTTTGAAATGTATTTATTTATTCTTTATTATATTTATAAAAACAATTGCTTTTTTTCGTAGCACATAGCACACGACATTTTTGGCACATTTTGAATGTAAATCCTGAACATTTTGGGAATTTGCACCTCTGCTGCTTATCCAGCCAAACTGCCCAATGACATGTCTGATCCAATCTGACGTCTTTCAAAGGAATTGCTTGAGCTGGTCCTCGGAACTTCTTCATTACAAGTTCTCTTTGTATTGTGCTCCCACTAGGTCGACCGCGTTTAGCGCCATTTGCAGGTAGACCCAATTAGTAGAGGGTTTCAGCAAGTTCTAGTCTGAATGTACCCAAATTGAGAAGTTCTTGAACATAACCCATGAATTTATAACTGCGAGGTCCAAGAAATGATAAAATAAGCGCATGGTCCACTTGCGGCTCTTCATTGTGATGTGTTAACGACCTGTAAATGAATCTAATAAGTCCACGCCTCCCATGTGGACATTGTACTCCTTGATTTCTTTGGGGCATGGAATGGCAACTCTCTCTTTCTTCGATTTATCAAAGCGTGTGACTGTGGTTGCTGGTTCTGCTCCTACGTAAGTGGAAAGAAGGTTAACGGGCTTGTTATCTTTCCACACAACAGCACTTACGTCAATATCATCCACAGTCGCCACGTTTTCCTCATAGAATCCTCTGGGTACATCCTTTTCCATTATAGTGTTTTTTTCAGGCAATTTGCAGTTTCTCAATCGGTTTACTTTTACTGATCCCAGTGAGAAAATTCCTTCCTTAGCTAAATAGGTGACGAGAGGCACAGAAGTATAGAAGTTATCGAGGTATATAATGTGATTCACATCGCGTGATACCATTCTAGCTAACCTGACGACTGTATCGCCAGACTCTCCCAAATCTGGTTCACCAGGTAAGATGTTATTTTTGTAGCCCCTCCACTGTAAACCTTAAACCTATGAACATATCCTTGTAGACTGCAGATGAGATATAATTTGAACCCCCACTTGTGGGGTTTATTGAGCATGTATTGTTTTATGTAATGGCTCATTTTGGTTGCACACATCTGCTCGTCTATGGAAAGCCTTTGGTCTAAGGGAACCTTCCCAAACTGGCAGTTGAGCGTTTCCTCAAGAGGTTTTATTTTGAATAGCCTGTCATAGTCTGGATGATCTTTGGGCAAGCATAGCGTATCGTCGGCAAAATGGAGAGTGGGTCTTATTTTTTCAAATTTTTTTAACGGCATAGTATTTTTTATGTGATCATAACCAAATTTTTCACTCCAGTAAGCCCTGGTGTTTGGAAATTGTATAACTGAGGTGTAAATCAGAATGCCTAGGAATTTATTTAGGATATTTTCATTTATAATTTCAGGATTGGAGATTTGTTTCTGTGCTGCGTATAAGTTACTTTTTAGATCTGATGTAAACTAAAATGAAAATCATACAGCGTGTTACAAGACATCAATGCTTCCGTTATCTGAGTTTCTCCCCTAAAAATAAGGCTGTCTTCGACAGTAACAAGATTCCGTTTTCGCCAAACCAGAGGTCGTTTTGAAATCCCTTGTGATCTACTCCGGGGTGCTGCTTCTTTGGCTTCCAAAATTGACAACTATGAACTTTTTAAATAGAAATATGACAAACAATAAAAGAAAACAGAAATGTCAAAGTTCGTTTATACCTTAATGCGTCAAAAAAAAGATTGTGATGTCATTGCCAACTACATTTTTAAATATTTTGATATTTTTTTATTGTTTTGATGATAAAACGAGCATTTTAAGAAAAAAAAATTTTCACTAAACTTTATGCACCGAATTAACGAAGACTTTTAGTCAACTTTTTTTTATAGATTTATTTATTCAAATTTATTACCTTGGTTAGTTAGTCTATAAACTTTAATTACTAATTTTTGTTAGTTATTTAGTATTTTCAATCAAGCTAGATAATTAACCATTGAATGTTTCTTTAAATATGAATTCTGAAGTTTTATTAAATCTGCATTGTTAGCAATAGGTTTTATTCGTATATCTGGAAAGTAGGATCATGTCTTTGCCATTTAAAAAATACCTTATATTGCCAAAAATTAATGTGGGTAGCTTTAAATTCAACAAGAATTTATACGAGTGTTATCTTCAAAATATTTCAAAAAGTAAGAAAAATGTAAATATAAGATAAATTACAAACTTATCTTATTTTTTATCCTAGAATTGATATCTGTCAAACTGATTGAGTAGTAGCAGTAGGATTAGTAGCATCACAATTTTATATAGACGATCAAGATATGAAAAAAAACACATAACCTCAATTTCTGCCTAAACCATAGAAAATTCGAATAGCGATTTCTTAAGAGAGTGACCTTTATTTAAACCAAGCATTCCAAAAATGACGATATATACAGGGCGACCTATTTAAAATAAAAAGTTGATGTCGGAGGGGACACTTTTGGGACACCTTGTATCAACAATATTATAATATTTTAAATGTTCAAATCCAAGAAACTTTTGCAGGAAACTTTTTTCCGTATCTCTTTTTATCGTTTTATTTAGCACACGGTGTACGTAGGTAAAGGGTAAAACTATGCGACCTTCAAATCGGGAAATCACCTACATGCGGCTCCCACATGCCAAAAAGTTTGCTATGGCGACCTAAAAATTTATAAGCTTCTTGCGAGACCCTGGTTTAAGGTCAGAGGTCAGCCGGGCACCATCAAAATCCTCCACATATCGGACCTGCATTACGACCCGATGTACACCGCGAACAAGACAAACGTATGCGGCGAACCCATCTGCTGTCAAAGCGATCAACCCGAAGGAAACGTGGTCGAGGGCACGGCCTGCGGCTACTGGGGAGACTACACGGGCGCGGACGCCCCCTGGCGGCTGTTCCAAGCCGTCACCGATCAACTAAGAACGCACGTAAGCGTCACTAATTTTTTCATGTCTTTGCGAGTACACAAGCGAGCGTTTACAGGATTACGACCTGGTGTACTTTACGGGCGACGTCTCCAGCCATCGCACGTGGTCGACGAGCGTGAGTGACTTGTCGAGAGACTTCGCCAGAGTTTTCGACGCTTTGAAGGAGACGTTCGATGTGCCCGTCTTTTCGGTGGTGGGAAACCACGAACCGAACCCCGCTAACACGTAAGACCTAGTCTGGGACTCAGAGTTAAAATCTAAGACCAAGCCTTCCCCAGGTATTACTTCGGAGACGACGACGAGTCGACTTTCTCCACTAGGTGGCTGTATGAGCTAGCGGTCGAGAAATGGAGTGACTGGTTGCCTGGGGAGGCGCGCCAAACCTTACTCAGGGGCGGGTTTTATACGGTATCACCACTGGAAGGGTTCCGAGTGGTCGTATTGAATAATAACGTAGCTCACGACGTCAACTGGTAACTAATAATAATAAGCAGTCTTTATTTTACAAGAGTGACGACATTCCCAAATTGCGCTTTTTCATGTAACCACAAGAACAACAGCACCAACACAAGGGCTTTAAAAAAAACTTTTTCTAAACCAAAATAAAAAACATTTCATTTTCAAAAAATAAACTAACATATCATTTTGGTTTACGGGTAAATAGGTTGCGACACAAAAAACATGGAAAAAAATATTTTTAAACAATTTTTTTTTAATGCCAACACATTATTTGGTCAAATTAAAATAAAATTCTCGGTGCTTAGGGTCTTATTCATGTCTGGTAGCAGCCTAACTGCAATATTTCTAATATCTTCCAATCCCAGATTTCCAATTCCAGGTTTCCAATTCCCAGTAATGGACGTCCTCAAATCCTTGGTGCTCCTTAAATACTATATACCGCAAGAACCTGTACTCTTTCTATGGTCTGTTCTGTTCCCTGGTGTTTTCACACCTGGATTGTTGTTCCTGTGTGTGGACGTTATACGAAGATGACCACACAAAGGAACAATAATCCAAGTGTGAAAACACGAGGAAATAGAACAGTAATCTGAGAGACAGAACATTCTGGAAGCCTGGATTGGAGTTTTATACAGTCATGTGTATATGGCATGAACGTGAGACCTCTCTTTCAAGGATTCCAGCAAAAATTCTGTAACCAAGGTTAGCTCATTGGAGCGATGGGGGAAATCCAAATTGTTGGTCGATAAAGCAACCTTTCAGGCGCTAAACTTTCGAACACTTTAAGAATACAGCTCAGGATGGGCCTATAATTGTTGACTTGCCAGTTATCGCCGGATTTTAGGATAGGGGTAATGAAACTTGATTTCCAGTAAGTTGGAAATGTTCCCGGTTTTAATGATTGGTTAAAAATAATATATAGTGGTCTAGAAAGCATGAAGCTGCAATGCTTAATAAGATATAGTGGGACGCCATCGGCACCGGATCCTTTGTTTTTATCTAGAGTCGACAGTATCTCGTAAATGGATGAAATCGAAATGTTCAAGTGTTAAAGGCTGACGTCTCCAAGTGCATCTTCAGAGACACAGCGCCTGTCATTATACATGTTCGTAAAATAGTCTGCAAATAAATTGACCCACAGATCAGGTCACGTCGCCAAAGTGCACAACCGATGGAATAAAATCCCTTTCCGTTTTGCTGCTAACGACCTTCCAAAAATTCTTAACGTTTTCTCTTAAGGACAATTCAGTGTATTCCTGGCAACACGTTGACCCTATTCTCGAGGGTTTTGTGAGTAAATAACTTGTCCCATTCTAACTGCGACAAAAGCTCAGTCACTGCATCCAAGTCCATTGATTTAAAATCTCTATAAAGGCCGTCACCCTTAGAGAAGAACTGTTGGAACGTACTGCAAGGAAACGGTGGTGGATGAACTCTATTGGCAGTAGGGCACTATCACTATACTAGGTCCAGAAGGTTGTCGTTAACGTTCCTGACTGTGTTTATCTGGAAGAGTTTGTGGTAGGAGGATAGGTAAGATAGTAAATTAGTGGATTCGATCTCGCTCTGCGTGTTTCCCGCCAGAGGGATTGCAACTGAGGATAATTCTTCCTTAGTCCACCAACTGTTGGGGAGGTTGAAATCTCCTAGAACGCACTACTGATGATTGGGGTCTTCTTCAACCAGTCTTTTCAGGTGGGAAGTAGGATACAACCAGTATAAATTTGTTGCTATTCAGATTGATGTCAATAAATAAATTTGTGTGTAAAACTTTACTTGAAATAGTCTTACAGACGATTTTAGAACTCCACCTCTCCTCTCAAAGGTACTAGTTTCTGCAGATCTCGCCTTACGGTATATATTGTAACTAAACATGTGTAGTTCTGCACTATCTATATCATTCGTTTCAATGGAGACTAAATTTATCATATTGGGAATAAGACACATTCTCAAAGAAATATATAAGAACGCCAATCTGGGATGAGAAGGCCTGTCTATTTTTTCGCAATGTGTTTAGGAACTCCGTTTACATATTTTAGAAAGAGATTAGGTTCTTTATTTTGCTGTCTTTCTTTCAACTCGTTCTTTATTGCGTTCAAAGTTCTAGGAATATTTTGCGGCTTCTGTCCCATATCCAATGACTGGTGAGCGTTTTTATTACGCTTACCTATTCTCACCGCACTAGCAACATTAATTGGGAAGCTCTTCTTTAAGTTATGGAATGTTAAACAGCATCAAGTTCCGCGACCTCTTTTGCCGCTCAGACACCTCATGCCATGGAGACCCACCGTACTGAGTTCCATGCCTCCTTTTAGAACTTCCCCTTCTAGTACCACCGGCCATTATACCATCCAGGTATCAGATATTGAAATCAAAAATCCAAAATCATCATCCTCAGAATTTGCAATGCATGCGCATATACACTAGCTATAACGGCGGAGTATACAAAGAATTAATCACTTTCAACAGTCAAAATAACGTGTCTACTCTCGTGCGAAGCTCATCTCTTGTTCAACAGGTGGTTGATCGACTCTGTCGACGACCCGTACGAGCAGCTAGCCTGGCTCGTGGAAGTGCTGAAGGAAGCGGAGGACAAGGGCGAGACGGTCCACCTGCTCTCGCATTTCCCTAGCGGCAAGGGGGTGCTGAAGGTTTGGAGTCGCGAGTACAACAAGATCGTGAGAAGATTCGCCGACACCATCGCCGCCCAGTTCAACGGCCACTCCCATTACGACCAGTTCGTCGTCTATTACGACACGAAGGACGACAAAGACAAACCGGTGGGAGTCGCCTTCAACGGGGCATCTTTGACCACCCTCGAAGACGTAAACCCCAGCTACAAGATATACGCGGTCGACGCGGAGAGTTACGTGAGTTGCTGGGGGGAGCGCAACGCCAAAATTTCCCGGCCTGAATATGAAAGAAACAAAGTAGAGTAACAATTTTTTATTATTTTTCAATATAATCACACTTATTACATATCTTTATTAGCAACACAATCCCTTTAAAAAAATATTCTTTTGGTTTGTCTGCAAAATGAGCTAAAACAGCCTGTTTTAACTCAACTTCGTCCTTAAACCGCAGTTCACGTAAGTCCTTTCTCAAATATCCAAGCAAATAATAGTCGCTGGGGGCCATATCTGGACTATAGGGAGGACGATCTATCTATTGGAACCCACACTCTAAAATGGCAGCTTGTGCAACACCGGCAGTATGGACGGGTGCATTATCGTGCAAAAGACGCACGCCTCTGGTCAGTTTTCCTCGACGTTTTACACGTATGCAGTCTCGCAATTTATGTAATAAGGTTGCGTAATATTTACCATTGACAGTGGTATTAGTTTCTTAAAAATCAAAAGAATTCCTTCACAATCAAAAAAGATCGTGGCCATCACCTTTTTTGTTGACTGGAATACTCTGAATTTTCTTGGAGGTGCTTCACCCTTACGACCCCACTCCATTGATTCTTTTTTCCATAGAGGGTCATAATAGAGAACCATAGTTTCATCTCCCGTTACAATAGTTTCTATCACAGGCTTCGGTTCCGACCCACAGAGTTCCAAAAAAGACCGCGCACACTCGGCACGGCGTTGTTTTTGAATAGCCGAAAGGTTTTTAGTGACCCATCTTGCACTAACCTTATGCATACCTAAATGATCATGCAGGATTCGACGAACACTTGTATCAGAAAGCTTAGTAATTTCTGAGATTTCCTTGACCTTTAAACGTCGATCACTCAATACCACCCATTCCACAATCGCAACCAGTTCTTGAATCATCTTCAAGGGACTCCTGCCACATTCGAAGAATATAAAGGAGAACTTTGACCGTACACACCATCCAGCCTTTCTTTAATAATTTTAGGTGCTAACCCTTCTTTTGTCAAAAACTTTATGACTGCTCTATACTCCATTTGCGTTATTTGTGACATTTTTTAGGGCACGTCTTGTTTAAAATGCTGTCAATAAAACACTATTCGACGCAAGACTTCAATTTTTTTTGCAGCCTACTAAGATAATTTTTTTAAAAGAATACAAAGTTTTATCGTTATACTGGAACTGCATCTATGTCAGGCCGGGAAATTTTGACGCTAACCTCGTATATCTTTAGATTATTCTAAAGCCTTTGATCGGCTTGACCATAAGCTTATGTACGCCAAATGCTTCGATGATGTCTCGACTGGATTTTTTGAAAACTACTTAGCTAACAGATATCAGTGAGTTACCCTTGGCAATGTAAGTTCTGAATTTCTCCCTGTTTCATCAGGTGTACCGCAAGGTTCTGTCCTTGGACCTATATTATTCTTAATGTATATTTCTGATGTTTATACATCCATCGAATATTTGAATTTGCATTCATTTGCTGATAACAGTCAGCTATTTTAATCCTTCGATCCTAAATTATTTGATATTGCTTGAATTTTTGGATTGGCATAACTTATTTCTATATTCTTCTAGGCATAATCTCCAATCTCCCAAATCTAATATTGAACAAGTAACCCAAATGTACTTATTAATTAACGGTGAACGTTTGGAAATTGTGAATCGTAATAAAAACCTCGGTGTTATATTTGGTTGTAGACTTAGATTCGTGGAATATGCATCTTTGTTGGTGAAAAAGCCTTATTTGGTTTTGCGCCATTTATACAGGCATAGAACTGTCCTCAATTTCAATTCACGGAAACTTTTAGCTCAATCATTTGTCCTTTCGATTATGAACTATGGTTTAGTACTATATTACCCATGTTTTGATAATATTAATAAATATAGATAACAAAAAATTCAAAACAGCTGTTGCAGATTTATTTTAGGCTTGCGTAAATTCGATAGAATTTCCCATAAAATCCAGGAACTTAACTGGCTAAAAATTGACAGTACTTTGAAGTGCTTTTTGGCGTCTATGGTTTTCCAAATTTCTAGCACATCCAATCCGTCCTACTTACGTGCTAAACTACAGTTTCGTAATGTTCAATCAGTGGCTCTAAGGCACCCCTACAGACTCTCAGTGCTACGATATCGTTTATCTTTGTTCCGCCTATCATTTTCTTTTAACGCTGTTGTCATTTTTAATAGTATACCCGATTCAGTAAAATCGCATTCAATTAAACTCTTTAAAAAATATTTCAGGTTGAAACTGCTAACTTCTCAATTAATTTGATTTTCAATGTTATTCTTTTATTTTTCCATTGTTTCACAATATTATTATATTTATCTATTACATTATATAAAATTTATCAATGTGTTTATAACTTCCTATTTAGTTTTCAATTTAAATATTTAAGAGCAGGTTAAGTGGAGTAGCTTTTGCTAGACTTCGCCTCTTCTCTAGTGTATATTTGTATATAACAATATACAACAATAAAGACAATTTATTATTATTATTATTACTTTGTCAACGGATGTCAAAACGAAAAAAAAAAACAATGTTAGGTAGTGGACGACTTTGAGGAGTGGACGTTCAACTTGACGGACGCGAACACCCACCCGGACACGCCCCCCGCCTGGTTCAAACTGTACTCCTTCAAAGAGGCGTACGGGGTGGAGCGATTGGCCCCCGTGGCACTGAACGACCTTCTGCACCTCATGGCCAGGAATCATTCCCTTCTCACAGACTATCACAGGTGAGCAGTAAGCGAGGGCAAATACAATTTTGTAAAAAACAAAATCCGCGCTAAGTAAAGGTTTTTGCTCAATTCCTTATATGAATTGGTAGGTACCGTTTCCGTAATTCGGATCCGGCACTGCGCGCAGGCTGCGACGCCAAGTGTCAGAAAAAGTACCTGTGCGAAATGTCTACCTCCCGGGTAGACAAAAAGTCCCACTGCAAGGAGCTGAAGGCGCTATACGACGAAAACGCGTGATTTATTTGTTAAATAAAAAACATATAGCACTCGGTCATTCGTATTTGTTGAGCAGTTCGTTAAACACCCCGATATCCGTGACGTAGTAGTCGGGCACGTGCTCAGCCAGATGGCGCCAGTCTTCGACGTCGCTCCGGTGGGCGGTGCCGGACAATACGAGCAGCTTCTGGAAACCGCAGTTCGCCGCGAAGCCCATGTCCGAACTGATCCTAGAAGCGGACGTTTGGGATCGAAATATCGGTAGAATTTTCGCCTCTGCCACACTTACGAGTCGCCTATGAACAAGACCCGCCTGGGATCGGTGATTTTGAAGTTTTCCTGCAGCACCTCCTTCATGTTGACGCTCGGCTTGGCCAGAGCAGTGTGCTTTCGGCCCGTGAGGTGCTCGATCGCCTCTACGTAGTACTTGGGCCCTGCAATGCCGGGTATCAAAATATGGGCGAGCGGCCACGACGCGTTTAATTGATCATTGCACGGCCTACTTCTTTTCCCGAGCGAGGACGAAGCAGTTTGAAAAATCGCCCGGGCGCCACCGCACTTACCGACCATTTTGATACCGTCGCCGAGAGACGTGGAATCGTCGGTGGCGCCGCACAAAAACAACACGTCAGGTGCGGCGTTGAGAAGCGCCACGGCCCTCTGCGCCTTCACCAGCGTGAATTTAAAATCGACGTCGGCTATGACCGCGCCCACTTCAGTTTTCCTCGTCGCCAGGCACTGCTTGCGCATCTCCCACAGTTCGTCGTCGGCGTCGCCAATTTGGTCGGGCTAAAACGCCAACGGAGTGACTGAGTTTATATTTTCCCGTCCGCTTACTTCGAAACTCGCAATCTCGAAGCCCGCTTCGCGAAGCGATTCCACAAGATTCGGAGTACCGATCACGTAAATCGCTCGGTCAAACTTGATCCGTTTCAGGTACAACACGATCGACTTGGTGGGGGTGATGACGTCATCGTCGCCGGGGCTGAACGCTTTCAGCTTCGACCGTATGCGTTCGATCTTGGTGAAACCGTTGTTGGTGAAGTAAGCGACGCGCTTGCCTTGGCTGCGGAATTTTGAGACGCATTCCTGGGCCCCGGGTATGACGGCCCCCGTCAGGACTAGCGTACCTGCGAACGCATCCGGCAAACCCGTAAAACTACGTTTTATCGGAAAGTCAATATTGACTTTGTACCGAAACTGGTTCGATCGTCTTTTGTTTTATTTATTCAAGAAGAAAGGCTAATCCACAGAATGACACAGCTGTCTAATTACAAAAATGTCTTGCACATGGCGGACATTTGTTCCAGCCCAGTTCTAAAAAAAGTTAAAAATCGTTTGAGAAAGTTTTGTTCAGTACATCTTTTACATGAATTGTTAGACACGTAGTGCCTATAGTTTTTGTGAATTAATTTGTGTTTTGTGTGGACGTCTATGGATGTGTGTGCGAGCAATACAGCACACACATCCGGATTTCTTGCATTCACGCCGGTATCTAGGCCAGATGGGTCTGTATATCCCGTATGACATAAAAACTGGAGATGTTAGATGAATCATTTCGCGTCATCATAGGCGAAATTCTCGTTATAGTAAAAAGAAAATTAAGTGTGTTAATCAATTTTCGCTGTTTAAATTCTTGATGAATATTTAAAAAGGGGTCTCAACATACTATTAAATAAAATAATTAATGATTTTGGGTTTTGAAAGCAGTTGGATGCTAGTAGTACCAATCCAAAATTATGATGGAAACCAGTGTAGCACCTTATCAAAAGCCTCGTAGAAATTGGTGCCAAAGACTTTGCTGATGTTACGAATAAATAGAAAATGGTTTGTACTAACCGACCCTTAAAGAAACCATGCTGATTATAATCGATGTCATCTATTAAATTGTATTAACTAAACCTATCCGAATATGCGATTTATTATCGAATTACCCTCGTATCACGCCGCATCGAGTGGTGAATTTTTTAAAAAATAAAGAAAAACGAAAACCCAATACCTCCCGCAATTTGCCCTATGGTATTGTTTGCACTATAATCTTACCATCTATATCGCAAAATACGTAATCGAAAGAATTAACGAAACGCGTAAACTCTTCCCTCGACGCGTGGGCGAGATCTTTAAGTCCCGTCATAGTTTCAAAAACTAATTTCTATCGTAATCGTGCAAGTTCGCGTATCTTATCGCTGTACCACTTAAATATGTTAACACGGCCGCAAAAATCGCTAGGTAAACAATCAACCTGCCGTCTCATCCTCGGAGTGCGCCAAACAGCTTTTTCCTATATTCAAATTACATTATTACCGTCTGTGGGCGATACCGTTAGAATAGGGCGCTCTAAATAATGCATTTTATCGAAAGCAGCTACTGACGTCATTTCGCGGATTCTTCTTCCTTCTGTTATTTTGCTCGTCGTGCACGCAGAGAGTCTATTGACCACTAAAAGGAAAGAGGAAGAATCCACAAAAACAAATGTCAATTCAATTTTATCTTGGGTTGTAGCTGCTCCAGGCAAAATGGCCGCCACGACAGCTGTCTGGTTTTCACTTTTGCGTACCTATTTTTACGCAGTAAACGATTGTTCTCGAGCGGAATAGATCGGACGATTGTCGCCGTAAATGGTCTCGCAAATCCAACCAAGGTAACGGCCGCGATCGATGCAGAAATGAGGAGATAGTGACGTGCCAGCTGTTCGCGATTTCGACTTGCCAAATTTCGAAAACATCGCCGCACTAATGGGCGAGTCGAATGAGAAATTATTAAAGGCGATACGCCACTATCAAGAGAGCTTGGACAGGCACAGTTCCAGCGGTAATTCGGAAAAGGTAAAGGCGTCCGGGGTTGTGATAATTTTTCGGTTCATTTGACGGGTTTTCAGCTGTTGCACGCGCTACAAAAATTATCCAGGCTGCCGATAAAAATGTGTCACTTGGAGGAAACGGGTGTGGGGCGCACCGTGAATTCATTGAAAAAGGTAGGCGGCGACGTGGGAAATTCGGCCCGGGTACTAGTCGATCAATGGAAAGAAATGGTCAAAGGTGAACAAAGCGATACCAATGAAGAGGAGGAAATAGAACCCGCATCGCGCGAGACTGAAGACTCTGACGAGGGAAGCAATACGGAAAGACTGAAAAGCGGACGTGATAGCGACAGTGATGCAAAGGACAGTGAAAGTGACAGTGCGACAGAACGACTCAACGGGACAAAGTCGAAAAGAACAAGTAGTGATGCTAAGGTGAAACAAAGAAACAAGTCAGATAAACACCGCCATAGGGGTCATACAAAAAGACACCCAGTATCGTCTGAAAGCGGTGGATCTAGTGATTATGAAAGTGAGTCGAATAAACATAAAAATCGGCACCGCCGGCATAAATCGCGTGACAAGGAAACGTCCAAAAATAAATCAGGTCACAATGACAAGCATAGGCATCAAGACAGAAAAAAGGACGTTGAACACACAAAGTCAGGTGCCAAAAAGAGCACCAGCAGCAGCGCCAGTAATAATAACAAAGAAGACAAATGCAAAGTAAGCGGTGGGAAGCATTCTAAAAGCTCGAAAAGTTGCAAAAACAGTGAGAAACGGCGAAGAGTGGATTCCTCCTCTGATGAGGATGAGTCCAAGAAGCATAAAGATGAGCCTCTTAAAAAAACGAGTGAGGCCGAAACAAGAAAACAAGATGGCAAAAACAAGGGTGACAGAGAAAAACATTCGAAGAAATCGGATAAAGAGACACATGGGCCCAAATCGGATCAAGGGGGTTCAGGCAAAGATAGGGAATTAAAGAAGAGATCGGATGTTGGCAAAATTGATCGGCATAGCATTAAAAATGGTATAGATTCCGAATCGGGAGCTAGTTTTGCCGAAGCTTTGGGCATGCTTGAGCCCCCGAAAGCCGGTAGGGCGAAGGCCACCAAGAGGAAGTCAGGGAGTGAAGCTCTTTCAGTAAAATCAAAAAGTGCGAAAACCGCGGCTGAGTTAAAACCGGATGATTCGGACGATGAGGAGGCAATTCCGGACCTGCTGAAAGATAAGAAATTAGAGCCGCTGGATATCAACGTTTCGAGCTTGCTGCCGCCGCCCAACTATAAGCCCCTGGGGGCGCCTGTGGAGCACCCGTCGCGACTCTCGCTTAACGACGAAGACGCCCTGAACAAAGTCATTTCGATGAAAAACAAGCGGTAAGTGAGTATAATATAGTATGTTCTTATCTTGGTTGTTACAATAAAATCTTTTTAAATATTTTAATGTGATCACTAGTGTTAAATATATTACACCAATCCAGACTATATGGTTATTGTAGGACAAAAGTTTATTCTGGAAATAAAAGCGCTTGGGCTATGGTGCCGTCCTTATTCGACCTGTGCAGCAGAATTCTGCAGGACAACTTGGACGGTAAATTTAATGTCAGTCTGAACCTACGTCATTTTCAAACTGTACGCCGTTTTAGCGCTGGAATACACCGGTGGGGTCCCCTATTCAATACTAAAACACATACTCGAAAAGGCGAACCCCGATCAGCTGTATATGTTGGAGCATCACAACCCATATCTGATCGATGACACCGACGAACTGTGGCACTTGCACTGCCAAAAGGTGCCGACGTTCAATTGTTTTAAAGGTTAAAATTTTACACAAGCGCCTTTCAGGAATTCCGCAACAAGCAACGCGAGGAGATGGAGTCGTGGCGCGAAATGTACATGCGGTGTCTCGACGAGCGCGAAGCCAAACTCAAAGCGCTGACCGCGAACATTAAACAGTCTCAAGATAAGTCCTTACCCGTCAGGACGACCAAGTTGGCATACGTGGACGACGTGGCCAAGCCGCCTAGGAATATCGCCAGGAAACAGGTCCGTTTATGTCCAGGCATTGTGATAAACTAGACACGGTCAGTCTTGCTTTAAAAACGCGTCGTTGCGAACTGGAATAAAAGAACGGTTTTTTGGGGCACACGCGGCACGTAGAATTGCAAATTTTAAGTAGGGAATACCAAACTATCGGGATGGAAAAATTAGACATTACCATAGAATTCGTTATTGGTTGCGCGATAATCCTTTCGATTCTTTTTCTTTCCGTGCGACCTTGAGCAGCCCGCAGGGATACTATTTTCTGTGTTCCACGCATATTTCAGCATCGCCACGTCAATCGACGACTATTAAAGAGTAGAAAAAAATTGGGCTGCAGGATCGCGTTGGGCTGTCGTAATTGCTTCTAATGCACTTTGCAGTTGAAAAATGGCACAGCGTCCGGCGACAAGGTGCCTCCGCTCTCAATCAAAAGGACCCAGCTGGCGACTGCGGGCGATGCCGGGAAGATAGCTGTGCCGAATCCTGCTGCGCGGGCGTTCGAGCGCAGTAAGTATTTGCTAATCTACAGCGACAAAATCAAAAAAATCTATTTGTTCATATCCGAATTTTGATAACTTGTATCAGTAACCTATTTCTCTAGGAGATAATTGAAAAAATATGGGAACACCAGTTGAATCCAAATTTTTGAACTATCGGGCCGTCGGACAAAGGCTTTCATTGATAACTTTTCATATTCGGTGATTGTGTGACAAATTGAACATTTTGTTTGTTATACAGATTGTTAAAAACCAAAACCGTGGTGTGTACAAGTTTTTTCAATTTAAAAAATAAATTTTACTTGTGTTTTTTAAATGCTAACTTTGTGTAGTGATGAACTGAATTTCCAAAAATTATTTAATAACCAGTGAGTTCCGTCTTACACATTATTAGTTGACTAGGATGGAGTTAGGAGTAAACTGATCTTGTTAAAGTGTAGATTGGTACTTTAAAATAGACGCCTTTTAGTGGCAGTAACGTGGGCAGTTTTTTAATCTATTTGATTCTAATCTAATCTTTAAGAACTGCCAAGTTTGTTTGTTTATTAAGGAACTCTTATGTTTGCTCTGCCACTGCTTTTCAAAAGTATATACGTCAAATTCGTTAATTGCAACTAATACTGACTCTCTGATTTCATCACTCTTGGGATGAAGATTACTAACGTATTAGTTATTTACTTGAAGTGATAAACAAACACAAACACATTTTTTTTATTAAAATGTTATTAAATATTATCTCTATAGGAAAAAATATACGTCAAATGAAGTGTAAGCAAAAGTGAAACATTTAGTAAAAAATTGCAGTCAAAGACAGTCAACTTTTTTATTTCTTAATCAGTTTTTTAAACGTGATACTTTATTGTCGTTTTGTAAAACTTTCTAATGTAAAATAATGTTGCGATTGGATTAGATCTCAGTGAAATATTGGCATAAAGCGCTTAAAAATTCAATTATTTTCAAACATTTAAAATTTTTATTGAGAATTAAAGTTTTATTCAATCAAAAAACTCAAATTTTTCATGGATATAAATATTAAATTGTCATCCATTCATAAGGTATATAACCGTAAAAATTACTTTACTGAAAGCCCTTGTAAAATGGTTTCTTCCTTGATACTTGTAGATTCATCAAATTAACTTTGTGGTAATTAACACAAGTGTTAAACACAATATCTTTATTGTAAATAGGTAATTAATCAACCCATATTCAGTAACTTCTTTTTATCATGTAATAAAATAAATAAAATAATTTTGACCTCTTAGTTTAAAACTTGGCGAACTTTTTTTTTTAAGGCAATCACGGCGGTGGTTCGACGCTGAAGCCGAAAAAGGCTCCCCTGATGGCGAAGATGCTATCCATGCTCAAGGGCGGAAGGTTCGGGCGCCGGTAGACGGACGGCATGGGGGCCCCGCCGTACCCTCGAGATTTAGTAGGTTTTTAGGTTAGATTTGGGAGGCCCTCTATTTTAATTTGTATTAAATTGATCTGTACAGCTTTGCGTCGTTTTAAAGGGAGGGGAGATATGAATGAAACTATTTTAATTAAAAAAATCAATGTTTTATTTACTCTAACGGGTCGCTTTATGCTGTCGCCCGGCCGCTGGACAGCGGCCGGGGACTGGTCTGCTAAAATAAAACAACTGGTAATTCGCAAAAAATATATATATGTAATATATATGTACAAAAACGAAGTCGCCCCGTGCTACGGTTTCGCGTTGTTCTGGAGATACTTCACCAACTCGTGCTTGGAGACGTTCACCTGGGTCGGCGAGACATACTTCGAGTCGATGGAGCAGAGGCTCCATAGCCGGCACCTGACGATGCTGTTTATCTCTTCGGAGCTGCGCGCCGCGTTCTTCAGCAAGTCGATTTTCGAGGACGCCAACGAACCGGGCAGAATGATGTTAAATGAGAGGGGCGCCTTGCCTGGCGGCAGGCCCCTGTTCTTGCGCAGCTGATAAAAGTAGTATGAGATGATCAGATCGATCTCACAGTTGAGCATGTCCGTCTTGAGCTGTACCACATAATTCATTTTCTGCGACAGAGGAAAAAAGGGCCAATGAACGTAAAAGCGAGACGTCGGGCCACGCCCACCTGCCTAGAGACCACATGTCATTCACAGGCATTTAGGCAAGGGACGGGTGAGGATGAGTGTTGCCTAAATATGATTGGTAGCTTTGGAATTATAATGTAACAACATTAAAATGTTCATAAATACATGATAAATAGTTAAATTAAACAAATATAACACACAAGTGATTTTTTCCACAAAAAATTTGCAAAAGCGGTACGAGACCCACGTCGAAACGAGGTTACTTAGAAGGTAATTTAGCGTAAGCATTTGTATTAATTGTAACGTTATCACATTAAATAAATACACACATATACATCATCCAGGATATAGCTGAGAAATTCAATAAGTCACTACTATATTTGGTTAAGTCTCCAAGGGAGTCTTCCTGGACATTTTTAAGGAATCCGTTATCATCCCTCTATATAAATCGGGTTGAAAAGTGTATTGAAATTGGATTAAAACAATTTTTAGAAAAAAAAATGCGTTATTCGACATTAATCAATCTAGTTTTAGGAAATTAGGCACGGAAGATGCGTTGTTCGAGATAGCTGGCGGCACAGTCCGATCTTTTAAGGACAGAAACAAGTGTATTACTGTTTTTCTTGATTTGGCCAAGGCATTCGACACTGTGTCGCACCACATATCTTGTTGGAGGGACTTGAGAGGGCTCGTAAAAAAATTAATTACCTCATAGAGTGCAAAAGGTTAAATTTAGGTGACACCCTGAGCTGCTCTCTTCCGGTACGGTATGGTGTGCAGCAAGGCACGGTTCGGGGACCAATCTTGTTTACATTATATATGAATGGAATATTTTATATTTTACCTTTATTGTCTGCTACAGGGATCAATGCGACAATGACTAGTCTGATAAAAATAATCGCTAGATTATAGCCTGCTGTAACTTAATTATTAGTTATTCCATGACTTGCAAAAATTAAACATTCATAATTTTGGCTGTGGCTATGACACGGATTGTAAATGTGATCTTTATATAAATTCCATGACCACGTCATACATATCACTTTGAAAATTCGCTAACGTTTCGCCAATCGTCCTGTTGGCTTCTCCAGAGCTTGGCTGAAACTGATGATAATGATAAAAAAGAGGAATTCATTTCAAATGCCGAGTCTATCCTAAACAAACTACTACTATTACCACCTCAAACAGCTAATGAAATTCTATTTGAAACCGCCAAAATCTTTAAAAAATCAAAACCCCCTAAATCTAATATTGCAAAGCCTGAACGCATTGCCCTAAAATCTCTAAAATCTAATCCTAAAAGCAGATCAAGGAAACGCTACGGTGGTCACGAACACAAATGAATATCAGGAAAAGATCGAAGATATTCTTACAGATGGATCGATAGGAAATCAGACCTAACATAGGGTTTACAGGAAACCTAGCACATAGACTGATACACATCACCAACCGGCCCAGAAATCATCGGTTATCAACTCTCTTGTTTACAGAGAAGTAAAACTATCTCAGCCCGAGTCATCGAATGTAAAATTAAAACACCTTACCTCTGCTCTTCTCTCTAATAATTTCCAGATGAAAGATATTAAGCGTTCCATCACAAAATACATTTCACCACAACCTTCCAATAGTAATGAAACCGAAAGCAATTCCACACTTGCCACAGTTGTCCTTCCTTATATTCAAAACATCACTGACTATATATCAAAAGTTCTACACAAGTATAACGTCAAACACAAAATTCCATTTGAGATGCCAGGAGTTTACAGCATTCCATGCATATGCGGCAAAGAATACATTGGAGAGACCGGACGAAAAATATCAACTAGGCTCAAAGAACACGAAAGAACCTTAAGGCTAAGATAAATAAACTCATCAGCAGTGGCCGAACACAATCACGAAACCGGACATAAAATTTTATTCGATAAAACTAAATTTTCGCATATAATCAATTCTTCTAGCAACGAAAAATCCGAGAGTCTATAGAAATCTACAAGCAACGTAACAATCTTAACTAGGACTCGGTCACCAATTCGGGAATCAGTCATCCGAGACGGTGTTTATAACCCTCATTTAGCTCCGCCCCCTCCAACAATATAAAAGCAGGTACAGAGTAAAATGCGAGCCGGTTCCAGTCAAGCTCTGAAAAAGCCAACAGGATGATTGGCGAAACGTTAAATAATTAGTTTTATAAAAAGGCTTTCACTATGTTACAATAGATGGCGCTATATGAACTAAAAACAAATAATTTTTTATATCTTACAACGCCCGCCTCGCAAGTGATCGGCTGGTAAATGCCACGCTGCATGCACCTCTCGTACACTCCATACAACTCCGACTGGGTGACGGAGTTGTTCTTGACACTGAGGTCTTGGAGTGCGCACATGTATCCGCGCAGCGTGTCCTTCGTCATTAAATCGGAGAACGCGCCTATGTCGGGCAGGATCTGCCTTAAAGCGATCGAGTCCGACTGATTGATCAGCACCACCATCATTGGGTCGAAGAACGGTCCTACGTCTGGAAAAACACCCGTAGAGCGTTCAGAAGGCGGAGTTTCGCCGCCAACTCACTGAACTTCCACACGTCGACCTTTTTGACGACCACGCTCCTGTACAATTCCATCACTACCTGGACGTTCTTGACGTAGCCGATCTCGAGCAGTTTCCTGAGCGTGATGTTTCGAGCCTGCAAGTCCGACTTCAGGATAGTGTCGAGCGCGTCAGTCGGTTGGACGGGCCAGCGATCGTATGGCTCGAGCAGGTGGAAAGCTAAATCGAATAAAAAAAAATTGGAAAAATGTGAACCGCTTTCCAAATATTTTTTCTAAATTATTTTACTCGATAGTGTTATCTGTAGTGCACCGTTAGCAATAACAAATACGCTGCAAAGATTTTGAAAACTGTCATATACGTCGCAATAATTTCAAAAATAAGGCACATGACCCCCCCCCCTAAATCAAATCGCTTCAAACTTCAATCAATACATTCTTGTTACTTTCGAAAAATCGATGGAAAAAAATTTTTTTTTCTGTTCTCCGTCCTTCGTTTCTCTGTAGAGCTGGCATTAATTGGCTATATCTTTTGAACGATTTGCAGCACGACCTTCAAATTTGGCTCCTTTTAAGCCGTGCACGAGCTACACACAGTAAAAAATACGTCTGATCAAACCAAGGCGTACATTTTTTTTTTAGATTTTCAACTGTTTTTTTTTTTTTGAAAGTTGAAGCCATCCACTTAGCTCCGTAACGAAGCCTATTGAAACTGGGGGGGCTGTATTTTTAAAAAATTAAAAATCGCACTTGCAAGTTACTGAGAAAAAAAACATTTCTCCAAGATGGTAAATGTGATCAAAAAAATTCTTTAACTAAACGACGCTCAAGATCCGGGCCAAAAACCTATTCTTGATAATTTTTTTAAAATGTACAGGGTGCGTCGGCAATTTACAAAAAGCTGAAAATTGAGCTCCCTTTATATTGATATTGTCAGTTTCTTTCACAGTTCTATATAGCCCGTATGGACAGCTATGGACTTTTGTATTTAAGGTTTTCACATATTGTACAGGGTGTTCGCAATATTCTGTGCTATATTCTAAAACGTCATAGGTGTCTCGAAGATGTAGTCATCGACTTCAAATTTGGCAAGGAAGTAAAAGTTGGTACGCAACTCTAAACAGCAGAAAATGAGCGTAGTGAAATGTCACCAAATATATATTTTTTAAAATGATTTTCTCAAAAACTATTCAACCGATCGGCAAAATTTTAGAGCCAGAAAATGTGGGAGATCCGAGGCTATGACTTTTATTTTAGGCAGTTTTTTGATTATATACAGGATTTTTCAATTGTGGACAAAAGGACCGTGAAAGTTATTATATTATTAACCACAAATCAAAATTCGTAAAATATATGGCCAATCGGTTCAAACAGTGTTATTGGCCGTATCAAGAGTAACAATTTTTGTATTTACGGTTTTCGTCTATCGCATACGCTGTTCGAGATATTTGAAAAAATCGTTGATTGTCGCCCCAATCTAGACGCGATGACGTCATTTACTATTACCACGTACTGCATGGTATCAGAAAACAAACTGCGTTGAAAAAAATCAAATACCGGGAAACGTGGGAGATCCAGGGCTATATCTTGTTTCTTTGGTATTTAACATTTTAATTCCATTTCGAAACTAAGCACCCCAATGTTAAGAATATTACCAAAAGTTGGGTCAAGCACTTAGCATTTCAAACTATAATGAAAAATGCAATTTTTAAGCACAAAAGGTTATTTTAACATCTTCATTTCGTGATTCGCGAACTATAAAGTGTGATACGATTTCAAAGCTATAAAAAAGGATCTTATGAACGGAAGTGGGCATAATAGATAACAGTAGTGTTGAGATTGGTCAATTGACCACTTTTTCATTCACTGGTGGAAAAATGTTTTAAATAACATCTTGCAAATTGTAGAGTGTTATCTATCATTATTTTATAATGAATTATTATGCGTTTGTTTGTTCGAAAAAATATTTCAAGCAAAACCCCAAATTTCCGCAGCATTTTTTTAATACAACCTTTTTTCGGATTCATTGAATAAAAATATTGATGTAGTTCGAAAGCGAAAATGCGTGGAAATAAAAACTTTTTCTCTAAAGAAACAGTGAAAACCAGTGAAAAGTTCTGTAACGATATTAAAGTAAAATTGTTTCTACACAACTCTACATAGAGTCATTATATATTTTTAGAATTTACTTGCCACTACGGGTAGAAGCACTCCCTGTAGCTTTCAAGAATTCTACAAGAAGCTGAATCAGAAAAAAACTATTGAAAAACACGGATTTTTAACGTAACTCGCAATTCAGAACAAACCAGTAACTGGGGTAGGGTATAATAGCCAGGTATAATACGACCAAAAATATAGTGCATTTTTTACGTTATCTTAACCGCAGACCTTCGCAGGATCGTGGTAAAACCCATCCCAACGAATTTTCATTTTGCATTAAGTAGGTCTGCGAGGCGGTTTCCACTGGATAATTCAAAGGGTAAGAGTAAGTACCTGTACCTTATCTTACAGGTAAATTTGAAAATAATCATTTTCGTCTTGTGTGCCTGTCGATTAACAACATTCTTCTTCTTGTATTTTTGTGTCTTCTTCGATTTGTAAACAACAACAGGTAACAGATAAAGGTAAGAATGCAGATAAATATTTATTACAAACTTACAACTAAACATTTTTTGAAGGTTCCTGTTTTTTGTTTGAATTGGTTCCCCTGTAAGAAGACGACAATTTAGAAGACGAACTACCTCAGCAAACAAAAAAAAACGGATGCATTTGTCTTCGGATGCTAAACAAATTGTTTTGAATGTTTACAATTATATAAGAAATTCAGAAGGGGGAGTAGGAGCAGCAATAAAAACAAGCGACGCGACCAAAGCTCCGAAGTCAACTGTAAATGTTGCAAATGGGATAGTTAAGAGGAAAGTGAGAGAAGATGCTGATACTTCGCGAGTTTTTAAAGAGCAACACGCAGAAGAACTGCATAAAAAAGTACTGACAAACTTAGTTGTGCCATAGAGTAGCGTACATTTTTGGAGAAAATAGATTTTCAGTTCCAAACAATAAACATGACGATAGTAGCGATAGTGGCGATTTTTTAAGCGACTGATACTTTATTATTATTATTATATTTAATATTTTGTATAATATAGTATATTGCATATACTATGTAGAAATGGAATGAAATAGAACGTAATAAATTGTTATTTTGTACTATTTTTTTTATGTACATATTTCAAGAATTGCTAGGCGAAAAAGATTGACAACATACTTATATCCCGCTTGTTAGATAAATTCCTATGATGGTCCTGGATGGCGACGGGTAAGGGTCTGCTCGGCAGGGGCTACGGTTTTGGAGTAATAAACAGTATTCAAAGTTAATCACAGGGTCGGTTGTAAGAGCACTATATATCTGGTCGAAGTATACCTGGCTACTATGTCTGAGTATTTTCCGTACCAATCGCTGTGCTGGACCGTGAGGCACAAGAGTATTTTCTCCCGTACGGGTACAAAGTACCCAAAAAAGCATCCCCGTTGTATCTTAGAAAGATAGGTTTACAAATAAATCTAAATTTTAACACTCATCAGCACATCATAGCATATAGACTAGTACAAGATTACATTTTAATTAGGGTCTTCTATGTCGTATTATGTCCTAGAAAATATTTTTCCACCCTGCATTTAAAACATTTAATAGGAGTAACAAAAATATCGACATCGAGAAAGCAGTTACGAGAATTAAATATATCTTGTAATCTAGTGATCGGAGAGTTCTGTCCTATGTTGGTTCGGTAGCGGTCGCCATCAAAGAGAGCCCTGTCTCTTGCGTCACGCATTGGTATTCGCAGATTAATCTTTGACAACAGGAAATGGAGAGTCGACTTGATCGTTTAAAATTTTGTGGAGCATTAACAGGTCTATTTGCGTTCTTTTGTTTTGGAGAGTTAGAAATGTAAATTTTGATCTAATGTGGTTGTAGTTGTGGTTTTCAACGCTAGTGTTAGTTTTATATGCAAGATATCTTAAAAATTAGAATTCCCAACGACTGAAGCGAATGAAAGTTTACTATGAACAAACGCATAGTACAGTGCAAAAAGAGATTTAGGATGTTTAAGATCCGTTTTGTTTCTTTTTATGAAACCGGTCGTTTTGTTCCAAGTATAGCCAGTTAAATAACTGCTGTCATTTTGAGCCGCCATTTTCACGAATTTCGCCCCCCCCCCCCCCCAACTTACTCGGACAAATGACAATCTCATAGGTTAGTTCCGGGCGGCAGGGCGCCAATAATCTAGCGATGAAGAGGTAACGGCCGATCAGCGAGACGCGCATGCGATTCGTAAACACCTAGGGGAAGAACCGGGTAAGTGACGTCGCTCGACCCCGCCCCCAAACTTACCCGTGACGTCACCAGGCTGTCCCAGTCGGAGAAGCGTTCGAGTAGAGCCTGCGCCTCCAGACACAGAACGCTCGACTTCTCCAGCTCAAACAGCAGGTTCATAGTGACCACCTCGAGTATCACCCTTATGTCTTTGTTCGCATAATAGCTCGGCAACTCGTTCTCTGAAAATCGAACCCTACAATGCGCCGACAAGACCAAATTTCCTTCATAGTTTTCAACGAAATTACCAATTTTTGCTTTGTTTTCGTAGTTTGCATGTAATCGAAATTCCCATTTCCCTTTTACAAAAATTATACCTTATTTTCCTTTAAGTTAAGGAATTCAAGTCAACAAAGTTCTTATTTTAAACGTAATAGTTATATCGTCAACAATAAAAAATATTCTGCATTCTATAAAAGAAAAAAAATTTAAGAAAAACTGACATCAGAAATAATAACATAGACGACTTCCAGTTTCATCTGAATGAAGAATTTTATTTTGGTTTTGCGAATTTATAATTCAATGAGTCTGAGGTAAGGTGTTAGTAGTTAGATTACTTAAATTATATAACTTCAGCCGTGTTCTTCACAAGCTTTAGTAGATTTTATTTTTATGATAAGCCCGCGAGTAGAAAAGAAAAAAGAAGGAAGAAGAGAAAATACATAAATTATTTGTAAAATTTTCAGAGACTGGACCAATTTGTTTCTATTTTGGTCAAAAAGGAGCAAAAAGTGGCACCCAGTTTATTCACGATAAAAAACTGGATGTTTACTGAGTAATAAGTGTACAGGGTGTCCTACAGGCAACTCAGTCGATCTGTCATGGGAAATACTGAGGGCCATCCGGCTAAAATATATTGAAGATGGTGGTAGATATAACCGGATATACCAAAAGTGCTGCTAACTTTCTTATGTTAAATGCAACATGTTTTTTGCGTTCCCCGGAAAATAGGGAACTTGAACATTTTTCTTAAAATTCTTTAATACATTTGTTTATGTATAGAAATAACGCATAGCAAATATCAAAACTCCATATTTAAGTTGCAACAAATAATTCAAGTTATGACACCCGACTATTCCTTAAAAACGACACTAAATGCTCGATACGGCGACACGTTACATTCTCAGGTCATAGGTCGAGAATTATATTATTTACGTTTACTGTTGGTGTTTGTACTTAATCTACGCCAGTTTGTATTTCTGCTTAGTGTACTCTACACGATAATAATGGAAGCAACACAAAAACAATACTACAAATCATGCTGTGTTCGAATACAACCCGTAAAACGTCAAACTTTTTCTTCCTTTATTAACATTATGTTCAGGTGTCACTTTAACCTTAACTGTTCAAACATAGGAATGGCTTTCGCATGTATATAAAATAAAGAAAAAAAAATAAAAAAATCCTTTTTGTTTTTTTTTTTTTGTTGAACAATTTACACTTTATTTGTACAATTTTTTGTAAAATTTATACAATACTGTATTGGTACTGGCTAAACTTTCTTTTAGCTTTAACACCGCGAACCTCAGCAAAAGAAAAACTTTCGGTGTTTTGTATGTAAGACGGTAAATTATCAGATTTACCTTTTAAAAAATCGGCATTAGTCATTTTCAAAACTTTTTTTATACTGAACACAGGATAACAAAAGTAAGCGACAGGATCGAGGCTAAAAGTAAAATTAAAACCACCAAGACGAACACGTTGTGACGTCACAACCGGTTACAGCCAATGACAGCGCGTTTCAAAGAGGACTTAAATTTTACAGTTTTTAATTGCTTATATTTGTTACATAGAACTACGAAATTATTTTTTTGGGAACCGTGGTTCTTTTAATAGAACAAAGTTCCTTATTGTGGACATATTTCACGTAAAATAACATTTACCTAAATTTCGCCGTTTCTGAGATATTTAACATTTTAAGTCAAAAATGATGTTTGCAGACTGAACAATATCTGTAAACTTTTCCATTGTAGAATCCTGTAAATTTTTGCGCTATTAACTTACCCTGTTATTAAAATTAAACTGAAAAAACTACAATAATCCGGAATCGGAATGCATATGTTTATGTTTTACTTGGTCTGCGCTTAGAGTTCAATTAATATATGAATAATACAAAAAGTAGCCCTAATTTTTAATTGTAAATAAGATAGGATTCTAGAAAATATTTGAAAATATTGATTTTCACCAGTTTTCTCAACTTTATTTTAATTGTATTTTTATCCGTATTATTAATTGGCGAAATTACTACCTAAATTTGTTCAACAGAATATTTTCTTAAAGGGTTCCACATGGGAAAAAGATAAATGTTTGCAATTTCCTAGGGATCTGAAAAAGGAGTTCCATTTACACTAAGCAAGCTGACCCCCACTTCCGGTATATCCAGAAATATATCGTTTGCTACTTAAAGCTTTCCCATGACAGATCGAAAAATGTTCCGGATGGGACACCATGTAGATTTACCAATGGACGCGAGCAGGTCCTCGTACTTCTTCGCGGCCTGTTGCTTCGCTCCCTTGAGGTGTGCCAACGTCATCGTGATGAAATTCTGCACCGTCGAAGGCCTTTTGTATTTCTCGAGCAGTTCGAGGAAGGTGCGCCCGTCCCCGCTCTTGACAGCACTGTTTAATCGGATGACGTCATCTTCGTCGACGTCCACGCTGTTCGTTTCGCGGGTATAGAGGTTATGCAGCGACACGTTGAAGCGGTAGGCGGGGTCGAAACGCGGGTACCCGAACCTCGGGTGCTCGGGCGGTTTTATCGTCGATAGAGGAGTCTTCGATGACGGCGGCCCATTTGAACTACCCGAATCGAGTCGCTTTCTCTTCGTCGACGGTCCGTAATCCTCGATGGGGTCGTACTGAGCACCGTGGCAGTTGTACACGAATCCCGGACTCGACCTTGGCGACGTTTCGTCATTTGTATACGAGAGCGTCGACCAAGACCCGCCCCCCGTGAAACTGAAAAGGACACGATGAATCGAAACGGCGAATCGTCATCCAGCCACGCCCACCTGTTGGAAGCGACCGTCGAATCGCATCGATGCGATGACGTCAACCTCTCGTCGATGTCTTGCTTGTTTTGTATGTCCCGCGACTCCGCCTCGACCGTGGGGGGGTGTGGCTCCGTTGTGAACCGGTGAACAGGGTACGGAGGCGGAGTTAGCAGTCTAAAAATGCCCGTTGGGGAGCGGCTTGGTACGTGCGAAGGGGCGGCGGCCGCGGCCTCTACGGCGGCCATGATGTCGGCGGGAATTTCCCGTTTATCCGCGAAATTGAATCTTGACAACAAGCGACATACGTCCGCGCATACCCTTCCATCGACGGGCGGTCTAGCGAGGTTAGACATTAGTTTGGTGGCGACGGTCCCATCGATTTTGTGACCGGCGACGACGAGCCGCCTCAGTATCGGCCAGTTCGAGCGCAGGTGTGAATCTGACGCGATCAGGCTGACGAGCTGATCGCCTGCAATCACGCGGGTAAAACCTACGCGGGACACTTACACTACTGATACTCTGACGTACGCGAGCAACGCAACTGATACCTAAATCCATCTAAATCAATACAACCTTGGGGCAAAACAAAGGCGTCACCGATAAATCCAAATCCTCGATAAATTACCAAAAAAGTTCGTTATTCTTTCAAGCCGAACTCTAGTTAGTTATATATCCCGAAGATATCACCTCACTGATATCGCATTAAAAGCAAACGGAAACCCGTATTTTGAAAAAAAAAATTTAAAACACTTGAATCATCTACCGACAACTGTAAATCGCTGCAAATCGTTTAATGTTAGTATATAAATGTCAATAATTTTGTGCGCCGTCATGTGATTTCGACAAACAATTTGTTATAAATCCCCAGGAAATTTACTTAAATCATCATGCCCGTAAATTTAAAATTCTTAACCCGAACAATACGTAAAAATCGTTTTTGTAAGAGCATTATAAACAAAGAACAAAACGAAATATTAATGAAATAAATAAGAACTAAAAGTTCAGATTATCACGAAATTATATATATTCACATGACAATTGTTTCGACAACACCGTGTCTTTATCAAATATATAATTTCGTGAAAATCTTAATTTTTATTTCTTACTTATTTTGTTAAACGAATTTTCATCAAGTAAAAGCCTCTGTTCAATTTTCGAAATATCAACACTTTGATCAACGACGGCACGGAAAATTGTATTACATTGATTGGCGACAAAAACACAAAATAAACCTGATCTACTTGAGCATTTTTTTAATTTCCAACTGAAAAAGGGGGACCGATTTCAAAGCCACCTGTTAAAAAGAGCAAGTTTGTTAACCATAAATCACTTTCAACAAATAAATGCCTGTAAATCCCCAACAATTTTTGTTAAATCATCGACAAGTCCATATAAATCAATATAACCTTGGGGCAAAACCAGGTTAACACGATCCAGAACAAGCAAACAAAGACGTCACTGATTAATCCAAATAAATCGTCGATAAATAACCGCAAATCACGAAAAATCCTCGATAAATTATTATCATTTTTTTTATTGATAAGACGTTCTCAACGCTATTCGCAATAACTGTTAGTTTGTTCTTACATTTTTTCGAGCTTTGTCTTGTTTAAAAATTTTGTCACTCACCCAGGTCCGGGAATTTGCCCAAGCCAATCTGGACCAACACGGTTTCTACCGCGTCGTGAAACGACAAGTCTGACTTTTGCAGCTCGTTGAACACTACCTCGAGGCACTTGGTTTTCCAGAACCGAGACATATTTGTGGCGAATATGTGGTCGACGATATCGACCGTTTGACGGATCATTCCCCTTTCGGCGAAAACCGTAGCGAACTTTTCAAAAATCTGCTCGTAGAACGCGGGATATTGTTTGGCGTAATCATAAGCGTTGAGCAGTTGTTTCTCGGGGAGCTGCAATAGTTCCTGCCACTTGTGCTCGGGCAGATCACGCACCGAATGGGCGAGCCTACAATTCATTCTGGTGCATTGGCGCCCGGGGTACGGAAATACGTGCCAATAGCACAACCCTTTGTAAATGGGAGGCACCTGAATGACAAGGAACCGAGTTTGAAGTGAAATCTTTCTCTGCGTGAATAAGGACTCACCCTGGACCGCTTTAACGGCTCAGCTGGCAGACTGTCCTTGGCACCGTTCTGGAATGACGTGTATGCGTGATAAAAGCGGCGTTTCTTAATTTCTAACCCTACTTTAGTTTGAATTTTTGGATGCAGATGTAACATGTAACAAAACAAAATAATGTAAAAAGGTTATTTTGTTTTTGATCATTGATATTGCCCTGTCCTCATTTAATATGGTGAATTCAAGAATTTGGAGTTGTACCATCCGTTCAATTTATCTTGATCGCATTTTAATTGACTGTAACTTTTTTGTTTTTACAGATATGAAGGTAAACAAAAAAACAAAATGTATGGTCAGTAGCCGCCTATTAATTTTCTGAGATATATAACCCTACATCATATATTTTTAAATGGAACACCCTGTATACTATATATGTGTTTAATAGAATATCTTATTCCGATTGCAATGACGTAAAACACTTTATATTTGAGTCCACTTGTTTTTGACAAATCTGCAAAAATAGGTGTTATATTATATGTTAAAAATCATATAACAAATTTAAAACTAATTTATTAATTTAAAAATACTGTTTCATTGCGCAGAGCGGATATATGTCAGTTGCATAAATCTTAAAATCAAAGGAAAAGGAAAAGGTTACTTAGCAGAACTAATATTTCAGTGAAATGATGCACACCAGGAGAACATTTGTTACGTCTACCCTAATTTATAACTCAGCACCTAATTCCTATAAAGATTGTGGTATACAAATATTAAAAAATTGTGTGAAAAGTTTTGTGACTTCTATATCTATTTTTACGCCCTAATGTTTATATTCGTTTAGGCCTTGTATCATAAAGATTTCAAAAACAGTATTTAATAAATAATAATCATAAATAGCCTTAGTGCTCTAACCATGAATAACAACAAATATACAAGATTATACATCTAATTAATGTTTTATCATTTATAAAAAATCATACTTTTTTTTTCCCGCGGGGGTTTTTAAATCGGTTGGTTTTTGTGTTGCACCATGTTATTGGGTAATAAAATGGTATAAAAACCCTGTTAGAACTATTAGAAACAATTTACTTCGGGGTTATTTAGAAGGCTCCCTTGGAGATTAAATGTCATTGGGTATCAAATATAAAAGAAAACCAAACATACTGGACTCGACTGGGTGGGTTCTATGGATTCAAACCACTGGTTCACTTTCTCATTAAAGTCACCTGGATGTGGGAACTTGGTGTCTTCCGTGGGGCTGGCGCCTTTTTCTGTGGGGCTGGCGGATTCTTCCCTGGGGCTGAAGGGTTCATCTTTGGTAACATCTTCGGACTCGAGGACAAAACTACTGCAAAAGCGCCATAATGGTATGAACATCCAAATCAAAAATGGCGCGCGACCGCCATCTCACCTCGCCGAGATGGATATAATATCGTCGTTCTCATTATGAGTAATATCGGAACTGAAAGATTGAAATCGAGGTACGTTGGACACGCCCCTTTCGCCCTGCTCGCTCACGGTGACGGTAAACAAAGATGGTTTTGTTCTCGTTGGAGGCCTCTTCAGGGGTATTTTAAAAGAACGGTCCGAGTGGATTCTAATCGCATAAAAAAAAACAAAGTGTGACCTAAGCGACGGACACCTGCTAACTTACGATGCCTGGGAAACTGGTTTCTCTTCGCTGCTTTTGGGAATGAAACTAATGATTTCGTCCTTTAAGGTCAGTTTCAATTGCTCTGCAAGGAACTTGTTATTCCACGCTTTTTTCCTTTTCACTGTTTTAGGAACCACGATCCTCCGAGAATTTTCTGTGAGCGTGATTGAAAAGTTGAACGGTTTTATAGGGTTGATATGATCCCCAGTCTGCAGTGTAATGTTGGGTTTTATATATTCCATTGTTGATTCGCTAAAGCGGGAATTTTCCTCAATACAGTCTTCAATGTGTAAAGAGGACTTATCAGTTATACCACTTTCTCTTGAATCCGGACAGGCCTCATAAAAATGCCTGTCTCCATTTTCAACTTCCCCATGTAAAATTGAGTTATCATAAGATACATGACTGCTACAACAGCCTTCCGCGAAATCGCTATCCTCAGGATTATTATGCAACTGTCTATCCTCGCTGTAACTTTCCCCAATAGCAAGGGAAGGTCCACTGAGATTCATAAAATTGTTCGCATTAATGTTAACTTCACTTTCATCATCACTATCACTATCTAGAAAAGTCGCTGTGTCCGAAAAATCACGAATATTGTTATGGACTGCGTAACATTTTCGAAAAGAATCCGCACCGACATCAACATGTCCTATGTAATTTTTTCTAAAATTCCCAAATTTGTTACTATTGAAATCGCTTAAGACTGTATTATCGCTATTGGCAACTACTCTCATTTCAACATTAGCGGCACTTTTTGAGTCTGTATCCGATTCCAACTCAAATCCATCCGGTTCATAATCTAAATCTTCACTACCAAGTGGCACTGAAATTAGTCCTAGCGTAAAACACGATGTAGAGTTAGACTTCTTCATATTTCAAACCAGATTAACTGTTCAAGGTCGTTATATTCTAGTAAAAAAAAAACTGTTTCTATCAGCATTTATCACAAGAACAACTAAAGACATAAATAAAAAATTGTTGCAATTGAGCTTTTGGTAAGGTCCTTCATCTTCTTCTTTACTTCCATTAAGCTAATGGCCAAGGATCATTTGACCATTTCATACAATTTTTCTTCTTATTCTATTGACCAAAATTAATAGCATCACTTAGAAAATTTTGAATGGCTTTTTCTGTACTTTTTGTTACTTTTGAAACGAAGATCTTGGAACTCAACCTCAATTAGTTATTCGAATTACTCTAAGGAGCGACTTTTTCAGCATTAAAATGACGAACAATGATTTGGATACGCATTTGATAAAATGCATTGGTCTCCTATACGAGAGTCGAAAGCTTCGCAAAGGCGACCCCGTCCCTTTGCAATATGTATTAGAGGAAGCAATTTTCCAAAAAACTGGGGTGGTTAAGGATTACACAGACATGTTTCAATCCCTGCTTCCACCCAGGGAAAATGATAATTCCACAAGTAATATGTACGAAGATAAAGGTAAGAAGGCTCGATATTCCATGATGTTAGCTTTTGTTGAATCCTGTTGTAGGTAGCAACTCCGACAATGATTTAGAATTGGACCTTCTGAAAGAAGATCTCATGTGTGTCGTGTGCAACAAAATGGACGTAGGCGCTCGCAATCGACTACTCGAATGTTCCGATTGCCACGCCCTGTATCATCAGGAGTGTCACAGGCCTGTGGTGACGGACGAAGACTTTTTGGATACATGGACTTGTTCCAACTGTAAATCTATTAGTAAGAAGTTAAAAATCAGCGAAAAAGATCACGGGTCCAGGAGCTTGTCTTCAAAGTCCGGCAGCAGCAGCCACAGACACGGCAGCTCATCGCACAAGTCATCCAGTGACAAGTACAAAGTTAGCAAGTCTCCATCGTCTTCCAGTAGTAGCAGCGGCAGCTCGAAAGGTGTATCGCCCAATCACTCGTCCTTGAGTAGCTCAAGGCTCAACACCGACGAAAAGAAAACGAGCAAAAGCAAATCTACGAAAGGGTCCGAAAAAAGAAAACACGAACATTGAATTTATAAACAAAATCTCAAACCTGCCTTAGTTTCACCTCAGAATGAAATTAAACCAAGCTTTTTAAGTTCGGCAAGCTCATTGGCTAAAATAGGTACAAAATGACTGACCAAAACTCATTGTTTGCTTGCTTTAAATGTTCGCGTTTTCAGAATTCAAAAATTTCTTTTTTCATAAATAAAAAACAAGTCCATGTAATGAATTATATTTAATTCAACGTTCCTTGGATAATTCTGATAGACAGTTAATTCTTGTCAGATTCCATATATGTGCTACAACTCATTTAGTTTATTTATTGTTATGATATAGTGCGCTAAAATTTTTGCCTAAATCTACAAGAAATCGACCGAAACGGAAACAAATAACGTGCACGACCCGTTATGTATGTTATATATTAACTACTGAAGGGCTATGGGTTCGAGGACCGGTTCCCTTTCGTCTGCCCAAGTCGCCCAACCTTGGCTTTGGCTGCCGTACTGGTCTCGGAGTTTCGAATCAAGAAAATTATCCGCCGGTTGTATTTGGATAAGCGGTGGGACCTAAAAAACATCGATTAAAAAAAAAGAAAAAAAAACGAAAATATAAAGTCAAAGCATATAAAACATTGTTTTCCGACACCGTGGGCCTGCCACCCTCACACACCCAAAAACGATACATACGCGAGTTTCTGCCAACGTTTTGAATTCTACAAAAGTAAAAACGTGGAATAAACAAAAAATAACATTTTGAAAAGGGGGGGAATGTCCCGCTACTTACCGCCAGCGGTCTCAGGGGAAAATCGACCCTCTGGGCTTCGGAAAATGGCGGATTCGTAACCGTCACCAGCTTGGTGTGCGGGAAGTAGCCCTCCTTGTAGACGGTCACCTTGTAGGTGCCGGGCGTAAGTAATCTATAGTAATCGCCACCATTTACTGAAAAAACACTAAAATTCCAACCCTCATCTGCACAACTCTTATATTAACTTTAAGATTTCCGTTAAAAACTCTCGCACAGGTCCATATTAAATAAAAAAAAACATGGGTATAGTCGCGTTTGGAATAGCGAACAATCGGCGAGTGACGCGAATGACATTTCCCCGCGCACACCTGACGTAACGTCGTGTTTGATGTCGGCCGACTGTCCGCCGGTGACGTTCCTAACGTGGACGACAGCGTTGCTGACCGGCATCTTGGATTCGCTGTCATAGACCACGCCCTTGATACCGATGTGACTCTGCCACGCGAAACTCAGTAGCGCCCGTCGATTCCGCTGCCATTCGTCTCTCAAGGTGGACGCCGCAGGGTATTTCTCGCAGCCTAGCTCCAACGTCAACTCGAAGTCGTTACTCGACAAGTAATTGAAGTCCTGCATGCCGCCCTGCAGGCTGTACCACTGCGCTCCGTTCGTGATACCGCCCTGCTTCGCGAAGTGGTTGCTGTCCGCGTCGCCGCAGCTCTTTCTGTTGACATTCGCCATGTCCGCATGGTTGTCCGCGTATACGCGCGCCAAATACCTGTTAAAAGTGAGGTTATGACCGCGGACGGCAACAACGGTAAACCAGCGATCATGGCGCGCTCCCCCGCAGTGACGTCACTCGAAACACGCATTCATTTACACATTAATGCTGCAAAATTTTTACTATTAACCCCTTAATGCACATTTTTTTAATCAATTTGGGTACAAAATTTTTATAAGGTAAAGCCTTTTTTTCAGTGGGAAGAGTAACGTCACGAAAATGTCGTTCCTGTCGCCCTGACGTTTGTACAAGTGATATTTTTCCATCGTTTCTTATATCAGTTTTGTTCTATATTCCAAATTACCCGTCGCTCCTCCATTGTTTTTGTACAAAATAAAAGACTTGATAATAACAAAATCAAATAAATGCATAAATATTTTTTTACAATATATTTCCCCGTTTTTTAGTTAGTTGATAGTCACGTAAGTGTTGTTCTAATCTATGCTGTTATTGTAGTCCACAAATAATTTAGGTTTCTTGTGTCTTTTTTCTTTTTTAATTTTTTTTAGTCAGTCTTTTTGTCATGTCTAGTAGAGAAACTGCTAATAACAATACGACCTATGAAGTTATAAACACATCTTTATATTTTTGAGATATTATCGTTTTTTTTCCAGTATAAATAATAAACGAATTCAAATACACTGTTTTAGATTCGCAGTATTGGATCTAACCCAATCACCCTTTGTATTAACCAAAACTATGATTCATTATCAGAAAAATGTACTTTTTTTGTGTAAATATCGACGTAAAGAAATTAATTTTGGAAAGATTGGAGTAAGATAAATGTTTTTAATTGTCCGGTACATTCTTTTTTCTGTTTTTTTTAGTATTCCTCTAATTATTCTTATACATAAAAACATTTGCATTTCCTCTGTTTTTGTGGGCAATAAAACATCAGAAGATCTTCGCGGTTGTTCTGCATAGCGATTACATTCGGTGACCCACACCTTAATTAATTCATTATTCCAGATATCCGTATCTATTTGTTGCCATATATCATTTGATTGGTCATTATCCTTGCTTAGTTCGCGTAGTTCCAACAGCAACTTCTTAAAAATGTACCACTCTCTGGACCTATCGTAAAACTAAAAGCAGAAAAGTTTGCTGAACAGCTTGGCATAATCGATTTCAAGACTTCGGAAGGATGATTGGGGAAGACATGGGATAAATTATGAACAGATAAGTGGCGAAGCCCGTGATCTCGACAGAAACGTCACTAACGATTGGCCGGAGAAGACGTGGCCAAAACTAGGAGAAAAGTACCCTGCTGACGACATTTTTAATGCTCACGAAACAGGTATTTTTTACAAAATGACGCCAGATAAAACTCTTAAATTTCGAGAAAAAAGAAAGCTAGTCGTGATTGGAAAATCAACTAACCCACGATTTTTTAAGAACATCAAGCATTTGCCGGTCGCTTACAAGGCAAACAAGTCTGCATGGATGACATCGCAAATTTTTGAAGAGGGGATACGGAAATGGGATGCAGAATTAAAGGGGAGGAAAGTAGTACTTCTCTTAGATAACTACCCTGCACATCCCCATATTCCAAATATACGGAATATTGAATTGGCCTTTCTTGGAACTAAAACAACAAGTGTATTACAGCCGATGGACCAGAGCGTAATAAAAAGTCTTAAGAGTCGATACAGGAAAAACGTTTTAATGAAAATGATCGACACCGAAGACAAATTTTCCATTAATATGCTAGATGCAGTCAACTTTATGAGTAAAGCTGGGAAAGAGGTGACAGCAGAAACAATTTAACACTCTTATCGTCATGCAGGACTTATTACCGAGAATGCGAACAGGACTTGGAAGACGATCAGTCACTAAGCGAGTGGATAAAGCAGTTTCAAACAACAATTTTGTTTACAAGTGATGAGTTGCAAGATTTTATGGTGATAGATCAGGATTTGCCTACAACAGCAGACTTGACAGAGGAAGCCGTATTACAACAAGCAAGAAAGGGTGAGGAAGAGCACCAAGAGGAAGAAGAAAATGAAGAAATTGACCCGGGACCACCACTAACCATTCAACAAGCCCTATATTCAGTTAAGCTGCTAGAGAAATTTTTTATGTATTATGGGGAAGATGCCCCTGTCGAAGAAATAGTGAAAATACAAGCCAAAGTACGAGATGCGTATTGGCATACTAAACAAATTCAAAAGGAAACGACGATTATTTGAAACATTAAATGTAGTTGCATTTGCAAAGTTGATGTTAAAATATGTATATCAAATAATTCAATATTACAGAACACATTGTTATTTTTCAAGTGCCCATAACTCTTTATAAAGAAAAAAAAGCAGTACCTTCAATTTCGCTATATAGAGTTTTGACTATATTAAAAAAATGATACTTCGATGATCTTTGGAATGAATGAGCCATTATCGACCGGCACCTGGTCAACCAGTCTCTCTGGTTTATCGTAGGTGCGACCCTACCGGAACGTCTCGTCGTCAGGCGTCGCAGTGTATTCGTCCTTCTGACTACCGGATCGGCTCTCGTCGTAGGGGTAGTTCGCCACCAAGTCTCCGCCGTGCAAATTTGCGGACAAAACGAACGGGATCTGCATTATTAGGCGGATGACCGATCGGGTCTCGGGCTGCAACTGGAGAAAACTGGTATTTAGGACAAAGAATTATACTTCGTTATAAGATCGATAAATTATCGATTTTTTGTTAGTTAGTTGCCAAAAGTATCGACTTTTTGAAATAATTATTTTGGTTAAGTGCAAAATGATTACACTGGTCTGCAATGTAATCCTCCTTCAAAAAATAAATATGAAGATTTTAATGCTCTGAATATGTTGCCGTTGGACGATATTTTCTTTCTCGTCTAGATTTTTCGTTATATATATTTTTTTAAATATCATATTTAATTTAAATTCATTATATATACATACAAATTTATATGGTATTACATATGCGCTTGCGCAGTATTCGCTGTGACTCTACAACGGTTAATTGAAAACTTATCTTCTAATTGTTTACGTTCCGTATCAAATATTTTGGAAGTTTTGCATAAAGTTCATATTCTCTATATTTTTGTTACGCATTTTTCATGAACAGGGTCAATAAATATAAAATAGCAATTTGAAATTTTTTCTGAAATAAATTTTACTTAATTTTAGGTTATAGACTGTGTTTGCTACATTTGTGGTGAGTTTACTCTAAAAAACCAGCGCAATGCCGTAACCGACCTTGTTAAAACAGCTTATCAACTTTATTTTTGATTATCTATAGATGAGAGGGATAAAAGTTGGCTGTAACAGTTGCTCAAGAACTTTGAGAGGTTGGCTTGAAGGTAGTCACAAATCTATGCCGTTTACAATGCCAATGCTTGGGAATGAACCTCAGAATCGTGAAAATGATTGTTATTTCTGCATAATATCAACACGAGGATTCTCGAAAAGAAATAAAAATAAAAATAAGATTATATCCGAAGATCGTATCTGCAAAGTGACCAATTCTTCGTAGTGAAGGCACTTTACCTCCAGTTCCACCAAAATATAACGAAAAGGGGGAAAATGAAAATACTTCCGGTCTACAGCCTCAATCGAATTTTAATCCTGCCTCTACATCTTCACCTTCATACACTTTATCTGGGTCTTCAAGTCCATCAAAAGAACCTCATTTACTTAAACAATGTGAGTTAAATGATCTTGTTAGACACTTATTATCGGACAAGATTAAAGCAATGGAGTTTGTTGCATAGAAGTACAAGACGAGTTGCTTTTCGAAAGAAGCTGATTTAGTATATTGTAAAGATAAATTTGAAAGCTGTTTCACTCCATGATGGTGATAAATACCCTTCAATGCCTGTTGCACATGTAACAAACATGAAAGAAAATCTGAAGGTGTTATGTTATAATTTTCTTGGGACAAATCATTCGAGAGCTTCTTTCTGCTTATAAAGTTTTAGGATGCAATATGTCACTTAAAGTTCATATTAGATGAGCATGATGAGAGGTTTGATCAGGATATTATGCAAATTAAAAGACGCTACAATGGGAAATGGTCAGCAGCAATGCTTGCTGATTTCTGTTGGTCGATTCGCCGTCAACTTGTAAGAGCAAAATTAGCATTTTCCACTGTAAAACTTTTTAAATTTTTTATAATTGTTGTTACTTTAATAATATCGTTCTTCGATTAAATGGACATTTTATTCAAAATCTATGCGCCGTATCTATTTGCCTATCGAAATCCGTTTTCAGAACACAAAATACGATGAAATCATGCATAAAAGAAATAAGGAGACAAAAAAGTTTTTTTTCTTCTTCTTCTTAATTTTCTTGGCTTCTGCCTTTAGCAATTTGCCAGAGTATGTTATTTTTCATTTGACACTAATTTGGAAAGTATAGTTTTGGTAAGTTGGAAAAAACGATTCCTGATTTTGTCCTCGACAATGGCAATTTCTCGGAAAACAACAAAAAAATGACGCATGTTTCGGGACTTACGGGATCGTTGATGCGGGTAACTTGCTCGAGCAGATGATTATTCCGGTCAACGTTCTCCACCTCGTTGGTAAACGCTATGCGGTCTAAGTCGGGGAAGTTTCGATTCAGATCCACAGAGTTGTTATTAGTACGTCCTATGAGGTAGTCCTGGCCGCCCTTTGAAGAAAACGAGAAAACGATATCTGGTACCATAGAGGCATAGAAACCATGTTTTTTTTATCTTATAATAATTTTATATTTCCCATGAAAAATTCGATACTCTTTGCCACTTCATTTGCTAAATATTAAATTTTACTTATAAAAGAATACTTCCTCCCAGATAGCACACAATATCCCCAGTATATCCGGTCAATCAGGAGGATATTCTTAGGATATACGTTAGCATATATACTAAGGATATACTGTAAAATACATCCCTCTGAATGGATAGCTTGCGGATTTACTGTACACAATATACCACAGCTATTCTCTAAGCCATCGCCTGAGGATATACCCTTCCGCCATAATGGGAACATTAGAATAGAAACCTAAAAAGTTAAATTATGAACAACTGAGAAGGAAAATACTTAGTTTTTTTAGATTTGTTGTGTTTTAGGAGACATTTTATTGGCAACGTTTCTGTGCATATCTGCATCGACGTCAATGTTCGCAAGTCCTAAAAAAAGACCAGGATCAAACCGTTAAAATCAACTTGTTTTTAGTATTTTTGGACACGAACGAGACAAGAAACGCTATTTTAATAAAAAGACCACAGAAAATACCGATTCATCTTAGTGAAAAAATTACGAAAACGTAAAAATAATATATTTTTTTGTAAGATCCCATTTAAAAACACTTCTCGGCTGGAACCAATGGCGCAACTACTCGCGGTCGTGCCGTGCCGGACTCCAACTCTTCAGCCTTGTTTTTGTTGGCGGTATATTATTACTTTTTATTATGAAAAAAAAAAGCTTAATGGTAAGATCTGATAAATTCTAAGCTGAAGGAACCATTTTTGTGTAGTCTACCTACAGAAGAAGGAAAAATTTAAAATTGACTAAATTAATGTTTGGTAAGTAGGTACTATATTTTTTTTCAAATAAATAGGACGTAAATGTAATATAAATAAAGTATAAGAAATATAATTTAATAAAATATATGTTATGGCGATTGCTTAGTTGATACTTTTTTTAAGGAGTCATTGCTGGATCGAGTTAAGATAAAACTGACTGTTTTGTAAACTATATACGTTTTAGATTACATATCTTTTTTGATTCTAGACTTCTTTTCGTATCTTATTGCCTAGTTTTTGAAAACAAAAATAAAATCCACTTTCAGTTCATGTTTTTGAGCACTTAAATTTATGCATACAAAACTAAACTAATTTTTTATTTATATTTATCTTAAAATGGATGCAAATATCACCCCGCAATAACAAAGTATTAATTTTAGGAATCAACTTTTATAAAGTACAATTTTCACATTAAAATGGTTGTTGGGTTAATTCATAAAAACGTTTTTCCTATTTTTTTAAAGCTTGTTTATATGGCGATAGCAGGCACCATCACGAGCAACAAAAACTAGGCAAATTTTTAGGTTGACAAAAAATACTGCATGCCTTTACTGTCTGAAAAGTCATGTTTGTTCTAGTTTTTTTTTGCGCGTGATAGTACCTACTCTCATGAAAGAGATCTTACCGATGAGAGTTTAATGAGGTTTGTATTTAATGAAATGAAATACGTAAATGTATATCTACATCATCGTGGAGATAAGCGTTTAAGATCACTTTCATTAGAGTACTACCAGCATCAAATCAAGCATTTACTTAAAAGGCGGATGTAGGGATTTTTTGAATCTGTTTTTTAAACATATAAGATACCATTTTCTTTTTTTTTATAAAGTACAGCTATATAAAATCTGCCTTTCTAAAAACGAAAATACTTTCAGATAAGAAGGCAAACACACACACACACAAAGATGAAAAGAATGTGAGAATTCTGCTTGGCTTAAAAAAGCTACTTTCATTAAAGATTGACAGAAAGCCTGTCAAATATTACTTATTCTTTTAGAGTTTAGTTCAAGATATAGTATGTTAAGATACTTTAGGTTAGGTTAGTATATACCTACAATTTTTTCATATCTACAATAGAACAAATCAGATGTGTATGAAATGTGTTTTATTAATGGTATTAATCGACAGTCCTTCACTTTTACCATTAAATATTAATTGGAAAAAACTTGAGCATTGCAAACATCGCCTGCTATTCCAGTGATGACTTCACTAACAATCTTCTTCTTTGACGGCCTTATCCGTTCCGGATGTTGGCTATCATCATGGCTATTCTTATTTTGTTGGCTGCCGCGCGGAACAGATCGACGGAAGTCACGCCAAACCATTTTCTCAAGTTAGCGAGCCAGGATATTCTCCTTCTACCTGGTCCTCTTCTTCCTTCCACTTTACCTTGCAGGAACAGCTGTAGTAGGCGATATTTGACGGGGTTTCTCATAATATGGCCCAAATACTCAAGTTTGCGTTGTTTTATGGTATTCATGAGAGTTAATTGGCAGTTCATTCTTCTGAGGACCACCTCGTTGGTGACTCGGTCCATCCATGAAACTCTCAGGAGTCTTCGATAGATCCACAGCTCAAAACTCCTTATCCTTTTTTCTGTTGCTTCGGACAACGTCCAAGTCTCGGCCCCTTACAACAACACTGAGAAGACATAGCAGTTTATGATTCTCTTCTTGAGTGCCATATTGAAGTCTCGACTGCAGAGAAAGCGCCTCATTTGTGTAAATATTGTTCTGGCCTTTTCTATTCTGCACTTTATTTCTTTGGAGTGGTCCCACGATTCATTGATGTTACAGCCAAGGTAGGTGAAGCTGCTCACTCTCTCGATGGTTTCGTCTTTACAATACAGCACACCGTGTTGATTAATAGATTTACTTGTAACCATGTATTTAGTCTTTTTGATATTCAGTTCCAACCCATATTGTTCGCTTGTGTGTGTAACCCTGTTGATAAGTTCTTGCAGTCCCTCCAAGCTGTCGGCCAATAGAACCGTGTCATCTGCATATCTGATGTTGTTAATTACTTCGCCGTTTACTTTAACACCGTCTGTAGTGTCTTCTAGTGCCTCCTTGAATATTTTCTCAGAGTAGAGATTGAACAACAAGGGTGACAAAATGCAACCCTGTCGGACACCACGCTTAATTTCCAAGGCTTTTGATTCATCATTTCCAAACCTGATGGTTGCTTTCTGGTTCCAGTAAAGATTAGAGATGATTCTTATGTCCTTTCCATCCAAGCCCGTTTCATGTAGGACTCTTACCATTGTCTCGTGTTGGCAACGATCGAAAGCCTTAGCATAGTCTATAAAGCACATGTGAACGTCGCAATTCATATCCCTACATCGCTGAATAAGGACCTGTATTGCAAACAATGCTTCTCGAGTTCCCAAGCCATTGCGAAACCCGAACTGCGATTCGCCCATGTGTTCTTCGCATTTTTTATACAGGCGGGCATGAATTACCTTAATAAAGATTTTTAACACGTGTGACATAAGGCTGATGGTACGGTAGTCACCGCACGATTTGGGGCTGGTTTTTTTTGGTATGGTGAGAAACGATGAAACAAGCCAGTCAGTCGGGATCGTGCCACTTTCATATATATTATTAAATAATGACGTCAAGGTGGTAATACAGTGTTGATCCATAATCTTTAGTACTTCCGATGATATATAGTCGGGACCAGGTGATTTTCTGGTTTTAGCGATTTCAATGGCAAATTTAACTTCATCCATTGATATAACTGGCCCTTCCATATTCTTTGCTTGCTCAGGTTTCACTGGACGTTGATCGTCTTTGAAGAGTTCAAGTATGTATTTCTGCCATGCTTTTAGTTTTTCGTTCACCTCACAGATAAATTTCCCCTGTTCATCCATAATGTTTTCTGGTGTTCTTTTTCGATGTCTGCCTGTAACTTGTTTGATTTTTTTGTACATATTAAACGTGTCATGCCTACGGTCAAGTTCTTCTATCTCCTGACATTGATCAATCATCCATCTTTCTTTAGCTTCTCTAATTTCCTTTTTAATGGCGTTATGAATCTGTCGATACTCTGTGGTGTTCGTAGTTTTTACTTTCCTTCTGTCCTCCATCATCTTTAAGATCTTGTCGGTCATCCACTGTTTCTTCTTTTGCTGATTTTTGTCAGAAGTCAGATGTTGATCACAAGCTTGGGTCACTGAATCCCTGAAAGTTGTCCACGTTCTCTCTATCTGAGTATCATCTAGTGGTGTCTTTTGTAGTTTTTCACTTATTGTCTTTTCCACTGCCTGTTGTATTTCCTTGTCTTGGAGTTTGTCGATGTCATATTTTTTCTTATTCTGTGTGGTTCGGGTGATATGAGCTTTTCGTGGTTTAGCTCTTAGTACACATACTATGGGAGTGTGATCGGATGGAACGTCAGCCCCTGGGTAAGATTTGACAGAGACTAAACTGTTTCGAAATCTCTAGTTGATTAGGATAAAATCTATTTGATTTCTTACGATGTTATCTGGCTTATCCGCTGGGGCTTTCCAAGTGTACAAACGTCTTGGTGGGAGTTTGAACAATACACTAACAATACCCAATGGTTAATTCTATCGTGTACCAAATACTGGGATAGCATTTTTGTAGTCGTACAACCAATTAGACTACTGGACATTACCTTTCCAATATTTCTCGTAGGCTGTTGGAAATAACCTAATAATTAAGTGGGGTCCACTGGTATATCTATATAAGATCCTATATCCTCACAGTGGGATATACTAACTACGTCTCAACTAGTATAACTTGATATCCCTAGTATGTCCTAACAAACATCCTAGGGACATACGTATCTGACATACTGTGCAACTTAATAACACCGTATATCCTTGAGACGTCTTAAGGATGTCCCTTAGATGAAACAGTGTATCCCTAGGATATACGCTAAGTCCCGTCAGATATCCCGAGGACGTTTTGGCCTGTTACCACCCAGCGGTTTATCTTTTTGGCACAATTAAGATGTGTAAGATGGTCTTACCGTGTCGGTGGCCAGCTGCCAGCCGTCGGGGTTCATGCTGGGCATCAGATGGATCCTGGTGGTGCGGATCAGGAGGGTGATCTCGGGGTCGCCCGCGAGGTACCTCTCGCACAGGTGGTCCGCGAGTTTGAGCAAAAGTTCGCGGCCCAGTACCTCGTTGCCGTGCATGTTCGCGATGTACTTGAACTCGGGTTTCACTGTTTAAACAGAAACATCGTAACCTTGAACTTAATCGATTTCGCTCTTGCACGAGATTCGAAAATAAACGGCGGTTTACTGGGTGTCCGGATCGTAAGAACTCAGCGAGCAGGAAAACTTATAAAATATTTTTTTCAAGCACCCTGTTTGCGTGAACGCGAATCATCTCGGAAGTTTCGGTTTTAATTTACGAGGGGCTACCCAAAAAAAACCGGAGTCAGTTTTGATAAACTATATATTGTTTTGAAAATCACAGAACATCCTTATCCCCTTCAAAATACTCTCCATTACAACTAATACATTTGTCCCAGTGGTGCTTCCACTGTTCGAAACATTTTTTATATTCATAGCCGACAGCTCATCCCTCGTTTTTTTCTTGACCTCTTCAATGTTGTCAAATCGCTGTCCTTTCATGTCTCTTTTCATACGTGCAAATAAGAAGAAGTCACACGGAGCGAGATCAGGCGAGTAAGATGCATGGGGCTTAACAGAAATGGCTGTGTGTGCAGTTGCATTATCGTGGTGAAAGAACCAGTCCCCTGTCCGCCATAAATCGGGTCTTTTTTGTCGAATACTGTTGCGCAATCTTCTTAAAACTTCCAGCTAAAAAGCCTAATTAACGGTCTCACCACAACCTAGCGGCAGAAAGGTGTACTATACAAGCTCTGCGCGCGGCAATTCAATTCCGGTTTTTTATGGGTAGCCCCTCGTATGTTAAAGTATACTCTCTCCATAAATATAAGAGAACAATAAATACGGATTAGTGAGCTGTAACAATTAATACAGTCGTTAATAACATTAAAACCTGGAAGTTTGCGAATATATGGTTGGTTTTTGATAAGCCTCTGAGAACCTCAGATGATTCTAATGGAAGCTGCCGTAAAAAATGCCGAAAATTATAAAACAAAATGGATATTGTTGGTCATTATATATAGTAGTATAATACGACCAAAAATATAGTGCATTTATTGCTTTGACTTTTCAAGTATTTTACCTTACCTTAACTGCTGTAGGTCTTACCTGAAATGGACCGTAACGAATATTTGTAGAAACTTATATTATTAATATTTTGTATATTAATAATGGTACTATTTATAAATGTAATGAAATATAACGTAATAAATTGTTATTTTGTATTAATTTTTCTATATTCACGGTTCAAGAATTGCTAGGCGAAAAAGATTGAAAACATACTTATATCCCGCTTGTCAATGTAGCTAAATAAATTTCTAGGACGGTTCTGGAATGGTTACGGATTAAGGGTGTTTTATAAGGGGCTGCGGTTTTGGAGTAAGAAACAGCAGGCTACAACTACACAACTGCAAACTACAAAAATAGTTGAAAATGGTAACCATTTTCGGAGAGGTCTGGCGATCTGGCAAGCATCTTCTCATTCCATTCTTTAAATATTCAGAGAATGTTCTGCCGATAGATCTTCTACGTAGATGAATGCTGGAAACATCAGCACTCGAGAAGTATACTTCCTCTGTGTATGTATTAATGGTTTAAAATTGTATATTTTTTAAATTTGAAACTCAAATTTTTATTTAGCCTTTAGCCAATTACCAATCCGAATGGCAGTCTTCAACAAGAAGTATTCATAGCGTATTATATCAAACGTGTGTGGAGATGGGTTTCGATGTTAATCTAGTATTTTTCTTTAAGTCGTACTTGACAGACAGATTATTACGATTTGCAGATGATATGAAATATTTAGAGCTATCTTCAAATGGTTGGCTCTTGTGTTGTGTGTGTTTTTCTGTTAGTTTTTCGAACAGGTTCGCTTACATTGGTTATGATACTTTTCTAGGCAATATAAAACTAAAACAAAGATTTGGGAGTTGTATTTTGAATGTTAGGATTCGTATTTCGGAATGCTAGGTATGTCCTATATTGTTATCCCGGATCAGTTTTCACGTTAATTGACGGCCAGTCAGAACATCTCCAATATTCCTCCTTCCAACTAACTTCTTGGTCAGAAATCCACACTTTAAAGCAATGGATATTTTTAATTCTATTTCTAGTGATATAGATATCAATGATCTAACACACGCATTATTGTAGATTCGGTTTTGAGTTTTGTTTTTTATATGGTTGCTTTTGGTTTTGTTGGTTTTTTACTATGTTGTTTATTGGTATGTTTTTGGTATTAGGAATTAATTTTCATTTGACCTCGTAACTATACTTGGCGAATTAATTGTCTTGTCATTGGATATTATATCCGTTAGACAATAAAGATTGTTATTAGTATTATTATTATTATTATTATTATTATGACAGATAGCGCAATTGTTATATATCATATATTTTTGGAAAACGCAAAAAAGATACATATTTGCTTTTAAACCAAAAAACGGAACAATAGGTGCTCTAAGATTGCGCTTTCGCCTTTTTAATAAGTTAAAAGACGACAGGGATACGGGGGGTGTCTCGAAAGTTCGAATTTACGACCACTCTTGTGGCTAATGTTTATCGATGATGTTATTTCACTTCATAACAATACTCGAACCCTACTTGCGCACAAACTTAAAAACGTATTTCTCCATACACTCTTCAACTGGTGAACGAGCCCCAACAACTAAATGTTCGGACGATGTAAAAAATGATAAAAAAGACATTTTTATATCTATTTATTTTTTTTTTGCTTGGTCGATTGAATAATCAATTTACGCACATTACGATAGCACAGAAAGTGCTATCGTAATGAATTATTTTTTATTTCGCATGAATTACATAGCAAAATAACGGAAACATACCAAATTTGCTGACAAATAAATATTCAGACGCGAATGTTTATTGACCAAGAAATCAATGCTACCCATGCACTGATGGTAAAATGTATTGTGCTTAGATAAATGAGATGCCAGTTCGGGTTGTCTCTTTCAAGTTTGTATAATAGTTGATAAGAAAATGACGCGTGGTGTTGCAACAAACAAAAAAGTGCGAGAAATTATCATATCCATTTCAAATGACTTGAGTATTGCAAAATCGACATATTATAAAAAAGTATGGAGAGACAGCTAGTGTTAGCGTTCGTGGTAAAAGTTCAGGCCGACCCCGTAAAATCACTGAAAGAGATCGTCGTATTCTGGACGAAGCGTTTTACGACAAATTCAAGCCCAATGGAATCACAAGGCAAACTTAAATGTCTCCAGGGAATGTTGTAGACAATGGATGGATGTTTGAGTTTTTATATGGTAAGTTTTTTTAATATAAAAATTATTAATATTCTATGATCTACTGGCAAAGGAAAAACCATGATGATTAACGTCTATTCAGAAGAAAAAACGTTTGGATTGGGCAAAATATAAAATATCCTGGACAACGGAAACGTGGAGTAACGTTATCTTCAGCGACGAATCAAAATTTGATGTGTGTGTGTAGGCGATTTTCGAAAAAGGGTGATTCGTACAAAATCAGAAGCCTTTCACAAAGAGTGGTAAAGGGGTTGGCAACTACGAATTCATTGATGGTACGCTAAATGCAGAAAAATAGCAACAAATTTTATCAAGAAGTTTGATTCCATCAATAGAACGAACTTTTGGAAATGAAAATTTTATATTTCAACAAGACGGTGCGTCCTGCCATACTGCGAAAACAACAAAAAAGTGGTTTGGGGATCATAATATGAAAGTTTTATCGTGGCCATCAAGTAGCCCCGACTTGAATGTTATTGAAACTTTATCGCATCGGATGAAAAAGACTTTGCGTAACAATCCTCAGCGTAGAGGCAAAAATCACCGAAATTTGGAACATTTTCATCCGCGTATATTGCAAGACTTTGCTGTTATTGCCGCGAGAGGTGATGTTACTTCTTATTAACGTTCGATTTAAAGTAAAAGATTTAAATGCGTCGGAATATTTATTTGTCAGCAAATTCGGCATGTTTTTGATGTTTTATTATGTAATTTATGTGAAATAAAAAATAATTCATTAAGATAGCACTTTTTGGTATCAAAATAAGTGAGTGATTTCATTTTTCAATCGAAAAGGTAAAAAAAATCAATTTAAAATAAGTATAAATATGTTTTCTTATTATTTCGTACATCGTCCGAACAGTTAGTTGTTAGGACTCGTATAGTGCGACACACGATAAATGCCAGTGATAATTCTATTAACTGTTTTATACGCTCGTAGTTTTGGTTAGTTTTTTGGTTTAGTTTTTTGGGTAGCATTTTTGGGTGAATAAATCAAACATGTCTGTTCAATTAGACGGTATCTCGTAAACCAAAAGGGCTAAAAAACATGGTCGGGAACGTTTCAAATCTTTAAAAATATACTTGGACCAGAATTATAGTGCTTTTTATTACTTTAAAACAATAGCCTCTTATAGAACATTCTGCCGAGCAAACCCTTACCCGTAACTATTCCAGGACCGTCCTAGGAATTTATCTACCTACAAGCGGGATATAAGCATGTTTTCAATCTTCAATTCTCGAAACATGTACATAAAAAAGTTAAAACAAAGTAACAATTTATTACGTTTTATGTCACTTGTTTTCATTCCTGCTCCTACTTCCCCTTCCGAATTTCTTATAAAATTGTAAACATTCAAAACAAACGGATCCGCTTTTTTATTTGCTGAGGTATTTCGTCTTCTAAATTCTCATTAGGTTGTAAGATTCTAATAAATACTTACCTGTATTCTTGTGACGTATCTTAATCTTAAAAATGACTGTTGTTTTTTACAAATCGAAGAAGAAACAAAAATTACACGAAGACAAATGTTATTAATCGATAGGCACACATAAATACGTTCTTACTTGAAGGATCACATTCAAATACCTCCGTAATATATACGAACATATCGCAATTTCGATTAAACTCTTAAGAACGATACATATCACTTGATGTTAACATAAACGCTTCTACTTATTCGAAAATTCCAGGCAGTATCAATGCTTAATCAAATTTAAATTTACAAATATTCGTTACGGTCCATCTTCGGCAAGACCTACTTAATGCAGAATAAATATCTGTTGGGATGGGTTAAGGCACTGTAAAATACGTAAAACGTCAAAGCAATAATTGCTCTATAATTGCACTAGCTGTCATATACATTTTTGTGACAGTTTCGCCTTTTATGCGTTTTTTAATTATATACGGACCATTTAACGCACTTTTTGATTATAATTTATACTTTATTATATACTTTGTAAGTATTATAATGGAAAATAAAACGAGTTAGATATTAGGTAATTAATGTGTTGAAAACCTATTGGGACTATTAATATTCGTGGGTTTGTATCTTGATTTTCATTAAAATTTCTGCAGCAATATCTGAATAATTGAAAACTGAAACAATCATTTAAGCTGAGTGACCAATCGGTTTGTTCGGATCCCGAGCTTCGACAGATCTCAAAAAGTAGCGTTGAAACGTCAAAGAGCACTATATTTTTGGTCGTGCAAAAGTGTCGGCCGCGACGTTGCCGGGTCTTCGCGTAAAAGCGGCAACGCCGCCGTCTAAAGGCGCCCAACGTAAATGCGAAAAACGAAATACTCACGGGGCTCGTGGCGCCCGGGCCTGGTACCGAACTCGATCAAATAGAGGGGCACTCCGAGCACCGACGGCTCATTGAGCGCGTACACTCGAGTGACGTTCTCGCACCTAGCGTTGACGTCACGCAGCACTGCGAGCAGCTCGTCATTGTTGTGGTGCTTGAACTCGAACCCGGCGACGGACCCCAAGACGAGGAACGCGAGGAACCCCACAGAGGACACGAGGAGAAGCGTCTTCATGGCTTTTCAGTTCAGTTCTCGCTCGACCAGCTGTCGCACGGTCGTCACCACGTCGGTTCGCGGACGGTGGGGGGCGTCGCGGCGTCGGCGTCGGATGATCGATCTTCTTGTCGTTCCCCACGCTATCTGTAGGCCGCTGTTTATACAAAATTGCTTTCGAAAAATCGTCGGTGGGCGGGGCAAATTCGTAGCGCGAATCAGCATTTTATTTCCAAAAAAAAACCGCTTCGTGGTTTCTTGTTTTAGAGGAACGCATTGTTTTCCTATCGTGCTCCTGCGGACCACTATGAAACTTTCGCAAAATCGATGTCATTTAATTGTGCATACACCCTGTATAAAGTGTCTTTCAAGTCGCGCCGAACTTCAAAATTACAGCAAACTTTGTTAAATATTATAACTTGTACAAAATTTGTATAAAATATTTCGCGCACCCTGTATGATAGGCGAGCTGGAACTATCTCGACACAATTTACGATACTGTATAAACGAAATTTTCAGGGTCTCTTGGATTTTTTTGCCCACAATCAGCACACCCCGTACATAATTGAAAATATATAGCCCTGAATCTCCCACGTTTCCTAGTCCACGAATTTTTCCAACAGAGTAAATGGTTCTCAAGAAAATATTTTTCTAAATCTGCGCAGGACGCGGTAATAGACATTGATATTTTTTCAAATAACTCACGACCTGTATAACTGACGAAACCTGAAACTCTCTCTCGACATTGTTTACGATACTGTTCACGTTCATGTTTAATAGTTTTCCATTTGTCACTAATAATTTAGCCCCCCAAAACGGAAATTTTTAAGACCTTTCAGATTTTTTGAATATAAACGACACACCGTATATATAATTCACAGAATGTGCGAAATAGGGGTTATAGGCCTGGATTTCTCACATTTCCTGATATACAAATTTTTCCAATAGTGTAAATGGTTTTCGAGAAAAGACTTGTTTTCTGAAACGCACGCAGTACATCGTAATAGTAAATGATGTCATCCTGTCTAGACTGAGGGCTAGAAATATTGATTTTCATTTAGATCTTTTCAAATATCTCGAACAGCGAAAACTAATAGCGATTTTCATATGGTTTTTTGAAATATCTTCAGAAGCGTACGTTATATGGAAATACAAAAATTGTAGCTCTTGATACTTCCTATAACACTGTCTGATTAGCCATATTTTTTTACGAATTTTGATTTATGGCAAATAATTTAATGTTGAAAAGAACAATTTTCAGTTTCTTTTAGATTTTTGTCTATAATTGTATATATTCGAAAAAATGTCTGAAATAAAAGTTATAGCCCCGGATCGCCCGCATTTTCTGGTGTCAACGGTTTTGGAGAAAATAATTTTTTCTAAAATTTTTAAAAAATACTTGCGAGATTTGAGTTAGTCCTTTTTCAACAGATAAAATGCGGATGTGAACTTCAACCCTCCTGCCAAATCTGAAGTCGCTAACTGCAAATTTCAGACACCTGTTAATTTTTATTATTATATTTATTTAATTTTTAATATCTTGAACACCCTGTACAACAGGTGAAAAACTCAAATACAAAAGTTTTAGCTGTTCATGTCAACTATATCGTCATGTAAAATTAACTGACATCCGAAGCACAGTCATTGCCAATTTTCAATAATAGAGGGGGCCATTTTTCAGTTCTTCAGCGCACCCTGTATATTTTTGAAAAATTTTCAGGAATAAGGTTTTATGGAGCCGCATCTCCTGCGTCTTCTCGTTAAAGAATTTGTTTTTTTTTTCTTACTCCCTTGCAAACGCGATTTTTTTTTTAATAATTCCCGACCCCCCAGCCCAGCCAAAAATGAAGTCAATAGCTTCAACTTTCGGACAGTTATAGTGTTTCATAGCAATGTGCAAAAAACAGTCGAAAATCAAAAAAAAAAAAGATGGCCGTCGAGATTGGATCGTTGCCATTTTCAAATATCTTGTGCGCCTAATGGACTGTAAAGAAGGAGCAAAAAAGTTTTTTTTCGGCTGATTCTATCTGTACCATTTGGTTGGGTATTAAGTTAGGCGAAAGGCGGCCTGTCACTTATTTTGCCCCCAAAAAGTATAAATATCTGGGTATATAGGGAAATAATCATTGTTTCAGAAGCAAAAATGCAATAAAAATACGGTATATTACTTTGGGCACTAACTTCGAACACCACCAGAGGTATTTGTGGTCCACATTTCCTTTAGGTATTTCAAACCGATTCAGAAATAATTTCTTCTGAATAAGACTCACGTATTTTTTTAATATTCTACTTGACCTAGAAATCAGGAAAACGTTTTTGGAACTCCCTGCTCATGTTAAGATTTTTTCCGAAGTTTTTTAAAATGTAAGCAATACTATGATGGGTAATAAGTAATTAAAAAAGGAAAATGTCAATTTTCGATTATTAAATTCGTGCCAGAAAGGTGGCCCAAATAATTGGTTATAATAAATTTTTAAGTAGTGCATTTTCCGCACTGTATTTATTTAATATTTTTATCCTTAATTAGGTACTCAAATAATCAATGCTGCAAGCGTATCGAGAATTTACCTTTCAATTTTTTGCGAAGGAACTCACTCAAAATTTTACTAGGCACTAGGCGAACATGTCACCAAGTTCTCATTCGTCGAAACTAGTCACAATCTTCAATTTAGATACGCGATGGAAATTTGCCCTCACTAAAGCATACACTTTCGAGGCTACGGACATTCCGATAACAACACATACGTCACTGTCAAGCTTTTTCAGCTGGCTGACGTCGCATCTTTCGATAACCGATCTCATATATACAGGGTGATTAAGAAACATTGTCAATCCTTAAGGGAAAATATATGTTATGTAAAGTAAAATATTTTTACATTTATTAACTTACTAGCCATAAAATAAGATAGAAGGGCTGAGTCAAACCAAAAAACTAAGCGAACGAGATTATATATAGTGACATTTTTCTAATTGGCAACGTCATCAAATTATTTGTTAGAGTTTCCGCAGCTGATTTTTATTATTATTCTATAAATATCATAATATTTTGGTGCCTATTATGCGTGACTCTTTGTTAGCCGCGATTTTTATGGATAATTTGGAAAATATCACACAATTACATCCTTTAAGTAAAAGTTTTCTATGGTGGTATAGATACGTGGATGTCTTTGCTTGATTGGTCGGAAAATTATTTTTTAAATTACATTAACTCATTACATAATCGTACGAAATTCACTATCGAGATTGAACAGGCTAACTCCAATAATTTTTGTAGACTTAACTATTGCAAAACGAAAATTAGATTTTTCCATTTACCATAAACCTTCACACACGGACACAGTCGTACATAACAGCTCAAATCACCCTTATACACACAAATTTCACTGTTTTATACACAGATTTCTTTAACTTAAATTGCACTAAACAACGACCAAAGTTATATGATGATATGAATTATGATAAACAGTAAACTCTATTTATCCGAAACCTAATACAGAACACGAACAATTTAAAACTATTAAGTACCTAGTGAAAAAGTTTCAAAACATTTGTCAAAATGTGGTTGAAAAATAGATTTCAGAACTAACAACACAATAGGAAAATTTTTAAAAAGTAATAAAACGAAGTGTCCAAAATCTCAAAAATCAGGTGTCTACAGGTTGAAATGGGGATCATGTCCTAAAATTTATATTGGACAAACAGGTAGATCCTTCAAGAAACACATTAACGAACACAAAAGAGCGTTTTAAAAAAATAGTCTATATTCTAATTATGGTAAACACTTAAACACAGAAAAACACATTTAATGTATTGCTTAACGATCAATTATCCAGTTGATGACAATAGACTTCTGAATTAACCGTTGTATTGTCCGGCAAAAGCTCAAAAAAAAACGATTCCTTTGACATCCCACCTTTTTTTGGTGAATGTTGGCTTTTGACACGCTTTGAGCCGGTTCATCTTTTCTGCTCCATGACCTCTTGCGTTTAACATTGTTGTATACAACCCATTTTTCGTCCCCAGTAATAATCCGCTTCAAAAATGGATCATTTTCTTGACGTTTGAGGAGCGAATCACACACGTCAACGCGACGACACAAATTTCGCTCCGTAAGGACATGGGGCACCCACACATCGAGCTTCGAGGTTAAGCCCATGCCTTTCAAATGGCCATAAACAGTCGAATTCGACAAATTTAATCTCTCACCGATCTCTCGTGTGGTTATTCGCCGATTTGCATCAACTAATGCCTTTATCGCATCTTTGTCAGCTTCGACCGGCCTTCCAGACCGTGGTGCATCTTCGACATCAAAATTGCCGGATCGAAATTTTGCAAACCAGTTCTGGCACTGGCGTACTGTTAACACGCCTTCTCCATACACATCCGTCAATTTTTTTCTCGCTTGGACAGCATTTTTACCTTTTCTGAAGTAAAAAAGTAAAATATGACGAAAATGCTGCTTATTGCTCTCCATATTTAAAAGGGCACCAACCAAAAACTACTGCGTAGAATTAATAGAACTTTTTCACACACAAGCCTTGCAATATCAGCTCTCAAGACATATAATGATTATGCGGCTTAAGTGTGAAGTTGGTTTCGAAAAAACGTAATTAAGTCCTCTGACGGGAAAAAACGAAATGACTTTCCGAACAACCTTATGATTTGAATCCGATGGAAACATATCAGTATGGAGAAAGCCTAAGGAAGAATTAAAATTAAAAAGTTTTATACCGGTTAAGTTAATGAAGCTAGGGTGATTTTGAAAATGTGTGAATTTGTAAACACCCTTTGCAGCTCGATTATGGATAGTGTTGTGTTTAAGTAGTAAACTGAAAAACTCATATTTTGTATATACAAACTTATCTTGTGTTGTCTTTAATGCAATACCCTATATACATTTGAATAATGTCATCAAACTGTTTACGAACCTTTCAAAAATATAAGGGGAATTTTAAATACAAAGCATCTTTAATTTTTTTTATGACCACGGAAAAATTATGTTTCTGCTATAGTGATGGTCTCAACAGCTTTTTTAAAATCCAGGTATATAATATCTTCTGGATATCCCTCATCCTGGGCCACAGTTCCAAATTGCAATTAGGTTTGGATTAACAGATCTTCGAGGTAGAAGGTTGTGCTGATTGGCAAGGGAGTCCTGATGATTTGTCATTAGAAATTCAGTGAGTTCCCAAGCAATTATCTTTTCCATAACTCTGCAGGGAATGGAAGTTATTTTTTAAATATTTATTGCCTTTCTTGTGTATGGGAACGACATTCACCATTTGAGACATCAGTTTGCTTATGGTTCGGCGCATAAGATAATACTACGGTAAAAACTGATGACTCTGTAACTTGTATCATATTCCTGCAAGAGAGGAGATGTTTAAGCTAAATAAGGAGCTATTTCTCAATTTATTTAACGAATTGCTCCCACACATGGGAAATGGTAATAGGAATTCAAGAATTCCAAAGCAAACGAGAACTGATTGCGCTACATATTTTTATTTTCTGCTCTTCACTATGTATAGTATGTGATCTACCAATCGTTGTTTTTGTTGATTTTTGTGGCAATTCATTACATTATATTATATGTGAGAAACCCGAAGTACTGTGGAAGGACGCATTGGTGTTTTCAAGACTCGATTTAGATGCATAATGGGGAGCGTAAACGATGTTACACTCCTGAGAAAGTTGGCAGGATTATTTATAGATATTCCAGACAACAAAAAATAATCAGAACTCATAGTGCGTTGTGACATTTTTATTATTATTTTCTTAATTGCACACAAAAAAAGGACATCACAAAGAAACTATTTATAAAACAACAATAATTAACACAAAAAATAAAATTACAATATTGCAGAAACAGGAACTAATTTAACGTTTTACATAACGCAAAAGCATTACATAATAAAATATGCAGACGCTTTTCAATTTAAAAAATTATTTTAGCTCCAAATCATTGCGTCTTTCTTATTTTTAACGTATTTGAATAAACTAGTAAAATAATATAAAAAAAAAAATATATATATATATATATATATATATATATATATATATATATATATATATATATATATATATATATATATATATATATATATATATATATATATATATATATATATATATTAAAACGTGCAACGGATGAGTTTTTAGACGGAACCTTCTTTTGCCTTCGGAAATACGTTCGGCTCCACCGTACATATCCGAAAGCGAATGCAGAGTTTAAAAATCCTCCATTAGCGAAGTAATCTCTCCTTCTTCACCCCAGATGGTTGTGATATTTTCGCATGCGTCACCCCCCAACTGTCTGAGTTGCTACATTGTAGTAATTTTTCTGGAAATTTCACATCAATCTCTGAAATCCGCACTTAATTGTGCACATAACGTGCCATTGTTGTTTTTCTTCCCACCATACTCACAAACTTGTATAATTTGTACTTTCAATAATTGGTTCTTTTACGAAATTACAGCAAATGTGGCAAATACGAGTACCTAATAAGACGGTTATTCCTATATATTTCCTATATATTTTACATTTAACAAACTGGAAAATAGACTTACCTACAGAAATTACTAAGCAGAATTTTCCACATTTTTAGGTACAATTAAATAGCTACGAAGAATGTTTGGGTAATGTGTTTTAATGTACAAGAATTACAGTAAACATAAGAAGTTGAATTTTTATTAGAACAAGCATAAGAAATACCCATTGTCAACTACTGTCTATAGGAGATGCTTCTTGAACATTTCTTCCACTTAGATGTTTCTTGTGCGATATCTAGCACCTGGATAATCATTGGATAATATGATTTAGTGTACAAGAATTACAGGAAATATAAGAAAACAATTGAGCTACATTAAGTATGTCAGAGTTATTTCATTAGAGGTTAAGACCATGAGTTTATGAAAACTAACACTTTGCGCCGATTTACAAGCAAAAAAATCCGTTTTTGCCTGAAAATTTAATAGGATTTGGACATATTTTCAAAAAATACTGCCGTAAAACTGCCGGATCCAAACATGGACGATCTGTCAGCGGCCATGTTGTTTGTTGAAAGCATCAATGTCTTTGAAAGTTTAAATCTCGCGCATGCGCACGTTGAATGCACCTTTTCAAATATTATTACTAAGTTAGCACATGCAGTGCCTCTATTTGTCTAGTAGCCACTAGAGTAGTGTTTTTACCTGAACGTTTCTAAAAGTTCAAATTTTCATAATTTAGTGAAAATCTGAACTTTTTTTTCTTATTTATTTTGAAAATTATTAAAAGGCATTCAGCCCGTTTCATTTAAAACGCCATTTCGCGAGCAGCAATACGCTTATCATCAAAAGTGGGACACACAGTACAGTAAAATTTGCAACGAGCGACTACGCCAGTGGCGTAGCATACTTATGCCCCCCACTCCCTTCCCAACCGACGTCGCCAACCACATGCCGCAGCGACGTGCCTGATGACGTAACGACGGCAACGTCGCGCGTCTCATCGCCCCCACCACCACCACCACCACGCCGAAACGCGGTGGAGCCGGCTGCAGTATGAGGGGTGGGCTCGGGGGCTGCAGTCCTCTCCGCCGCAACCCTCTCACCGAGCCGGGAACGGCGATCGATCGACGTTTCCCTCTCCGAGTTTCCGATATTTTAGCGGAGAAGAAAATTCGTCGAAGGTGCAAAATCGTGCGTGTACGTCGAGGAAGTGTGCCCGTTTTCGAAATCATCTGCCATTTCTTCTTCCCTTCCCCATCAATAATCGATATACCTACGAAACGTTGGGTCTCCGTAGTCGCACTTTTTTTTCGGTTTCAGCAATGGAAGAAGAGGTACACGCGGAAGGGAAAAATTTCAGGTTGGTGGCAGAACACGAGCTTCCCGAGATTGCGGACTTTCTCGCTCAATTTTTGCCCGACTCGATCAAGGTAGGCTTTTTTGTCGCACGAAATTACGCTTGCCGGTACGTGCACGACTTCATTATAATTTTGCGGCACGCGAGAGGGAGGCGCACGTGATTTCGCGAGACTTGGCGGACGCGTGTTTGCCCCCGGCGCGAGGGTTTCCGCGGACGGACGACGTGAGAAATCCATTAATTTGGGTTGGGTCGCGAAAAAATATTCCAATTAAAAGTGCCGAACGGCATGCCCCTTCGGGTTAGTCGCTACCGTTGCGTCCATCGATTCGGACGTGCCCGAGTTCTATCCCAAGAAATAAAAGTTTTTTTTTTGTGTGAAATCTTTTGATTTTTATTTTTTAGTAAATATATATTTTTTTTTCGACATCATATATAGTGACAACTCCCTATAGCGAAACTCTGTATTACGAACAAAATTTGTTGTACTATTGTACACTCTGTATAAAGAATTTCTCACTCTATACCGAAAGAAAAAAGGGCACATCAGGTAACGAATTAAGGATTAATGTTAATGCTTTTACCATTGTTTCAATCAGTTCTAATTTGACTTAGTGAATACGGCGAGCGGATAAGCGAAAAGAAAAGTGATGTGGGGCGTCGATACGGACTTACACCGTTGGCTGTATCCACAATTTGGAAGTGCAAAGAAAAAATCATTCATGCTGAAGCGGCAGGCAGTTCTAGTAAAAAACTAAGAAAGTCAAAATTTGAAGATTTGGATCGGGCAATGTTGCAGTGGTTCCAACAGCAACGTCTTAAAAATGTAACCCTCTCTGGAACTATCGTAAAACTAAAGGCAGAAAAGTTTCCTAAACAGCTTGGTATTATCGAATTCAAGAATTCGGAAAGATCGTTGGGGAAGTTCAAACAGAGACATGGGATAAATTATGAACAGATAAGTGGCGAAGCCCGTGATGTCGACAGAAACGTCACTAACGATTGGGCGGAGAAGACGTGGCCAAAACTAGGAGAAAAGTACCCTGCTGACGACATTTTTAATGCTCACGAAACAGGTATTTTTTACAGAATGACGCCAGATAAAATTCTTAAATTTCGAGAAAAAAGAAAGCTAGTCGTGATTGGAAAATCAACTAACCCACGATTTTTTAAGAACATCAAGCATTTGTCGGTCACTTACAAGGCAAACAAGTCTGCATGGGAAATTTTTGAAGAGATACGGGATGCAGAATTAAAGGGGAGGAAAGCATTACTTCTCTTAGATAACTACCCTGCACATCCCCATATTCCAAATATACGGAATATTGAATTGGCGTTTCTTGGAACTAAAACAACAAGTGTATTACAGCCGATGGACCAGAGCGTAATAAAAAGTCTTAAAAGTCGATACAGGAAAAACATTTTAATGAAAATGATCGAGTCCGAAGACAAATTTTCCATTAATATGCTAGATGCAGTCAACTTTATGAGTAAAGCTGGGAAAGAGGTGACAGCAGAAACAATTTAACACTCTTATCGTCATGCAGGACTTATTACCGAGAATGCGAACTGGACTTGGAAGATGATCAGCCACTAAGCGGGTGGATAAAGCAGTTTCAAACAACAATTACGTTTACAAGTGATGAGTTGCGAGATTTTATGGTGATAGATCAGGATTTGCCTACAACAGCAGACTTGACAGAAGAAGCCATATTACAACAAGCAAGAAAGGGTGAGGAAGAGCATCAAGAGGAAGAAGAAAATGAAGAAGTTGACCCGGGACCACCACTAACCATTCAACAAGCCGTATATTCAGTTAAGCTGCTAGAGACATTTTTTTGTGTATCATGGCCCCTCTCGACGAAATGGTGAAAATACAAGCCCAAGTACGAGATGCGTATTGGCATACTAAAAAAATTCAAAAGAAAATGACCGATTATTTGAAACATTATATGTAGTTTTTAAATATTTATATAAAATGTTCCTAAGTAGATGTTAAAATATGTATATAAAATAATTAAATATTACAGAACACATTGTTATTTTTCAAGTGCCTATAACTCTTCATAAAGAAAAAAAAAGCAGTCCTCTTCAATTTCGCTGTATAGAGTTTCGACTTATTTTATTTTTACATTAGTTGGAGTAGGTTCACAAACAATTTTTCAGTAATTGCACTAACTCCTACTAAATTCGCAAGTCCGATGTAAGACTTCCACGGACAGATTGCGATTACGTCCGGTTTAATCAATTCTCGGGGCTTCTTCTCGATGTATGGGTTTGTTAGAACACAGAATCTCTAACACTTTTTCAACCAATTAAGGTGTTGGAATTGAGCGTGCGCTTAAGTTTTTAGATTAATTTGGAAGTATTACAGCTATAGCTAAGAATTAAAAGAGTTTACTGGTCCAATCGCAGGTAGCAGAGGCTCGTCAAAGTGACAGTGATCAAAAAAAGGATGTCTTATAACGTCACAAAGATGACCTCAGAATGTCGTCATAAAATTAACTTGATTAATTCCAGATATAGACTTTAAACTTCATATATAATTAAAACTATTACCACATTCTTCTACTTAACACCACGACGTAGGAGAATATATCCAGAGGTTGTCCAAATTGTGTGTTAAACGTTTATTATTATTTTTTTCGAAAAATGGTAAATACAAAATGGTGATTAATAAATGTGTGGAAAATCAAACTTATATTTTTTAAATGCAACACCGCATTAATAAATACCCATCGTGGGATTCTTATGGTATATACCGAGTGTTTTCGGATTATGGTCATTTTTTCGCCAAAAGTTGCTGATGCCGTTTCCGACAGCTGTAATTTTATTGTGCCTACAATTTTATAAAACGGCACCGTCTCTACTTGTCTTGAAGTTAGTACGAATCGTTTATACAGGGTGAGTCAAAATGAAAACTAATACTTTTCGTGAAAAAATCAAATAGAAGTCCCTGTATCTTATACTTCGATTATTATTTAAAAAAAAAGGCTTGTCTTTGTTCGTTAACTATAATTCTCCATTTTCCGCAACCGCAAAAGACGTTCCATATAATTTAATTTACTTTACTCACTTTACTTACTTTAACTTACTTTCGATATTCCCCGCTTTAAAAAGAAAAAAACCTATTTTCGAATGGCAGATTTCAGTTGGTGCCAAACATGTTCAATGGGATTAAATATACAGTACTAAGTGGAAGCCTTAAAACTGTATGCCCAAGATTTTTTGCATAATTATCACAGACGTATTCCTTTTGTAGGTTCAAGCTTTGTAGAACCTGAATTAATTGCTTTTTGGTATAATCTTCGTGAAAATAAATGTCGTTATTATACATGTAGTTTTGGATTGTTGCTTTTGTGTCACATGAGGAAGGGGTTTTAGTCAACTGTCTCCTGTGGTAACTTGCATTATCCATTACAATGACCCTATTAGGAGGAATATTTGGAACTACTTTGTTTTTAAACCAACTTTCAAATAAATCAACGGTGGTAATCCAAAGAATCTGTAATATTTTTCGCAGACAGAGAAAGTCCATTTGGAATCCAACCATCTTTAGAGCCAGCATGCAAAATAGCTATTTTTTTACCTCTTTTTGTTGGCGCGTTTGTTTTACACTTATCAGTTGAGTCAACCGGTTGTGTCGAACCAGGTTTCATCCAAGTAAATAATTGGCCTCAAAGATTCCATTTAAACTTGCCTTTTGTCAATTTTTTTAAATCTAAAACCCATGTGTTGAATACACTTCCATAAGGTAGTTCTGCCACATTTAACACCGGTTTCATGTTTTTCAAGCCTCCTAATTAAGATATTTAATGTAGGCACGATTTGTTCTTCGTATAAGTGGTAAATTTCACGCAGTATTATATCTTGATCACTTTCATCTACACTCGAGAAAATGTCAGCATCGCTTCTTTTTTTTCCTCGCTGAAATGTGATTATTCACAATTTTCCATACAGTTGATGTTGGAATTTTCGTCAATGTGGCCGTTTCTTCTAAAGATGTTTGCTTGCTGGCACCACCTTCAATGAGAGTCAAATAAACATTGTTTATGACTTCCTCCTCCTCCTTCCTTAGTGTTTTCTACATTAGGGCGGGAGCATCTCCTGAGAAACACTAGACTCGCACATATTTTGCATAATTCGCACACGATTTGACACACGCTGTATTACATACGAAATAAGAATGATTACTAATAAACTTAAACTAAGTAGTATAGCAAACCAAAGAATATTAAACACGGGTAGGTATAAAATGATTTTCTATTACGGACCACAATTTTACCTGAATTTAAATTCCGAAACTTTAGGTAATAATCTTGTTGCATTTGTATGTTAATGACCACCTTTGGATAATCCGATACAAAAGTAATTGGTCACTTTCTTATATCTATGAACAGACCATAACTCTTTGATATCTGTTATCTAAGTAGTTTTCAAAAAATCGAGTCGAAACATCATCGAAGCCGTATTAACTCAATTTGGCGCACATAAGCCGATCAAAGGCTTTAGACTAATCTAAAGATATAACTGCAGTCACAAGACCATTAACTAAAGAACTAATGATGTAATCGTTGATCTGTAAAAGTAGAGTAATAGTACTAAAACCTTTACGAAATCCAGATTGACTGTGGAAATAACATAACCATACATTTGTACATTTATAATTTTCTCCAAAACTTTAGATAAGGTTGGAAGAATACTGACTGGACGAAGGCCTGACTGGCTGGGATTGTTATTTTTTGCCAATGGTGTGATCAAAGCAAACTTCCAAATACTACATACGTAATTACATACCAATTGACGTAAAAAATACGTCACTTAAATGACATCATTCGTCTGAGATATCAGGACGTGATATATAACGTCATTTTCGTCAAATGGTGACTAGTTCATGACGTCCCTCTGCTACCTGCGATCTTTCCAAGATGTATTGGTTCTTCCTTACCACTCAAGAACGGTAAGCAAACAGCGAATAGCAAATTATTTCGGAACAATAATTTGCTAATCAATTGCGATCAATTAAAATTAGTTCTGACCTCTGCTGTAACGAACCTTATGAGCTCGTAGATGAAACATTTCTATCCTTGTTTAGTTCCACCAAACGTTGAAGACGTACTTGAACGACCGCGTGTGGGACTTTCATTTCTACGTGACGAAAACTTGGCCGGACGAAGCTGTGATATTACATTTCCCGGGCATGACGTCGACCGTAAGCGTCGCTCACCACACGTCACCTGTTTTCGATGAACCGACGTTAAAATTTCCAGCCGAACAACGCACTGTACGAGAGCTTCGGCGTGTTCTGCCCGTGCGACCAATTGGAGCACCTCGAGCTACTCAAAACCGAGGACGTTCTAATCGACTGGAGCCGGCCGATTTATTTAAATTTTACGCACGCGCGGATCATGGAAACAATTAAAGAGTTCTACGAGCCGATCGGTACCATGGAGAAACTCTACGGAGATGTTTACGTACTGTCCGAAGACGGCGCCACCGTCGTCGAAGAAGAGGAAACCAACCAAACGTAACTACTACCCTAAGGTTTACGTTTGCGTAGGTGGAATCATGGAATACGGAAATTTAATGTTTTCTTCGCGGAACACTTATATCGAACTGAGACCAACGTTCACGCTTCCCCTTATCCACGTAAACCGCGATATTATCCAATCCCTGCATTTTCCAAGCCTCAGCTAATGGTAGCGCGCGTTTTAGGACATTCGTAGAGTCCGCGGAGATGATGCAGCTGCGCCCCGAGCACGCCCAAATCATCCACGACCTGTATCCGGCCAATCACATGGAGTGCATCGAAGTCTTCCAGAGGCTCATCGAGAGGCTGCCGTGTTACGGCGTTTTCTCCGCCGGCGGAGACCTGGCCGCGTGGATGGTGCAGTCGTATTACGGGGCCATGTTCTCGATGCAGACCCGACCCGAATATAGGCGGAAAGGTTACGGCATGATTTTGGCCAAGTACCTGACTAAATTAGTAAGTATGGGCGTGGGGCCATGCCGCGGTATGGATTTTGGTTAGTCGCGTCGGACAGACTAGAAGGGGAAAACCTTCATCAAACTATTATTTAATTCCGGTAGACACGATACAATTTCTAAATGTATTTTCCTTATAAATATGCAACGTGTTTGTTGACTACCAAACTTAAAGAAGTTCGAGAGTATAAATAAATCTAAGTGGAAAAAACATTCAAGAAGCAACTGTAGAACCTCCTACAGACAAAACGCTCATTGCTTCATAACAAGTAATCGCAGATAAAGTGTCGCTTGCCAAATATAATAATAAAATGGCCAATGGACAAAATTGTTAAAAAACTGAATTAAAATATGTAACCTAATTTAGCCCCAAACGTAAGAGAATTGCAGAGAAAAAAGTATCGTTTATTCTATCAAAATTTAACATACAACTTTTAAAAACAAAATGCCACCAAAATAAGCTCGAAAAAATTGCATGTCGCCCATTAAAAATTTATCAGTTAAAAATACAGGCTTCAACAACCGGGGTTTACTTTAGCTAAGGTTGATAAATACATTTATAACACTTTGGAAATTTAATTGATAATGAAAAGTTACTTTGCTAATTAATTATTTGTAATCATTCATTTGAATCTTATCTAATTGAAATCTTATCTTCGCCGAAAAAATTAAAGTCGCGAAATCGGCACAGTAGTTCAAACGTTCACCACTGTCGCGCTGCGATCTAAATTTGAAATCCCAATTGCCTTCTCTAAACAAATAGAAGCCCTGCCTATGTTGACAGTACAGGAACTATGTAACATTTTTTGAGGTTCATTCAACGTGCGCATGCGCGAAATTTAAAATTTCGTTTTTAACCAATGACAGCTCTAGGCAAATTCTGACGTTGACGCATAAGACCTTGCGGCTTTCAACAAACAACATGACAGCTGACATGACAGCGTCCATTTTTGGATGCGGCATTGTTACCGCAGTATTTTTTCAAAATATGTCGAAATCCTATTAAATTTTCATGCAAAAAAGGAGTTAAGGTGTGAGTTTTTCTTTTTTAAGCCCTGTATATACAATGCCATTTCTACATGTACTTTTTCATGTAAACTATTTTTCCGATTTTTTTTTGCTTCTAAATCGGCGCAAGGCGTTAATTTTCATAAACTCATAGGTTTAACCTGTATTGATACATTGATTGATTGTACACTAAAACCTATTATTCAAACATTTTTCGTAGCTATTTAAGTGTACCTAAAGATGTAGGGAATGCTGCTTAGTAATTTATGTAAGTCTATTTTTTGTGTATTTAATGTAGAATATATAGGAATCACTGTGTCGCTAAGATCCCTATTAGGTGCTCATATTTGCCACATTTGCTGTATTTCCGTAAAAGAACAAAATATTGAAAGCACAAATTATACAATGAAAACAACAATGGTACAGACTGTTCTGCGACAATATTAATTACTTATCTCTGCGTTATGTTCGGCTTTCAGAGATTGATGTTACGTTCTATAAAAATTAAACCATTTTCCAGAAAAATTACGGCAGTGTACGAGGTTAGCGCCAAAATTTCCCGGTCTGACATAGATGCAGCTCTTTTAAATATATGTCTTAGTAGGCTGCGAAAAAAAAAATTGAAGTCTTGCGTCAAACAGCATTTTAAACAAGACGTGTCCGCAAATAACGCAAATTGAGCATAGAACAGTCATAGTTTTTGACAAAACAAGGGTTAGCACCTAAAATTATTAAAGAAAGGCTGGATGGTGTGTACGGCCAAAGTTCTCCTTCGTATTCTGTGGTGAGAGAATGGGCAAAACGTTTTCGAATGGGGCAGGAATTCCTTGACGATGATTTTCTGATACAAATGTTCGTCGAATCCTGCATGATCATTCAGGTATGCATAAGGTTAGTGTAAAATGGGTTCCTACAAACCTTTTAACTATTCAAAAACAACGCCTTATCGAGTGTGTGCGGTCTTTTTTGGGAATCTGTGGGTCGGAACCGAAGCCTGTGATAGATACTATTGTGACGGGAGATGAAACTATGGTTCTCTATCGAAAAAAGGATCAATGGAGTGGCGTCGTAAGCCTGAAGCACCTCCAAGAAAATTCAGAGTCTGCCAGTCAACAAAAAAGGTGATGGCCACGATCTTTTGGGATTGTGAAGGAATTCTTTTGATAGATTTTAAAGAAACTTATACCACTGTCAATGGTAAATATGACGCAACATTATTACATAAATTACGAGACTTCATACGTATAAAACGTTGAAGAGAACTGACCAGAGACGTGCATCTTTTGCACGATAATGCACCTGTCCATACTGCTGGTGTTGCACAAGCTGCCATTTTAGAGTGTGGGTTCCAACAGGTAGATCATCCTCCCTATAGTCCAGATATGGCCCCAGCGACTATTATTTGTTTGGATATTTGAAAAAGGACTTACTGCAGTTTAACGACAAGTTGAGTTAAAAGAGGCTGTTTTAGCTCATTTTGCAGACCAAAAGAATATTTTTTTAAAGGGATTGAGTTATTAATAAAGAGATGTAGTAAGTGTATTGAAGTTAAGGGGGATTATATTGGAAAAGAATAAAAAATTGTTACTCTACTTTGTTTCTTTCATATTCAGGCCGGGAAATTTTGGCGCTGCCCTCGTAGCAACTCAGACAGTTGGGGGAGACCGATGCGCCAAATATCCATACCTTCTCTACGAAAATATCATAGCCTCCTGCGACGGATCAATTTTTACCGTAGTAGAGCCACTATATTATCTTATAGCTGTATGGTTTACATCCATGGGTTTCCTTTGGCGATTTGAGCGATCAATACTGCAAATTCTGCATTCTGCATTTTTGAAGGACTTTATTGTGAGGACGAACGCATAAGGTATTTCATTAAATTAAAAGAGGCGTTTTTTTTTACAATATCTTCCTATTTATTTCCAAATAATAACATCTGCGTTTTGTTAGAATTCAATAAGAGGTTGTGAGCTACAGATACCTCCAAAATTATTTTTAGATTTAAATTCATTTTAGTAGCGGCATTTAAAGCTTCACTAGCAACAAAAAATAAATATAACTGAGCGTATTGATGAGATTTACAAAATTCAAGAAAAGTAGGGAAGTCGGCTGTATAAACTGAGAACAGTATAGCTCCCAGAATTCTTCCCTGGGGAACCCCTCTCTCCAAAGCAATGTCATCTGAATTTGTATTTCCTATAACTACCCTTTGGTATCTCTGACAAAGAAAATTTTAAAAAAATGAAAGAGCAGTAGCTTTTATCCCGAAGAATTTCAGTTTAGTTAAGAGTAAGAAGCGATCCAAGGTGTCGAACTTTTTGATATAGTCGAAGTGCATGAGGCAAGAATTTAATTTAGAATCCGCTGCTCCCAATAAATTATCATTAACATGAAGCAAGGCAGTAGTACTGTGAAGAGGTCGAAAACCAGACTGAGTGTCTGGGAGGATTTTGTTATCGCATAGGAACTGACGAAGTTGTTTAGTTACAATGTTTTCAATAAATCTTTAATACCACTTGGGCACTCTTTCTTTGGAACGAGTATAACTTCAGATTGCTTCCAAGAGTCTGGAAAAACCCCGGTCAGGAGGCACTTGTTAACAAGATTGCTTTCAAAAAATCGTGGGTGAGTGGGGCAAGTTCATAGCAAATATCGCGAATCACCTTTTTATTTTAAAAAGAAAGAGCTTCGCGGATTCTTGTCCTAGAGGGACGCATTGTTTTTCTATCGTGCTCCTGCGGACCACTATGGAACTTCCGCAAAATCGATGTAATTTGATTGTGAATACACCCTGTGTAAAGTGTCCTTCACATCTCGTCGAACTTCAAAGTTACGGCACACTTCGGTAAATATTAAAATTTTTACTGGTAATTGCAATTTAAAATTACCGTAAACTCTCTCTGGACACAGTTTACGTTACTGTTCATATCAAATTATCAAATCTTCAAAAGTTTTTAATGTATCGCCAATAATTTACCCACAAAAACGGAAATTTCGAAATAGAGGATATATAGATATCTCCTTAGTTTCCGGGTATCCGAATTTTCCCAATGGAGTAAATGGTTTTCAAAAAACTACTTGTATTCTGAAACCATGCAATAGGTGATTGATAATTTGCTCTCTAAAAGAACAATTTTCAGGTTCTTTTAGATTTTTGTCTATAACTAAAACACCTTCTATATAATCTAAAAAATGCGTGAAACAAAAGTTTAGCGCCCGGTCTCCCACGTATTACGGATGTAAAATTTTTCCTATCGGCTTTGGAGGAAAAAAGCAAATTCAAAAATTAAAAAAAAATAGTTCGCTTGAACTTCTCTCCCAAGTCTGAAGTCCGGTAGCTGCAAATTTGGAGTACTTATTATGATTTTTAATATTGCACGGAATATCGCGAACACCCTGTACAATACTTAAAACCCGTAAATACAAAAGTTTAAGCTGTCTGTTTGAAAAATTGCCAAGAATAAAAGTTTATGGAGTCGTTTCCTCTGCGTCTTCAGGTTCAAGAATTTTTCCAGTTTTGTAAACGGTTTTTGAAAATGGGCTTTTTGTAGACACACGCGATTTTTATTTTATTTTTTAAATACTTCCCGACCCCCCAATTTTTCAATTTCAATAGGTTCCGCCACGGGGCAAAGCTGCATATATGTGCCAAATATGAAGTTGATTGATTCAAATATCGGACGCTTATCATGTTTCATAGCAAGGTCCAGTCGAAAATCGCGAAAAAAAGATGGATATCGGTGTCGGATCTGGGCCATTTCTTATAAGCTTATGTGCCTCGTGGAGGATTAAAAAGGAGGCAAATTTCAATTTTGTAGCTCCAACGGTTCGAAAGTTATTCAGGAAAAACCAAAATACGAGAACGGAGAACGGACAGACAAAAAAAAATTTTTTTTTCGACGGTGATCATTTCTGTACCAACGGCGATATAAAATTTTTATACGAGCGCAGATATTTTCGAAAATTTGATTTCATCGCTTTTCGAAAGTAACAAGGAAAGTGATATGATCGACTAAATACGGAGTAGTCAAAAGAATCATTTTTATATCAATATTGTCTGAACCATGAGCGTTAGTTTTAATACTAATCAATGTTTTATTAACTTCCTCAGAGTAAACTTTAGCAAAACGGAATGAATCAGGATCAAATTGGTTATTAATATAATTTGCCGGCATAAACCCAGGATCAATACCACCAACAGCTCCAAAAGAAGTAAAAACAACATTAAAACCATTAGGTTGACCAAAATTGTTTTAAAACATTAAAGTGTGATTACTGTGCACTTGAAGTCTCAGCCTTAAACGTACTTGCCAAATATAGCTCTCACACGGGAGTCCACAAAATTTCGTAATTCCCTATACTCGTTTAATCAATATCTGACTATTTTTAAGTTTTATTAAAAGTTTAAGGTTTTTGGTAAGCATGGAGCATGAATATCAAATAAATAATTCATATTATTCGTAAGAAAATTAACTTGTGTGTTAAATAAGCGCGTGCGCAGATTCGGGTTGCATATATTTAAGCCTCCTAGGAATGTTAATTCTATGCATGGGGTGGTGTTATTTTTGCAGGTAAAAGAGCGGGGCTACTTGCCGTTCGTCGTGATTCGGCCCGAGAACGACGCGTCGAAAGGTCTCTACGCGAAACTCGGCTTCAAGAAACATTTCGAGACTGTGCGCGCCATCTTGAAGCCGCACGATGCGTGCTGCGGTGGAGGGGGCGGGGGCGGCGGCACACATAACGGCGATTGCGTCAAAGAAAGTGATAATTTCGTTAGTGATAGTACTGGAAACGGAGAGGTGGGGGAGGAATGTAACGGCGACGATGAGTAAGCCACGTTTTGAGTTTCAACGACGCTTTTTTTTGTGGGTCGGGAGGGACCGGATGAGGACGACCAAGGTTCGAAAATCAGCGAGGTAGACCAAACCGTCGTGACACCTGCTCAATTTTAAGGAGACAAAATTATTATCCGCGCGTATACCTCTTCTTCCTCCTCCTCCTCCCCCTCGCGTACCAGAAAAAGAAAAACTGTTGCTTGTTTAGCACTTTTCATAAAAAATCCCCCCGAGTGTTGTGGGGCGCCCAGCTGAATTGACGATTCGTTTATAATGAGTAACATAGGAAACAAATTTTCGATCTCCATTTCGCTTACGGTTTTCAGTGCTGCAGTTAGTTCTGGATCAAATTAAAAACTAGATTTTACTTTTCAAAGAATAACGTTGCTATAGCTAGTAAACTCTTCTGTCCAAAGTGCAGTCGTAATTTTAATGATCTAACCGAATCCAATCTACTGTGGAAAGTATCTTCTGTTCGACTAAGCGTCATCTGACAACGGCGCACCCTCTATGTTTCTCTGCACTTTAGACCTAAGTTTTGGTTAGTTTAGCATATACCAACGACAGTGATGTGATAATTAACCAACTAACCGACCGAGAACGGGGACAGTTGGTTGTTTTCCTTAATATTTTATTTTATATTATATTTGTTTTAATTTTAAAGGCTTGCTCGACACTTTACTCTCTATACACATTCCGAATCTTATTCTCTGACACTTATGAGAGTATCCATCTTAAGGGTCTCGTTTAAAAGCTGTGATTTAGGAAAGTTTCCAAACATCCTTAGGCAAAGTAGTAGTTAAGTATTATTCCAAATTATTCATTTGGCCTTTAGGATGGAAGCTGTGTTTTTTCTCCAATTTTACTGAGTACCATCTTACACCAATTTATTAGGGAACGTTGTAAGTGTTACTTAGTGCAAACCCGATGGCTTCATCCTTGAATGTAATGAGATGCGTTACGTAATTATATCCAGTTTATTGTTTTAGAATTAAAAATGTATATTTTATAATCAATTTTTATTTATGTAACCCCTTAGTTTGAAGCGTCCGCTATTGGCCCTTATGCTGTCTGAAAAAGAAAAATTATTTATCACCATTTGCTGATTCTCACGGCCATAACTTCAAAGTTTGGCCGAATGATGCAGACAATTTGATCATTAAAAATAAAAAGAAGAAGATTGTGTAAGTGATGAAATAGGTTAACTCTTTCACTTATAACAAATCTTTTATCTATTGATGGAACATGGTAATAAATAACGTACATTTTGTTTCAAAAGGTTAAAATTTCGCCGCAAATTTCAGTCAGTAACGTTGCACACTGACGTGGGAAACATAAAAGTTGAGCTTTTCTGCGAAAATTGTCCCAAAGCTTGCGAAAACTTTTTGGCACTCTGTGCTAGCGACTATTACAACGGGTGTTTGTTCCATAGAAATATAAAGGGTTTCATAGTTCAAACAGGCGATCCTACTGGCACCGGCAAAGGCGGGACGTCAATATGGGGCAAAAAATTTGAAGATGAATTTAAGGAGCAGCTTAAGGTAAGGTTGGCATATCTTGGAGCAGTAAAAGGGCAGGTAACGTTTTAGCACAACGTTAGGGGTATTTTATCAATGGCCAACAATGGGCCGAACACTAACGGCAGTCAGTTTTTCATTAGTTATGCCCCTCAACCGCACTTGGATTTGAAATATACTGTATTTGGGAAGTAAGTATATTATACTTCGTTTGCGGGTTTAAAACAAACTATTTTAGAGTTATCGACGGATTAGAAGCTTTAGATGAACTAGAAAAACTGGCGGTCCACCCAAAAACTTACAAGCCGCTAAATGATATAAAAATTAATAGTGTTACAATTCACGCGAATCCAATTGCGGGATAAGTTTTAATTCAAACAATCTAATATTGACAAGGGTGTATAATAAAAAATAAAGATTAAAAAAGTGTTACAGTATTTTGGCGGCACAGCTTGGAATTATTCGAGAAATAAATGACTAGGCAACAACTGATTACAGAGTATTATGAGATTCTGCCCCCGCTACTAATACCTACTAGAGACGTATGCAAAAAGAATTTAAAAAATCTGAAGATCTGTCAATTATATGTTCAAATTCGGCAAAAGACAAAGATCCGTCGTCATCAAGATCTGCTTCCTCCAAAATGTTGTGCAACAACATGCCCATCTCCCCCTCGCTCAGCTTATTTTCACCCGTCAATTTATTTACGACTTGCTTCAGATCCGACACGCCCAGCATATCGTCGCCATCAAAATCAAAAATTCGAAAGGCGTGCTCTGCCTTAACGGATTTTGGGGCCGTGGGTGAAAAAACGGACATCATATCTAGGAAATCCTCGAACGTACAGTCTCCATCTTGGCTGGAGCTGAATACTTTGCATATGCGTTCGCCGAACGGATTAACACTGAGCTCGGGATACTGCAACATTTTGCTCATCGATAGTTTAGCGTTTTTGTTGTGACCCACTTTTTCGGGAGCTAATGCTTTGAACTTCTGATGTGCGTACAATACTTCTTTCTTTGTAAAGTAAGTCAGGTCTTGGTAATCTTGCAGCTCCTCAACGGTGAACTGGCTCTTTGTTTGTCCCATGGAAGTATTTATATATGTGCGTATTCCATTGAGAGTTGTTCAATGAAGAGTAAACATAACCTCAGTTTGTTTTTCTAATTGTACCGCGGCCATCCGCCCAGTGTTTGTCACACGTGCGTAGTATCGTCAGGACATGACTGTGTACTTTAGTGAAATACGCCTTTAGTAGCCGCTGCTGCTAGGGTAATTAGATTGGAACGTTTTGTTTGTTAATTTGACTGACTGACTGATTACGTATACGGTGTATGCATAGAGCAAGAAATTCTTTCTCTATGTGTGTGTTTTGGGTGTTATGTACACGACGGTTGTAGTGGTTCATGGTTAAAATTGAAACCAGAGAATAATTTTTTTTTTAATCATGTTCTTGTCAATGTGTCAGTCCATTACCCAAAATGAAAAATTTCCTCGATCGGTACCGTAATGGGCGAGTGTCTCTTGTGTAATGCTATATGTTCTTGAAAAACAAATGAAGGGAAGGACGACTATGGTACTGGCTTAGTATTTATGGAAACTGTCAATCACGGTCGTCTGTGATGTAGTTGTTTGTTTTCTTTCGTGTTGGCCAAGTAGTTTCGGAATTAACACAAATGACAAAATAATGAGTGGCACAGGGGAATATTCCATAGACACCAGTTATTTCAACAAACCACCACCGAGCATTTATAGGCGAAGCGAAACGTCGAATCCCTGGAACAGACCCACTTCTAAAACATCTTATCCAAGTTACCAAAATGCACAAGACAGTTCAGTTATGCCGCCCCCGCCGATCCTCGGGCCTTCGACAGCCAGGCGGGCCACATCTAGTAGAAGTTCTTATGGCAGCAATAGAAACTATAACACTCATTACAAGGGTTTGAGTCAATATGGCAGCACAGCTTCAGACAACGGCTATGGTAACTCTGCGGCGAGGTACAGCACTCACAGATACACTTCAGTGTCGTCGTCGTATACGAGCCAGAGCAGCCCTTCTTCCACCACAACAAGAAGCTATAATAACTCAACTTCGGTGACTAATATGTATACAACCCCGCCACCGAGTGCTGCAGTTGTACCGGTGCAATACCCGCCGCCGCCTCCGCCGCCTCCTCCTCCACCAGCTTTACCCACATGCACATCCGGGGTGGAGCACTCAACTAACGTACCGCCACCGACTCAGTATGCAATGGCTCAGATGGTGTACGGGACATACAGCGTACCTCAAGTACCCGTCGATTTTAGAGCTTACCAAAACGATTACATGTTCGGGAACATGTACCAACCCGTGACCAATGGGTATAATAGGAACCGTCGAGTGTCCACTGATGGGGACCCGTCGCAAAAAAAACCCAAGAGAAAGAAACCACTGTCGCAAAACATACCAGTGAGAAAGGAATGGGCGGTGGAGGACGCGAGGCGCGCATTGGAGGTCGAAAAAGAGTTTAACAAGCGTCAAAAAAGCCAGTCGTTGATCATAAAGTTTCCCGATATCGAAGTGAATAGGGAAATCGTGCGGAAGTTTAACCCGAAAATCGACACGGTCCATTTTCAACAGCCGTCGACTCCGCGCTTTTGCTTCGTCAGCCTGTCGGAGGGCGCCAACGCCGACGACGTTATCAAAGAGCTTAACCAGACCCCATTCGGTAGCGGTTACTTAATCGCGGAACACAAAAAGGACCGCGAAGATGAGATAAACATTGGACCGGAAGACATCGATCCCCTCACGCTGTACGTCGGCAACCTGGCCCAAGAGATTACCATCGAGGATATGTACAAAGCCTACCCGAAACGTAAACGGGTGGATATCGGTTACGCGAAGAAGATGAAGTTCACGCGGTACGCCTTCGTGTTGTTTCACAACGTCGAGGACGCGATCGAGGCGTTCCAGAACACTTTCGCCTCGGAAATGCATTCAAAAAGCATAATTGTCAGGTTCAGGCGTTTGCACGGAACGGTCGGCCTGCCGGGCGAGCCCAAACCTCAAAATCCGCCGAAGAGAACCGAAGATCGCCGAACGGATGATTCGAACACGAACCTGGTGGATATGGAGGTGGACGCGCCTCGGGAAGATGCGGGCGAAACGACACGCAAAACCGAAACGGATGATCGCAGGATCGTGCAATTACCCCAAATACTCGATGACGAATTTAAGAGTGAATTCAAAGGTGAAATGGAAGACGACGAGGAGTCCGACAGCTGCGACGAAAGAGACCAGCCGTTGCCCGAGATATTTTATAGTAATAATTCGACGGACGCCGTCGAAGGTGTGAGCGAGAGCAACGATGATCGCGTCGAAGTAAAAAAGGAGCCTCGGGACGAATACTGGGCGGAACCGGCTATAGGCGACGAGGTGCATGAAAACAAGAGGATTAAGGTAGAAGAGCAGGACCAGAGTTTCTTCCAGCCGGTCATGGAGCAAATTCACAGACCTATGCTAGAGCCAAAGAAGGAGACGGTGAAAGAGACCCAACCACAACTAGAACTACCTATAATGGAGGTGAAAAAGGAAGAATACGAAACGGACAAAGACGATGACGAAGATAGTTCTGACGATGGCGGCGGCGTTGATTTCGATAGCATTATGAACGCCTTGGACCGGCCTCATTTTTAAATAAAATGTTATGCATTTCATCCTATATATATATATATATATATATATATATATATATATATATCTGTATATATGTCGGTTTATGTTAAGTTTTAATTGTTAAGTGTGTGTGTGTAATATATAAATTTTTTAAATATCAAAGTTAAAAATGTGCCTAGGTTGCAGCATAACCACAGTTAAACTTTTTCACACTGCTGCCAACCTTCCAACCGCTGCGATTCGAAAGCAATACAAAATAACAATACGAGTACTTTATATATATATAAATATATACAACTTAAAATTGGCTAACTTAACGGGCTACGGCAGCTGAATTTGACACCTTTTCCAACTTTTCGAAGTGTTTACGGGCGTTCCTAATGTTGATCAACATAACCTCGGAGGGGATTTGAGGATCCGACATGCAAACCATTACATAAGTATTGCTGGTGAATATATCGATGTAAGAAGCGAATTGGGAATTTTTTACTTCCATACTATGAAACTGGGCGGCCAGTTTGGAGCAAGATAACTTGAATTGCTTAATTATATTTGAAACTTTTTCAAACCTGTGAACATCTCTGTGTTCTTTTCTTTGACAATGGGATATGACTAGAAATGTGGCCCTCTCAAACAGAAGTACTTCGTCGGCATCCACAATATTAGCAAATTGCTGTAAACTGTTTTCCAGCTCCTTGACATTGGGTATGAGGGTGTAAACTATACTAGACCAGGCCCTGTAAAGTGTTTCGTCCCAAATTGATGTTCTGAAACACGTGCATTCCAGAGGTTTAGACAGGCGTTTAAGGTCGGCCTCTCTCTCTTTGAATATGATGTCCCGTTGATCCTCGGCAACCAAATCCATTTTATGAATTAAGCAAAAAATTTTAGCCTCCCTAGAATTGTGTATTATTGCTTCCAGGCAGGATTGATAATAGTGCATGTCTTTTTCAAGCTCGCTACTTTCTACATCAAAGACGTAAATTAACACTTCGACGTTCCTAAATATGTTGTCTCGCTGAGACGCGAAATAGTTTTCCATGAACGCTTCTTGGCCTCCACAGTCCCACAGGTTTAGCACCAAATTCCCTAGAAATCGGACGTGCGAGTGCTCGACGTCGACTGCAAAGGAAATTATTACGTCAGCGGTTACGTCTTGAGCGCCGTATAGGCATATAGCTCTTTACTTGTCGCTCCTAAGCGTCTGGTGTCTCTGGCTATGTAATTTGCGAATATTATAGACCTCATACTAGTCTTCCCCGAACCGCTTTTTCCCATTAGCAGCACCTAAAAGTGAGATAACGGAATTGGGAGTACTTACTCCTTTTGTTTGTTACCTTTTTCTTCATTTTCCTATTTTGAAAATTATTAAATTTCTCACTTTCCAAACAACCACTATTCTTCTCATCAAATTTTTACTGCACCTGGTAATACTATGTAAGTAACGCTCGCCCATTGGCGACTCCCGCTCGCACTGCATCCGGATTTTAAATTATTTAATCACTTTGGCCCGGTCCCTCTGGTGTTATAGCCGGAAAAGGCATTGTAGAAGTCTAATGTTGAGGTTGGGATACAATTCAATTTTTTTCGAGTTGAAACGCAATGTCTGTGTGGAAAAAGGCGGCAAAAGCGCACCAGAAAACCCATAGGGAACGCCATCAACCCGAGGAACGCCAACACTTGGGGCTGCTCGAGAAAAAGAAAGATTATCAAAGACGCGCCAAGGACTACAATGAAAAGAAGGCCACCCTACGGTTGCTGCGGAAGCGCGCTCTGAATAAAAACCCAGACGAATTTTACCACCACATGATAAATTCGAAGGTGGAGAATGGGGTCCATTTTGATAGAGTCACTGAACCGGAAGACACACCAGACCAGATTGATTTGATGCGGACACAAGATTTAAAGTATGTCACAACAAAACGAACACAGGAGCAGAAAAAGATCGAGAAATTACAGGCGCAGTTGCACCTTACAAGTGTGAATCATAAATTCAAAAACAAACATATTTATTTTGGTAAAAGGGGGGACAAGGCGAAATCGGAACAAGCAGCATTAGATATTTTAGCTATCACGGAACTGCCCGACATTGATATAGAGGATTTGCAGGTACCACACGACCCTTTAGTTTCAGCCGCAGGTTAATTGTATTTTCTTTAGAAATCGGCCCGTTCTCGAGAAGCTCTCTACAGGGAACTGGAGAAAAGGATCAATAGGGAAAAGGAACTAGCTATAGTGCAGAGGAAGCTGGAGTTGGCGAAAGCTGTTGATGGCAAAAAGACCACATTGCCACCCAAGAAGCTGAAAAATGGGACCAAGGATAGCGCTCCCGTGTACCTATGGAAATATGAACGTAAAAAGTGAATTAAAAACTTTTTCTATTATTAGCATAGTTTATTGATGGTAGTTACTTGATGTGGTGGTCTAAGATCGGATTATCGGCATAGACGTCACAATTCAGCCGTTTACCAATTACATTATTGATTTCTGTGGGGTCCACTCCTTTTGGTGTGCAAACCTTGACTGTGACATCTTCCGTGGCAATCTCGTGACCCGCTTTTAAGGTCTGCGCGAACACGAGGCTTTTGCCAAGTTTTTTATAAGTTGGTTGTTCGCAATAAAGCCTCTTTTTAACCGGCTCGCCCATAGCCAGTTCCAAAGCCCTAATGTCGTCGACCAGAGATTTAAATTCGCGCGGACTCAGAGAACATTTGTGGTCGGTCCCCTTCCACGACTTATCTAACGTTATGTGACGTTCAACAATCTAAAAATTATCGCTATGCAATAGCGCGCAAACTCGTTGCTACATAACCTAACTTTTGCGCCCATCGCTGCAGCAGCTAATGTCATTTTGGTGCCGAGCTCGTGACCGGAATACCCGACTACAACGTCGGGGAACTCCCGTTTATAGAGATTGATTACTTCGAGGTTAAGCTGGTGCAGCGGAGCTGGGTAAGACGATACACAGTGCAGCAGAGCAAACTTTTTGTGATGTTTCGAAACCAACTTGTAGATCGACTTTACCGTCCCGAAATCCTGCATGCCTTGACGTCGCGACGAGCATAGCAATTTTTTACACAAACGCATCATAATCTGTCATAAGTTTCTGTATTATCAGCTTAGACCAGGCCTCTAAATCTCTAGTATGGATCAACCATATAGCTACTAGATATCTAGAGGCCTGAGGAAAGGTCCATTCAACATGCGCATGCGCGACATTTGAAATCTCGTTTTTAACCATTAATTCAACAACCAAAATGGCCGCAGAAATATGATCAATAAGTTCGAACGCGGTGTTTTTGCAGCAATATTTTTTCAAAACATGACTAGATCCCATTTAGTTTATGAAATGTATAAACATGCCTAGAACATCATTTCCATCTCTACGAAAAAGGCAGTTTTAGAAGCAAGAAACTATATCAAAGAAGCCTCCATACTCTTTAATAAATCACTATTCAGAACTGCAGGTAGGAATGTTAATTTTCAATATTTTGTCAAGTCAGCCAGTATCAAAATTCGCAAATTATACTTGTTTATTTTTGACGCCACTTTTAAGTCAGTGGTTTTAAGGTAAAAGCAAAATGAACTCTAAAAATTACGAAATTCCAATTGCGCTTCGAAAAATCAAGGCAGATTTCTGGAAAGAGGAAAAATCCCTTAGTGATACTGGTAATAGCAATGCAACAAGTGCGGTAAACGGCATTTGACTAACGAGTTTATTTGATACGAGCGGAGCGAGTGTTTAATAAACGAGTGACTTCAAAAGTTTACCGAACGTGTTGCACACTACATTCACTGACATGACCGTTAAAATTGACAAACGTCAAAATTCAAAGCATGGGAAATATCTCCCAATCCGGTGCGGTAAAATCCCAGAAATGTCCGAAGTGGCTCAGATCCATGGGAAACGAAACTGACGTGGTAAAGTGACGCTACCCGCACGCTGGCATTTTACAGACTGGATTAGAAAAAATAATTAAAAAATCACATTCAACTGTACAGCATGTAATAAATCAATATTAATCCACCTGATCTTATAAAATGCGGCTACGCTCTGGTCGTCCCAGGAAGTTAACTGCATGAAAAGAATCTTCTGTTGTGAAACAAATTAGAATTAATTCTAAAACAAGCGCTCCAAAACTTGCAGAGGAAATCAGGAAAGAGTTCTCAAACTTTTGCAATTTTCCCGAGAACATATTAACAAAATCAGGGAGTCTTGGAAAAACGTTATCTTTAGCCGTGAAACAAAAATTAATCTTTGCTGGTCAGGATAAAGTTTGGAGGAAAAAATACAGTTCTGAAAATCGAAAATGTATATCCAAAGGTGAAGCAGGTGGAGGTAATGTTTTATTGTGGGAGTGCATGTCAGCTAATGGGACAGGCAATTTAGCTGGACCAACATGGCTATTTGAACATCCAAAGTGTTGCAAAACTTAACCTTGAGGGGTGTTATTTATTCCAACAGGATAACGATCCTAAACACACTGCTACGCTTGTACGTCACTGGATGGTCCATAATGTTCGCCAACAACTTCATACACCACCACAATCTCCAGATGTTAACCCCATAGTGCGAAGAATTAAAGCGATGAGTGAAAAAACACGAAGTTACGAATAAAGAAGACCTCAAAAATAGGATAAGCGTTGCCAATTTTCAAGTTGATTTATTTTAATAAAAACGCATTATAATTTTCTAAAATCCGGACATTATCGGCTTCGCCGGGCCAAGTTGTTGCTGTTAATTTAAAACAAAATGAAATGGGTTTATATGGGTATATTTTCTGCTTTCAATATTTCGCAAATGTGGCAATCTAATAGAATCTTAGAGAATGATGTCTATTTTTCATTTAAAACTGTCTCTTCCCAAGAATCGCAAACCTAATAGGATTGCCCAATCCCATAAGACATACGTTCGCCAAAATTATCGGTCGCACCTGGTCGCTTGTGACGTAAGCGAAGTCCTCTAACGGTTTTTGTGTATTCTGTCAATGCATTCGAAGGAGTATTACACAATAATATAGGTAAAGGTAAGAAATACAATTCTTTCACCTTTTTCTGTGGGATAAGTTACATCAAAAAATAGTTAGGTATGCCTGGAACGAGATGTGCCATATATGGGTGCAATAACAACTATTTTAATGAAAAAGCAAGTTCTCGAATATGTAGTTTACATCGCTTTCCCAAAGGGGAAGATCTAGTATCCCGAACTATTCGGAACGAGTGATAGTTCGATGTCTTGTCTTGAGGAACACATTAAATTCATCACAAAATTTAAATTTTAGGTTTACCTTTAAAAAAAGGTTCTAAAAAAACTGCTGTTCCCACCCTATTATTATTTAACCAGAAGCCACCAACAGTATCAGGATTATCTAGATCAAAAAGACTTCATTCCAAAAATGTCAAAAAAGAAGCTCAGCAGGTATTGTCTGAGCTTTTAGTGACAACATCGAATGCCACAAGTGAAATTCTAGAGAAAAATCGATCTCCAGAACTCATCTCCGAACCCCAAATAATAAATTATAAAGGTAAGTATGATACCCGCAGAAAAAAAATTAGAAAGTATGGTAAAATTGTAAAATAAAGATTTAAGTATAGTAGTAATATGTATTTTTTATAATTATGTAGATACGAGGGTATATATAAATACATATTATTATATACCTACCACCTATAATTAGTTGTTATGTATGCCTAACATATTTTTTGTTTTTTAATATGTTCTTTAATATATTCAAAAATAGGGATTTCCAGTTTATAAGTATTTGTTGATTTTTGTATATTTAAAATGGTAGAATGCCGTAAAACACAAAGTTTTACAAGTAAATCGTTTTGTTCCCTAGTTTTATGTATTTATGTGTAACAATATTTAATTAATATATGTATTTCAAGATAATACATATATGCCAAACTTGATTGCAATAATATTATTTTTACCCTACCTGAGACCCTACCCTACCCTACTTCCCAATAATTATTAAGCAAGTACTAAAATGATTTAATGTTGACATTAAATGAAAATAACGAGTGATTATCCTTAGCTACTCAAAATACTCAAAGTCCATCAAAACTCGGGTCAGTTTCAGATTATTTCGCATTGCACTTGCGGACAGATTTGGCGGATTAGGCAATCCTAATAGGTTTACGATTCTTGGCCGCTTCCATACTTATTGCCGATCTGTCAGTAGCCACGTTGAATTTTGAACGTCGCAAGGTCATTGTTTAAAAACGATTCACACGTTGAATATAGTCAAAACCTAACCGCAAATTATGACGTCATACTAAAGACACGTATTGCTTTTCATTACCTGTTGATATGACCAACGGCAGTTCTGTTCGGGCCGCTTTCTCAAGCAAAACGAAATTGTTCGCGTCGCCCGACCCGATTTTGATAAACGGCACGGAAATGCCGACGAGAAAATCTAACGACGCGCAATCCATAGGCGTCGCGGCGAACATAACCCCCACCTCTTGGCAGTACCGTTGCAGTTCTCGAAATTCGTCATCGGAAAACTCGAGGTGCGCCTTGTGGTCGCCGTACGTCGCCCCCCACGAGTTGGGAGATACGTACGGCGCCTCCAGCACCGATCTAGTGAACTTTTCCGCGATGCACGTCTTCTGGAACTTTGCGCAATCGGCGCCGCATTCCTAAGCACAGATAGCTGGTCATAAACTATGACGTCACTGGCGACCCCGGACTTTAACCCTTTGCACTCGTATATGTCCTTTCGCGAGTACACTGTAATCGGACTATTATTTTATCTACCTATCTGTCTACTCGGATTTTTTATTGCTTTTTTTTTAATGAAAAAAAAAGCTTTATAAAAACTATGGGATCTTTTTTTAAATATTTTATTATTATTAGAACATTACGTTAGAACATAACGCACCGTCTTTTTTCTTTGCATCATTGTGGACTAAAATATGTAATTTACCATTTAGCCGCTCTTCTGGACCGCATTTTGGACCCCTGCCGAAAGTTTTTTGTCATTCCGTCAACCAATTCCCGAACAAACTTTGGTTTTTAGTTTTTTTAATCCGATGTCAAGCTTCCTTAGTCCGGCAAAATTCGTATCGCCCATTTCATAGCCTTGTTAGGATTGTAAGTTAAAAAACTAATTTTACCCTTAAATCCCACAACAGATTTGTCTACCGACATCTCAGTTGATGGAACATAATGTGCTTTGAATTGCTTGTCCAAAATAATCTAAAAAATCGTTCTCCTCTAAATATGCTACTAAAAACAGGTATTTTGGCGTTAGAACGTTGCGACTCTTGGAAATTAGATAAGATTATCCTACTTATATTTAGGATAACGCCAATAAATGCGGTCAACTCGTCTATCTACCCACGTTTTGACAACCTCTTCTATAGCGTAGTTATTTGTTTGTTCCACTATTTTTATTATTAGCTCATCAGTAAAAAAGAGCTTGAAAAAATTTGTGGGTTTTGTACAAGTATCAGGAATATGTGGTCCTACCTTTTGATCCCCAGAAGGAAATAAAATCCAGTCTGGTACCTGATCGTAGCATGTGACGTCCTGCCATGGTTCTGTCTTTTTGTAACTATAATATCACTACCACTACTAGAGGCACTAATATAAAATTCATCGTCACTACTTTACAATTCATTTTCAATTTCATCTTGTAAAAACTTCTTGAGCATTTGAAATATTTTTTTTTTTCGAAATATACACCGAACTTTACCCAATCGTGTTAGTTATAAAACTGAGTAATATTCAAAATGCAAAAATGGTGCACATGTGAACGGAAGTGGTTGAAATTTCATCAAAATCATCATCATCATCAAAATATGTACAAAATAAATATCATGCTATCTTATGTCCTCAACGAAGGTTGAAGAAAGCAATTTAGAAGGCCGGTCAACCTGCTGTAATGATAAGTCATGGTGCGCCGCCCATACCGCGACATACGAGTGCAAAGGGTTAAATTAATTTTATTTACCATGGCTACGTCGATGAGTTTCTTCGCGTTACCGATATCTCCCTGATGATTTTGGCCGATTTCTGCCACTACGAATGTGCGTTTGCCTTTTTTGATGGCGTCCAAGAATTCCATGTTCGCCGTTCACTGACACCGCAGATGATAAAACGGAACCGTTTAACGCCGGATACGAATTAATTTCGTCGGACCGCATTCGATCAATTTATTTTTATGGAAGAGCAGCGTCGCGCGGTTAAAAATTCTTGTCGGGTGAAACAATGAAAAATAATACGAAAAAAGAAAAAATCACATCGTTTTTAAGTTCTGCACGACGCACACGGCGTAGAGGAGCTTATCCTGCAGCCTGCTCCAGACCACGTCGTGGCAGCTCTGCAGATGGGTGAGGAAACTCCTCAACTCTTCTTTCTCGGCAATCAAAGTCCCGTGCGACTTCAGGAATGTCCCCAGATACGCTTCAGCCAGCTCAAAGTCCTTGTTCGATTTGAGCATGTGTTCGATGATCCGCATAAACTGCAGCATGATTTCAACAGAGCCACCGCCCTCCGGTGCCAACGATTTGATCTCGAAATCTACGGTGGACGGCCCGAACTCCTTGAGCAAGGACAGGGGTCGCGTGAAGTCATTCGTCTTCCGCGACTGATCGAGCATTTTGCCGAATTCGGTGTAATTCGTCAAGTCTGAGGGCGTCAACAGTTTGCTCCGCCCCTCCTCGGGCGGTAACGCCTGTTTTAGGTCAAACTGAAAGTCGTTCAAGGTCGGCACGGTGGGCAGGAAGAAGGGCGCCGCCTTCGGCGTTTTCGGAGCTGTTTTCGGTTTGTTGCGCTGCTTGATGACGTCGACTTGGAGCAGGTTCTGCCACCTAGAGGTCGGCAAGCCGGACAATGTCACCAAATCCCTGCTGATCTGTTCCGGCGACAAGAATTCTGGCTCGTCAGCCGCTTCTTGCTTCTCTTCCGGCACAAATTCTTGATATACCTAAAGGAATAGAATGGGTGTGGCGCCATACCAACTGAATGCAAAAATGCCCACCTCTGGCAACTGGACGAGAGGAGGTTCCTCGGCCGGCTCCAAGCCTCTGAGCGTTATCTTCTGGTAAAGGGTTCTGTTGGTCCACAGGAATATTCCCAAATTATCAACGTGGGCGGTCGCCAAAGCTTCTCCGGTCGGAGACAGGTCGAGTGAGATGCAAGGCGAGTCGGTAGAGTACTGATCGACGAGCTGACCGGACGGGATGTCCCACGTCCGTATACTGCAGTCCATCGATGCGGTGACTGAATAATTTATTTATTTATCAACGGGCCAACCGCCCAATATAAAATAAGATTCACATAAACAAAATAGTAAAAAAACAAAATAAATAAAACTGAATAAATAGATAGATATATAAAGAATTTGAGTGCAGTAGATTATAGATATAAAGAGTTGTAAGTTGAAGAGAGATTTCCAATTCCAAGTAATCAATGTCCTCAAGTCCTTGGTGCTCCTTAAATGCTATATACCGCGGGAACCTATGCTGCACTCTTTCTATGACCTGTATGTGGACGATATACGAAAGTGACCACACACAGGAACAATAATCCAAATGTGGACGCACGTGGGAGCAGTACAGTAATCTGAGACACGGAATACTCTGGAAGTCTATAGTACAACGCTTAATAATGCCCAAAATCTGAAGTGATTTAGACACAATAGATGAAAGATGGTGTGAGTAGTAATTAGTATTGACTAACACTCCAAGATCCCTTATTATGGAGGCCTGCAATAACTGTGACACTTTTACGTTATACATATACTGTATGGGGAGTTTTATACAGTCATCAGAATTAGCAAATAGCAGGAAAAATGCATGATGAACACATGAGGCAACATCATTCACATAGACATTGAAAAGTAGGGGTCCCAGGTGGCGGAACACCAGAAGGCACTTTTAGTAAGGTACGATGTTAACCAAGTTTTTCCTGGATTCCAATGTTTTGCAATATTTTGATTAAGATTTGAGGATTTGCTCTATCAAATGTGAGACCCTTCTTCCAATGATTCCAGCAAAGAATCTGTGAATGTAAGTATGTTTAGCTCAGTGCAGCGATGGGGAGAAATTCAAATTGTTGGTCGATAAAACAACCTTCCAGGCCAGTAGATAAATAGTAGCAGGTTAAACTTTCGAACACTTGCCAGTTATCGCTGGATTTTAGGATAGGGGTAATGAAGCTGAAAAGTTACCGTTTTTAAAGAATGGCTAAAGATAATATATAGTGGTTTAGAAAGTATGAAGCTGCAATGCTTAATAAGACATGATGGGATGGCATTAGCACCGGATCCTTTGTTTTTATCTAGAGTCGTAGTTTCTCGTAAATAGATAAAATCGAAATGCTCAAGTGTGAGAGGCTCCAAAGACACAGTCCCCGTCCCTATACATGTTCGAAAAATAGTCTGCAAATAATTGATTTAAGCTTCCGTCATTAATACTAACCTAACCAGCGTGAATCGGGGCTGAAAGTGGCGTCCGTTAGGGCGGAAAAGTGGCCGACGAACCTCCTCACCACCCGCCTAGTGTCCGTGTCCACCAAAGAGACGGTGAAATCTTCCAAAGCCACGGCCAGTAACGAGCCCTCCCGGTGCGACCTTATGAATTTTATTGGTTCCTCGGTATTTAACGCGGTCAGGTGGTCGGAGCCTAAAAAAAAAACGACGCATTCTAATGTGGCCGCCGCGGAATGAACTCACGCGAGAGCTAACCTTTGCTTTTAAATTTCCAAAATTTGACCAGCCCCTCGCCTCCGCCTGTTACTACAATTTTATTTAGGGCGTCGGTCGCTAGGCCTCTTACCGCACCACCGTGCGCTTTTGGGGTCCCGTAACTATCCCTCCAAATACCTGATTGCATATTAAACCTTTAAACGCTATTAGCTATTGTAAACTGTACAATTTTTCCTTCGTAACTTACCGGTCCGCGTGCCCCGTACTATACCCGACAACTACGAAATTTCCGCAATGACTTAAACACAAGCAAGTGGCGACCACTTCTATGTTGCCTTTTAATATTTTCTTCTGGAAACGCTCGGGAACCAGTTTCAATTGCCCCATTTTTTTCTTGTCATAGGACCAACTTGTAACGACCCTAATACCCAAATGTATAGCCGCTATATTGTCCCATTCCTTCTCGCGCGTGGTTTCCGATGTGAACTGCACTATCGGCGGCATTTTTAACGGGTCTTCGACCCCACGGCCCCTTTTCTTGCTAACTTTCCTGTTGTAGGACGCCTTGCCCAGACTCTTGTTGAACTGTTCCGTCTGCGTGTTGAATATTCTTAAAGTAGAATCTGCGGCCGCGCTTAAGATGTTATGTCCGTTTGCCCCGTGAAACCTTATGTAAGAAGGTGAAGCGGCATGCCCTTCCCTTAGCCGCAATAACCTGGCGCCCCCGTCGGGCATATCAAATATCCACAACTTCAAAGCGTTGTCAGGGGATGATGTTAAAATTAAAGGTTCATCAGGTAGGCAGATCATGCCTGTGACGGGTCCATCATGAGCATGGAGTAACTGACTGCTCACCCTTCTCTCCTCCAGGTTCCAGAAGACTATATGGCCTGAGGTACTACCTGTTGCCATAATGGGATGGCCATCCAACCGGAAGGATATGCTCGTCACCAGCCCCCAATCCTGAGTGAACTCCATTATGGTCTCATCAAATTTGAGGTTATGAATAACGATCTTGCCGTCAACGAATCCTATTCCGACAACATCCAAAGCGGGAGCCTGCTCAACACAACTTATGCCCGTATCCCACTGTTTAAAGCAGTAGACCATTTTCGCTTTGTTGATATTCCACAACTGCATTTGGCCTTTGTCGCTCGCAAACAATATCTTATTTATATAAGTGCTGGGATGCATCAAGGCCGTTATGTGAAACTTATTTTTATCGAATGTAAGCTCCAGATAAACGCTCTCATTCTTTATATCCCAGATTTTTACTCTACCGTGATCGTCCACGGATATCAAGTGGGGGCCGAAGGGTAACATCAAATGCACCCGTCCGTGGTGGCCACGGTAAACGTGCTTTAATTCAGTGCCTCTTCGCCAGGCGTAGATCACATTTTCGCAAGCGGTATACACGTGATAAGCGTCCGTGCAGACGCAAGTAATATCACTCGGATGAAGTCCGCCGACGCTCAATAAACCGAAGTGCGAAATTCCGTAAGTGTGAAAAGATTTGCCCACGCACGTTACTATAAGGTGCTCCTTGCGGCTTTTTATGTACCTGATCCGTAACGGAATGTGGTTACTTACGTAACCCAGACTGCGGCACGGTAGGAATATCTTGCTCCCATCCGACATGATTCTAAATTGTTTTAATTAATGTTCGGAATCGCTACATTGGAACAGTTTCAAAACACGCGCTTTAGTTAAGGTTAGGTCGTCAAAGATCAGAAATTGGTAAGTAAATTATCGAACTGTCAACAATTTTTTTTTTACAAACATACGACTAATTAAAAGTAAAACGGTTCTTTAATTCGATTCGGTGCAGTCACTGTGTAAATTAAGTTGCCTACCCTTCGACTTTTAAAAATTGTGAGGTGCTAATTAAAGAATGGCTACGCCACATTAAATCCTGAACTTAAATGGGCAAAACCGCTTTCGGCCAAAGTGGTAATAATTTGGTTAAAAAAAATCAACACTTTGGACGGACCCATTTTTCGCGTATTCTCTGCACCAAAATATTTTTCTGCGCCAAGCTGATTGACGTTTCTATGAAAGCAGTTGCCAGTTTGACCTCGAAACGTCAGCTGTGTCGCGACCGTCTTGATTTTACTGGGCAGAAATGGCGGCGCTATGTCCAGGTGTTCAGTATGGTTTGTCTTCGCAACAAAATTTCGGTGAACATAAAGACTTGATTTTCGTGAAACTGACGGATTCCGCTTTACGTGCAATAGAAGATTACATAAAAAATCAGGTGAGTGACTGGACCGTTCGCTATCTTTTATCGCTCCAGGGTAATACAATCTGTTGCCTTTCGAGTGAGAGATAATAGTCGCCATATTCAGATGACTTATTAACCTATTATATTTCAAAATCGTGTTTTTCTTTCGGCGTTCGGGGCTTTCCCGATCGATTTAGCGCGTCCGTGCGGAATAATTGTCGCGAAAAAACCCCGCGGTGTTAACGAATATCGTCTGCGAGCTCCCCGGCCACGTCAACATATTGTCTGATTTTTGCTCTGTTTTTGTTTGAAAAATTCGGACAAATCGGGGGTCGGGCTCGCGCAAAATACCCGACGTGGAAATTCTACGCGATCCTGCTGGAAACGGACTCGTTAACGGTGTTATTCGACGGTCATATAAGGATATGAAAGCACCCAGTCTCTCTGACAGGTCGTAACTAATAAAACTTTCCCAAACTAAACGAGTAAATTAGTTCGTTTGTCGAGATTTAGGTTAAAAGTTTTTCGGTCCCGAAAAAGAGGTCTTCGGGACGTCACTTAAAAGGTAAAACCACCCGTTTTCGAATTACCGCGAGCTTATTTACATACTCGTAGAAAATGGTTCCAGGAAACTATGGCGAAAATATTTCGAGATTTCGTATTTTAAATGCGAAACGCGGATCTTACTCTCGTCAGGCGCGTTTTCTCCGCCACTTTTCAATTAGAGGTTTATCCGACGTATCTTTTTTTTTGACAGGTTTCGTTGACGTAGTCGGCCGGTTGTTTTCCTTTCGTTATTTCGGTGTGCCAATTCTTTTTTCGTCACAGCCGCCTCGGACCGCGTAAATTACATTTCAATTGCAAAAATCGAGCGCGCGGCGGCGGCGATTTGAAAGTTTCGCCCGTTCTCAAGGTCGTCCGTTCGCGTGCGCTCTTTTCCGCGCGGAGCGGCCCGCGTTTTTCTTTTTTCCCCGAAGAAGTTTTTTGTTTTCGATTCGTGCACGCGCGCACGCAGATAAATGTTATCTTATCGCGCGGCGAGCAACGAACCCACCTGCGATTTGACGTCCGACGGATGACGTCACATGCCAGTAAATAAGTCCCGTCGCGGGCTCTCATTTTTGAAATTGACCGCGCGCTGCAAAGTGACGGTTATTTTTCGCAAACTACACGAAAGGGAAGAACTTTAAATAGTGATAGAAGGTATGAATAACGAAATGTTTACTTATATCGTAAAGGAAAATACTCCATATTATTTATGGTCGTGTTTGGGCCAATTTTGACTCACAATGTGCGTTACTTTCTATTAAATTTTTATTTTATTGAGGCGCAGGTAGTACCGACCGGTATTGGGGCTGTTTTTACGCAGCTTGGTCATTGTTATCTGCCTATAAACACTGGCTGTAGGTGCAGCAGTGGCGTGCGCGCGGTGAAAGTGAAGGATTTCTGCATCATCATATTCCCCCCTGCCATTTGTAACTTGTTACTTTCGAAAAATCTATGAAATCGAATTTTTCGAAAGTATACGCGCTCCTCACTAAACTCGAGATCTGCGGTAGGTCCTATGGGACCACCATTGGTACGGAAATGATAAGCGTTCTCCGTAGACGCTTCATAAAAACGCGAATAACTTCGGAACCGTTGAAGCCAGGATGCTGAAATTTTTCTCCTTTTAAATTGGCCACGAGATACATAAGCCTATAGGAAATGGCCGTGATTGGAAACTGGCATCTGTCTTTTTTTTGCGATTTTCGTCTGTTTTTCGTATATCGCTCTGAAACACGAAAAGTGTCTGAGATTTGCAGTTACCGATTACAAAATTGGCTCAAATATAGAGTTTAGTCCCCTAACAGAACCTATTGAAACTGGAGGGGAGTCGAGAAGTATTTTTAATAATTTAAAAACCGCATTTGAAGGTTCTCGAAAAAAAATTAATTTCTAAAAAACGGTATATACCATCAAAAAAATTCTTGAGCCAAAAGACGTGCTAGAACCGGATCAAAAACTTTTATTCTTGACGATTTTTTAAAAAAGTACAGGGTGCGTCGGTAATTTGCAAAAAACTGAAAATTGGGATTTCCTTATAAAGATAATTGACCATAACTAGGAGACTGTGATTCAGTTAAAACTTGTGTATTTAAGGTTTTCACCTATTTTATGTGGCTTTCAAGATATGCCGTGCTATATTAAAAAATGTAACATGTGTCTCAAATTTGCAGCTATCGACTTGAAATTTAGCAAAGAGGTAGAAGTTCACACCCATATTTAAATTGTTGAAACTGCGCCGTCAAGTATGGCAAAGTATTTTTTAAAAATTTTAGAATTTTTTTTTTTTGGGTTATATTGGTTTGGTCGGTTTAGACGATGTTGAGTCATCCTCATATATTGCAAAGCGTCGTAAGCTGGATGACCCTGCGAAATATATTATCATATATCAAGCGCAAAGGAACGATTCAGCTTTACAGGCCACTTAGTCGCAGCCAGTCTTTTTTTTCTGAAGAGCACAGCCAATATAGTACTTGTTTTTCTGAACAAAAATTCAGACAATAGACAATCAAAAATTACCCATTTTTCATCGAGCAAAAACTCCGTACAGAATTGAGAGTCATTTATGACACAGAATAATTTAAAGCAATTTCGGGACTCCTTGTACTTTCTGATTTTATTTCTCAAAATACCGAGCTAAGTGAAACTTATAACTCATAACGATTTTAATAACAATCCTTATGAATTCAGCTGAAGCTGAAGCAACCCTCAAATGGATAAAAACGTTTTTAAGAAATACCAATAAATCCCAATAATGAGATGTTCATTTTCAAAAATTATTATGTAAGTATTACTAGAGTTTGTTAGTTTATATATTTTAAATCATTTTAAATAATCCACTGCTTCTAGACTTTTTGGAGGCGACCCAAAAAAAAAAAATGTCGCCTCATTCTATAGCCGCCAATGCAACATTTTTATTGTACGCTACTGCTTTACCGGCACCAAGGATCCAATTCCAGAGAGGCGTGTGGCGCGATAGATGCTCCCTCGGGGGCCGTTAGCCGCGGGGTTGGGACTTGCGCCTCCGGGTAGTACCATCTGCTCAGGCAGGTAAATCATCACACCGCTCGCAAAATCGGAAAATTTGCGGTGCGGGGAGGCGGCGACACTATCCGGAGGTCGCCTCGCGCTGATTTTCATTCAAATTAATTTTAATCGACAAGCGGTCGTACGTGACGGTCTATGCAAAAGCGGTGACCCGGTTTCGCGGGTATCGAGGTTAGCCCCGCCCGTCGTCCGCCCGCCCGCCCTTGTCAATTCCGTAATTTAAATTCGAGATGGTATAGAGGAATACAGAAAAAACGATTTTTCTACTTCCGTCTGTAAAATGCCTAATTACACACAAATCTAGCGTGCTGGAAGCGTCAGTTTGGCACGTCAGTTTCGTTTCTCACGGATCCGAGCCACTTCGGACATTTCCGGGATTTTACCGCTCGGGTTTTGGGAACGATCGGAGATATTTCCCACGTTTTGAATTTTGACGTTTGTCAATTCTGAAGGTCATGTCGGTGAATGAATTCGTGTGCAAAAATGTACCCAAAAACTAATACATAGAAAAATGTTATGACAAGCTATAAGCTACAATTAAATTTAAAGTTAAATAAGCAACCTAACGTAAATATTTTGTGTGAATGGTACGAAATTTAGTAATGCGATAATCTGTTATTATTTTTAATTTGTTAAATTGCGATTTTTCCGTGACGGTCGTAGAAAAAGTATAGTAAGCAGCACGTTTGGTAAACTCTTTATCTCATTCGTTTATTGATGCTGTTATTATTGTTAATTTGTTAAGCCCAAAATTTTGTAATCCATAATCGCTTCAAATCCTCCGCTTCAAACAATAAGATGTATGTTTGAACAACCGACATGGCCGCGGACAGTTCATCAGCAGTTTTCAGCTTCTATGGGTCATTTTTTTTACAAATTCAACGAGACCTCTGGCGGAGAACATGTTAAACTATTTCGGCAGCGCGGCAGAGTTTATGTTTGCGTCGCATCGTTGTTTATATTGATATTAAAAAGTGCTTTTACGGATTCATCGGAGTGTTCGACATTAAAGGCAAAGCTTACCGGTTTCAAACCCAAAAACAAAACAAATTATACTGTTGACGGATGTCACTAAAGAAACATTAAATAACAATTATCCCAGTGAGAGCTTTGATGTAATTTATTCTTAAAAAAAACTGTAGAAATATATTTGCAATTTTCCGATAAAGCATGGGTGTCTATTTGACCATATTTAATTGGATATTAATTTCAAAAATGTTTTGGAAATAATGTTAAGGATTACATCCCACATATTTTAAAAAATAATTTAGGCATTCTGCAACAGCATTAGGTCGTCACTAACTTGCTAAGCTGCATTCATTCACTTTCCAATATTTTTTTCTGCTACAAAAATTCACCTTCGCAGCATACGTGATTTAAAAAAGCGCCAGCGTGGGAGCCATCGCAGCTACCACAGTTTTACTGCCATATACAAACTAACCAGAATTTTAATTCCTTAGAGGCTCTGCAAACAGAAGAATTTTGACAGAAGACAGACAGCGATAGAAATTGTGAAGTTGATTATTTTGCGTAGCAGTGAGTTTCTTTGTTTTTATTTTAACGTAGTTGCAGTGATTTTGCTTCTTTGAAAATAATATCATACGTAAGTACAACCAAAATCAAAAAAGTACCACCTCCTTATTCTCACCTCAAGCTTAATTTTTTGTTTCAAATTCTATTGATACATAATAAACATTGTTATTATTCCTGTTAGGGTATTCAATATGGTACTAACAATGAATCCATGCACCGCTTCTGAAATCCCGCTTAGCTAGTTAGCTAGCTAGTCCTTAAAGAACCTTAATTATTTAATACCTGGGTGAAGTTAACAGGGAACAAGAGGCTAATACAGGAGGTGGCTGATTTGTTAAAGATATACAGAAATTGCAGAGTATATGCAAAACATTTCGTGAATAATGAATGAGAAGTTAAGTTTAAGTCCCCTTAAGAATAATTCAAAATGCACATCGATAACTTTTGTATTATTGATTTTACTTTTCATAGCTTTTGAGTGCGAGCCTTCTCCTAGCTATGCAGGACAGTGGTTTTCTATTTTCGATTTCATATTTGAAATCGCTTATAAAGAATTGCCGCAAGTTACCGTATAGTCTGTTAGTTCAAATCAAAAAGTAACAAAATGGTATATAACTACTTATTACGTAAATTACTTCTGCTCCAATGTAACAGAAGAATGTTTCTAATAAATTAATGAAAAAAATAGGACATTGTCTATTTGTATGCTTAAAAAATGTTCTCAAAACTTCTAACATGCCAAATATTAAAAAATATATAGAAAAGATACTTACTTAATTTGATGTCCAAAAATTATTGCTGAAATTTCCATAAAAATGTTGACTTGGGGACTTGTTATTCTACAATAATAGTTATTATATATTATGAACCAATAAATTTTATTAATATTTATAATAAATATTTCCTGTTTTTCCATAGACTTATCCTCCAAATTCGACAGGAACGAATTCCTGAACAAAAAATCTCTTGAATTTTTTCCCCCAATATTTTTACTCATAAAATTCGCTTTTAGTTCCTTACATGGCACCAGATGCTGTTAGCGATGCTGTTTCTATTCTTCAAGAGTGACCAATATAATATTTGTCTATGCTTATCGATGCATTAGACGCTCTTTAAAATAAACAAGCAAGAAACTACCGTATAACACCGCGTACGCTTTGAACTTTAATATTATACGACCATAAGTACTTTACAGTACCTTAACCGCGTCAGTTTTTGCTGAGTCGAACTTCCTGACGTTTCTCCAATCATCCTGTTGGCTTCTTCAGAGTTTGACTGAAACTGTTTCAGTTCAGTTCGACTGAGCAAAAACCGACGCAGGAGGAATCCAGAAGTTTTGTAAAAAGTAACAACATTCTTGTTCTTGTATTTTTGTATCTTCTACATAATTCTTCGATTTGTAAACAACAACAATCTTTTTTGCGACTATAGATCATTTTCACGGTTAATGAAGATACTTCATAAGAGTCATTGAATTGATCATCGAACTAGGTGACGGTAGTAGCGATAGTGACGATTTTTAAGTGACTGATACGTTTTTATTATTATATTTTGTATGTTAATAATGATACTATGTAGAAATGTAATAAAATAGAAGTAGTAAAAGTAAAACACACTTTTTCCTGCTTGTTGGTGTAGGTAGATATATTGCGTGGTCGGTTGTAAGTATAACTGGCCGTAAGTAGCGTTAAATTTTTTCGGTTAACATGGGTCAAAGTTATTTCTCGCAAGTAAGGGGTAAAAAACGCCAAGATAATAGGTACAAAAGGTGCACTATCTCGTGACGTTATCAGCGTCGCGCCTCCGGTACATTTTTTTTTTCAATACGTCTTCAAAATGTCAAGGAGAGGCGCGATCTCGGCGGGCCGTGTGACATTTCACCGGGTTCTCCCGTTTGGCACGTAGAGCGGAGTACGTTGCGACGACCTTGACCCGGGCGAGTACGACCGCAACCATCGGACCACCACGGTTTCGGCAGCTGCCGCGGCACGCGCGGCAACGGCATCGTCGCATTTCACCGGAAGTGTCCGGCCGATCAATCGGCTCACACCTGGACTTAGACTCTGTAACTTGTATTCCTAAGCGAAAGAGATGCAGACGCGAAGAAAAACCGTCGTTACATACCGAGGTTACTCCGTAAGCTTTTCTGTAGACTTCTCGGCTATCATTCGTCAAGATTCGTTTCGTAGGTCGGGCACCGATATTTAATTTAAATTAGCATAAAACATAGAGCAGAATAACCGCGTTACAGGTAGGTATTTCTTATGTTGGTATTCTATGCTGAAACCTCTTGGGACATGAAAATTTTACAAATTTGTGTTCATTACGCCAACTTAAATTTTGAGTCATTTACTGCATAAGGAGGAGAAACGACGACGGATCTCAAATCTACAAATAGCAAGAAGGTTATGAGAAATATAATTTAGTCTGCAATAGAGGAGATTCTTTGAGGTGTTAAATAAGGAGCCACTTCTCAATGGGGTCCTACCAAAGGAATGTGGGCGAAAAGTACTTGCGTGCAGTCAGTCAACAGACTCTCAACAACTGTCTAATCATTGGATCTGTTTTCCCCAAGCTTAAATTAAAGGAGCAATTATTGGCTGTATAGATCATCACACCGCATGAAAATGCGGTGTGATGATGATGTTATGTCAGCAGAAAAGGATTTCTGGAAGGAAAAGGATAACTGGACGCCACAGATCAATAACTGACGCATTTATGTGGCGTGCTTTGCTGATTGGAAACTCAATATGCTGCAGATGAGCTCTACATATTTTTATTTTCTTCACTATGTATAGTATGTGATATATCAATCAATGTTTGTGAATGAATATGATAAAAAAATATATATATTTTAATTATATTTGTTTCCTTCATTCGGGGTGAAAGGAATATATTGGTTGTTAGGGGATTCAGGATATGCATTACAACCCTGGGTCATGACTTGTGACAAACCCGAAGTACTGAGGAAAGATGCATGGTGTTTTTAAAACTTTAGATGCACAATAGGGTGCGCAAACTATGTTATACTCCTGGCAAAAGTTGGCAGGACTATTTATACATCTGCGGTTTTACGGTTTAAATAATCAGAACTCCTAGTTGTAGCATTTTTATTATTTTTTAATTGCACAATGAAACTATTTACAAAAAAAATATTAACACAGAAAATAAAACTACAATATTGCAGGAACAGGAATTGATTTAACGTTTTACATAACACACAATAATAATAATATATAGTAGCATATGAAGACACTTTTAAATTTAAAAAATTGTTTTGACTCCAACCTCTTCAATAATTGTGAAAACAAATCATTGTGTCTTTCTTTATTTTGACATACTTCGAGTAAACCAGGTTATATTATACTGAAGGGCAGAGACACACATCAGTAGCCCTGACTTTCAACCAACAAAGTAACTACGTTTAAAATAGTTCAAAGAGAGAACACACTAATATTTCACCAAATTCCTTGGATATATTTTAAAAATTATGAATGAAACCGACCAATAAATCATTTGGTACTTTGGTATTTTGGCCAATAAAACAAAACCATCATGAAATTCAACTACAGTATTCGTGAGAACACTCACCCTTAAGTCTTCGCAATTTTACGCAATGCAAGAATGCGAATACACGGTTAACCGAGAAATGCCGGAAAGATATTTCTTCAAACCATGTTTATTATAAAATGACGCATTTGTACTAATCAAATTTTGATAGAGCGAAGGGCGAGAAATGCGGTTTTAAGGAAACATCCGGCTCTCAAGTGGTTGCAAAAATTTTATACGGCAGCTTAAAAAGAATTCGTATTACAAAATAATTGACAGCAGTGATCTCTATCTCTACGGGTGGTAGGTAAAGTTCGCCTCACGATCTACCGTTTTTACGACATAATCCCGTATTTAACTTTGGTAAATTTTTATGAAAGTCTACCTCGCTTGGGTTTCTCTTGGTAGCCCTCAATAAATAGATTCCACGATGACGTTCCAGAACCGTGGTTGGGTGCTTCGTGCATACAAATAGGTGAGCTACCTCGATTATTATTAGTCCAGAGAGTGAAAAATCCGTTTTTACTCTAAAATGTCTATAATAAATGTAAATGAAGGAGTATATTTAGCTATAAACAATATTACAATATTTATTTAAAAAGAAAAGTTATTCTACATCAAAATAATCACTATCTTCGCTGGACTCGTCCCCCACATTAATAATTAATTGTGCCACTAGTCGATTTGAGTAAAAATTTTCTTCTTCGATGACATGTTCTACACATTTTTTTCAACTAGAAGTAGATATTTTTTCTACTTCACTTCTAATTAATTCTATTGTCCCAGAACTAAATTTCGGCGAGGTGTTGTTTCTTTTTAAACTGGACCTCAGTTCTATCGGAAGTTTTCTTTTATAAAAATTGGAGTTTTACGTTAGATAGAAATATCGCAGAAAAAAATATTGTATTTGACTTGCTTTTCTCAATTCTCAACTCTTTATTAACATATCCTCCAATAGATAAGTTAATGAGCTAGTCACCTGTAAGGGAACATTTATATTTTTGGACGGTTTGGCACAGATTACCGCCAAATCGGTAGGATAGTGACGTCAGTCTCTAGACAACCGTGGTCTGTGGCGATAATATTTACTGACTATTAATAATTTGCGTTTTTTCTGTTTCAGAACAAGTTCGCATATCAGAACCCGCACATAAGGTTCCTAGGAAACGAAAATGGGGTGAGTGAATTATTATTATTATTATGTCTGTCGGCCACGTAACCGAAATTTTAAGATCTCGCAATCTCGCGGCAAAACGCGTCGAAATGACTTTCACTCGGGCGGCCGGGTCGTCGTCGCGCGGCACTGTGTTTACTTTCGAATTTTTTTTTCTTCGAATTGAAAAAAATGCGAAAACACCGCGACCTTCGGACTGGACAAATCGCGCGCTAATTCCCGTCAAACCGTATGGAGGGTAGGCAACAGCGCTCTCACTTCTCGCTTGCTCGTGACGCAACGCAACACGTGGCTTTTTAATCTTTTTAGGCTCTTATCCGGAGCAATTCTAAATGATCCTGAAGTTAAAAAAAGCGTAGAATAGAAATATAATAACGTTAAACCCTATTTAAAAGCTTCACTTGTGAAGGCGCTCTCTGTCAAGCTCGGTCTAAAACTACTCTCTCGCTCTCTAAATGCTCTGTCCGAAAACTTCATCTCTAAAAGATGCCTAAAAGGTTTTCTCTAAAAGCTCTAATTAAAAACTTCACCTCTAAAAGCTCCACCTCTCTAATCTTCCTAGCTCAAAGCTCTCTGTTTCTCTACCTCTCTCCCTCCCTAACTCCCCATCTCTCCCTCCCCCTCCCTCCCTCCCTCTTCCTCGCTCCCTCCCTCTTGCTCTCTCCCTCCCTCCCCCACCTCACTCGTAAAAGATCACTTTCTCGGAAGACTACATTACAACTTGAAAAAGTCCAAAGCTTCGTGGATTTCAAATAAATTTATAAGCTTACTATTGTAATAGGGGTCTCGCGTGTTAAATAGCATATTTCCCGCCAAGAAACGGCGCGGTGTGGACGGGGCCTGCGGGCGTGACGTACGCGCGATCGATCGTCGATGACATTTTGGAACGCTGGTCGGCCGCGTTGACCCGTAAACTATCCCGCAGTGTTTCGAACAATCCGTTCGTTAGGTCTGTAATAATAAAAGGTCGCCGACGAAGCGCATCTCGCACAAGTAGGCCCCCGCAAATCCCGGATTGTGAACGGGACGGCATTTTGAGAAAATACCTATCGTTTCACAGATCTTTCACTGGATTGTACATTTCTGTAAATTTTAATTTTTTGTGTTCCTCTCTAGGAAGTAATTTCAGAACCTGTCCCGTAAAATTGACGTCATTATTGTCTTTTTAGATATAAGATATCATCGTCTGTACCGTGCGTTGTAAGTTTCTTGTTTTTAGAGATGTCGAGGTAAACAAGAAAGAAACAAAAAGTAGGGCTAGTAGCCAAGTTTTTTTCCAAGTGACGTATAAAACAAAACACTATCAACTTTCTGACATACAAGTCTACATCATATTTTTTTAAGTGGAACGCCGTGTATATTATATACGTGTTTAATAGAATATCTTATTCCGATTACAATGATGTAACACACAATTTATATTTGATGAACTCTTTTTGACAAATCAGAAAAAATATAAAATTTTTATATAATTTCAAACAGTGCTCTGACAAATAAAAATATGTTTATGTTTGACACATTAGTAAGTGGTTGAATTATTGCCCAAAGGAGCGATACGCTTCAAGTATACTTTCTGCATAATAAAAGTGCAATCGCAGCTCCTTCAAAACAAATATTTCCAAGGCTGGCAGAGAAATTTGCAGAAAACGGTAACGTATTTGCTCAACCGGTATGCCGGAATCATAATGTTTTAAACGAAGAAAATAAATCAAACATATTAGCATCCTATGAAGCACATCCAGTTTCCAGCATATGAAGAGACGGATATGTCTCGGGGATCAATCCACTCAGTTTTAAAAGAATATAATTTAAATTTCGTACTCAAAAACTAAGTACAGAACAATGGCAAGTGATGATGCAGATTCGTTCGGATTTTTTAAATAGACATAATGAGGATAATAATTTTTTGAAAAACATTTTATGGACTGATGAAAGTGCGTTCACACAATAGACAAAATACGCGATATCGGTCTTTGGTGTCGTAGATGGGCGTATTTTGGGTCCGATAGTTATTGATCAAAAGTTAACTGGAGATCATTATTTGCAACTCTTAGAGCATCAAATAGAAAAATATATAGAAAATTTACTCCTAAATATATCAGCGCTTGTTATATGGCAGCAAGACTATGTCCCTCCTCACAATATCGCAGGGGTTGGATAGCGAACTATGGATTGGCCAGGCAACGGCCCCGGCTTAACTTTAATGGATTTTTTCTTTTGGGGACACATAAAAAAAATCACGTGCATAGAACTCCTTGTAGTAATGTCGTGGAACTTCGGCAAAAGATTTCAGAGGCAATCATTCAGTTAAGAGACAATTCGGAAACGGAACAGGAACAGGAAAATGGTGGTCTCATACAGCAGTATTTAGAATAGTTCATTTTTTTTAAATTCTAGTTTGTTTGTTTCGTTTTTCTTGTACTTTAATTTGTAAATAATTATTGTTGCTGCAGTCAGTCACGGCACTCTTTGAAATTTTATAAAAATTTCCAATTTTTGTCGATTTGTCAAAAACCAGTGGACTGAAATATAAAATGTGTTACATCATTGTAATCGTGATAAGATGTTCTGCTAAACATATATGTAATATACAGGGTGTTCGATTAAAAAAATATGACGTAGGCTTATATGTGAGAAAAACTGAGAGTGTCTACATTTTGTCTTTTTGTTTACCTCGATATCTCTCAAAAAACAAAAAAGTTACAGCCAATTAAAACGATAAGTTGAACCCACGGTACGTTTCGCTGAAGATCTTTATTTTTGATTACTCACTTCGATTTGGATCGCGTTACCTCGCACGTTAGATATTTATGGTTAAAATAAATGTGTAGCCCCCTACGTTTCGTTTTTTGGATGCGCAGGAGCTATCGTTCCCGTCGCAGCACCACAACGCGGGATGCGTGTCGTTCAACTTCGCGATGTCCTCGACCGCCGACATGGAGGGGCCCGGGGGCAGTTTCGAGTGCGTCCACGGGACGCCGCCCCGCGGGCCCCTCGAAAACTTGGGCTCGATACCGTACAAGATAAGGGTGCACGCGAACGAGGACGTTTACGAGGCGACGCGGAACCGCATGAACGAGGTCGAGGACAAGTACAAAAACAAGTGGTGAGTGTCGTCTTGACATGGGCGGGGCGTACCATCGTCTACTCCCGATCCGGGTGTATATATAGCGTGTCCCACTTACTATCTGTACACCCTTGAAATCTTTGTTTATGCATCAATTTTGATTTTTTTTTTATTGCCTAGATATCTGAAAAATGCACTAAAACCTTGTGTTTCTTTTTACATCATTGCCAACTAGGACTATTTAACAGAAGAGAAAAGTACTATTAAAGATAGAGATACAGATAGCTTTATTTCCATAAGACTTGGGTTACAAGTATTAGTATTATTAATAACTTAATAATAATAATAATAATAAATAATGTTAGATAACCTAACGAATACGTATTAAAAGGTGTCATGAGAAAGAAAATCCTTTATATTGTAATAGGTAATTTGTTTTTAAGAATGCATTTGAATTTTGTTTGACTATCTCCTTCAGTTCCGAAAGGCAATTTATTATAAATTTTTACAGTCGAGTTAAGTTTCGGTCTTAAATCGTATTGAATATCTGAGTTTCTTGAGAGCATATGAAGATTAGAGTTGCGCAATTTAGTATGTACATACTAGGAAGTGTCGATAAAGAGTGGAAATAGGTCCCGACATGAAAAATTCCAGGACTTAAACAGTATAATCCGTGAAATGCGTTTCTGCATGCTAAAGACTTGCTCCGCGGGTGGTGAACATCCTCAACAAACCACGGCGTAGTTGAGACAGGGACAGGGACCTTAGAAAAATAGTACACTTTTAAGGGGATAGCGGAGCCTCCATATGACAAAGCAATAAACGTTTTTTGAGAATGTGATCCACCTGTTCGAACCAGGAGAGTCTCGAGTCTACATAAACACTTTTCTGCTGGATTGTGCAATCCTTGAAGCGTACTAGTAACTTTTATTGAAATCCCGTTTTGAAATCTTATTAAAGAGAAATTAAACGGTTTTTTCATATATCATCGACTACGCACCCAGGTTTTTGAAACGGAAAATCGAGATATATTTTTAGAGATTTTTTTCAAATTGAAAGTGACAGCAGATTCGTGTTCAGCACCACCTAAAAGTGACTAAACCAATGACCAATTTTTTTAATGTTTTGAAAAAATTAATATCGCCAGTTTTGTAAATTACGATTATTTTGTATATGATTTTAAGGTCTTACAAATTTTAATTATACAAATTTCAAAAATAATGTTTGAAAAAGTCTTTTTAAGGAACATTTTTTTTTAGTATCATCTTAAAACAATAAGTCGTAGTATTCGAAAGGTGCAATATTCGGTTTTGATATTCATTGTTAGATGAGAATTAAAAATCCTTCTTAATTAAAAAAATACAGCGTTGTAAAGTCTGTTTAGTTCACATCTAATCTTCCCTAATCATATTTAATTTTAAAAAAGTCGTTGGTGCCTTTCAGTGAAATCTATCCAACAAAAAGAATTATCAGAATTGAGCCGTAAACAAACATTCTACAGGAGTAATGCTTAAACGAGGCGCCCCCGATATTTCGACCATCCTGTATAGTTAAGTTTTATGTAGTCCCGAATAAGAATTCGTAGACACTTTATTCTTAAAGAAATTCCTAATAGTCCTTCTCGATGTTAGTTCAGATTAAAAGAAACTTCTGGTGCGTTTTTGGGTGGGGCGCAAACGATATTTCAAACGCCCTGTATTAAAGCTTAAAAATTGGTATTGTTAAGTTCTAAATACTGCTGAATAAGAATTCGTTACCAATTTATTAAAAAAAAATCCCTAAAAGTACTTTTCTCTTCTCCCCTTTTTGTAAAGTAATCTCAGTTGGCCACGACTTTAAGTTGAAGCAATAAGCAAAACAAGATTTTAGTGCATTTTTCGCAGACTTACTCAACAAAAAAAAATGTCAAAATCAAACCGTAATCAAACGATGATATTTCAAACACCCTCTATTGAAACATTATAAAAATTGGTGTAGCTGGGTTCTAAGTACTACTGACTAAGAATTCGTTGCTATATATATTTTTTTAATCCCTAATAGTACTTATCTTTTCTCCCTTTTTTTGTAAAACAATGTCAGTTGGCTATGATTTTAAGTTGAAACAATAACCAAAACCAAAGGTTGTATAAGTTTTAAGTAGGATACACCTATTCCGTCCTACTCCCAACGTACTCAAGCACGTACAAAAACGTGTGGTCGTGTGTGTGTGTGTCGGCAGCACGCGCGAAATCAAACCGAACCAGACGGACATCGGGCGCAAGGTCAAGGTCAAACAGATGGCGGCATCGCGGGCCCCGCCCCCCGCGCAGCGCACCGCGTCGTCGTTGCCGTCGATGCGGGATAGCCTGTTGAAGCACGGTTCTGCGCCCCCGTCGTCGTACCAGCCCCCGCCCAAAGCGCCGCCTCCGCAGTCCGTGACGTCGTTCCAGCCGACGACGGCTACTCACTCGTCCGTATCGGGGGGCGGAGCGTTCTCGAACGGCCTGGGCAGCAATCACGTGAGCAGCTCGCAGCGGGCCGCCGCCGCCGTCACCGCCGCCACCGTCCAGCACAACAAGAAACCGTCGGTGCCGGACGTCGCCAGACGTCCCTTGAGGTAGGTCGAAGGGCGGTACTCACTCATTTTGAATTGAACGATCTCCAGGACATCTTTTCAGCTGCATCCCTGAAAGACTGTTTAGCCCTTTCAGTACGGCGACTCCCCCGAAAAAATATGCCTTTAGTGCGGACGGATATCGGCTCTACACGGCAAAATGTTTATATATATATATATATATATATATATATATATATATATATATATATATATATATATATATATATATATATATATATATATATATATATATATATATATATATATATATATATATAATAAATATGGTTTTAAACAGCAAGATCGGTTATTTGGACGGTAAACATATTTTTTAATTTCAAGAATAGACAAAAAAAATGAATGTAGTTATTCTATTGGAAAAAATTACCTTTTTAAAACCGAGCAAACAAAGCCTCTTCTTCTTTTTGTGGAAGTAGCTCGCGGAAGTGCCGCTGTGTTAATCGTCTATTACCAAGGTCATAATATGGCAATATAAATTCTTCTGCTTTATATGTAAAACGAAAATCACATTTCTGCTGGAGCATCCAACAGAAATAGGTCCGGCTTATCATCTGGAACGTATGGGAGTACTGGTGTTTCATCAATACCGTAGGAATGCCTCAAATGATAGTAAAGCACCCGAAGAGCTGCGTTATCCCGGTAGATGTAGCTCGAAACCGCGTGTGCCCGTAATCAGTGTCCATCAGTGTCCACACTGCATCGATGTTTTCTTGGACAACCACCAATTTTGGACGACCTTCACCATCCTTAAGAAAACTGCGTGAAGTCCGAAAACCGGCGATAAACAGTAGTCCTAGATGGTGCTTAACTCCAAAAGTCGAATTAAGTGCATCGATACATTGTTGTTGAGTTAGTACACATCTAAAGTTGGAAAAAATTGTTGCACGAAAATGCTCCCGATTAAGTTCCAGTTTTAACAATCACAATTTTTTTAATTTATCATAAGAAACACAAACAACACTATTTCACCAAAACGTAACTGAGCATATAAAAACCTCAGTCGCCATATGGCAGGATTAGTTTATGAAAATCCCGAAATATAAATGGCAGCTCTCGTAGTACTGAAAGGGTTATATTTTTCCTGGATAACGTCCCAAAACATGGACCAATTTTGCTTTTCGCACAGGGAGCGACTGATCCAGCTGCTCGCGCTGAGGCCGCTCAAGAAGATCGAGCTGCACGACCGGCTGACGAAAGAGGGTGTCCGAGGCTCCAACAGTATGACGACCGTGCTCAAGCAGATCGCGCACATGAAAGACAACTGCTACCACCTGAACCGGAACGTGTGGAACGAGGTGAACGACGAGTGGCCTTTTTATACGGAGACTGAGAAACAAGTGCTTAAGAGGTAGGGGCAGGGGAAAGGGGCGGCGCGGTAGAAAACCTACACCGTCGCGTTCCAGGCGCAAACCCCAGAACCTGACGCCGCCCGGTGGCAGCGACGGCGGCAGCTCGGGCAGCGGCCAGTCCCCTACCAGCACCCATCCCGGCTCCCCGCCCCTGATCACTTCGTCGAACGGCGCGAAACGACCCGGTTTCCACGAGGGCGCTGACGGTTTCCCGTACAAGCGGCAACGCATCGCCCACGGTAGCGGCAACAACACCAAATTCCCCGCGGCGGCGGGGCTTCCGGCGCCTCCCGCCGACACCCATCCGGTCGCTACCTACCCGCCCAGGCAGCAGCAACAGTCGGAATTTCCCGCATACCGTCAGTCCGACCAGGCGTACAGCCGCTCACCGATAGAGCAACAAAATAGCCAGCGGAGACCCGCGACGGACCTGCGAGACGCGTCCAATATGAACCCCCGCAGCAGGGAGTCGCCCACCACCAACGGCTACCACCACCTGAACGGCTACGACGTCTCGCCCGACGATGACAAGAAGCGGCAACAGTGCTGCGATAGCCTGACGTACGGCGTGGCGCGAGACAAACCGTCGTCGTTCAGAAATGGGTAAGTTTAACTTTCAATTCATCGTGCCCTCACACGTTTCTTCTCCCGAACACAGCCTCGAGGTGCCTAGATGGCAGTCACGCTCATCTTAGACTGAGAGAGCTCATTTTTTAGTCCAGCAAACTTCCTTAATACAGGCTCTCTAAGTTTAGTTTTCGATACATTACCGTCTTCTGTCAGGTCCCCCGTGAACAACAGGCCTCCCCAGCTGACACCGCCGAACGGCACGCTCAAGGACAAGGATCGTCGGAACGGCGGCCACAGGGTGTCTTCGTCGTCGTCCAGTAGTCAGCGGATCGCGAGGGTTAGTCCCGACAGTCAGACGGAGGTGCTGACGACGGATCCCCAGTCCGTCCGCCCGACGAAGCTGGACAAGGTCGCAGGCGCGACGGCCGACGACTTCGACTTTCCGGATTACAAAACGTAAGTAGGGGAGGGAACGCCCACATGGCGCGAACGGGGGTGGGGCAATGACGTAGGAACAGAACCAGCGGGACGATTTCATACCGGCAATGTATGGGAGAGGGAGGCGGGTAGCGTCGTACTTTCTATACCTATACGTACTTTCTTTTTAAATCCGGCGATAACTCGCAAGTCAACAATTGTAAACTCATCAGTATCCCTAAAATGTTCGAAAGTTTAATCTGCGACTATTTATCTGCTGACCTTAGAGGTTGCTTTATTGACCAACAATTTGGATTTATCCCTCATCGCTCCACTGAGCTAAACTTGCTTACGATTACAGATTTTCTGCTGGAATCATTAGAAGAGGGCTTTCACATTTGATAGAGTAAATCCTTATATAGGACTCGAGGACGACGAGTACTCAGAATTGGAAATTTCTCTCCAACTTACTTTTATACTTTATTTTTTATAATCTACTGCATTCAAATTCTCATGTTATGTAAGATTGGGCTTCAAAGTAACGTAAGTAAAATTACGTTAAATGTAACTTGTGTTTATTGCAGCTCTCACTTCCCCTGCTGGATGTCTTATAAAATTGTAAACATTCAAAACAATTTGTTTAGCATCCGAAAACAAATAGATCCGTTTTTTTATTTGCTGAGGTATTTCGTCTTCTAAATTGTCATTAGGTCCTACTACCATCTCCACTTCGGCTACAAATTCTGCGTTGTTTTCCATGTCTTCATTCCACGGTCTCCACTTTTTAAATTGTTAAAAAACAGGAACTTTCAAAAAATGTTTAATTGTAAGATTCTAATAACTATTTATCTGTATTCTTGTGACTTACCTTTATCTACCGCGAATATAATCTATAGTCTTCAAAAAGACTGTTGTTGTTTACAAATCGAAGAATATAAGAAGAGGAATGTTGTTAATTAACAGGCACACAAGACCAAAATGATTTTTTTCAAACTTGTAAGATAAATAGAGTACAAGTACTTACCCTTTAAACTATCCAGTGAAAACAGCCTGGCAGGGTCAAAGCTTGAGAATCAGGTACATAAATACGTACTTACTGGAAGGATCACATTCAAATACCTCCATACGAACATATTGCAATTTAGATTAAACTCTTAAAAAAGATAAATATCACCTAATGTCAAAATAAACGGTTCTCCTGATTCGAAAATAACCCGCAGCATCAATGCTTAATCAAATTTGAAAAGGTCCACTTACGTTTCAAATAAGTTTCTACAAACATTCGTTACGATCCATCTCAGGCAAGACCCACTAGCAGAACAAATATCTGTTGGGATGTGTTTTAACCACGGTTCTGCGAAGGTCTGTGGTTAAGGTACTGTAAAATATTTGAAACGTCAAAGCAATAAATGCATTATATTTTTGGTCGTATTATATTAAACTTCAAAGTGTAGGCGGTGTTGTCAGTAGTAATACAGTGAGCTTCGAAAATAGTGAGCAGTCTAGTTTCCTGCTTGTTTATTTTAAAGAGCATCTAATCGATCGATAACGTCTAATTGTGACGTACCAAGAAGCATATGTTGGTTACTCTTAGAGAATAGAAACAGCATCCCGAATACCATCTGGTATATTGGTCGTACAATAATGGTTTGGGCTAAAAAAAAAAACTCGAATCTTGGAGAAGAAGAGAGTCTTCTCGCTACACAGTTGCGTTTCTTTCGTGTTGCAGACAGTACGTTACCATAACGAGCAGGGAACAGCGGCGGCGTTACAAGGCGGACTTTAACGCGGACTACGCGGAGTACAGGGACCTGCACGGCATCGTCGACAAGGTCTCGAAACGGTTCGTGCAGCTCGAGGAACGGCTGAAACAGGAAGGGGAGAACAGTCCGAGGTACAAGGTGGGACGACGTTCGCGGTTTTCGTTTCTTTCGCTTTCATTTCGTGTTTTCGGCCCGCAGGATATCAAGAAGCAGGTGGTGCGCGAGTACCAGGAGAATAAGAAGGACGCGGAGCATCAGCGCGCGAAGAAGCGCTTCCATTACTTGCACGAGAAGCTGTCGCACATCAAACGGCTGGTCAACGAGTACGACCAGACGATGGTGGGCGTGACCGATTGTTAGCGCGGTGGCGGGGCGGGGCGGGAGTTGTCGAAGCGTTTCCAAAAAAAAAAAATAAAGAGAAAATTGAAAGCGACGGTGGCGAGTTGATCGCATACTCGGGAAGTTTTTGTTGGCCAGGAGTTTTTGTTACGTTTTCTTTTCTTTTTGGGTTGCCCGCCCCTTGGCCGGGGCAGTTACCCACTCGTTAGTACGGAATTGTTAAGTTTTTATTTTGCCGCAGGAAACCGCGCGCGCGCGCGCAGATCTCTTTCATTTTCAAGCTAAGTTCGGGAAGATTCAAGGAGCAAAGATAAAAAAATGGGTGGTTCAAAAAAAAAAAAAACAACTTTAAGTTGGGGGTTCACGTATGTCATCATTTTCATGGAAATACCAAGTTGAGTACTATTGTCGTATTATTTTGTTTATTCTCTTAATAAAATACGATATTATGTAGGTATATATTTTTTTCCAAAGGTTGTTAACGAACGGGCAAAAAAATGATTTCGAAAACCGAAATTTTACTATTTTACAGAATTTGCTAATAAACGTGACTTTACGAAACAAGCAGGTTGTCCTAAAAGTATCAAAGTTGGATTTTTTTAAATGGAACTAACTCTCTGAGCTGTTCTAAATAATTAGAGTTTTGTGAAAATGTAATGTGATTTTAATTTGTCAAATCATTACATTATGTCAGCGAAATTTGCGGCAGACAATAATTTATATCTCAATCATAAAATGCTGCGCATCTTATACAGGGTGGTAAGAAAATGTATCCTAATCCAATAACAACTTTAAGTTGTTATACATTGATTTGTTTAAATGAAACACGATTTTTTAACCTTCAAATACTAGTTATGTACTCGAAAAATTAAAATTAGGTTATCTTTTGTCAAAAATCGAATTATTTGAAAGTTTAGGTGTTATAAATTATTTGAAAGAATACAATACAAAAGAATACAACTTTAATACTTTTAATACTTTTCGGACAACTTGTATAGTATGAAACTGATTTTAAAAAGTTACCATAATCGGACTTTACACATCCCAAAATTAATCCTTTTCCAAAACCTTGTGTTTTGGCCATAATATTCCTTGTCATTTCCAAGATTTTTTCGGGTGAGTTGTCAATATTTTTTATCTTAAATCAATACTTTTTAAAATTTCTTATAATAGTATTATCTCGTAAACCAAGTCGCCGATGATGTGGTGAATAACGAAGGTTATCGATAAAATAATACTCAAGAAATATCTCGTTTCATGACTAACTCAAAATTGAAATTAGAGGAGGGCTGCGACCGTATGGATTTTTACTGACCCAACCAAGTGGCCGAAAAAATGTCGAATATGACGGGAAAAAAAATGCGAAATTAGGTTTTCTTCCTTGCGGGAATGGTCAGCATCACACACCTACATACACACCTTGCTCAAAGACAAATGTGATACGTCAAAATGTATTAAAAAAAAAGATCGCCAATATGGACACGTGGCGAGCCCCTAGCTAGCTATGTTTTCCTGGTTTCAAGGGAAGGGGAGGGGTGCGTGTTTTCCTAGGGTGGCCACGACGGGCCAGTTTCGCGAAATACTCAATACTGGTATTACTCCGTTGGCATGCCGACCGCTAGGAATTGGGGTGAAACCCGACCAATACCACGACAGATAGTTTAATTGTTAATTTTGTCCTTTTTATTTATTGTTGAATTATATACGTAAAATCGTGCTCACTTTTTTTCCCCCCATTTTGTGTACATATAGCAGTGGCGGGCGAACACTATAGGAGAATTTTTACAGAGACGTCCCGGGAACATTTATATATATTTTTTTTATTGTTGACACTTATGACGTTATACATGTTTACGACTATTTTTTTTTATTATTGCTATTGTTGCCGCTGCGGTTGTGAGCAATAAGCGGCCCATCGGATTTTTTGCGAAATTGTTGTTGGTATTAGACCGCAGGGGCGGAGGGGATCCTAGCGCCAAAGTGCCCCAAAGCGCTATATTCTAAATATAGGTGTCTTGTTTGCGCAAAAAACCGACAGCCAGAGGGGAATTTCCAAAAAAATAGAGCGTTAATTTTTTTTTGTGCGGAAATTTCTCCACTGTCGTTTTTTCCACGCTATATATAGCTCATTTGCCATTGTTGTTACGGTCCCGACGGTTTTTTTTTTTTTGGGTAAAAACGATTTCGGTTGTGATTGTACATAGTTTTTGATTTACGATGACGACCTTGGCACGTCCTTGACGCATCATGTTTACATTTTATGACGTAAGGGCAGCGTCGTCGGGCCGCGGGTGTCGAAAAATAAAAATGGGAGTAGTTAAATTAGGAGAGATTGTGCCCGCAGCCCGCGGCGCTGCCCTCCTATTATACCACGTGTATCTATATTATTATATTACTACGATTTAGAGAACATATATATGAATATATGCTTAATCAATCCTTCTAGCTTTACACTATTTTTTTTTGTGAAATCCGAGCATTTACGAAAATGTAAAAAAAAGGAAATAAAATACGTGAAAATTGTGTAATTTCATTATAATCTATAGGGGTTGTGTAATCGACGCACTTTGTTTCTGTTGTTTATGGGTTCCCGCCCTCTTCTGTCTTCAGCAATTCAAACGTCCAAAACTCGCGCTTCGAGGGGGCGCGGGCCCGCCGATGACGCAGCCACTTAACAGACGTGTAAATATCGTTTTAAACCACCCCGCGGAGTCGTCAATGTCGGAAATGAGGCAAAAACGAAGTGGCTTAGTTTTGTATGGACCCGTATATCAATTTAAAAAAAAATGTATTTTTTTTTTACCTATATTCAATATAATTACCTATATCAAAGCATCCGAACCAGGCGTTTCATTAATATGAACCTTTAAACGAAGGGGGAAGTGATATTTATTCATAAACTGCAAAATCTCCAGAAGATCACATCAGTTTACAGTTTCCCTTTCTTATATCGAAGCCGCGCTTGCGATTTGGTATATCTTGGAGTTTTCTTGGTGCTTTTGTCCTCGCTTTCTTCATTTTCATCCTTTTCGGTTCCTATAAAACCCACACAATACTATCACAAACCACCTTCTATCTGTAGGCTATTAGCGATGCTAACATAAATTGTGGGTCGATATTTAGCAAGTCTGTCGAGTAGCCTATTAGGGGCGTGGTACCTGTTAAATCCGGAGGCGGTTCCAAGAGACCATCCCTTTGACACTTGACATAAGATCTATATGATCTAGCTACACCATATCCCACGAGGGCGATCACTATAGTGACTAGGGCCATCAGCAATGGATGCTGAAATATGTTACCCTTGCACCCTGTCAACAACACGTAGAAATATTCTTACTGTGGGTTTCAGAGTGAACAAACAGTCGGCTATAACAATCACGACGCCAATAACGATCCCAATACCCGCTCCAAGCCAAGGTATTTTCGCATCTGCTTCCTTTTCTCGCAAAATTTCCCTCGCCGATCGGTTCAACGCTTCCACGATGTTAGCGTCTTCCGGTTTCAGCTTAAGAGCTAGTCTGTACGCTTCATAGGCTGCGATGTAATGCCCGGTGGCGTACTCGACTTCACCCTTTCGAAAAAACCCTTTGGGCCAGCTCGGATTGAGCCTAATCGCCACGTTGGCGTCTTCCAGAGCAAAATAATATTGCTGTTCTTTTAGAAACGCGTAAGATCTGTTACTGTACAGAGTGTAGTTGTCCGGGTCAAGTTTAATCGCGTGGGTATAATGTAAAATCGCTTCCGTAAATTTCGACTCTTTTACGGCGTTATTACCCAACTCTTTTAAGACGACGGGAGATGGCTAAAAATAGGATGATTGTAAAAATCGCAGTGTTGACGAATAATTGGATCGAGCACCTCTTCTGCTTGATCCATTTTTCATAAGTAAATATTTACTCTGTATTACCATAACCTCAAAATTTAAGGATGTCAATTTCTCTTCTTCTTTTTTTGGGATTGGCACTGCTACTTGGCAATTTGCCAGCACTATTTAGAACTGCCTCAGATAATCCAGACTGTTCTCCTGGTGAAGTTTACCTTTCAGACTTCTGTTTCTATTTAGGAGGCATATAAAGCTGCTGGGGAGATAGGCTCCGTTAGTAGGCAATCTCAGAGCACACAAAAACTACAGACAAACAGGCAAGACTGTCACATTCAAAAAAACAAACAATTTGCAGTACTATGGATCTTGGGACGGGCGTTCCTGGCCTAGGATAGACCATGGGACCAGGATCGTCGGATCTCAATTAACGGATTGTTTTGCGTGGTCTGTTGATTCGCGTCGTTTCAGGTTTACCAACGTCTTTAATGACGTATGAATGGCACCTTGTAGATGACCTTATTTAAATAAGTTCATGATTAAACTGCAATCGGCAATGGCGAACATTTTTTAGATAGCTCAAAAAGTTTGGAGCGACTACATTTTACAATAAAGCTTATCTTTTAGCATATTTCATTTCTGCTGTGTTTTGACGTCACGTCGGATTCACGCTTTCGGTTACACTTGTGTCATTACTGACGTTAAAACGTCAAAGTAGGGTGTGTGCGCTGGTACATTACTACATTGCAATTAAAAGCAGTACACAAAAAAATGAAGTATTTAACAGGACTGTGATGTAGAGGCTAATTATTACCAATAGCGAACGCAAATTAAAGTAAACCTTTGTGCGGTCCGTGTGGCATTGACGCTGAGCGAACTCATTTAGCCGCCGACATGAGTTTCTACTCAATGTTCAAAAAGAAAAAACACAGGGAAGAATACAACACGGCGGCGGTTATCGGAAAACCGACGAATGTTAATCACGACATTCACGTTACGGTAACCGAGGAGGGTGTGTTGGAAGGTCTGCCTTCGTCATGGGTGAGACAGATCGGAACTCAGATAACCAAAGCGGAACAAAATGAGAACCCTGAGGTAGTGAAAAAAGTTCTCCAGTATTACAATTTCTCCGTGAAGAAGCAAAATCACGCCGCACAAGAGATTAAACATATCTTTACCGAGAATGACATTGCAGAAGAGTCTAAGCAAATTGACTTGTATATGAAATCTAAAGACGCTCACAAGAGTAAAGACTCGAACCTGTCCGATGATTCCAGTGACTTTGAGAGGTAAGTGCGATAGAGTGGTTTTAAACGAGATGACGTGCGATACGCTTGCCTTTGTAGATCGCCTTTGAACCAAAACCCCACCCTGGACAACAATTTAATGCAAATCAAAAATCTCGCCAGGAGTGTCGACAACCTGGCGATCGACGTTGAGGAAATTGAATTCCGAAAGCCCAGCAACAGCGACGACGACATTTATTTAAGAAGATCTGGTTTAAGTGATGATGACTACATGAGACAGATCAGGGACATTTGCAATTCCGGGAACCCACTCGACTTTTACGAAAAAACATTGAAGGATCTAGGGTCGGGCGCTTCGGGGATGGTCTTCGCGGCTACGCGTCGTGGGACTGGCGAACTGGTAGCCATAAAGGACATAGACATGTCGAAACAAACTAAAAAAGACCTGTTGCTCAGCGAGATAAAAATTATGAAAAATTTCAAGCATAAAAACCTGGTCAATTTCCTGGACGCTTTTGTGGTGGACTACGACCATTTATGGGTCGTTATGGAGTTGCTCGACGGGGGCCCGCTGACCGACGTAGTTACAGAAACGGTGATGAAAGAAGGGCAGATAGCGGCTGTTTGCCATGAGGTATTTCTGTTAATAATCTCGTTCCATAGGTGTCTTGTAGTAATGTGATCATGGAGGGTGGTAATTTAATGAATCTTCAAGAATTGTTATTATTAAGTCTATTCTGTATGAATATAACTAAAACAAAATACATAGCTTTTTCTCTAACAGCAGCAAGTAGACCAGAGGATGGTTATAATATAGAGGAAGTTTCTTGCATAAAATACTGGGGCGTTATGATAGATAATCATCTCATGGGTACCACCTATTGAATTTTATCTTATAAGAGATTTTTTAAATAAAAAACTTGTTGTGATTGTTCCTAAAGCCTTTGTTGATTTTGTTGAGGGTGGCTCCTTTGCTAAGGCCTTAGATCTGCCAACTTGACTCGCTGGACATTGTGGGTGCCTTGAGTGGTATAACGTAAGGAAAAAAGCCCTGTAGAAAATTATTTAAACTTGCAGATAACAAATGTTCATGTAAACTTAGCGTATCGCTCCCTCTCCTGCATGAATTTAAGTGACTAGCAGATTTTGGAAATTAAATTTTTCGATTATTTTGATTGGCAGGTACTCCAAGCGATCAGTTACCTACACAATCGGGGCACCATCCACCGCGATATAAAGTCAGACAACGTGCTGCTTGGCATGGACGGCACGGTCAAGGTGACCGACTTTGGTTTCTGCGCCAACGTGGTCGGCAACGAGCAGCGCGAAACGATGGTCGGCACGCCGTACTGGATGGCCCCCGAGGTCGTGACGCGGCAAAAGTACGGCAAAAAGGTCGATATATGGTCGCTGGGAATCATGATCGTGGAAATGTTGGACGGAGAGCCGCCCTACCTACGCGAACCGCCCATACGCGCGTTATATCTGATCGCAGCGAACGGGCGGCCAAGGATTATGAGAGGGGACACGTGTTCGACGGCGTTGCAGCGCTTCATCGACCGTTGCTTGGAGGTGGACGTCGATAGGCGCGCAACGGCCGAGGAGCTGCTGCGCGACCAGTTCCTGGAAGGGAGGAGCGAACTGCGCAGCCTCACGCCGCTGATCAGGGCGGCGAAAAAGATCCTCCACAAGAATTGACGGTGTGATGGTGCGCACCCGCACTCTGGTCAGTAATTTTAAGGTTATGTCAACGAGTTCACCGCGTAATACTCTTGGGAGGGGGGATTCTTTTTTTTTGCGTGTATCGGGTTCGGTAGGTTGACCTAAAAGTGACGCGTAACGTTGGCGCTTACATCGAACCGAAGAAAAAAAAAACGACCGCGCTATATTAGTAAGTGGCTATGTACAGTCCGAATTATACCCAGTTGTAATGGTCATGCTGGTTTTCAAAGACATAAGTATATGGCAATATGTTGGAAATATAACTGCACGGGGGTCCACGGGAATCAGCTAAATTTTGAAAGTGGTGTGTCAGAAGAAAGTCTGAAAACCACTGACTTACACCTAGAAAGTGACAGAACATCCCTGCATCATTTATAGTTACACACGAAATCGCTAACTCCACGCAATTCAACCCACAAATAACGTCCAACGTTAATTTTAAGTTGGCAACAAAGAAACTACTACAAAAATTAACAAGTGTATGCATTAAACAGCTGAAGGTTATGCAACTTTTCTAGTCGTATTGTGAAAATCGGGTTTTACAAATGACAGGTTCCTAATTGATAGTGATATTGAAAATATTAATTGAATTTCACATAAAAAATGAATTACTCTTCGACACACTTTTTTTTTCAAAATTTTGTTGTCACCGTCTTTAGGAATATATTAAACAAATATAAACAAAAATGACGTCATCATAAATAGGTATAATTCCGACTTTAGCAGGAGCGCTACATTTTTGTGTACAGCCCAACAGATTTATTTATTCTGTGTGTGAAAAACTATCGGATGTCCTCTAAAATGTGTTTCAAGGAACGTGACTAACATCGCATTGTCAGAATTTAAATAAAACTTTTAGGTACTTGTATACAAATAAAAGTAGACGACCCCTGCGTTATCGGGTCCATTTTTGCATTTTAATGTTCTACTTAATCGAAGACTGAACGAGACAATTTATCAATATCCGGAGGTTTGTATTTTAGAGATTTTTACAAATCGTTTTACAGTTTTTAATTTCCGCCCCGAAGGGGCGGCCTGTTTTGTTGTATATATTTATGTATCAAATCCGGAGACAGCCATTGTAACGTTTTTTCAAATATATATCAGTTGAAATTTTCGTAGTTCTGTTTCTCTCCGTGTCCGCCCCAAATTAGTTCAAATGGCCCACCGTGGCGCGTGACGAGCAGGCGCGAAAAAAAAGGCCCCAATTTTGCAAAAACAGTGTTTAATTTGATTCCGATCGATTAACTTAAACATTAATAAGGCTTCTCTCTTTTTTTTTTATAAATATATTTACAGGATCTCTATGTACACGCTTCTCGTCGATAACAAAATTGATCAATTTACATTTTAAAAAAAGTTTCAAGCCCACGGGTCGTACAAAAAATCAACAGCGATTGGGGGGTGGTCGAAAAAACCTAACCATAACAACTTTATACAACAATCTGGGGGGAGGGGGCGCCTCTCTGCTAAATTACAGAATATACAGTGTTGCCTAGTTTATACACGTTTAGGTTTCGCCTAAACCTAAGTGGTGTTTGCGGCAGTGTGGGCGGGCAGCGACCGCGTCGCCGCCCTTCACTCCTCGCGGATGGCGAGCCGACCGACCCGCCTGGTAAGCGTATTTCTGATATGACCTTTAACCTTTGGTGCCTCGCCTATCCTCGTCTCACGTCAATCGCTTTCCGACAAGATTTTTTTGCGTTTCTTCGCCTGTTTCGGCTTCACGATCTCTTCTTCCTGAAAGCAGTAATACGACGTCTACATGGCATATGGATACGATCGGTACGAATACTTTATTAATGTTACTATCACAGGTGATTTACATACGTCAAACAAAATGGAATAAAATAACATATACTTTAAACGCACCTGGTACATTATAATTCAAATACAAATATTCATCAAAAGATAAATCTCGAAAGGCTTTTCGTTGTAATCTGAACAAGATCGCATATAGGAGGTGTGAATGAAAAAGTGCAAAATATGCAGTCCTCAACACACCAGGAGAGACATTTTCGGTGAAGCGTCGACACAAATACAAATTTTTGGTCAGTTTCTGAGCAACAAAATCTATATGGCACTGAAGTTTTGGGTCAATGTAGATGCCAAGAAATCTGGTATTTATTTTATTAAAATTAACTGAACGTGAATTTCGCATTATTTAAAACTAATTTATTTGCCCTAAGCCAGTGTTCGGCCTTTTCCTGTGCGATCCTGGAACTCTCTAACTTGTCTCCTAATGAATCCACAGTGGTGTCAGTAAAAAGTGTGTAAATGGATCCACAAGGGGAAGGTCATTTATATATATTAAAAACAATATGGGGCCCAAAATTGAGCCTTGGGGCACTCCAATGTTCACCTCACTCTTCGCTGATGTCACTCCAGAGTACTTAATGTTAAGGTAAGATTGCATCAAACTATGACTGCTATTTGAAAAATTATAAGGCTTCAACTTGCGCAGAAGAAATGCATGATCGACACAGTTGAAGGCTTTAGCGAGATCACAAAATAATACAGTGTTATATTGCCAATTCTGGAATGCATCTGTAATGTCTGAAACTAAATTGAGAACGCCTGAAACTGTTCTTATTTTATTTTATTTTTATTATTTATTTTATTTATTAATTTCTTCTAAAACCAAACTGATAATAAATATTGAACTAATTGTTTAGCTATACATTTCTCTACAATCTTTGAAACAATTGGAAGTAGATATATAGGTCGATGATTTTCAACATCAGGGTTACCTTTTTTAAATACTGTTATTACTAGAGGTTTTTTTTTAAAATGTCTGGAAAAGTGTTGGCTTAAATTTATAAGTTTTGCCTTTATTAACCGCGTGGTTATACCAAATACGTCTCAACAATTTTAATTTTGAGGTTATTTATGACTTCATTAAAACTAAGTTCAGGAAGCGTAAAATGAGATGATGGTTCAATTTTATCCAAATACGAAATGGGATTTATATTGGACGCAGTACAGCGGTTATGATATCTGATGAGGGCTTTCCTATACGGATTGCTCTATTTTTATTTATAACATCCCACATGCATTCGGTGTTGTTAGTTGATGAACATATCAAATTATCATTGGCTTCGATCTTAGCCTTACTTATTGTAGCTTGATACAGCTTTTTAGATTCTTTGTATTGATGTTTAAAGAGAATATTACTGCTGTATTGCCTGAACAATTCGGAAAGTAGCGAAAGTTGTCTCTTAGCCCGCAAATTGTCACTGAAACAATTAAAATTATTAGAGTGGTCACAACATACATTTTCTCTGGAAATGATCGAATATAAGCAGATCCCAAGACATTCAAAAAATTACTAATATTTGTTCAGCGATCTGACCCTTATGATCAGAGATCGCCAGATCTAATACACTGATAAGCTGAAATTTTAACTCAGTACTTATGAAAATATTCACCCTTTGTTTTAGACCAAAGCTAGCTAAAAAATCAGTAAGTCAAAGTGTGTTTGTTTCGTTGGTGTTAAAATGCACATTAAAGCCTCCTGCCATTATAAGGTTCTTTCTGCAGTCAAGAGAATTCAAAATTTTGCCTATTGCTTCCAAACAGGCGTCAAACTGGCAAAACGGCAAAATTCAAAACATTTTTCAATATTCTAGTTAACTTCGAAGTTCATAGCAATTGCCTTCAGATCACTCTTAACAAAAATAAATGTTCTTTCATCTGTAACTACGATTGGAAGTACCGCCGTCAAAGTTTTTAAGGAACTTTTTGCACTTGTAATGGAATTTCTGTCATTTTATTGGTAATAACCGAATTTTCCTGATCTTATTTTGAATTTAACTTTTTTAGCTTTGGCGCGTTCTTTTTCATTCACGTTGCATTAAAAGATTAGATAATATATGGGTTATATCGTTATTTAAAAGAAAAAAATGCATTTGTTCCAATGTAAAATATGTTTGATGAAGGATTAAGAGGCAGATGAGCACTCGACGTGAATCACAATCACACCCTGAACGTCGAACTTTATCGGAAAACAAGGGAGAACGTTATTTCTCATCGAGGACGCGTGCTTCAAATAAGGGACAAAGTAAAACAGAGCAAAAATATGAGGTCGAGTAAAATGTCGAGATATAGGAGTAGTTTAAAGTGAGAGTAGTTCGAATGCGCCCACTAACCTCGCTACTCTCGTCCGACGTGTCGGTCAGGTCCCTGATTTGACGTTTCGAAGCCGCCGTAGCCGTCGCGGCGGACGTCGCCGTCGCGGTCGCCTGCTTCGCGGCCGCCGGCTTGCGACCCCTGCCCTGCATCCGGCTTTTGGTCGCGCTGATCTCCTCCTCTTCCTCCATCAAGGCGAACAGGTCGCCGAATTGCTTTCTTTGGCTGTCATTGCTGCGTAAAGGTGCGCTCGTTCAAGGTCGAGGTCGAATAGGCGTGGCGCATCGCTTACCTGTTATTCTGGGCGACGCTGAGCGCCCTCTGCATCGAGTCGAGCGTATAGATCGCCATGCAGTCGTGCTTCTCACATATGATCCTCAGCTTCTCGAGGTGACCGAGCACTTGGTCGGCACTGGGCACTGTCGTGCTTAGCACTTTATTACCTTGAAGGAAAATAATAATATTTATTTTCCCGAAGACAACTACAAAATTGTATAGGGATAGTCAAGACGTCGTCTAGACTATAAAACGTTTTGGATAACACAAAATATTTTTAACCGCTTTTTAAATAGACAAGGTTTTAAACTTTTGTCTCTTATCTCCAAAGGCAGATTGTTAAAAATAGGACACCCAAATAATCAGATGACCTCGAAGTGATCGACAGCCTACAGTAGGGAACACGCACCTTACTGCTCCGTTCTGTACGCTTAGAATGTATTTCAACTTCTTAGTATACTTTTTCAAAGAAACTTCCACAGGCTACTGTAATGCTTTTTATAAAACTTCTGGATTCCTCCTGCGTCGGTTTTTGTTGACTCGAACTAGCTAACGTTTCGCCAAACATCCTTTTAGCTTCTTCAGAGCTTGACTGAAACTGGCTCGCATTTTACTCTGTACCTGCTTATATATTGTTTGAGGGGGACGGTGCTACAGAGGGTCATAAACACCGTCTCAAATGACTGATTCCCATAACGTCGCATAGTACAAATTAAGCAACTGTTGCCTGGTTAAAATGTCACGAAGATTTATAAAAAGAGAATTTACATTATTTAGAGTTGAAATAAGAATATCACAATGAGACTTCCAGTTTAAACATTCATCCAAAATCAATCCTCGAAATTAAAGTCATCGCCTAAGCAGATATTAACATTATGACATTATTTCTGATAACTATGAAACCTTATAGTTTGGGTTTTATTTGCATTGAAATAAATATTAGTTTTTCCAAACCATGTCGAGTACCCCGCAGCACTTCTCTGAGAGGTCATCGTCATTTACATATAATATGAACAGTACAGGGCGTAAAACTGGACCTTGAGGGACTATGCGTTGACTACTTAAGGGATATAAATTGAGAACGATCTTCTAAAACACTATTGATCCCGTCTTATACCCGAAGCGCGCAGAACTTTCCCAAGTTCCTTTAAATCAACACAGTCAAACGCCCGACTTAGGCCGCAAGATCACTTAAATTCACCCCCACCATCACTCGCCCTTACCCGCGGTCCGTTTCCGCTTGTTCGGCGACGTCGACGGGTACCTGGTGCTCAGCAACGAGGAGATGAGCTCCGCCACCTTGTCGATGTATTCGTCGCACCAATACTTGATCACCGTGAACACGAACGGGTCGCCGTTGTCGCAAATGTCGCGCGAGAACAGGCACTTAATGTAGTCGGCGTTCGGTTTCTCCTGTTTCAGCATCAGCATGATAGCGGTTATCGCTTCCGAGTGCTGCTCGCAGTCGAGCTCGGTGATAAGCGGCAGCACCGTGTCGATGGTGAAGTCGTGCGCGTTGATCAGCTGCCAGAAAAAGAACTGCTCGATGCTCTCCCACGAAAGCGTCGCCTTGAGCAGAGCCTGCAGGTTCTCCGTTTTGAACATCACCAGGTGACCTTGAAGTACCTGCGATCGAAAACTCATTCACCCACCATTCGTCGATAACTAAGGGCTATCGCGACGGTAGTTCAAATAAATAATGTAATAAATTTAACAGTAGTCGTTTAAAGCGACAAACGAACATAATAATTTCAATGAATTTCAATCATAAGGACTACCGCACCTATGAGTACGGGTATAGAACTAAAATATATCAAATTAATTGGAAATACGCAAAGATATCATTTTACGATTCCACTTGTGTTCTAAGGAATTGTTGAAAATCATTGTGAGTTTGGTAACGGTGAATGGAATTCACTTTGGTTTATTTTGAGGTGAGGCAGTATTAAGGATGTCAGATCAATTTGCACTTCCATACTCTAACGTCACAACACACGGATTGAAATCTCGGCAGTAGTTCATACGTACAGTGTAACATTTGTCAGGAGGAATAAATCGAAGTGTTAGGGTGTTGAAGCTGCGATTCCACACTCTATGTTAGCAGATTATATATAAAAAAGGATTTAACTAAAATTATTAATAATTTCTTATTTCTCCATCAAATACTTAAAATCAAATATTAAAAAGAAACGCAGCTTAAGATGGTTTGTGCTTTAAACGCTTTGGTGAATAAATTAATATTGCATAATAATAATATTGTGCCGTCAAAACAGTTAACATTGCAACACCGCCAAAGGTTTTAAGCTAACCAATAAGAACTTGAGACGGATAAAACCAACTCATGGACACCCAGATTCGCAACACGAAATAAGTCGAAATATCCGTCAACTACGGCACATATTCGATTCCGATCTCGGCAGCAGTTCAAACAAACCGTCCCCACTTTCGTGTTTCCCCCATTAGCACCCGTGAAACGAAATAAATTAAAAGTTACGTCAACTTTGGCAGTAGTTCAAACGAACCGTCCCCCCACTTTCGTGTTCGCCCCCCATAAAATAAATAGAAATTGAAGTCAGCTTTGGCACACGGCCGATTCGAATCACGGCAGTAGTTTAAACGAACCGTCCCCGCTTGAACGACGCTCTTTTTACCTTTCCGACTAGGGTCTGCAGTTGGCGCGCGTCGATCGCCGAAATGATCACCCTGAGCGTCTGCGCATTGTTCACCATCTGCTGCTTGAAGTCGCGGTAGATGTCCGGCACGATCCACATCATCAGCTTCGTGTCGGTCACGTGACACGCGTACAGGTCGTCGTACAGGCACGCGTCCAGCTTCTTCTCGATGCACTGGCAATAGTCTTTGTACAGGGCGATTTTCAGGGCGCTCGCTTTCGTGTTGTCGTCGCGTTTGTTCTCTGTCCTAATTTGCACTTTGAGGAAATATAAAATGAGGTAACCGAGAGTGGGCAGGTGGGGGTGCATGTCGGCGAGGAGGCGCATTAGCGCTTCTCTACCCGGGTCGTCCTTGGCCGACGCGTACGCCCGCTTCAGCACGACGAACAACGGCGACCGCACGCTCTCCGACAAGTAGTCCTGCGTAGGTACCTCGGGGTACACCCGTTCACTTTTCACGTCGTCGTGGACGCACGCGACGAACGAACGCGCCACCGCGCCCAACGTTTCATCGTCCTCGTCGTCCACGTTCAGGCCGGTCACCTCGTCTACGAACTTTTCCGCCAAGTCGGACCTCTTCGCCGGGTCCGTTTCGTGGTGGAGCTTGGCGAGGAGCTCGCCGAGGTGGCCCTCGATCAGGCTGTCGTCGCTCTTGTCCCCTTTCTCCTTCAGACGTACCTTGGAGAGGGGAATGTCATCGTCGTCTGTGTCTTCCTCGAGGGTGGTGATCTGGAGGGCGGGTTCCTCTTCGTCGTCGCTGAACGCGGGCTCGCCGTCCAACAAGTGATTGTTGAGCGACAGGCCGACGGTCTCGTCTTCGAATTTGGGCGGGGCGAAGTCGTCCCGCGAAGTCGACGATTCGGTTTGCGCGTTGCAAAACTCCTTGAAAGTGTCCTTCACCATATTGCGCAGCTCGCGGTCGAGCTTCGAGTTATCGAACAGCGGCAACAGGCTGGGCAACACGCGTTTGTCAAGGATCTGACGTAGCGAGGTGAATATGCCGGCGCGCACGCGCTCCGTCAACGGCGGATAAAAGTTGGGTATGATGCGGCAGAGGAAGTCGAGCAACGTCGCGGTCACCACCGGATGGGAGCGCATCGAATGGTGCATCACCAGGATAGCCGGCTCGATGTTCATGATGTTGTCTTTGTCTTGGTCGAAGAACAGCCAATCATAGAAGAGGGCTAGTTTGGCGTTAGAAACAGCGACCGTCGAAGTACAAGTGGTCAGCAGCCAGCCGATGACCGCCCATCGTGGTATTATGTCCGAGCAGAGGAGCTCGTTGGTCGGATGGATTACACCGACGATGAACCTGATGAAGATTTTTTTCCACTTTTACTTTTTCAATGAAAACCGAGAGAACAGTTTTCAATACTCCCTCATATACAGGATGGTCCGAATCATAATGACAAAACTTTAACAGCATAAAAAGTTCCTATAAATTTATTAAGTTTTGTGTGTTTAGTTTGTTGTCCAGTGACAATAATAAATACCTGCCAAAGAAGAGATTTAAAAAAAATCTAAAACTGAAAGTGGAGTTACTTTGCTGTATCCATTTTTATTTTTAATGTGCACAAAATCGTCGGTCCTTCGCAAACAAACGGCACATCTACGCGTTCCGTTTTAGTAAATACGTATTTTCTAATAATGCGCCTTTTTTTTTTGTTTCGAAAGTTTGACGCAAAGGAGCGTCACGCTTCATAGCCAAGGATACGCCAAATAATCCTAACTTTCACGCCGATGATGAACGTTTTTTTTCCAACCTTCACTTTTTAAATAAACGTTCAGGATTAACTATTGCTCCACGAAAACCGAGAGAACAACAGTTTTCAATACTCCCTCATATACAGGGTGGTCCCAATAATAACGACAAAACTTTAACAGCGTATTTGGCAGATAAAAGTGAGTAAAAAAGTTCCTATAAACTTCAAAAAGCTTCAAAATCTTGCTCTCAAACGTGATATGTATTGCCACCTGGTAAAAAGAAATGTGTAACATAGATAAAATTGTTGTTTTTTTAAACAGTGGCGTTCGTGAGACCGTTTTAATTCATTTAAATATTAAAAAAAGTACGCCATATAGGTGCACACATACAGACCTTCGTTTTTGTCGAAAACAGTTCGTTTTAGCGAAAAAACTGAGACCATTTTTATTTACAATTAAATCAAGGTATCTAAAATTATCAACTTTTACCTACGCTATAAATTTGTTTTCAAATCTAGAAGAGATTAAAAAAAAAATCAAAAACTGATGCTGGGGTTACTTTATACTTTGTATAATGTTAGAAGAATTATTAAAAACCTAAATAATAAAAATGCATTTGAGATGTTGAGTGCCTGTGTATTTGACGAGTATTTACTAATTCACATTCATTCTTATAGAAGCAATTTTAGTTTTTATGAAAAAAAAACATTATTTTTAAATTCTTGCGAGGGTGTTCACCTAACTAACCAACCGCCATCCTTATCTCTATTTGCAATGGTAATCCGCGTTTAGAAACACTTTCCAATAAAAAACAACATCAACATTCCTGTTGAATTATTTTATTACCATCTTGCAATTTTCTATTACTTATTTCTCTTAAATTAAATATGCCTTATCATAAAAACATCATGGTTGGAGCTTGTCTGTCTCGTGACATCACTAAGAAACCCAATAACCACTATATGCAATTTTAATAAAAAGTATCTGGTTACTCATCAATTAGCTTTGTAAATATTAACAATTAACTTGAATAAACACTCAGCTTAACATTACCTGATGATGTCGCAGCGTAACGATTGGGATTCGGGCGTGGCGAGGTACTGCCGCTGGAACCAGTCCTGGTAACGTTTGTGGTTCCCAAATCGTACCTGGGCAGTAAGAAAAACGAGTTTCCGTTCCATTTCGGGGGTCAGTCGCGATTGGAGAAACCTCCGCGACGTTCGGTTTTGGAGCAATTGGAGGATACCTTCAAAAAATTACTGAATCACGAAATTCCGCAAGACATTATCACGCTGTGGCGCTATCTAATTGGAATTACCCGTAAATGTGGGGCTCAAAGACTTGGGCGTTACCAGCATATCCTTCCACAGCAGTTCGAATTCCGGTATCCTTGCAACATTCTGCAACAACCTAACCAAATCACGACCGATAACTAAACACTCCTGAAAATGTTCCCGCATAATGCTAACTAAAAACGTCACTTCTTTTTGTCTTAAATTGGCTAAGTAAGGCGCGTGATGGTCTTCGATTAACCTCAAGTACGTGTAAACAACGGAAGCGATCAGAATAGGGATTTTTTCCAACCAAGTCCTATAGTCAATGAAAATATCGAGCAGCGACTCGATCAAACTAATATTCTTTGGACTAATATCACCGCCGGCTGCGCACCGCATCAGGTTCCAGCACAAATTTTCCACATTGTTCACGGCGTTCTTAATCATCTCCCGAAGCAGCCACAACAGCTGTTGTTTCACCACGTCGCTGAACCTCAGATATCTGTCCAAAACTAGCTGCGATAAATAAGTCACGATATGTCCGAAACCGTCCCTCGTAATTAAGGTTAAATCGCGATAACTTTTCGAGGCGTTGTGGGGTTCCGTCAAAATTGACACCAACAAACCAAAGGACACTTCTTCGTAACCTTTCTCCTTGAGCAGGGCCTTGTTGAGGGCCTCGTGGGCATCCTTGTCGCTCAAACCGCCGACCACGCTTTGCAAGAACTGGTAACTCCGTAAAAGTTTCTACAAAACGAGTCAAAATTGAATTAGCCGCCACTCGACAAAGTGACAGCGTCAAATACAAATAAAAGAAGTTGACAGGGCGAATATCGTAATGGCGGCCGAGGCAGCAGCACTTGGTAATAATGCGATTTAAATTCATTTACCTCTTCTACATCGTCTTTATTTTCCACCGGGGACGTTATGAAAAGCTTATAAGCCCCCGTCGACTTGGTTTCCATGTTGCAGGGCGTACGCTAACGGCCGTTATAATTTTTTCACTGTTGACAAGTATAGGAGGGTTTGCATCGTCCCATCCTCGGAAAATGTTTGTGAAAATCAAGCGCGCGTTGGTATATACGTACGTGCGGTTTACGGAAACGCCCGATCCGCGTAATCGGGGACGCCCGTTTTCTGGTATTTTAAATAATGACATACAGGGTGATGAACCTGTGTGGCGTCTTTGAATCGTCGTAATTTTGTTCTTGCGAAATACGGGATCGCTCTATATATTTTATCAGGAAGCCATTTTTGTTTTATGCAGCGCCGAAAATTTCGGTCACGGCGGCCATAGACCGCCACCGACTTGTTCGCGATTCTTTTTTGTTTTTTGATGACGCCATTATATTCAAACAAAAAAAAATGTGGGTGGAACAGGTGCGAGCAAAAACAAAAACACAAAACGCAAGAATACAAATTAATTTATTTATTCGTTCACAACCAAGTATCTACGAGGTATTTTTTTTCTTTAATTAACGAGCCGATTATTTTTGCCGCGTCGGCAACGTCGACGCGCAAATGTTCCGCGAAACACTCGACTAGGGTTTCCTTCACGTCTTTGGCGACGCTTTTGTTGCCGCACACGTAAACGAGGGCCCCGTCGTTTAAAATCAGATCGACGAGCATGTCGCGTCCTTTCGATAGTTCGTTTTGAACGTAACACTTCGACGTGGATTCCCTCGAAAACGCGGGGTACAGAGCCGCGAGGATACCATTGCTGACGTATTTCCGCAGTTCTTCAGCACATAAAAAATCCCCTTCTTTGTACCGACACCCGTAGTACAAGTAGGTGCCGCCTAATTTTTTCGGCTTTTCCAGCAAAGATTTGTGGCGCAAAAAGCCCAAAAAAGGGGCGATGCCCGTTCCCGCCGCTATCAGTACCCGAGATTCTTCGGGGCTGTCCATTCGAAACCCCGTCGGCTTACGAAAGTAAAACGGCACCTTTGATTGTTGAACATTTAGTAATTTCTCAAGCCAGCCGGTGCAGACGCCCTTAAGACTATTTTCAAACTCAACCACGGAAAATATTATGCTGAGTGTGTCCTTTTGTAATGGAGATGAGGCGATGGAAAAGTATCTGGGCAGTAAGGGAGAGGAGTAGTGTAAAATCAACTCTATGGGAGGTGAGCAAGACGGAAAACGGTCCAAGATGTGTAGCAGAGTTGGGCATTCGGAAATCAACAGCTCATATTGCTTGGAATTCGCTGAGGCGCAATCCTCAAGCACGCGGCGCTCCTCGCAATCGGTGGTGTAAAATAACAACTTTTTCAAAAACACCTATAAGAAACACTGTGTCTTGGATTGCTTCAATTAGGATCGACCTGCTACCTTTTTCAGCATGCTTCGTATGTTTATATGGCTCATAAAGACATTTCTCAGAGTACCCTCACGAGGAACATGCTTCGGAATATTGAATGGTTTCTCGCAATCGTCTACCAAGCAATATCTATTATCGGATACCGAATCGACGTTTAAACGAAAAAGCAAACTATCGACCTCGTTCTCGTCGTTTCTAGGGAGAATCGCCAAGGTATCTCCAGGCAAAAATTCGCAATCGACATCCTGTAAGCGACACCTGAGTACGTTCTTAAGAATACGCGACTCGAGGTACCTTGGTGCAAAGGTTTAGCATGTAAACGGACTTAACGTCTTCCCCGCGAGTCAATTTTTCGAAACTGTCGATGCGGGACAAGTAGACGGGACCCGCGGCGAAAGGCTTGCTCCTAAATTCAAAGTCGTCCTGAAAAAAAAAAAGAAAAAAAAACGGCTTGTCGCTATGGGGCGAGTACCTGTGCGTCTTCATTTCCAATGCGGGTGGTAAACTTTAACATATTTTATTAGACGCAAAAAAAGATTAAGGTTAGAACCGTGGAATGCGGAAAGGTCGTGCCGTTTGACCCGATAGCGGTAACAGTGTGATGTCATAACGACAAAAATTGCAATTAGAGCGAGTAACTTCTTTGATATGAGATGGAATCGGATTATAATCAAAAAACTTGGGGCATTGATTTACAAAAAAAAAAACGTTTTGAAGAGAATTTAGGCATAGCAATCACAGTACAAATGTGTTTTGCATCTTTGACATAACGCTGTCCTGACGTTTTTGTTGATACTTTCCTTGCGAACATCGTTGGTTATTTGTGAAAATTTTCAAGAGTATTGAAGTAGAATACGGTGTTTCTGGAACTGGTTGAAATCTGCAATAATTAAGGTATTTTTATGTATATAATATTTGTTTGGGTTGCGTTGGTTACCATCTTTTCCGACCGGGATTTTTGTGTTGCCTTTGCCCAATTTCGGCCTTTTTTGACCGAAATAATTTTAAATTACGGTTGCTGATTGTACAAAGTCAGATTAAGCCGTAACATAAAGAAATTGTATTGCCGAATTATACTATTAGCGTGCTTTTTGCATGCTGACGCAGTTACAGGAATCGGTTTTGCAGCTCGATTGATTCATACGCAAAATCGTCGGTCCTTCGAAAACAAACGGCAAACCGACGCGTTTCGAGTGCGGGCTGACTTTTAAATTAATATTCTGGTGCGCCAGCGGTTTTAGTAAATACATATTTTCGAATAATGCGCCATTTTTTTGTTTCGACGGTATGACGCGAGGGAGCGCCACGCTTCATAGTCAAGGATACGCCAAATAATCCTAACTTTTTTCCCACCATATTCATCGATGGGCGTTATATAGCCAGCAATTATTGTTGTTGATTTTCGAAACGTACGCGGGGTTCGTTTTTCAAAAATTGTGCGACGTTTCGCGTGTCGACGGCGGTTCGCTTGGTTAAATTAGGCCGTGGCTTGTATCTATGGAGCTTGCGTTCATCGAGTCGCGCGCCGCTCGGATGTTAAACGAGTAAATGGACGAGTGCGTTGTTCGACTGTTTTTAGGGAAGTCGCCATTATTGTCCAATATAATCTAACGTACGTTTGTTGATCGCGGCGGACTTTCCCTTGCGTTTTTGCGTACAAAATCTGCGTCTCTTGATCGAAATCCCGACTGTATCAGTTCGTGACAAGTGCGTTATCGTAATAAGTGATTGTAGTGGTGCAATGTTTGTTGTATGCGTATCGAAGCTCCAGAGGAAAACGCTCGGCGTTCCGTGAGCTTCGTATCGGACCCGTCACGTGGGTGTGTACTATTTAAACCAGCCAGTAACGCGTTTATTAAAAAATTCAAATACCCACCCGTTGTGTTCCGTTTTTTTTTCAGTGTGTACACGAACGCCTAAACTGCCGCCGCCTGGCCTATGCGGCATCCGCCGTCCGTTTCACTTGTACGTTTTCGGTACGTAATTAAGCCGGCAAACTGCGAGCCAGCGTGTGTTTATTGATCAAAGTGGTTCCCGGGTTCGGTTTTTCCGCGTTTTAATCACCCCACAAGTGACGATGACAGATATCGGGCAAATCACTGGATGAATGGGATTGCGTACGGCCTCGGTGAGGCGTCCCGATGCGGAGGTCATGGCCCCGGCGCTTACGGACACGGCCCAACCGCAAAATTTTAATTTGCCGCCGAAAAACCGTCCGGGACCCGGGTCCCGGAGCGCGAAAACGTACTCCGGATACGCGGAACCGTCGAGTCCTATAAACACTGATGATTTGAGCGGCGTGTTTATCAACTTGAACCCCGCCTACCCCAAGGACCATTCGGACGGCGGTGTTTCTATACAGAGCATGAGCCCGAGCCCGCCTCCGATGGGCGACGGCGACGCTGACAGCAAAATGGGACTCGAAAAAACGACGGCCAGTTATTTGGGCAAAGTGAGGTCCACGGGCGGCGACATTGAGCAGCTTTTCGGCGCCACAAACCTGGAGGCGAACGTCGAAGACATCATGCAGCAGGTGATGAAGCACATGGACGGAGGCGATCAGCTCAACAATTCGTCAAGCGATCTCAACGAGGTGCTCGATTTGGATATAGACAAAGATCTGCTCGCTCACGTGAACGTCATGATGGACGATCAGCAGGACGATCTCGAGACCGCCCAGAAACTTAAGGAGAACCAGGCGAGAATGATCCTCGTCGATTTGCAGAGGCGCCACGCGAGGATCGAAAGGAGACTCGATTTTCTCAGACGGAGGGTGTGCAAATTGCAATCGAGGCACATGGGGCAACACGTGAGCGGCGAGGTGGCGGGAGTGTTTGAACACGTGTACCGTTCCTTGCGGAAGCCGCCGTTGGAGACCCCGTCGTCGGAAGGACCGAGGCCGATGGCCCCGCACGCGGCCAAGTCTCTCGTCAGGAAGATCGAGATGGCGGCGATGCTGCAGGCGCGTCAGAGGACGGGGCCGCCCAGATATTTCGGTTCGGGTTCGGTGGACGCGTTCCGTAACTGCCCCCCGTCGTCTTCGTCGGGGCCTTCGGTGAGTATCCCCGCGTGGGGTACCAATGACAAGCACGAACTGCAAAGGGTGTCGGAACAGCTGCGTACGCAGCTGAGGCTCGTGCAGCGCGCCGCAGATTCAGACGCGACCGAAAGCAGTTCCGGAGGCGAGAGCTGCGACGAAATGCAGACCTACAGTAATCCCCACCAACAGTACCTTAGTATGTAAGTGTAAGAATTGTTTTTCAATGTAGAGCAAGGGGCTCCCGCTGAACTGGAAAACTTTCGGCGTCGCCAAAGGGTCAGGGCAGTCTCGGATTTTCGCATTTTCACGTTCAAAGTTGGGGATCTTTGCGTTATCATAATAAAAGTCAGCGACTTATGCGTTTTTATACTGGGAGTCATCAATTCTTCCCTTTTCACAAATCAGGATTTTTTTCATTACCACAAGAAAAGTCGAGCATTTCTCTCCTTGCACGATAACAGTCAGGGATTTTTGCCTTTCCACATTAAAAGTCATTTCTGTTTTCTCTCACAACCTAAGGATTTTTTCCCATTCAATGTCAGGGAGAATTTTTAAGTTTTCATATTAAACATCAGAGATTTATCCATTATGGTTATGGATTTTTCTATTTTCACGAATCAGGGATTTCGCCGTTCTCAATAACTCCGGGATTTTTTCGCTATCAGAACAAATGTCAGGGATTTTTCTGTTTTACATTAAAAATGGCGGGTTTTCCTCGTTTCACAAATCGGGAGTGTTTTCGTTACCGCCTCAAAAGTAAGGAATTTTTCTCTTTGAGCGTTAAAAGTTTCACAACTCGGAAGTTTTTTGGTTATCATAAACGTCTTGTAGGATTTTTACGTTTTCACATTAAAAGCCCTGATTTTCTAATTTCACAAATCAGGGATTTTTCCGTTCGCAATATGTCAGGGATTTTTTCGTTATCAGTATAATAGTCAGCGATTTTTCCATTTTGCATTAAAAGTGGTGGATTTTTCTCGTTCAATAAATCAGGGGTATTTTCGTTACCGCATCAAAAGTCAGACATTTTTCTCTTTGCAGGTTAAAAGTTTGACAACTCGGTAATTTCTTCGTTCTCATAAAAGTCATGTAGGATTTTTACGTTTTCCAGTTTCCAGCTTCACAAATCCGGGATTTTTCCGTTCGCAATAAGTCAGAGATTTTTTGGTTATTAGAAGAAATGTGATGGATTTTTCCGTTTTACATTAAAAGTGGTGGATTTTTCTCGTTCCACAAATCAAGAATGTTTTCGTTACCGCATCAAAAGTTAGACATTTTCCTCTTTGCACGTTAAAAGTTTGACTCGGGAATTTTTTCGTTCTCATAAAAGTGAGTGGGAGTTTTACGTTTTCACATTAAAAGCCCTCACTTTCCAGTTTCACAAATCAGGGATTTCACAAGTCGTGAATTGAATCAGGGATGTTTTCGTTACCGCATCAAAAGTCAGGGATTTTTGTCTTTGCACGTTAAAAGTTTGATAACTCTGAAATTCTTTCGTTCTCATGAAAGTCTTGTAGGATTTTTACGTTTTCACATTAAAAGCCCTGACTTAACAGTTTCACAAATCAAGGATAATTCCGTTTGCAATAAGTCAGGGATTTTTTCGTTATCAAAGCGATATTTCCGTTTTACATTAAAAGTTGGGGATTTTCCCATATTCACAAATTAGATCTTTTTTTCTCTTTGCATATTAAAAGTCAGGGGAGATGTTTATGTTTTCCCATTAAAAGCCAGACTTGTATCCGTTATTACAGTGGATGTTGGATTTTTTCATTTCCACAAATCTGGGATTTTTCCGGTTTTGCACTGGAAGTATTGGATTTTTCCCTTTTCACAAATTCTGGATTTTTTTAATTAAATTTATAGTCGAGGAAGTTTTTGTATTTTTTCTTCAGTTTTAGAGATACTACATTTTTTCGGTGGGATTTTTATTATTATATATAATTTTACTTTCAAACTATAGGCGATACTCCAGAGGGAGTGTAAAATTAAAACAACCTAGAAAAACAAAAGGTTCTTGTTGCACCATCTTGTTCCGACTCGCGCAATCTTTTGCAATCACAGCGAACAATTGCAATTCGAAAAATAGGTGAAGGGTACAAAAATACGGATACGGAGTGGATGTTTTAAAATAATTCATGTGTTTGTGTTGAGTAGATTTTTTTTTTTTTTTTGGTTAATTTTAGTTTAAAATTATTTTCTTTTGTAATTATTACGTTGTCGGTTTTAAAATTGAAAAATTGACTTCGGTGTCGTTGCCGTTCTGATTTTTTCTACCATTCGTTTCACCATAGAAATTGTAATTCTACTCCAATTATGTTTTGCCCGGTCCTGGTGTACAATTTACAATACGCGCAATTTAAAAAATGCAGCTTTATCTATATTTATATATTTGTCATTTTTTATTGCAAGCTTTCTTCCGTCTGATTCGACGCTTTAAAAAAAACATACAAATCGCATAGAGGTCCGACCGACGGCTTCGTAGGCGCGTCGTCGTCGGGGATGACTCACTATCGATTTCCGTCAGCAACAGGTCACGACGTGTTTCGCGCGCGCTTTAAATCGCGGACCCAACGCAACTCACATGGTTCTTGTTTTATTAATTTGTTTTACGAAACGTGATTAAAAACACACACTCGTCTCGTGCTCCCGTGCAGACAGAAACGGGCGCTATGGAAGTACTCGACGGAGAGGGCGGCCATAGCGGCCCGCTGGACGTGGCTCCAGTCGCAGATCTCCGACCTGGAGTACCGGATCCGACAGCACACGGAACTGCACAAACAGATCAGGGCGTCGAAAGGACCGGTACGTCTCGACGGCGACGACGACGTCGCGACGTCATCGGGCGCTGTCAACGGTTATCGGGGCCAGCTGCCCGGCGCCCCCAAGAATCTGGACGGCGATGCGGAGCGTCAGTGCGCGCGCACCAGACCGTTGGCCGGTTTCAGGAAACGGAAACTGCTCCAGGTCGCGGGGCTTCACGCGGTGTCGAAAAAAGCGGCACGACCTAGCACGGTGCGCTGCAGTTGCGTCCCGCCCAGCTCGTGCGCGCTGTGCACGGGCCGCGCGGACCCCACCTACCCCCGGGACTCACCGGACACCCTGAGCAAGACGGAGAAGGTGTCGCTGCTCGATCCCGGCTTCCATCCCGTACTCTCGCTGCCGGAAGGTACGAGTTTGGTTTGGTTTCTGTTTCACCGGTATCTTTTTTCCAGTCGTATTTAAATAATAGCAGAATGGGGTAATTTTACTTCGGGAGTGCCACGGGGTTCTATTCTTGGACCTCTTTTGTATCTTTTGTACACGTCTGATATGTCCAAGGAAGTCAAATTTTCTCAAATTCATTCATACGCCAATGATACCCGACTGTTACACACATTTAACTCAGCTAAGTGTGATAATGTCGAAGTTAATGTTAATTTGGATCTTAGGTAGTATATTATGCAACAAGTGCGGTAAACTACATTTGACATACGATTTTATTTGGCACGAGCGGAGCGAGTGCTTAATAAACGAGCGAGCGTGCGGGAAGCGTCACTTTACCACGTCAGTTTGGTTTCCCACGGATCCGAACCACTTCTTCCGGGATTTTACCGCACGGGTTTAAGAACAATCGGATGTTTTCGGAGATATTTCCCACTCTTTCAATTTTGACGTTTATCAGTTCTGACGCTCATGTCAGTGAATGTATTCGTGTTGTTTTGCGAAAATGTACCCATAAACTAACGGTCGTAGAAAAAGTATAGCATGCAACACGTTCGGTAAACTTTTTACGTCACTCGTTTATTAAACACTCGCTCCACTGCGCTCCGCTCGCGTCAAATAAACTCGTCAATAAAATGCATAATATACTATTAGCAAACGTCTTGCACATTATCACAATTTAAAAAATTAAAAATAATAACAGATTATCAAACAAAATATTTACTGGTTGCCATTAAACCTATTCGTTTATCGTTTCTGTCGGTTCTGCTACTGTTGTCTCTTTTTAATCATGTACGTTAGACAGAGAGAGAGAGATGTATTATTGGATATGCCATATGAACAACGGAATAATCACAATTTATGTTGTTTATTTAAATTTTATAATTGACCATACTACTTATTTAAAGAAAAAGACTGTAATTGGAAGAAAAATCACCCAAGGATAGAGCTTTTAAGAGGATTACGTTTTTAAGATCGTATAAGCAAAAAAAAAGCAGGTCCTAACCTTCAATTTGGTTTTGTTTGTACTGATGAGACATGGTCTTGGCAAGATATTCATGTAAAAACTGTAAAAAACCATTAAAGTTCATGCCAACGGTATGTCAAATTTCTGTGTGAAACTTAATTTATAAATGTCACTTTACTTACCAACTAAACCGCTAGATGTTAATTATAGCTTATAGCACGTAGTATTTAAATTGTCTGATTTGTAGCATAAAATTTTTTTGTGCATTATTTTTGGGGTACATTTTTGCAAAAAAACACGAATACATTCACTGACATACGTCAAAATTCAAACCGTACGGTAAAATCTCCGAAATCATCCGATTTTTCCAAACCCGTGCGGTAAAATCCCGGAAATGTCCGAAGTGGCTCGGATTCCGTGGGAAATGAAACTGACGTGGTAAAGGGACGCTTCCCGCACGCTAGATCGGTGTGTAATTAGGCATTTTACAGACGGGAGTAGAAAATAGTATTTTTCAGTATAATAAAAAACAATCATAAGCTAAATTCTAAAAAAACACAAATTATTATTATGCTATTTGCTTCCCCTGAGAGCCATAATTTGTAATATAATTAATATTAAAATTCAATTGGAAAATGAAGATCTTAAATTTACAAATGAAGCAAAAAACTTGGGAGTGATAATGGATGGTCAATTGAGATATAGTGGCCACATTTGTAATTTATGTAAAAAGACATATATCCCTCAAAACGCTATATGCAAATAAATATATATATTGAATTTCGAAGTACCAGATTACAAAAAATCCAGAACAACTGTGCCCGATTCGTTTATGGTTTAAGAAAGATTGTATATCAGAAAAAATATTTGCCATGAAATGGCTTCAAATTATATTTCTTTCAATTTTTGCTCACAATTGTTGTATTTAAGGTCAATATTCTTTACTAGCGTAGCAGAAAGATTGTCTAGTGTTTCGGTATGAAATTCACAATGCTCCTCTAAATACGAATAACATATGGATATATGCCCCAGCATAATTGTAGTAAAGTTTAGTAAATATTTTAAATCCAGCTCAGTTTTAGTATTTTGGAAATAAATTAAGGTTCACTTATTGGAATTACAAAAGCGTCTGCCCCAAACAAATTAGTATTTTACCAATAATGAATTGCTGGTTGTTTCATTATTATTGTAATATTCAGTTAATATTGAGTAGCTGAGATCAAGATCTTAAGCTAGACTTCAAGATGTATTTTGTCTAAACCTTGTGCAATAATTTAAAATATCTCAATAAAAACTATTGTTATTATTAGTTTCGGGAATTTTTAGCGAATCGCTTCTATTGAAGCATTTGTTTTTTGGCTGCAGATTCTTCGCAGGGCGTACACCTTGAGGCCGTAATGAAGATGCCCGAGTGGCAGCAGCGTAGCGTTCGCATGAAGACGGCGAAGGCGATAGGCAAGGCGGACCACAAATCATACGAGCAGCGATCGAAAAAATCCGAGTATCGGAAAAAGTACGGCTCGCTGAAGCAGAGCACAGTGTCCGCCCTCTCGGAGAGTGAGTTTTTAGCAACGAAAATTCCATTTATCGGCTTTGGCCAGCACCGCAGACCATTATCTCAACAAAATTTGTTAAAAAAATATTAAAATTGATTATAATTAACTATAAGTTTTAAAATTTTCCTTGGGGATTTTGAAAAAATGTCCGGAACCACTGCTGCTGCCCATTTGATTTGAGTAATCTGTTGTCATTAAGATTTCTCCACCAAGATACGCGTCTGCTATCTTCCTTGCGTCTCTGAATCTAAGCATTTCATCTTCTTCTGCATCTTTAACAGTACTTGAATGTTTTCAACTGTGATCATCTAGGAGGTGCGGCCCATTCAATGGTACTTCCTCACCTCGAATGCCTCCTTTGTCAGCGTCCAAATCTCGGCCCCATAAAGCCATACGGAGTAAACGCACATAACAGCAGAATGTCCCGCCAAAAATGTGCAAAACTTTTTTTTTTATAAAAGCCGAGTTTTTCTAGAGTTTCTTGGGGATATTTTTTTGGGAAATGTTGAGCTGTCTTCGAACTCTTACCTATGATGGTGGACGACCCTTTTGGTTTGTTGTTTCCTTGTAAGCGGATTGCGAATTTCCCCCACTTTCGTAGCGTTTGGGAAAAATCTATTTAAAAAAAGAAAATTGAGTACTCATTATTCTCCATTTTGCAGAGATCAAAAACAAGATCCGAGGGCGGAAGGTGGGCAGACCGTCGGGAAAAAAACGTCACCTAGACGCGGCGAAGCCCGTCGGGACGCCCACGGGTACCGGCATCGGACCCGATTGGGGCGACGACCTGGAGGTAGAGGCCGCGACGTCGTCGCTTGGCGCGAGGCGCTGCTCCATGGACTCCGCCGGCGGTTCGCCCTTGCTGCAGATGCAGTCCATTTCGGGGTACAGGCAGTATAGGAACAACCGAGCCGACTCTTACGACATTGACAACATTGTGATACCGTACAGCATTGCCGCCTCCACGCGTGTGGAGAAGCTAGAGTACAAAGAGATTTTGACTCCAAAGTACGTTCCAATTTACGCAACGTTATTACTGAAAAAATGTGTCCATGGTGGAAATTTTGATTTTTTATTTGATGCCTTCAATTCTCTACAATTTAACTATATAACTAATAGGGAATATTAACAAAATTTTAGTTTGAAAAATGTTGCTTATAAAAGTAAGTTTGTCCTATTAAAAGACCCACAGTTTACAAAAAGATATAATTTCGTAATTCTATGTAACAAATATAAGCCATTGCAAAATTTAACTCCTCTTTGAGACGCGCTGTCATTGGTTGTGACCGGTTGTGACGTCATTTCGCTGGTTAGACTATGCGCCAGCGGGACGGTAGCATAGAGAAGCCATTAGAGAACTACAACGCGTTCGTCTTGGTGGTTTTAATTTTAATTTCAATCTTGATCCTGTCGCATGTTTTTGTTATCTCGTGTTTAGTATCAAAAACAAATTTTTGAAAATAACGAAGCAGATTTTTTAAAAGGCCAATCTGATAATTTACCTTTAGTGAATATATTTATGGTGACATTTTATATACAAGGCACCAAAAGTTTTTCTTTTGCTCACGTTCGCGGTGTTAAAACTAAAAAGTATCTGCATAGAAAATTTATCCACTAGTTTTAAACCAATATAATATCGTGAAAGTTAATAGAATGTTTTATTTATTTATTATTCATATCATTATTTCATAATGTTATGAATAAAAATCTTAGTAAAAAATATAAAAAAACTAAAAACAAACAAAAAGGTTTATTTTTAAATTAGTGGAAACCTAAATACTGATTTTAAGTATTGATAATTTAAAGTGTTCTTTATTTTATTTAGATCAGGGAGCCATTCGTATAGAGACTGCACTAGGATGGATGCAAGTTTGAAGAGTTAAAAATGTTTGCGCCTGAACATAATGTTAGCAAAAACCAATGGCTTTTATTTTCTGGTAGCCGAATCTGATGCCACTGTTTGTAATATTGTTTTTGTGTTGCTTCCATTATTATCATGTAAAGCACACTAAGCACAAGTATAAACTGGCTTAGATTAAATACAAACACTAAAAATAAACGTAAATAATATAATTCTCCCCTATAACCTGAGAAGAACATTATAACATGTCGCCGTCTCGATCGAAAAGCAGCGGTATGACGTCACGATCATTTCCGCACAATTTGAATCGTTTATTGCAACTTAAATATTGAGTTTTGGGTTTTGATATTTGGTATGCGTTATTTCTATACGTAAACACATGTATTCAAGAAAAATGCTCTTTTGATTTTATCATTCCCTTATTCGCGTTTTGTCACCTAAAAACTTTAGGTTAATTAGCTGAATAAACAAGAAAGAATAGTGAGATGGCAATAGCACACAACCCACACACACAAAAGTTATATTTTTAATTGTACTTGTTCTTTTTTCACACAAAGAGGATTTAACTTTAGAAGTTAACTAGGCGAAAACAGTATATTCATTGTTCACTATTATACGTAAAACCACACATAAAACGTTGGAGTGATTCCTTGATTTCTTTAAAAAATAGAAAATGCTGCGCTAATTGGTGAACAATTCGATGCTTCAGGAAAATTTGCAATTCGTTAACTCCGTCGCTAATGAGTGAGGATGAATCGCATTTTTAAGAATTTATTCTTCTTATTTTTTTTTTTATAAAATTGGTGCTTCCAAGAAATGTTATTTTCTTAAACCGCAACACAGTTGCTCGTCACCAATAGAAAATGTGGGTGAAAGGATCGATAGTGGACGAGTATTTTTAGCATTTTAATTTTTTCGATAAAATGTGTGCTTTGAAGAAATTTCATTTTTTTTTAGACGTGAAGAATTCGAAGCTTTCGGATTTGATAAAAACTGAAAATCAATATGTTCACGCTAGTCAAAGTTATGACTGACTACTATACTTACATAACACAGTGGGGGAAACCTTCTAGGAAATATGAAGGAAATGAAAATATTTGGGTAATACTAGGAAATATGGGGAGATACGGGCAAATATCTGGAAAATACGAAATCAAGAGATATATTTGTCATAACACTAAACATCCATTTTTTTCATCCATCTCTTTTTATCAGAATTCCCGTTGCTCGCGTTCGGTTTATCTTAAAAAAGTTATGCTTTGAGTAGTTTTTTTAAATGAAAAATAGTGTGCTCTCTGCAAGTTTTTCAAATTTTTGTGGAGACGGTTTAAAGATAACGCGACGTCGTTTTCAGGTGGAGAATTTCGGATCTGATGAAGAACAACGGAGCGGTGCCCGATTTCGGCGACGATAGCGACGTGAGTTTTCCCTTTTTGTCCGCCGCCCCTCGCACTAACCGCCCCCCCGTTTCAGGTCGAGGACTTGTCCGAGGAGAGCGTGGTCGCTCGTCACGATCGCTGCGAGCACGACGAGCGCAAAAAGTTCCTCAGCTATCTGAAGCTGCCGTTTGGTGTGAGCAGACAGAGGCCCCACAAACGCCAGGACAGCCTCGCGGAGTCGTCGGGCGCCAACACCCCCGACCCGATGTCGCCTCACCCGCCCTTAGTCGTCGACGGCGACGTCCCGTCGATGTCCGTGGTCGAAGACGCGCCGCCACTGCCTTCTGTTGCGCTCATGAGGCGCCGCACCATATCCCAGTCGAAGCTGAAAGATATAAGGGAGGAACCCGGCTGTCCGCCCACGGATTTCGTCGAGGTTAGTTTCTGATTAGTTTCAAATTATTGATTCCAATTTTCATTAGCCCTACCTAGCCGCATGACCAGAAATTAGATTTAATAACCTGAAATTACGCTGTTTTGTTAATGTCTTATTTACCTATTAAAACGCTAATTTATTGTAGTAAATTAAAATATGTTATTATATTACAAAAATTATAAAAGTAATGAAGACATAATAACATTTTATTTTGATTTTAAATATCATTTATTTAAGAAAATATGGGAATACACTCTATCCTTCCAGAGATAGCGCAAAAAGTATTAAACAAAAAGGGGTTTGAATTTTTCTCAGCTTTAAGATGGTACTGTAATTATGGATGATATTAGACATTTTCATAGATACCGAGTTTTAAAGTTCAAGATAAAATTGCGCTCCCCAGTGACCATTTTCAGTATTTTGTTCATGTATCAATCACACTTAAATATAAAATGACTTATCTCGGAATCTGGCTTTCTTCAACCAACCCATCAGTGTCTATAATGAATCGCTAAATTTTTTATAACACTGTTCTTAGAAATACTGTAAAATCGACTATGCTCACTGCAAAGTCCTCACAAAGTCCGTTTATCACATCATCTCGATCTCCATATCTCACTACTGTTACTATACATAATATTTATAATAATAATAAACGTTTATTTTTCTAATCATCTTCATAATTCGGGACGTAGTGTAATCACAAATGATCATCAGAAGCCAGAATAATTAGCTCATAAAAAACGCTTGTTCTGTTTAAAGTTCGGTAAGTGGTATGAAACAACTAACACTAACAATATTTATTTCCTAATTAATTAATAACAAACCCCTATAGCATAATTTTTTTTTCGTCAATCAATCATCTTGATATGTTAATCGTCACTAATGGGCTCAAACTCTGGAAAAGTAGAAACTCTAACTTAATGTGACGAGATTGCGAAAGCAATCTTGTTTCATTCGAAAATCGATACGAATTTTTCGAAAGTATCTACGCTTGTATAAAAATTTTATATCTGGATAATTGTAAGCCATATATTTTTGTCTGTTTGTCCGTTCTCTGTTCTCGTCTTTTGGTTTTTGCTGAATAACTTTCGGACCGTTGGAGCTACAAAATTGAAATTTGCTTCCTTTTTAACCTTTACGAGGCACATAAGCTTATAAGAAATGGCCCTAATCCGACGCCGGTTTCCATTTTTTTTTTCGCGATTTTCGACTGTTTTTTGGACCTTGCTAGGAAACACGATAAGTGCCCGAAATTGAAGCTATTATTTAAACTATTGAAAATGGGGAGGCTGGGGGGTCGGGAAGTATTCTAAAAAAATAAAAAATTGCGCGTGTAAGGGTCTACAAAAAACATAAATTTTCAAAAACTATTTACGAGACCAAAAAAATTTTTGGACCAGAAGAAGCACTTTAGAAGAAACTTTTATTCTTGACAATTTTTCAAAAATATACGGGGTGCGCTGCAAATAAAAAAAAAACTGAAAAATGGGTCCCCCTGTTATTGAAAATTGGTAATAACTGAAAGACTGTGATTTTCTTTTATATTGCGATAAAGCCCGCATAGATAGCAAAAACTTTTGTATTTAAGGTTTTCACCTATTGTACAGGGTGTTCCCGATATTCCGTGTTAAATGAGAAATGTGTTAATTGTCCGCAATTTGCAAATATCAACTTCAAATTTACCAACGAAGTAAAAGTCCGTGTCCACATTTAAACGGTAGAAATTCGGCGCAATCAAATTTTACCAAGTATTGTTTAAAAATGTTTGAATTTTTTTTTTTTTGGTAATTTTAGCTTCCAGAAAAATATGTTTTCCTCCATAATTGTTCATCCGATTGGCAAAATTATTTAACCGGCAGACGCAAGAGATCCAGTGCAATAGCATTTATTTCGGGCATTTTTTCGATTATATACAGGGTTTTCAAACGATAGGCAAAAATCTAAAAGGCCTAGAAAATTGTTCTTTTACAGAGTAAATTATTAGCCGCAAATCAAAAATCGTAAAAAATATGGCTAATTAGTAATAGGCCGGATCAAGAGCTACAATTTTGGTATTTGCGGTTTTTGTCTATCACATACGCTGCTCGGGATATTTGAAAAAATCCATATTGAAATCGTCATTTCGGGGGCTGTCAAGACGTGATGACGTCATTGATTATTACGGCGCACTGCATGGTTTCAGAAAAAAGTAATTTTCTCGAAAACCATTTACTATTTTCAAAAAATTAATAACCTCTACTTCGAACAATGATAGTATCATATACAAGGTGTGTCGTGAAAATTTCCGTTTTTGTAGGTAAATTATTGGCGATAAATGAAAAACCGTTGAAGATGGGATAATTTTATTTGAACAGTATCGTAAACTGTGTCGTGGGAGAGTTTCAGGTTTCGTAAATTATACAGGGCCCGACATATTTGAAAAAATGTCATTCGACAACGCTGTTATTTGTGCAAATTTTAATATTTACCGATGTGCCTGCACAATTAAGTTACATCGATTTTGCGAAAGTTCCATAGTGGTCTGCAGGAGCACGGTAGAAAAACAATGTGTCCCGTTACCACACGAAACCGCGAAGCTCTTTGTTTTCAAAATAAAAAGCTGCTTCGCGCTACGCACTTGCCGCGCCTAGTGACGATTTTTCGAAAGCAATCTTGTTTATAAACGCTGTTAGTTCCCTAATTAGCTTGGGACCTCTGCAAGTTCGACTCAACAACAATCGATGCGGGAGAATCCTGTGAAAGTTTCTTGAAAAAAAAAAAGTTCCCTTATGTAATCTTTTGAATGGATTGGTGCATCTCTTTAACGTGTTTGGTTTGTTCATACCAGTGTCGTTACAGAGGCCGCCGTATGACGCGCGCAGTTTCCCCCTTCCCGACGACGACTATCGACATATGGTGGAGGACTCGCCCCCCGACGCCGAGACAAAGACGAACGCACGTGCGCAGGACTGCAGCGAATACGCTGGCGGTATGGGCGCCAGTAGCGGGGGCGGGGACACTCCGTTCGAGGGTGACCGGTCGGCAAAAATGGGCACCGATTCGGTGGGCGACAGCGAATCGACCGAGTCCGCGATCGGGGACGAGGGCGAGGACGAGTTCGTAGAGGACGACGACGATGACGACGAGGAGGACCCTAACGATCCCGAATGGACCGACATCGAGAAGTTGTCGAGGGAACGCCACCGCAGATAGAGCGGATGAGCGTTTTGGTTAAGTGGTGAGCGATGCTTCGAATCAATTTTATTAATCTGAAGACGTGAAGCTCTATGATTTGATTCTCGATAGCTTGTCGTTAATAGAAGTTATGAGGGAAAGAGTGAGTCGATGGAGGAATTGCATTTCTCTTTGCATAAATTTCATTTTTATTTGGAATTCCATGCTTTACGATTCGACGAAAATTGCAATTCGATAGCTCGTCGCTAACGGACATTACGAGTGAAAGAGTAAATCGACGATACAGGCGCGTTTTTAGGAATTTCCTTCTTTTGATATTTTTTTATTTGCAGACATGCATTTGCACAATTTGCATTGTGAGAGGACGATAAATGCGAATTTCTGTATTTTCATTTTGGTTTCTCCAAAAAATGAGTGTTTTTTCCATAAATTTCACTAAACTTCGATTTTTTATGATTTGATGAGGACATTATCATCCATTGACTTTCGAACACAATATGTTAATAGCAGGATTCATCTACTTTAAATCTGAAACATGGAGTCCATCAAGGATCTGCCCTAGGGCCACTTTTCTTCATCATTTACATAAAGAAATGTTCACTTTTCGTTGACGATGCGACAATAATCTGCAGGTACTCATCTTTAACCAGATTATATGAACTAATTTATGGGGTTGAGCTCTGTCTTAGTTTTCGCATAATAATTTATTTTTAAATAATCAAAAAACACGAAAACTTGAATGATGGCGTTACTCTCCTCGGACGATAATCTTAATTGGAGTGCTCATTTTGATGTTTTAAGTAACAATTATGTGCTTTTGCTTGTACGGACGTCCTAAGAAACGTCTATTTTGATTTGTTCCATTATAAAATATAGTACGCAGTTAGACTATGGGGAAATTTTAACCACGCAATAAGGGTTTTTAGACTGCAAAAATGGCAATTAGAATTCTATTAAATCTCAATCATGTCGGACTTATTTTTCTAGTCTTCGAATCATGTCAGTACCTTCAATCTTTATATATTGTAGCCTTAATGAAATCCATGGAAATATGAGAAAAAACTATATTTTACACTCAGCCATTCATAACTTTTCTACCAGAAATTCTCATCTTCTGCTAGTACCTCGCTATCGTTTAAATAGCATTAGCACTTCCAACAAATATTCAAGCTTTGATTGACAAAGCTTTTTAGAGGGCAATGTGTTTATTAATAATGGTTTCTATAGCAATGATGAATTTTTTAATTTTAAATTCTAATTGGCGCCATTTGTCCTTTAGTTTGTCTATGCTATATTTTTGTGTTTTTGTACAAACTGACATGCTACATATACGCGGTTAACGGTTCAATCTTCCCATCGACATGTTGCAGGTTTCTTGCGTTTATTGCTTTTGTTACGCCCGGTTTCCAATAGGTTTTTGGTTTTCCTCTTTTCCGGTGTTCTTTAGGTTGACATTCCATTGCTTGTATGGAAAGTCTTGTACGTGGAATTCGTTGCACTTGTCTATATCAAATTAATTGTTTCCTTTCAATATTATTATCTACAACGGTTCCTTCGATGCCCATAATTTCTCGGACGCTGTCGTTTCGAAACCCTTGCTCTCTTCGACAAATCCTTAGTGACCTGCATCCATCTCAACAGGTTCTACTCTTTTTTTATATTTTCCTGTAAGTCAGTAGTAATCATTCCATTTTTTGGCTTTGTGAGTTGCATGTGCGTATTTTCTTTGTGTGATGTTTTTAAATTTCCAAGCTTCCCTGTTTTTCCTGACATTTTCAGTCTCAGAGCTCATCCTTCTCCTTTTTGCTTTCCTGTAATATGCCAAATCTTCCTCCGCGTATGATGTGGTTAAATAAATAAACTAAACTAAACCAAACCAAACTATTTTTTTTTTCGAGGAAAACTGCCGCCTATTACCAGCTTATATTATTTCTTCGCTTATAATTGATAATTTTTCTTTTTTATTGCAGATTCTCTTTGCCGTCGCGGCGATCTACTAGAGGCGCGGGACACCGCACACCCTATAGGGTTCAACGAGGCCCCCCTCACCACATCGTATTGATTAATTCATTAGTTTCTCTTAGTTGATCTTTCGTTACAGCTCGTCTCATTTTTTTGATTTGGTGTTCATTCCGTTATGTATACACACATACACACACATACACCCACACACACACGAATGTACATATGTACGTCGTTGCGCGCGGAAAGGGAAGGGGAGGCGCGCGGCGCCGGCGATGTCGCTGTTTTCATGTTGGACATTGGCGGCCCGTCACCCAGTCCCGTACTTAATTTATTGTTTGTGGGGCGTTTCCGGTCCCCCACCGTCACCCGCTCCGACAGGGATTCAAAGCGAACGTTTTTTTTTTTCAGTTATTTTTTGTAACAATAAAAATGTATAAATTGCCCTTTGTTTGGTTGTTAGGTTTGTCGAAATCACCCGCCCCTCCCCCACCGCCCGCCTCCCCGCGCGCGCCACGCCCACCGAGTCGGACGACCCGCGAAGGCAAATCTCTGGATCTGTTATTTTTTATAAGAGCTTAGCAGCGGTTGTCCGTTTGGGGTCGAGGAGTGGCGGGGAAGCTAGAGAAAAAATTAAAAAAAAAAATTAAATTGTGTATAAAAATGTTAGTCCGATAACCAAACTGGACGAAGATTGAAGAAAAAATATTTATTTTCAAACGCTTATGTAGCCAAAAAAAAATTACTAAGTTAAAGGATGTAGCCCTACATTTTTATAAACCAGTTATAATATGAATTAAAAATATCGATGCAAAAACCGCCGTCTTTTTTATTTAGGTCCCGCAACCTTTCCTCCGCTGCTGGTTTTCATCGCGTTTTCAAACAATTTATTTCTTAAAAATGCGTCATTGCTAAAGCTCAAATGGGAGTTTTCGGGAAATATATTACGTCGTGAGGTCGCCGATGCTGGATTTCTACTTCGTTGGGCCTACATTTTCATCTGAAGTTAATGGATAAAAGTCAGCAAAATTCGCGACCATTTTCATTCATTCAATTTTCGTGCACCCACATATTTATTCATAACTAAAAGTTTCTTGACGAAAAATAAAAAAATATGTCAATAATTTGCCTCATTTTGGTGGTGCGAATTCTAGTTTCCAATAATTTGAAATCGGTAGTTCAAAACAAGCAATCAAAAAGTAAAAACGAACAATCCTCCTAAGTAGCAATTGACGACTCCCCTATAATCTGTAATGAGTTTTTTTTGGTTGCAAACTTGAAATAAAAGTCTATTCTTAACACAAGTTGAAGTTTCGGCGAATGCGCCAAACACTTTGAATTGGAAAAGGTAAGAAAGTAAAATTTTTAAAACGTTTTCAAAATAATAGTTGGTTCTTCGTATATATAGAGGCCCTATCTATGCCGATAATATAAATTTATAATAAATTATAAATTTTGGGAAGCAATGACCTTACAGGATTCAACAATAACATGGCTGTTGTCAAGTAGACATGCAACTGCAACAAATACAGTTTAAAAGTAGGTTTTTAAAGGCTAGCAATATTGATAGAATCCAGAAAGGATAAAACTGTTGCTTTAGAACTTCTTACCATATTAGAAAATATGACTCTTACGGAATCATAAAAACCCATCAGCCCTTTTATTTTTACCTAGACATAACTAACCAGCAGTTTTTTTAACGACTTATTTTTACTTAATTTTAAAAAAAGGTAAAAAATATATATTTTTGATAACGAGGACGACTTTATAATTTCTCGATTGCTTAGATTGATGTCCATGTGCGTGATAGTTTTATGTTAGTCGGTTTTAACTTTTCGTCAGTTGAAATATTATATAATCATATTTTTTGCCATTTACCATCACTCAATTGAAGAGTAGAAGTGAAAAAGGGGTTAAGTGCCAAAATTATTAAAAGGAGATTAAAAAAAAACTTTTCTTCCCAAAATAAAAAAAAAATTAAAAATTAAACATATTATTTGGCTTACAGGTAAATAAGCTGCCACACAAAAAACAAGAAAAAAATATTTTTAAACAAATTTTGTTAAAAATATTTCAGAAAAATGGGGAACGAACTAAGTGCCAACGCATTATTTGGTCAAATTAGAATAAAATTTTTGGTGCTTAGGGTCTTTTAGATAAGGAATCATTGATATTAGGTGCCTGTTCTTGTTATCGCAGATCATATTCCTGTTTGGTAGCAGCCTAACTGAGATATTTCTAATATCTTTCTTAAGTATCGATGTGGCTTTCCAACATGCTACTTCAGAATAAGATTTAGCAGTAAACAAAAAGCCAGGTCTTTGGCAGTCAATTTTCATTCGAACGACTTTGCTAATATTCACTTGTTTCACTTGCGCTTTCTTTTCTCGATCAACGCGAAATCCCTGTCCCACTGAAGGAAGCTTGACCATTGACAAGGTACCGTTGTTCAATAGTGTCAAAGAGTCCACAACTCACTAAAAACAATCATTCTCTATTTATTTTGAGCAATAGCGTTATCCCTCCGAGCAACAACATTCCTTTTTTCTGTATTGAGGACGTGTAATAAACAACACCCAATTTATGTGATTCCCAAAGTTGATTCCTAAGTTGTACCATGAAAGTTGGCTCATATAGACCATGTCAGAGTGGGTCAAAGTCAGTACGAACATGACTCGTTCTAAATCCACTGAGAACACACTCGTGGTGCTTCTTGGCACTTAAGACTATGCGATGTCTCTTTTCATGATCATACACGCTGCTTCTGCTTCTTCTTTTATTTCGCAATTTAACGAGTCACATTTACGACAGGTGTCACTTCGAGGTCCTAAGTTCAAGTTCAAGTATGAGTTTCACAAAAAATGTTGGGCTCGACTGCTAGGATCATTCGCCCATTGCCGACTTCCGTCGAGGATCTTCGCTTTTGGTCATTGACCAACACGTACAAAGAAGACATATAACCAATATTTGCTCAACTAGCAAAAAAACAAATTTGACCGATACCAAAAAAAACCGACACCCCCCGCTTCCACCGCGGACCATCCGGGCCCATCCGGCCTCCATACCGGCGTGAACGGGGAAAAACGACGGGGCCGACGAGGATTATAACTTTAAAACATGCACTGAACACTAACAACACTAAGTCCACACAGTGGAAACCGATATCAAACTTTTGAGGACGAATACAAGGGATTCTGTCGGGAGCGAACGGAGGTTAAACCGCCGCGTGCAATGCTCCACCACAGAATCCTTCGAGGTCCTCTAAATGAAACATTTGGAAAGTCTCCTTTCAACATTTTTTTGTAAAACTTGTAGGTGACCAAACCAAGTGGATATTTCTGCAAAAACGCTTTATGAAGGCGGTCCATAATTAAATCAGAAGTGTCAATCTATGTTCGTAGTTTAACGACTTGCAGTTAAATTTACATATACATGTTATCTGCAAGAAAGAAGAATATTTTTTAGGACATAAAGAAAAAAATATCTACACAGTAAAACGTCTGTCTTCGAGGTCGCCCTAGTCGTTCACAATATTAAAAAAAAGTTTGGTGAGTATCTAATCCACTATACTAACAACTGCGCAAAGCCTGTGAATTCAAACCTACAGCGCATAAGATAAAAATTTGGACCGACCTAGGATTACGTAGACGCTTCCCTATTAGAAATTAAAACAATGACTTACTTGTAGGCTAGGTCTCTTTTTTTCAGCTACAGTGTTCCCATTTCTGTTTTTTAGGATTGTCCTGCATTTTTGCGTTGTCTTTGCTCATCACATAATATTCCCATGCCTTGTTTTCAACGTTCAACATTCATTTATAATGGCTCTTTACAATATTTGACAGCGTTATTACAAAAAAACGATTAAAAACAAACGCACACGTATTACCGCACTGATCACTTACCAAAAGCGCCACCCGTCTGCTTAATTTGTTCCGGAAATTATAATTCTGACACTTTGCCCGCTTGATGATTGTTACTTCTACTTCTAAATTATAAAAGCATATTTAATATAGTATATTTAATTCTATATTCCACTTTTTCTTGGAACGGTCGATAAGTTTGGATGCGGCACTTTTACCTCAGTATTTGCTCAAAATATGCCCAAATCTCGTTAAATGTTCTGAGAAAACGAATTCCGTCTTTGGAAATATTGTGTGCGTAAATATCTGTGAAAATTAAAGCTCGTATTTCGGTGCATTTTATTCTACGGCTGTGGTAGATCCACAAAGCAAATTGAGGTGCATAAATTTTTAACTTTTATAATAATTTCCTCACCAAATTTAGGTACAAATCCAAGTTCATTTTCCCGGTGCCCCCATCCGTTAGGCAGAAGCAGGAAAATGAGTCACCAAAATTATCAGAATTCTGTAACAAATTGCATTGGTCAAATTTAATCTTGAAGCGCAAAAATCTGAGGGTGATCAATCAAAATCTGAAACGTTAATCCCGATTCCGATGGAGATTGCGTCTAGCCGGGATTACCAAGATTAGATTTCTTTCGGAAGTTATAAATGTCGAATGGAGCTGGCGATTTCTTTTATTTTAATTACTCTCGGCTAGCAGGTAAGTGGCTCTTTTATTTAACGTGTTAATTTTTCATCCGTCGTACTCATTTTATGGGTAGTTGACAGTTCTCTAATGTTTGTGCGCTTCCGTTTGAGGGCGACTTCAAGGTTAAAGTCCATATAGACACCATGATGGTATACGTGGACCAGAAATATAATGCTTTTACAACCGATCCCGTGATTAACTTTGCCTGCTGTTTATTACTCCAAAACCGCAGCCCCTTATAGAACACCCTGCCGAACAGGCCTTTACCCGCAACCATTCCAGGTCCGTCTTAGGAATTTATCTACCTACACTAACAAGGCGGATATAAGTATGTTTTCATTCTTTTCGCCGAACAATTCTTGAATCATGTATATAAAAAATTAGTACAAAGCAATAATTTATTACGTTATATTTCATTACATTTCTACATAGTTTATTATTAATCATTAATAAAGAAAATATTAAATATAATAATAATAAAGTATCAGTTACTTAAAATATCGTCACTATCGCTACTGTCGTTACCTAGTATCAGTCACTTAAAAAAACGCCACTATTTTGGTGCAGTGTTATTTCTTCTTATATGCGCTTTCAACTCAGACCAAATCACCTCAATCGGGTTAAATACGGGGGTAATCTCAAGATTTCATGCCCGTTTTGCAGTGCTATCGAATCGATTTTGTAGTCTTTATTAAAATTATTTTTAATAATTGCAGAAGTTGCTTTTTCTTTAATTTCTTCTTTATTTGAAGAAATATTTGGATATTTTATAATTTGACCTGAATGATGCGAGGTATTATTCAACACAATACAATAGTTTATTTTGAAACCAGTCTTCAACAACCATTCATTACGAAATTCTTTGAGATCCCGTTAGTACTTGACATTTATTAATTGTTTGGCACTGAAAATCCATTTTCTTCAAAAAAATACGCAATGACTCTTAGGCAAAACTAATGTTTATGTCTGTCAGTACTTTTTTATGCAGTTCTTCTAGGGTTAGTCTTTAAAAAGTTTGTACATAAGAAGAATACAAGAAGAAAAATGTTGTTAATCGACAACCACACAAGACAAGTGCATAAATACGTACTTACTGGAAGGATTACAGTCCGTAATATATACGGACATATTATAATGTAGATTAAACTTTTAAGAACGATACGTATCACCTGATGTTAAAATAAACACTTCTACTTATTCGAAAATACCCCGCAGGATCAATGCTTAATCAAATTTAAAACGGTCCATTTGCGTTTCGAATAAAATTTCAAGTGTCTGCAAATATTCGTTACGGTCCATCTCAGGAAAGACCTACTTAATCTGTTGGAATGGGTTTTACCACGGTCCTGCGAGGGTCTGCGGTTAAGGTACCGTAAAATACTTAACACGTCAAAGCACTATATTTTTGGTTGTATTATGCAGAGCTTAAGTTTACATATCTATGGTAAACGTTGGGAGTTAACTCCTTAATTTCTGAATACATCCACTTTCATCAAGCTGGAGCTCACCATTAACGCAGGTCGTAAAATGATGCCCCTTATCAATGCGACTAAATCCCGCGCCGTATAAATACAAAACGAAAACTCGCTGGTCCACTTTATTGTTGTTAGTTAATTCCTCAAATCGTTATCTGACGCGAAATGAAATTGTTTTTCGTTAGATAACGTCAGTTTGTCGAGTAAATAATCTTCAGTTAATCCGGAGTAGCACGGATCAAACCGGGAACGATCGGTATCGATCGCGAACGAGCAGCGATAAATAAAATAACCAGTCTGAAAAATGTAATGCGAACCGAATTGGGGCGCCCGACGGGCCAGGATGACCAAAAAAGTTCGAAAAATTCTAAATTTTACTTTTTGTTTTTTCCGCAGCATTAAACAAGCGGGCTTTGAACAATCTAAAAACAATTAAATTGCGGGGTAACCATGGTAACCGTAAACAACGTCCGAATATGTTCAATCGTGTTAGGACCTCGCTTTCTTGCAGGGATATTTAAAAAAACTGTCCAACTTCTGCTTCTTGTTTTGTGGCCACGGAAAGTTGTTCGATTGACATTGGACTGGACTTCACGTTTAATTACACACCTATCTAGCGTGCGAGAAACGTCAGTTTCGTTTCCGATAAATCGGAGTCACTTAAGACATTTTCGGGATTTTACCGCACGGATTTGTCAATTCTGACGGTCATATCAGTGAAGGCATTCGTGTTGTTTTGCGAAAATGTACCCAAAAACTAACGGTTCGGTAAACTTTTTAAGTCACTCGTTTATTAAACACTCGCTCCGGTCGTGTTAAATAAACTCGTGAGTCAAATGCCGTTTACCGCACTCGTTGCATAATATAATAATTACCACGTCACTATTTTTCAAGGAACGTCCTGATTGCAGTTTTGGGTAGAAATTCGTTTGAATTTCCAGAGACGCGTCGGAACATGTCGCGTTTCATCGTCGCCATCGTCGCCGCTCTCGTCGCGTCGTCGTCGGCCAAACCCAGACCGAAATACTACGACGACACGCTGGCCGCTCAAGAAGATTACCGCCTGCCGTCGTTCTACCTCCCCTCCTCTTACCAAATCGAGCTCATTTTCACTCAAGAAGCGTTCACCGCTTCTGGCAACGAGTTTGTCGGCAAAGCGACGATCAAGTTCCGTTTCCAGCAAGACAGCGACGTTCTCAAGTTCCACGCCCATCACAGCTACATCACCATCGATAGCTTAACCCTGAACAACCTTGACATCGATCCAACCGATTACGTCACTAATGACGTAACGGATATCGTGACGGTAAATTTTGCGGGAGCCGGCGGCTTGAAAGCGGAGAGAGATCACACGCTGGTGGTTAGTTACAAGGGTAGGATAGCCACCGACATGGCGGGAGTCTACAAGAGTAGCTACGTCAACGCAAAAGGCGAAACGGTGTATCTCGTCACCACCCAGTTCGAGCCTGTTTCTGCTAGAAGGGCGTTTCCCTGCTTCGACGAGCCTTACTTAAAGGCGCCGTTCGATTTTGTTATCAGCCGTCCGGCAAGCTACAACACTTTGTTCAACACGGCCGTCGACTCCCAGGATACGGCAAGGTAAGTCGAAGAATCTGATTCTCTGGACGACGAAACGACCATTCACTACCATGTTGGGGCAAAAAGCCTGTGGGTTGGAAAATAGCTTATCGAACATAAAATATTTTTGCAAAAACAGCTTAAATTATCTTTGGATGAAGTGAGGGGTGTTTAAGATAAATCTACCTATATAAAATGTAGTGTAGTGTAGTGTCCCTGGCAAAAACATCCATTTCGCGGACATGGCGCGTAGATGTAGTTTATAGTTCTGCAACACCTAGTAGAGTTCGCCGAATGCTATACCGTTTTTATTTAGTATTTAACTTTGCTAAATTTTTATGAAAGTCTAACCGAGATTCCTCGATTATTAATAGTCCGTGTTATAGAAAATTCATTCTAACTTTAAAATCTTTATTATAAATATAAATGAAGGAGTAAATTTAGCTATAAAACAATGTTAGAGTATTTGTTTAAAAAAAATTATTCTACATCACAATAATCATTATCGTCCTACACTAGTCGATTTCTGTAAACATTTTCATGTTCTATCGGATTGAAATTGCAGCAATATGGTAAATCGCCGTTCCATTGCCAATTTGTCCACAGTATACTTCTTATCAAACGTTCGATAAAAATGGCGCACTGAGTCTTGACAAACAATTGAATAACATTAAGTTGGTAAAACACAAAGTTTCGACAGCTAAGAAAATACTATTTTATAACTCCGAATTCAGCAACCCCCACAAATCAACCCAACCAATAGCAAAGTGCGAAAACATCAATTGTAAGTAAGATTTTGTATACATACAACAATGCCCACGATACAGTTCTTGTCGGCTAAATTCTTAAATACGGCCCTGACTGGCTGTTTTAACTCATTCCGATGTCAAAACCGCAAAAACGGTATATCGTTCGCTAAAGTATACTAATGCAAAAGTTATATTGTTTATTTTACGTTTTTTAAACAATATAAATATATTTATACGCTGTCAACATCTATTTTTCTTAATAAACTCTTGTATTCGATTCCATTTAAACAAATATAGAAAAGTAAAACTATTTTATATTTCGAAACGTAATTGTTTAGTATAAATATTTTGGCATTTGATTTACCCATGCAGATACTGTCAAAACGAGTACAGCCTCCTTGATCCTCGGAGCTAGACATAACACGGGAATAGTAATCTTTGGATTTGACCAATATGTCAAATAGTGGCAGCTGAATCTAGATAGATTTATTTTTCTTCCTCAGTTATTATGTTGATTTTTTATTTATTTATTTATTTAATTTGTATATATTACCGTGGTGAACATTTTTTTAATTTCATTGATATTATTTACTCACTGTATGTTTTCTTACCTTGAAAAAACTTGAATTTATTTTCTGGTAAGTGCTCGACTAACAGAGGATTACTGCACTACTCGGGCAACGATGGGAATCACCACTTTAATGGAGTCGAAATCATGGTAACGAAATACATGGCGAAATCAGTGATCAATTTCTTACTCTACTCCGATAGGATCATTATGATTCAGATCCAAACGAACATTGCTAAATTAAACCGTATACGCCCCTACAGCAGATAAAACTGACCACGAAATTGAAGAATTCTATGAACAACTTCTTGATATTCTAAAATTGAGAAAAGAATGTGACTTAACTGTTATTATGGGCGACTACAATGCAAAAATTGAAGAAGGCAGATATCAAGACTATGTTGGTGCATACGGTTTAGGAGAGAGAGAAATGAGCGGGGAGATCACATGTTGCAGTTCTGCGTAGAAGAAGACTTTGTGGTAAGTAGCACACTATTTAAACTTCCGAAAAGGAGGCTGTACACCTGAAAAGTACCCGGATACAACAAAGACCATTTAATTAGAAACCAGATGACTACATTTTGGTGAATAAAAGATTTAGAAAAATAAAATCAGCAAAAGATGTCTGATCCGACCACAACCCTATGGTTATGGACATGAATGTCAAATTAACAAACAAAATAGCAAAACAGAAAATAGGTTCATATTAATTGGTTAAAAGAGCCAACTATAAGAAACGCTAATACCAACTTTTGAACTGAAAAATTCCATAGGCTGCATGAAGAAGGATTCGCTATCTGGGATCAGAACACAAAGTGGGAAAAAATTAAGGATTCCGTAGCAAAAACACAAAACGCAATAGTTGGGAAGGACAGGAGGTTGCCAAAACAGAAGTGGATGACACTAAGGAATTTTATCACCAATGGAAGAGAGAAGGAAACATAAAAACAATAAGTCCATTAAAACACTATTCATAACAAAATCCGCGAAGCGAAGGACAACTGGATAAAGGAAAGGTGCAGAGAAATAGAGGACCTGGAACGCAAATACGATAGCTTTAACATGCACAAAAAGATAAAGGAAATAGTTGCTATTCGATCGAAAAAGACTCAGGTATTTTAAGAAACGAACAAAATTCAATAATTTTGGACACCGAGAATAAGCTGGAGATCTGGAGAACCTATAGAAAGCAGCTTTTCAATGAGAGACCACGCTATGAGGATAGCAAAATTTGGCAAAGCGGTGGGGCATTCTGAGCTTAATTTCGTCTAGCTCTGCTTCGTTTTTTCCAATGACCTTCAGATCGTCCATATATGATCTGATATATGATCTATTTTTATGCCATACATATGTACTGTTTCGCAGGATTTGCTATCCTACTTCTCGGAGCTCTCCTACTTGGTAATGTCACGTTGCCCTCCCCAGAATCCGCAGGGCAGCCTGCAGATGCAGTGTAGGATTCCGAACCGTTGGCTCTACCTATCTGGGGTACAAGATTTATATTTTTACTTGACATCGTTTTCTATTCTTCTTTATTGCTTACATTTCCCTAATGGATGGCACACGGAAGCGGAAAGCTTTAATCCTCCGGTGCGATAGGACAATGGGAATGGGTTTAGTGAGTATAAATAGGGTTAAGGTATCTGGGATCAGGGACTAGGACAGCGGTCAGCTGCTGCCTCTTACGACAGAGGAAAGATCCCGTGGCGCTATTGCTGATCCGGCCACCACATGATTATTATCATTATTATTATTATTATTATTATTATTATTATTATTATCATTATTATTATTATTATTATTATTATTATTATTAATTTCTTCAATAATCATGTTATCTACGGCGAACTTTCCAGCGGCATGGTGGTGGAGCGTTTCAAGACTACACCGATAATGTCAACGTACCTCGTTGCGTTCGTAGTGTCCGATTTTACGTGCGACTCAGGCGCCGCGATCGGCACCGTCAAGTACCAAGTGTGCTCGCGAGATAATTTGGCTGGTACGAGGGCGTTCGCCGTCTCCATCGGACCGAAAATTTTGGCGAAACTGAACGACTTTACCGGCTACGACTACGGCTCGAGCTCCAACGTTACCAAGATGGATCAGGTCGCCATTCCTGACTTCTCTGCCGGCGCCATGGAAAACTGGGGCTTGGTCACATACAGGTATGATCTGTTCATAGATATAAGAAAGTGAGCAATTGCTTTTGAATGGGATTATCCAAGGGTGGTCATTAACATACAATGCAACAAGCTTATCACCTTAAGTTTCTGAATTTAAATTCAGGTAAAATTGTGGTCCGTAATAGAAAATAATTTTATACCTACCTGTGTTTAATATTCTTTGGTTTGGTATATTATTTAGTATAAGTTTATTAGTAATCATTCCTATTTCATGTGTAATACAGCGTGTGTTGAATCGTGTGCGAATTATGCACACATATGTGCGAGTCTAGTGCTCTCAGGAGATGCTCCCGCCCAAATATAGAAAATACTATTCTATTGAAACTATGGATGTTATAAACAATGTTTATTTGACTTTCATCGAACGTGGTGCCAGCAAGCAAGCATCTTTAGAAGAAATGACCTCATTGACGAAAATTCCAACATCAACTGTATGGAAAATTGTGAATAATCCCATTTCAGCGAGGAAAAAAAGAAGCGATGCTGATTTTTTCTCGAGTGTAGATAAAAAAGATCAAGATATAATACGGCGTAAAATTTACCAGTTATACGAGGAACAAAGCGTGACTACCTTAGATATCTTAATTAGGAGGCTTGAAAAAAAAGAAACCGATATTAAATGTGGCAGAACTACCTTATGGAAGTGTATTCAACACATGGGTTTTAGATTTAAAAAAATCAACAAGAGGCAAGTTTTAATGGGATCTTTTAGAATTCGGAAATGGCGACTGGAATATCTAGAAAAAAAATAGGGCGAACAACAACGAACAACAAAGGCCAATTATTTACTTCGATGAAACCTGGTTCGACACTTCGATACCCAGGAAAAGGGTTGGGTTGACTCAACTGATAAGTGTAAAACAAACGCGCCATCAAAAAGAGGTAAAAGAATAACCATTTTGCATGCATGTGAATAATTTTAAGTAATTTAAGTAGGTAATAAAAAAAATTGTAACGTTATTTTAGATTTAAAGATAAATACATAAATAAATCTTTCCTAACAAAACCCCAAATAATTAAATTGTAAGGAAAGTAAGCAAAGTCTTTCCTTAATTCGTATCAGTTAGTCACTTTCTTATATCTATGAACAGACTTTAACCCCTCCTGCCGATCTCGGGCTCCTTACCATGTCCGCTATTGCAGAGAGAGCGCGCTACTTTACGACGACGAAGAATCGACGAATAAACAGTCCGTCGCGACGGTCATTGCTCACGAGTTCGCCCATCAGTGGTTCGGTAATCTGGTCACCTGCAAATGGTGGTCGGAGACTTTTCTCAATGAGGGATTCGCCACCTATTTCGAATTTTTCATCTCCCATGAGGTGGAGGTATATATTTTTATTTATTTATTTATTATATTATTTCATCTCCACCAAACCCGCTTCCTTCTGGTCTTGGATTTTGCAGGAACTGAAAAGCTGGCAACTGGACAAGCAATTCGTCACCAGCGTCGTGCAGTACGTGATGGGCGTCGACGCTCTCGTGACCGCCCCCTCCCTGCATTCTGCGGCCGCCACCCCTACCGAGATCAGCGCCAAATTCGGCACCGTCACGTACGACAAAGGTCTGTATAGTACGACCTAAAATATAGTGCATTTACAGTATTTTACATTACCTTAACCGCAGACCCTCGCAGGACCGTCTTAAAACCCATCCCAACAGATGTTTATTCTGATGTAGTATACCTTTAAAAGAAGTAGGATCATGTCTTTGCTATTTAAAAAATACCTAATATTGCCAACAAGGGACCTAATGTGTACAGCTTGAAATTCAACAAGAATTTATACGGGTGTTATCTTAAACCTGGAACATCTCAAAAATTAAATATAAGATAAATTATTATTATTAAATTATTATAAATTATTATTATAAATTATATTAGAATTGATATCTTAATAAAAATATAATAGCGTATTCCATTTGAAAATCTTGAGATTTTATTAATTGAATTCGCTAAAACGGCACCACCTATTTGGGACACCCTGTACAAATTGAGGCGCATCTATCAAATTGATTGAGTAGTGCATCATCTTCTTAGTCTGTGGTCAAATTTTCGTTTGCAATACCTGGATCAGAAGCGTCACAACGCAATTTTATAAGGGACAATCAAAATATGAAAAAAAAAAACACATAACCTCAATATCTGCCTAAAGTATGCAAAAATCGAATAGGAATTTCTTAAGAAAGTGCCCAGGATTCCAACAATGTCGATATATACGGGGTGTTCCATTTAAAATAACAAAGTTGTTGTCGAAGGGGGGGGGACGCTTTTGGGACATCAAGTATTAACAAAAATTTTTTCGTATTTCCTATGGGATTCCAGATCGTATAGTGAATCGTTTTATTTGGCACACGGTGTACCTAATTCTGGAGCTTTGACCCTGCGAGACTGTTTTCACTGTATAGTTCAAAGGGTAAGGGTAAGTACCTGTTTGAAAATAATCATTTTTGTCTTGTGTGTCTGTCGATTAACGATTCTTCTTTTCGTATTTTTGTGTCTTCTACATAGTTCTCCTATTTTTTTTAAGACTATAAATAAATATAAGATAAATATTTATTGGAATGTTATAATTAAACATTTTTTAACAATTTAAAATGTGGAGACCGTGGAATGATGTTCCCCTGTTAGAAGAAGACATGGAAAACAACGCAGAATTTGAAGACGAAGTGGAGATGGTAGTGGAACTTAATCAGAATTTAGAAGACGAACCACCACAGTAAATAGATCCATTTGTCTTTGGATGCTAAACAAATTGTTTTGAATGTTTACAATGTTTTAAGAAATTCAGAAGAGAAAGTAGGAGCAGTAATAAAAACAAGTGACATGACCAAAGTTCCGAAGTCACCTGTAAGAAAAATTGTTGCAAATGTTTTTAAAGAGCAACACGCAGATCTAATTATCTACGACGCTTATAACCCTAGAAGAACTGCATAAAAAAAGTACTGACAAACTTAAACATTAGTTGTGCCAAAGAGTCGTTGAAGAAAATGGATTTTCAGTTCATGATGATTTGGTCTGAGTTGAAAGCGCATATAGAAAGAAATAACACTGCACCAAAATAGTGATAGTACCACAAACGTAATAAACGATTAGTGGCAGAGTTGATTATCGAAATAAGTGTCGACAGTAGCAATAGTGACGGTTTTTTAAGTGATTGATGCTTTATTATTAATATTGTATTTTGTATATCAATAATGATACTATGTAGAACATCATAAATTGTCACTTTGTACTAATTTTTTTTATCTACATGTTTCGAACTGAACACGTAGTTATATCTCGCTTGTTGTGTAGGTAGATAAATTCCTAGGACGGTCCTGGAATGATTGCCGGTAAGGGTCTGTTCGGTAGGGTGTTCTATAAGGGCTGCGATTTTGGAGTAACAAACAGTCGACAAAGTTAATCGCTGGGTCGGTTGTATAAGCACTATATTTCTGGTCGAAGTATACCTTATCTTTCGTCGGCGTTCAGTTTTGTTAACATCGTTGTCCGACAGGTGGCACCGTGGTAAGGATGACGTCCCACATCATGGGCGTGGATAATTTCCGGAAAGGACTGCAACAGTACCTAGACGTTTAGTAAGTCCGGGGGGTGCATAGTTCGAGGCGGTGGTGTCAGAAAACGTGACGTTTTAGCAAAAACGGTTATGCCGAACCGAGCGACCTCTGGACGGTGTTGAACAAATATGTGGACGCCGGGGTGAGTAATTTACCGACCGGCGTTTCTCTGGTCGATGCGATGGAAAACTGGGTGGAGAAGTCGGGCTATCCGCTGTTGACGGTCACCCTGAGCGGCGGATCCTTGAAAATAAAGCAGGAGAGGTTCCTTCTGTCCGAAGACGAGGAGGACAAAGACACCAAGTGGTATGTCCCTATCACTTACACGACGTCCGCGGACCTGGCGGATGCGTTTGACAAAACCACCCCCGTGACGTGGCTGGTACCGTCCGAGGTGGAGAAGGTGATCGAGATACCGAGCGATACCACTTGGGTGATCGTGAACAACTATCAAACCGGTAAGCTTCCTCAATTTGTAGATTAATTTTTGGTGTGTGGGTGCTTCAAAATTCGATATATCTTTTGTAATTCAATTAGAATTAGAATTTGATATTACTTTTCTAATCGAATACATTAGTTTAAAAAAAGCGAACACACTGTTTTTGTGGAAAGAATTTAGAATTTGATATATCTTTTCTATTTGAATGCATTAGTATAAAAAAATGAAATATGCCGCTTTTGTCGAAATAACAAGCAATAAATTTAAATTTTTGACGTATCTTTCCTAATTGAGGACAATGTTTTTAAAAAAAATCGAACCACACATATTAAATTGTTGGTAATTAGAATTTCATATCTCTTTTCTATTTGAAGACATTAGTAGAAAAAATGAAACATGCTTTTGTTGTCGAAATAACAGGCAAGAAATTCTAATGTTTGACAAGTGGGTGTGCTTCAGAATTTAATATTTATTTTCTATTTGAAGACATAACAGGCAAGAAATTCCAATTTTTGGTAAGTGGGTGTGCTTCAAAATTTGATATTTCTTTTCTAATATAAGATGTTAGTAATTTGTACAAAAAAATCAAAAATGCTGCTTTTCTTGAAAGGACAGGTAGAAAATTAAATTGCAAGCGGGGCTTTAGAATTTGATATTTCTTTTCTATTTGAAGATCTTAGTAGAAAAAATAGAACATGCTGCTGTTGTCGAAATAACAGGCAAGAAATTCAAATTTTTGGTAAGCGGGTGCATTAGAATTTGATGTATCTTTTCTAATTGAAGACGTTAGTTTTAAAAAAGCGAACATATTGCTTTTGTGGAAAGAATAAGGAAAAAAAATGATTACTAGCTTGTGCTTTAGAATTTGATTTCTCGTTTCTATTTGAAGACGTTAGTAGAAAAAACTGGAACATGATGCTTTTGTCGAAATATTATGCAAGAAATTAAAATTTTTGGTAAGTGGGTGCTTAAGAATTTGATATTTCTTTTCTAAAGTAAGACGTTATAAAGTAGCATAAAAAAATCAAAGATGATGGTTTTGTAGAAAGGACAGGTAAAAAAATAAATTGTTGGTAAATGCTTTAGAGTTTGACGTGCATTTTGTAATTGAAGACAATGGTTTAAAAAATATGCAACACATTGCTTTTGCCTAAAGAAAAGGTAGAAAGGTAATTATAATTTGATATTACTTTTCTAATTGAAGACATTGCTTTAAAAAAATCGAACAAATTGCTTTTGTGGAAAGAATAAGGAAAAAAAAATGATTGCTAGGGGGCGCTTTAGAATTTCATGTTTCTTTTCTATTTGAAGAGGTTAGTAGAAAAAAATGGTACATGCCACTTTTGTCGAAAGAACAATCAAGAACATGTTATTGATGGTGGACGGGTGCTGTGGAATTTGATATCTCATTTCCGATTAGCATTAGCAAAAAAAAATCGCCTCAAAAGAAACTCGGTTTCCCCTTTTGTCTTCAGGTTACTACAGGGTAAACTACGACGACGCCCTCTGGGACAACCTCGCGATGGCTTTGTCGGCCTCGAATTTCACTGGAATCCCCGACGTAAACAGGGCTCAGATCGTCGACGACGTGTTCACCCTCGCGAGAACCGGCAAAGTCCCCTACTCGCGCGTGTTCAAAGTCATCTCGTTCCTCGAGAACGACATCTCTTATTTCCCTTGGATCCGAGCCCTCAACGGTTTAAGCTTCATCGACGGTAAACTGTTCGAGTCTGAGATCAAGGAAATGCACCAGGTATGCGAAGAACCGTTCCTTCGGCTAAGACGCTATAGTTTCTGTTGACCAGGCGCACGTACTCGGCCTTATGCGCAAACTCTACGCCTCCGTACCAATAAACGAGACCAAAGACGATCAAATCTACACCCTGACCCAAGTAGCCGCGGGTAACTGGGCCTGCGCGTTGGGCGAGGAAAGCTGCGTCAATGCCGCCAAGACCTTGTTCTCGGACTACAAGAAAGACGCCTCCAAGAAGTAGGTGTCAACTTCTCTGCACACCTCTCCTACATCTATTCCGCTATACCTCCATCTACGTCTCGTCTATCTTTAATCATTACCCCAATTTGTTTTTTCCGAAAATAATCATTTTAATTTTTCGTCTAATAATACAAGAAAAATATCATATGAATTGCAAATTAACAAGAAATTATCATTTTCTTAAATTTTCTGGGGGGGGGGTGATTTTTTTTCCACAACTGTATATAACAAAATGAAATCTATTGGGGTACAATTGAGGGTTGACAATTTGGGGTATTGTAACAAATAATAATAATATTAATAATAATAATAACAATAACAATTATATTATTAATAATAATAATATTAATGGTGGTACAAACAAAAATTAGAATTGAAAAAATTAGAAAAAAAAGAATAATTGAAAACATTCTTCCTTCACGTACCCGAAAATCATTTTAATTAAAAAATAGTTTGTAGGGGGGCTGTATATAAAATTTAAACTAGTTTTTCCTTCTAATAATACCGGAACAACATCATATGAATTACAAAATAACAAGAAATTATCATTTGATTATATTTCCTGTGGGGTTGATTTGTTTTCCACAACTGTGTATAACAAAATGAAATCTATTGGGGTACAATTGAGGGTTGCCAATTTGGGGTACAGTAACAAATAATAATAATATTAAAAATAATAATAATAACAATAATAATTATATTATTAATAATAATAATAATAATGGTGTTACAAACAAAAATTGGAATTGAAAAAATTAGAAAAAAAAAGAATAATTGAAAACATTCTTCCTTCACGTACCCGAAAAAAATCATTTTAATTAAAAAATAGTTTCCAGGGGGGCTATGTATAAAATTTAAACTAGTTTTTCCTTCTAATAATACCAGAACAACATCATATGAATTACAAAATAACAAGAAATTATCATTTGATTATGTTTTCTGTGGGGGCGATTTTTTTTTAATGACAATAATAATGGGAGTACCAACAAAAATTAGAATTAAAAAAATTGGAAAAAAAAGACTAATTGAAAACATTCTTCGTTCACGCTTTGGAGAAATGATGTTGTTTCATGTCTCGTACAATTGCTTCAAAATTGGGACTTTCTGATATAAGAGCCATTTAATACAGTCTTCGGCATTTAATCGATTTGTGTTCTTCGTTTTTATGTTCATTATAGTGGAAAAGCCTTGTTCGCACACATATATTGTTCTAAATGGCAACAAAAAGACGATAGATTTGGTTTACTCTTAAATTGAATACGTGCTTCAGTATTAGATCGAAGTTTAAAAATTGCTTCTGCCAAACCTAAGGGTTCTTCCTGTATCCTGGCAATTTCACATTTAAAAGGATCTACAATCCAACTGACGCCACGTGTATCAAGATCTGGCAAGTAATCTGAAACCCGCTTTCTGATGCCAGCAAAAGTAATTTTTTCGCAATCTTCCAAAAACAAAGAAGCTATCTTGTTCCGTTCTACTTTCTGCCTCCAATATTGCAGCTTGAGTCCAAACGCCGACACTATTTCTCTAGCTGATATTAATATTTTTTTCCTGCAATTCTTTGTTTAATATGTCAAAAATGTCCGCTAAATATCCGAGATGTGCAACCTAGGAAGAGTTTTTAAACTTATCTGCGAGAATATTTTTTTGATCAACCATAAAAATTTCGACTTCAGTTTTGGTTAGTTAGTCCATACTCGAATTAGTACATTTCCGCGAGAGGGCCACCTTAGTTCTGTATAATAACGTGGGTCCGTATATTCGTGCCCCTTGATAAAATTTACAATCTTGATGACATCATCCATGACGGCTTCCAGCGTAGGTTTTAAATATTTGACTATAAGGGCCTGGGGATGGATTATACAGGTGTAATTTCAATATTTATGTTATGTTTTTTTCACGAAAGCAGAAAAAATGTTAATATGACCCAGTTCCATCCAAAGATACAGAAATACAGTTTTCCCACATTAAACTTTGCGCATTGAAGTATTCATTTACTTTGTTGTGGGCACCTTTGTAGCGAACATATACCATTAGGTGTGAATTGCTACTAAAATCAGTTGTATCATCAAGCTGCATAGTCAAATATTTAGCCTGTTTTCATATATTCTGCAAATATAGAAATTCGTTCTTTCACAATTCTGGCAGACAAGGGCACTGAATTCAGTTTCTTCGCTTCTTTTTGAGCATACATAATCTCTGCCATTTTTACAGCAGCTGATTTAACCAAATCTTCACCAATAGTGTATGGTTTCTTATTACGCGCAATCAATCAGGGTACTTCAAAGCTAGCCCTTAATGCTGAACGCTGGTCAAATGTACAAAACAAGCTGCTATTGAATTTTTAACAGATATTTCTAAATTTGCAATGTATTCTCGCCGTTTGGAAGACAGGTGTGATTGCAGATTATCTAAATGTACCTTCATACGTACAACACACGGTGGTTTCATTGTACCATTCTCTTGTATTTGTGTTAAACCGTAATCAAGGAATTCGTCTTTGTATGTTCTTTTTCTATTTGCTGCCACCTGAAGGGTTAAAATTTTCAAAAAAAAAAACGACGATTAATGATAAAATGGTGGTCTTGTCACCAACTAACTAGTAAAAACTTTCTGACTCGTCAATGTATTTGTATCTTGACGGTATGGCACGAACTGAGCATATAGCTGGGCCTGCATATGTCTCTAAATTGTTTAAGTTGAAAAAAATACTAAGAGGTTTAAAAATGGCAAATTAAAAATATATACTTTAATTTAGCCCGGTTCCCCGACCGCTGATCTATCTCTTCCATACTTTTATATGGAAGCATACGTCAATCACACGCAGTAGTTCAAATGTACCGACCTGTTTGGCTGCAGCAACGGCTCTCTACCGCTACTGTGAACGCTTATCCCTTGCCTGCAAGCTATAAAAGCTTAAAAAAGCTGGGTGCTAGGTGCACGTGTTGACTATACGCTTAAAGGTTGGGCCGGGCTTAACGGAGTCATCGCTTAGTGTTCGTGGGACGCGTCAACGTTTGGCCGGCGTCTTCAGGGAGCGGTGGCGGAAGGAAAAGTAGATCTTGATCCTGTTCGGTACAGGCCCGACAAGAACCTGAGGCGGATCGTGTACTGCCACGGTCTGCGTAACAGCGACGCCCCGTCCGACGACTGGGAATTCCTGTGGAAAGTTTACCTGGCCGCAGAGATGGCGAGCGAAAAGACGTTGATCCTGGCCGCTTTGGGATGTTCCAGCGACTCGGACGTCCTCAGAAGGTAGAGAACGGTATACAGGGTTATCCACGGTGGGTGCCCTATTAGACGTTTATGAAGAATGACTTGCGGTAAAAACCTGAAATGTTGAATATTAGCTGCCTGGGTATAAAATTTTTGGCCATGCGGTGTAACGTATATCAACTTTCGTTTTTTAAATCGAACACCCTGTATATTATTTGTTTTTAGATTTGGCGAAACTTCCAGGATTTTTTTTATGTAACATGTCCCATATCTACCTCTAACATAAATAAATAATACTTTTTAAGAAGTTTGGCAACCAACAACCCGACATAAAATAATAATTTTTTTCGCAATCCATACACCTAAACACTTGTATTTTTGGTTGCGGTTCGCTATCAAATTGCTAAACTTTTAGTTGTTATTTATTTTGATAAATGGATTTTCATCAAGTAAAAGGCACCTCAGTTCAATTTCAGAATTTTAAATGCCATATTTCATATTGGCACGTAAATGAGCAATTAATTTGCCATCTAAAAGTACCAAACGATTTTTTGTTAAGTTCGTGATAGTTGATTTCCGAGGTAAGAAACGATGTTGATACCCTGATATAGTATTATTATCTAAAAAGAAAAGCGAAAAAAAATTTTCTCCATACATTTACGTGACATGACATGTTAAGCAAATTGGCCTATAATGCTTATCGCCTTTCTTGTGTACTGGTGTTACAATAGAGGTTTTCCACTGTACTAGTAATTAATTCATTATATTCAAAATAGTCCTTACACTACTGGAACATCTCTGAAGAAATACAACTGCTATATTATCAGGACCTGGCATCAGTTTTTAAATTCTTCAGAGTCTCTTTCACTCTTTCAGGTGTGAAATCGAAGGACGTCATCTCTGCAGGAGAGCGGGACGTTGCTGGAAGTGTTGGCAGTGGGTCTTCATCGTTCTTCTTTGTGCACACTGTATCAAATTGTTTGGCAAATTTTTCACACATTCCTCATTTTCATCATTTACAGTAATAGCGGATACTTTTGAGTTTAATGCTCGGTTTATATATTAAAAAAAATGTTTAGTAGACTTCTACGAGGCAATTTCTTGTTCGTATTTGATTCTGGCATTTGTTATCATTTTCTTAAGCCCATTATTATGCACACGATATTGATTATGATCTTCTTGATTTCGAGTCAGTCGTCACGTATTTATCCCATAGCTTTCTAATCCATAAATCTAAAAATCTGTAGTTGAGGTCACCAATAATTCTCCGAACAGCCTGCTTTGATTGAATTTATCATTTCTTGATCCGTGAAGTCTGATAAGTAGTCTTGTCGATATATGCAACATACTAAAATTTTTAACTTGTTTGCCATTATGTTAATCCAGAGGGACTGAATTGGTTCTGATGTTGAGTAGTTTTTGTTGGTATTAGTGGTTATTTTGAAATTTTTTATGTGTTCTTCTCTATCCAGGCGATAAGTAATATATCCTGGAATATGAATAATACTGTTGCTAATTTTAGGGCTGAGCCACTTTTCTGTTATAAATATACAGACTGGATTGTGCATTTTTACAGAAGCATGTGACTCATCAATTTTTTTTCTTAGTTTTTTGCAATTTCCTTAATGATTTTAGGTACAGCGTTTAGTTTAGTACGTCTTTGGAGCTCTGATGCAACTGTTCTCAAGAAGCCTCTCTGCATGATTCTAAGATCACTTTTAATGTAACTGTTATCAGTATCTAAATTTTTCTTCTGTTTAGAATGCTTAGAGCGACTTCCTTTGATCGCAATATGATTTTTATGGGTCTTACTTTGCCTGCTTCAGGTTTCCCTAATCTAAATAATTTGATATTATCCCATCATTTGAATTGTTAACTAACGCTAATACATGTTCCATCTCCTTTTCATGTTTTTTTCTACACTGTTACACCAAATAATAAAATATTTGTTGCTCGTTTTGCTCGTTCATTTAGTTCTTCGATAGTAGGTTCAATCGAAGCTGCTCTTCTGATTGCAATTTAAGCTGAGGTAATTTCTTGATAGTTCTTTATTTTGGATGTTTGTACCAAAGCTCTTACTTCAGTAGCCGACAAGTTAGAACAATTTCTGCATTGCACATTTTTACATAAATCAGAAGGAAATCCAAAACGTTTAGTTTTACTTTTCTTAAATATGCATTGATCATTACATTTTGAACAAATTCCAGTCATATTTGAAAAAAAATGTCTTTATTTAGGACACTCTGTATTACTCTATATTATGGTATATCTATTTTCACTGGTTTTCGAGTTATGACCAAAAAACCAGAATATTGAAATTAAGGCGAATTAAAGTAATCACATTCCGTCTGGTTAATACACACACATGGCGTTTCAAATGTTCTATTGTTCTAACTGGACTTTTATACACTATTTCTTTAATAGCACCCCAAAGGTAGGCATCAACCGGTCTAATATCTAACGAACGCAGTGGCTAATTCCATGGACCTAGACGCTTTTCCATTGGTTTTAGAACATGATTGTAAGTTTCTATTCTTCTATTTCTTCTATCGAAAATACCGTCCCGGTCCAAATAATCTCAATCAAATCTCAATCTCAATCTTCTTGTATTCTAACCAATATCATCTCACCAAACTCTACGCGTAATGGTGCATCACGTGGGAGAAGAGATTGTAATGTAATTATTTTGTAATTATGCATATTACGTTTCTTCAGTATCAGATTAAGATGTGCCTAAATCATCTTTATATACAGGATGTTCCATTGAAAACACGCAAGTTAATATACGTTACGGGTATATCTGGCAACACCGCACGGCCGAACATATTTTAGTTAGGTTCGCTTACATAAGTAACCAACATTTCAGGTTTTTACCGTGAGTCTAATAGGACACTCATAGTGAATAATCCCTGTATATTGGGCCGTTCGCACGCACGGGTCTGTTTCCAGGTTCCTGAGTATGTCGGTGAACGAAACGTCGGAAATAAGGTCCCAGGACGCGTACTCGGTGTTTTCCGCGGTTTACGGGGCGTCCGCTTTGGGCGTGGACCTGGCCCTCGACTTTATGATCGAAAACTACAAGAAGATCTCTGAAAAGTAAGGCGTTACAAAGGACGGAAAATTTTTGAAGTCTTTGGAAGCGGTTCGGTTTGAATGTAGATATAGTTTTCAGCCATTGACCAGTCTTGTGAAAATTTTACACTTTTTTGACATGTATTAGGGTAAGACACTATCAAGAGAATTTTAAACGACTTTGGGGGAAAGATAATTTTGGTTGTTTTTTGCTTTTTTTCTATGCCTAACATTATTCGTTACCTAAAAAAAAGCATTCAAAACGTGGGTGGGCGGCTTTAAGTCTGCACTGCGTGGTATTAAAATCACTACCCTGTAGGTACACGTCGATGTTGGCGCTGAGCTCCCTCGTCACGGGTCTGGCTTCAAAGTTCACGACGCAGGCGCAGATAGACAAGGTAAAATAATTTACAGTGAAAGCCCCCATAAGCGGACACTCACATAACTTTTGTCTGCTTATGGGAGGTGTCCGCCTTAAGATAGTAGAAGATAAGAGGAAAAGGATACAGAATCTGGCAACATTTTTAAACTATATACATAGTGTAAAAATTTAAAAAAAAATGTTTCCTTACGTTTTTGAAAAAAGTCTAAAATGCTTGTCTGACGAAGAGACAGTTTTCGTAATAACTTTCTGAATTTTTTAAACGTTGAAATGCAGTGAAACCATCTCTAGCAAATGTTTTGCATGTCGCAGTAACTCAGGGAGTAATCGAGATCGTAATAATCTTGTTCAGTAAATTCTGAGCTACATTCCCTTTTTCTGAATCCCGCTTTGTCAAAACAATTCTTAATTGCAGAGGAATTACTTTACTCCATGCTGTTTTTATAAAATACAAAGCGTCCAACAGATTGATTGTAAGCTCAGATAGGCTTTGAACATCTTCAAAACTTGAAGTTTTGTATGATACCTTGATCTAAGGCCCGACAAACTGAAGTTGTGTTTGGCGGTAAAAATACAATTTTTACATTTTTCAATTTCATCTGCGTTGTACACATCTTCTGGTTTGTTGCCAAGCAAAATGGACGGAATTTTTTCCAAAAACTGTGGTACCTTTGAAGCCACCCGTCAGACGCACTGAATTATTGTAGCCCAAATTAGTTGAAATTTCCTTAGCTTTCGTTTTCACTAACGGCCCTGAGATTGGAATGTTCTGTTTTCTAGCTTTCGCAAACAACTCAAAACATCTTTTGTCTATAGCAAAACCTTCCTTTTTCTAAAAATCCTTCTTTTGATTTATATTACTTCCAGATTGCCATTTAGTTCTGATATCTTCCTTATTTTTGGCTATTTCAGCTGCCTGCGTTTTCCCAATATTAAAACCTCTTTGCCAAATGACGAACTGAAACACTTTCTTTGTCTAAAACGTTAACAACTTCCACCTTTTCCTTTAACGGTGCCATTTTACGTAAAATTATAAAATAACCCCACAATATCAACTACCGATCTGAAGACAAAACACAACATTAAATGCAGGCTAGCAAACGAAATGTGTATGTAAATGGGGAACCACCGCGTCCGCTTATGGGAGGTTTTGGGTCACTTTCAAGAAAAATCTAGTGTCCACGTTTTTTTATAAGAGCGTCCGCTTATCGGAATGCATGAATGAATTCGGTTCCAGGACCTTTGTCCGGTTAAAAGAGACGTCCGCTTATAGGGGCTGTCCGCAAGAAGAGCTTTCACTGTATCTTCTATGGAGTATTAATTAATTATACAGTGTAGTTATTGAAAGACGACGGTCATGGGTGTTAATCCCTGGGTGATTATAATAAGAAAAGATAATATCAACATATGTTGCTATTCAGTCGTAACAGCCAGGGCGCTGCATTCAGACCTTCTTATCCATTATGCCTGTATATTTTCGCTTCCTTTCCTCGAAGAGCTTTGTACTCTTGAGGAAGGCATCTTCCATGGGGAGTTGGGATAGTTCCTCGGGCTTAATGAATTGAGCTCCTACTATTCTCAATCGTGGTGGTGGCAAAAGATGAATTGGAGTTTCCTCCATGTCGATGCACGTCTAAGTCGGATAGCAGTTGGTGGCTAAGGGCTCGAGTCCTAGCAATGTTTCCATCAACGTAATTGGTGTAGTTTTCAAAGAGCCGGTCACCATTAGGCAGCTCAACTTTTGCTGTCGCTATCTATATGGAAGTTATTTTTATACAATGTTGTTAACTTTGAGTGAGCGAGTGAACTCCGTACGAGGTTTGAACGGAATGTTTATGAACAAATGAAATGTATGCCACTGGTTTTTCTGAAAATTAAAATTAATCTCGAAATCCTCATTTGACTTGATAAATTCGAAAGTAAGAAAAAAAGTTATTTCGTAGGAAGCACCGCGTCGAAGAAAATTAAGTTTCTTGAGACCGCGTTATTTTTTTTTTATTTGCAAAAATTAATTTTTTGAATTCACCGGTACGAACGTTGAATATTTGCTTGGTGTCCCGTCGGGATTAGTGCGGTAGTGTACTGATCGAGTACCGGTTGCAGCTGAAGAACTTCATCACCTCTACCACAGACCTGCCGCAGGAGTTCCTCAAAGCGGCCGACCAAGCCGTCGAAACTGCCGAGACCAATCTGGCGTGGATCAAAAGCTACGAGGACGACTTCTACGAGTACTACGGGATCGCGCAGACCTCCGGCACGACGCCCACGGTGACGCTGTCGTTAGCGGTCGTCGCCGTCGCCTTCTGGGCGTTGATAGCTAGTCAAACGTAAATAAAACGGCGTCGCGTCGGGGTGCGTCTATTTATTGTTTAATATAACGGTTAAACACAGTACAGCCGCTGGTTTTATTAGCTGGGGCTTGACTAGACAGCTTGGCTGACCTCGTCCTTAACCATCGGCGAATTGAACCATTTTACGTTTTCCTTGGCCGTCTCCAAGGAGGCCTTCAGCGAGTCGCTCGTCCACGTGCTCGATGCCATCTGCAAGACGATTTTAAATCTTAATACGATCCAATTTGTCGAGTTTAAGGTTTAAAGGTCGAAAAAAATTTTTTTTTCTCTGTAGACGCGCCATATACTATAACTATAACTTTCGAACGGTTTTAACCCTGACGTTCAAATTTGGCTCTTTTAAAGAGTCCGCGAAACACATAAGCCAAGGGAGAAAGGGCGCGATCGGACATCGACGTCCATCTTTTTTTTTTAGATTTTTCGGCTGTTTTTTGGACAATGCTATGAAACGATTTGTGCCCGAGATTTGATGCTAGGGACTTCAAATTTGGCAATCAGAGTTTGATCCCCTAACGAAGCTTATTGAAACTAGGAGAGCTGGGGGGTCGGCAAATATTTAAAAAAAATTAAAAACCGCGTTAGTTACCTTCTCCAAAACTTTTAACCCTATTGCCAAAATTGTATTTTTTATTTCAAGCGTTTTTTCAAATATATACAGGGTTTTTGAAATATTACGGCTAACAATTTACCGGAGTAAATTGTTAGTCGTAAAACAAAATTCGTAAAAAATATATCAAATTGGTTTAAACAGCATCATAGGCCACGTCAAGACCTACAATTTCTGTATTTACGATTTTCGTCTATCAGTATTTTCTCGAAAACCTGTATTAAAAAAATTCATATATCAGGAAAAGTGATCCAAGGCTACAACCTTTATATGAATATTGTTTGAATTATATACAGGGTGTCTCGATTATGAGCAGAAAATCTAAAAGTTCCCTAAAATCTCCATTTTTGTTGGTAAGTTATTGGCGATATACGAAATACTGTTAAAGATGGGATAGTTTCCTTTGAACAGTTTCATTAATTGTGTGCAGAGAGAGAGTTTCAGGTTTCGCTTTTAATACAGGGCAGGCGAGATAATCGAAAAAATATCATATTAAATCGCAATTACCTGTACAAATTTGATATTTAAGAAAGTTTTCTGTAACTTTCAAGTTCCGCGATACGTGCAAGACACCTTATACAGGGCCCATGCACAATAAAATTACATCGATTTTGCGAAAGCAGCAGTTTCTTTTCAAAATACAAAGCCGCTTCGTGCTACAAAAGTATACGCGTTTGGCAACGAAACCTATATCTCGGCGAGGGAGCGTCGTACAGCGTCGCCGTTTGTACCGATGAAATCAGCGTCGAAAAATAAACATTTTAGTTTTTTGTCTGTTTTCCGTTCTTCGTTCTCTATTCTCTGTCGACGCTCCATAAAGAGGCGAATAACTTCCGAACGGTTTGAGTGAGGGAGCTGGAGTTTTGCTCTTTTTAAACTGACTACGAGACACATAAGCCCATAGGAAATGGCTGAAATTGAATTTGCCATCTGTCTTTTGCATCTGTCTTGCGCATAGTACTGAAAATACCATTCACACAGTCACGATTTTTCGAAAGCAATCTTGTTACTTCCGAAAAATTGGTGAAATCGAATTTTTTGAAAGTATAGGCGCTTAGCAACGAAACTCATATCTCGACTTCAAATTTTCCAGCAAATAGAGTTTAGTCCCATGACGGAACCTATTGAAATGAGGGGGGCTCGGGGTCAAGAAGTATTTTTAAAAATTTAAAAACCACGTTTGCATGGGTCTAAGAAAAAAAATAATATCTCAGAAACGGTTTGCTCCATCAAAAAAAGTTCTACACCAAAAGATTCGCAAGAGTCAGTGCTGTAAACCTGTATTCTTGACAATTTTTTGCCAATATACAGGGTGTGGCCAGTATATGCAAAAAACTGAAAATTGGGTGTCTCTATTAATGAAAACTTACTATAATTACGGGGTGTTCGCGATATTGACAATAATGATAATGACAATTTTTTTGGGCTATTTTCGTTTCCAGAAAAAAGTTATTTTCTCCAAAACTATTAACCCGATAGGAAAAGTTCTTTAACCAATACACCAACACATGTCCAAGATCCAGTAATATAACTTTTATTTCAAGCATTTTTTCGAATATATACGGTTTTTTAATTATGGACAAAAATCTAAAAGACCCTGAAAATTGGTCTTTTCAATAATAAATAATTAGTCGTAAATCAAAAAATCAAAAAATATAGCGAGTTGGTTCAAACAGTGTAAGTGGCCTATTAGCAGCTACAAAGTTTGTATTTACGGTTTTCGTCTATCATATACGCTGCTCGAGATATTTGAAAAGATCCATATGAAAATCACCATTCCTCAGGCTCAGTATAGACAAGATGACGTCATTGTTTATTACGACGTACTGCATAGTTTCAGAAAAAAAACATTTTCTCGAACACTATTTACTATTTAAAAAAATCCATGGCTATAACCTCAATTTCCGGTATTTTTACAGTTGTATACAGGCTGTGTCAATTGTGAGCAAAAAATCACAAATATCCTAAAAATTTCCGGTTTCGTGGGCAAATTATTGGTCGTTAATGAAAAACTATAAAATATGGAATAATTTGGTTTTAACAGTATCGTAAACTGTTTCGAGAGAGTTTCAGATTTCGTCCATCATACAGGGTGCGCGAGATACTTGGAAAAATATCGGTGGGAATCGTTATTACTTGTACAATTTTTGTAATTATAATTTACAATTTTTCGAAAGTATCTACGCTCGCATAAAAATTTTATAACTCGTTTGCGGTATGTTCTAGGGGATCGCCATTGGTACAGCAATGATCGGGGCCGAAAAAAATATTTTTTAGACGACCCAAATTTTGCTCCTTTTTAATTCTCATGGGACCAGTAAACGTTTGTTTAAATTCTCAAGAGGAGAAGACACTTTAAGTTTATATTTAAAGAAAAACATAAAAATGAAAAAACCATGGTCAGACCATCGTTAAACAATCGCTGAATATATATATTTTTTAATATATTGAAAACAAATACCATCACTAATGTAAAAGTGTTTAAGTTAATATTAATTCGCTTTTAAATATTTAAGAAAAAATATCAATAAGGGTTGTTTATATTTTAAAATTTTATAAAAAAATTAAGCTTCATCGGGTAAATGACGAGAATGCATCTTTTGCTTCTTTAAGCTTATGTAAAATCCCAATGATAAATAAATCTCAAACAGATATTCCGAAATTTTTGTGCACGCCTAAAATTCTAAGAATGAATACAGTATAAGAAATCAAGGTGGAATATGCTTATGATTGATCACGTTCTGAATATTTAAACCTGTTCCCTATTATAACACAAACATTTCTAAATTTAATTTTTTCACTCTCCATTTTAAGGTTGATATTTTACAAAAGAGTAGCTTTGACTATATCACTCAAAAATACCAACGTTGGTGTGTTACTAGGACTTAGCTTACGACTTAAGACTCAAACGAGAGACGTACGAGGGCAGCGCCAAAATTTCCCGGCCTGAATTTGAAAGAAACAAAGTAGAATAACATTGTTTTTATTATTTTTCAATATAATCCCCCTTAACTTCAATACACTTATTACATCTATTTATTAACAACTCAATCCCTTTAAAAAAATATTCTTTTGGTTTTTCTGCAAAATGAGCTAAAACATCCTCTTTTAACTCAACTTCGTCGTTAAACCGCCATCCACGTAAGTCCTTTTTCAAATATCCAAACAAATAATAGTCGCTGCTGGCCATATCTGGACTATAGGGAGGATGATCTATCTGTTGGAACCCACACTCTAAAATGGCAGCTTGTGCAACACCAGCAGTATGGACAGGTGTATTATCGTGATCAGTTTTCCTCGACGTTTTACACGTATGCAGTCTCGCAATGTATGTAGTAATGTTGCATAATATTTACCATTAGTTTCTTTAAATTCTATGAAAAGAATTTCTTCACAATCCCAAAAGACCTTATTTGTTGACTGGCAGACTCTGAATTTTCACCCTTACGACGCCACTCCATTGATTCTTTTTTCGATAGAGAACCATAGTTTCATTTCCCGTCACAATAGTTTCTATCACAGGTTTCGGTTCCGACCCACAGATTTCCAAAAAAGACCGCGCACACTCGCGCATACCTAAATGATCATACAGGATTCGACACTTGTATCAGAAAGCTTAGTAATTTCTGAGAATTCCTTGACCTTTAAACGTTGATCACTGAATACCATCTCTTCCACAATTGCAACAATTTCTTCCGTTATGACCTCCACTGGTCGACCCGTTCTTGAATCATCTTCAAGCGACTTCTGCCCCATTCGAAAACGTTATGCCCATTCTTTCACTACAGAATACGAAGGACAACTTTGGCCGTACACACTATCCAGTCTTTCTTTAATAATTTTAGATGCTAACCCTTGTTTTGTCAGAAACTTTTTGACTGCTCTATACTCAATTTGCGTTATTTGTGACATTTTTCCGGACACGTCTTGTTTAAAATGCTGTCAATAAAAAACTATTTGACGCAAGACTTTTTTTTCGCAGCTTACCAGCAGCTTAGTTTTATCGTGATACTGGAGCTGCATCTATGTCAGGCCGGGAAATTTTGGCGCTAACCTCGTAACTGGATAATATCCACCATTCTGGGTGGAATGTTGGGGCTGGAAAGTCTAATCTTAAAGAGTCTTTTAAACAGTTTCAATCTCACAACTTTGCTTATCGTAGAACAAAGAATGAGTGTGGCACCCATTGCGCTCAACTTACCTTGTCGATTTGTCCATTTGTGTTGAACCAACCTGGCATGTCGTTGAGAACTGCGTACATACCTGTCTCTCCGTATCTGAAACGGCAAGAACCATCCGCGCATAAGAATGTCTACGTTCAACACTGCGCAACTCACTTCTGTAAGAGGTCCTGCGCTTTGTCCACCACGAAAGTGAGAGCTTCTTCGAGCCCCTGCGGCGAACCTTTGTAAACCGCCGGGAGTATCGAGAGTTGGTCGTTCTTGGATGTTATCTTGGCATCTGACGCAAGCATCATCATCAGGTATCTGAAAGCGGACGTGGCGACAGTGATACGCGTTTGAAACCGAGCCACAATAGATTCTCAAATCATAATTTTGGTCATAACAGATTTAAAACAAACAAAAGGTATGCTGTCAGCCAGAAGTTTCATGTCAAGGTGTTTGAAACTTGAATAAAACTGTATTTTTAAAAGGTTTTTTCTCTGACTTTGAATGGTTTTGTAGAAAGTAGTTACAGTGTCTACAGTTTGTGTACTATACGGATTAATTAGAGAAAGGTAAGTAAAATGTAAAAACTTTTTTTTTGGTAAAATTTAATTTCTATATATTACTTTCTAACAATAAAATATTGCTTTCTGTTATTCTCCGTTTTTCCAGTTTGTTCGGTTTCAGATACAGCAAAAATATTTCAAAATTTTTATTTTTTTTAAGAAAAAATGATAAAAATAAAATTATCGTTTTTTTTTACAAATATCTACTTAAATCTTTTATAGAAACGAATTTTTCTAGTTTTATTGAGAAGATACTATTAGGAGAAGTTCTCCAAGGGTTAAGCATTTTTAGATATACAGGATGTTTGCGAATTAAAGAGAGATGTTTTGAAAATTGCAAAACTCTTGTTCGAATAAAATCGGGATTAAAGCTGTTCATGAGACTAGAAATAGATGGCTTGAGAAGAAAAATAAATATAAAAATCTTACATTTTTCATTTGCTAACTGAATTCTTTTGTTACAGAGTAATCCAGAGCAAGTAAAAACATGAATCTTAAAAGAATTTATTTCTGGATTGATAAAAATGGTAATCATAAAGATAAAAATCTGCAAGGATGCTGCGAGATCTTAAATATGATGAATATCAAAAACGCACAGTTTAAATAGTCTGCAAAAAGAAAAATTAATGAAATTTGCGACCTGCTATGCAAAAAGTGGATAAAAAGTAATCGTACGAAGAGTAGGTTTTTAAAACAAAACAATAATGGTTAAGTACTGTTCTTCTATTCCCGCAAATAGATAACATGCAAATGCCACGAAACTCGCTGGGAAGACCCGAAAAGTCATTGTCCTCGTGTAGTGAAAGAACTAGAAGAATCAAAATTAGGGAATTAGCAACAAGTTGCGAGCAAAATCGGTTAATTGGAGCGACAGAGCTAAGTTTAAAAAAAGACAAAAAAAAGAGATGAAGGCGAACTGCTTAAAAAGAGTATCGTAATCTCTCCTACTAGAGCCTACAGAAATCAAAGCCAATTTTACCATACACAAGTGAAGCTTGATAATTGCGACTAAGTTATAAATATGTGAATATTTAACCATCAAAAGAGATGGAATAGAAAGAAACTTTGATGTTTATTTATCCTTCATGCAAAAAACTTTTGCAAGCAAAATTTTGCTGTTATCCATCTCCTGATAATATTCTGCAGAGTTAACTGCAAAAATTAAGTTACAAGTTTTGAACTTCACTTGTACCTTTGCAATTATTTTCTTACTCGAAAACCGATCCGACTCAAAAAATAATTTATTGGCAGAACCCTAGACCATCGTTAACAACTTCACTTTCACCAAATGAACGACGATGATTGACGGGAAGATCTGTAGGGTTATGACAGAGACATCTTCAAGATAAGCCTGCAACATCTGTGAAGCAACACCCAAAATAATGAACAATACGCAAAATGTAAAAAATGGACCTTGATTATGGATTATCGACTCTCCATGGGCTTCATGGAATATTTTTTTCATCTGACTTGATATCAAAAAATGGCAGGCTAGTTCGCAAGTGGAAAAAGACAGTGTAAAAGAGAGAAAGAAAAATATTCAGCTCAAATTTAGAACCGAAGTGGGTTTGATTATTGATACAGTAAAAGCAGATGGAAGTGGAGCAAGTAATGATGATAATACGAATAGAACATTTTTTTGCGGATCCATTAGCCACCTCCAAGATATTAGGAATATACGAAGAATGCATCAGACGCTGCTCTTGTATATTATTGTGTCATCAGGTTTTGCGATAAATGTAAGTAAATTTGAGGAATATGCGGAAGAAACTGCTAATTTGTTAGTAAATAAATATCCATTTTACTATATGGCGAGCAGCGTGCCTAAAGTCTTAATTCAGGTGCATCAATCATTTCCGCGGCAACGTCTCCTATAGGGATGTCATCACAAGAAAAATAAACATATTTTTTTCCTAAAGCTTTGCATCTGCAAAAACTGAATCATCCGATTCCGAAGAGCAATGGTTAATTAAGTTAATCATTATTTTACTTGCTTAATGGAGTTTAACTATTTTCTGCTGTCAACAATTAAAATCAAACAAAAGAATATTTTGGAGTTACAATCAGCGCAAGTAGCAAGTACTATCTGATAAGTGCGGGGTCCTACACTTTTTTGCAAAAATTCTTAGGGCGCACACACTCTCATTTTTTAAAATACTGATACATGCATATAGGAAATGTGTTTCGTTTCATACCAAATAGCGTCTCTGTGTTATACTAGTGCATTTCATATAATTCTAAAGTTTATTTTAAACAAACAACGTTCTTTATCGTTTTGACCAAAATTGTTATTCCGGGGTTCACTGTGGCGAGGGAGCAGGCTCACCCTTTAAGGATCTCGCTATCCGGGGAACAACCCAGCGCGGAGATGATGGTCTTCTTTTCGACTTCCGACTTACTCTTGGGATACTCGTTGAGTAGAAACTCCCAGGCCGGTTTGTCCACTTTGTTGGCCAGCGCATTACAGTAAACTATGTCCCGGATATATTTGTCTGGCCTACGCAAAATAAAATGTATGGGTAACTTGGTACGTGCTTGTTCCCTACTTGGTGTTGCTGCTCATGTAGCTCTCGTATATAGTTTGGGCCTGATCGACGCACTCTTTCGCCTTCAGCCTGCACGACCACTTCCAAGCAAGCCGTTGCAACAATATATCGGAGTCCGATACCGTAGTCGTCATCGGGTACTTCTTCCCCAGTGCGTCCATCAGCGACAAAACAAATTTCTGAAACGCGACGACCGACCTTCGAGTGTCCAAAAACTCTCTGCTCTACCTTAACGCACCTCAATCTTTTCTCTCAGTTCGGACTCTTCTGGAGGCACCCTTTTCAGCAGATATTCGAAGCCCCTGAAAGCCGGAACCCACGGAGAGTACGCTACATCGCGACGTAGGAATTCGATAACCTCGAAGACGAACTTGAACCCCTTCCTGCCCAGTTTGGCGAAACTAAACACGTCGTCCACTATCTGCGCCCGGTTCAGCGTGTGGATACCGTCGAACGAATCCGTGTTAAGCGCCGTGGATATTCGTTGCCATTCCTGCTCGTCGTAGTTCACCCGGTAGTACCCTGTCGAAATATTCCCCATCTACCTTTCGCGTACCGCCCACACGTGGAAACTTGCCCAGTTGCTGCGTATTGAAAATAACCCAAGCGTTCTCATTGACCAAGAAGTTCTTGCTCGGCTTCCTAGGCGACAACCACGCTACCGGTAAGGTCGACGCGAACGATTTATCTCCGTCGGAGGTCTCGTAGGTCAGGGGCACGTACCACGTGGTACCGTCACCTCCTGTCGCTTCGAAGTTTCCCTCCTGTGTGACCGTCACTTGGTTACCATTGCGTATCACGTTGACCACAGGGTAACCCTGTTTGGCCACATAGTTTCTCATCGCAACATCGACCGTGATGCCGCAGGAGAGCGTCTTTATTTTATTGAGCTGCGTCTCCAAGAGGGTCCAGAGGTATAGAGTGTGAATTGTTTTGAACTTCCTGCAACGCGATCTATTTATTCCAAGCGGATGGTGAGCAACCGTCGCTACTCACAGCGCCTCGATGACGTGTCGGAGGAAGTTATGAAAAGAATCCTCGCCCACCATAAGGCTGAAGGTACGGATCAGACTGGCACCTGCAGGAGACACATCAATTTGAAAATTGACTAACAACTCCGCGTTCATACCTTTGTATTTCCTGTGTGTGTCCTCCCTTAAATCGTCGTCCAAATGGAACGAAGACAATGGCTCGGCTTTCATGTCGTCCATTTCCATCGCTACTTGCATCGCTGACGTCACGAATTGCTGGTCGAGCTTCCACTCACTCAGACCCTTCGATCGAAACGAAATATGCAAAATTATTCGTACGCTTCGCTGCTAGTTACCTTACCATCATCTCTTTCGAGAAGTGGTACTCGAGATACGTCGAGATCGCCTCCGGGACGAAGAAGTCCTTCCAGTCTTTGGCGGATACCAGGCCGCCGTACCATTGGTGTGCCATCGCCTTGGCTATCGAAGTCGTGACCAGTTGCTTGTTGGGCGAGTCGCTTTCGTCGAATAGAAGGAGGTCCTCGCTTGTTCGTTAAATCTTCGGTAGTTTTTAAGTTTATCAAGATCCGATACCATTACCTGAACAAAACCACTCCGGTACTCTCGAACAACCGACTCGGAATCTCGGGTACCGCCACAAAGTCCAGCTTGTGGTCGGTCTTGAAGTCCTCGTAGGGCACTCTGATGTCGTGGTTGAGCTGCTTGAGTATCTTGAGCCCCACCTCCTGCGCCCATTTGGTTTGATCCGCGACCGACGCCCTGCTGCACACGTGATAAAGCAGAGCGGGATCGGACATCTCCGCACACTGCAGCTCGTGAATGATGAAGCCCAGCTCAGAGATGGACAGCGGGTGAGTTTCCTCGAACGTCTCGGACACCTGCATGCTGAGCGAAGACATCGCGCAGATTGATAATGAAGGAAATTAAAGCGTTGTTTACCCTAAGTCGTTGGTATTCGCTGTCGACGTCGCGAATTGTACCTTGTGACTAGCGGGGTGAACGATGGTTAAATGGAAGGGCGCTTTGAATTCGGGTTCGTCGAAACAGGGAAACACACGCCTCGCGTGGGTGGGGTGGAAATTTGTTGCGAGGTAGTGCTTGGTTTTGCCCTCGTCTTCGTACGTGCCGCGAAACAGACCCACGTAACCTTCGGACAGCTTGCCCTTGAACTTGATCTTGATTTCACTGATGGTGATGGGGAATTTAGCACTGACGTCGAGAATGTCGTCGTTCTTGTTGTGGTTGTAGGTGCTAGGATCGACGGGTTGCTCGTTCACCTCTATATTCTCGATGGTGATGGTCGAGTGAGCGTTCAGAGATACCTTCTCGACGATCTCGGTGGTGTTAATCCTTATGGCTACCACACCTTCGTATTCGTCGGGCGGAGGTGAGAATTCGGCCGGGAAGGTGAGCTCAACCGTGTAGCGGCAAGGGCTATGGCTATGGCTCAGGACGAAGAAGGGGTGGATCAAAACGATGGCCAGGACGCACAGTTCCATTTTGTCGCGAAATCTGCAATGAGAATTTCAAGTTAAAGCTTTTTCAAAAAAGTCGTATTTCTTTCGACGTTTTCATATAAACAGACAATCCGACAGACTTACGGACAATTAGATCACACAATAAAAACTGTTCTCCCTTTTCTACTACTCTTTGCCTTTCATCTTCTTTTAATTTAAATTTAATTAGCTGAAAGTATACCGGGTGTCCCAGTAAGGGTGTACGCTCTTCTTTTTTGTTCAATGGCGTTTGTTCTATCTCCCCAAGGAAAGTGTTGGCGGGAGGGGGAGGGGCAGAGTTTTTCATCGTGCTATCGGTCACGCGTTTGCTATTGCTTATCGTGCCACCAGGTGGCGCTTTCTAACGCAAAAGCAAAATAATTTTATGAAAAAAGAATAAAAGCAGTTGCAACATCTATATCCTAACCTGAAACATGAAAAAAATAAATTAATGCTCAAAAAAAGTGTGCTTTTTTAGCAAATGGAACGATAATTTGTTATTTAGAATGCCAAGTGACGTTTAAAATTAAAATAAAATTTTATTGCTTATCTTTGTTAATTTTTTGACAATACCTTCGAATGGCGCCAAATTACCACGTCACCTGACATTTCTAGTTTTTAACAGAATTAACACAAAACAAATTTTTAAATTCAAGATAATAATTTGGTAACCATTTCAGAGACTACCAAATAATGACGCAGGTCTACAGTGTTATTGATGTTTGGAAACTGTTTGCTTATTTGTATATATTTGGGGGCCCTTTTTACCTATGATATGACCTATACCTATAACATGAATATGTTTGCTCCGTGTTAGGCATGAAGCAGTGGATATTTTTTTTAAAACTAGGATTCCAGTTTTTTACTGAATAAAAAAACTGAAGTATTTTCGATTTTGTTTTCCTTTAATATATGCAAAAAACCTTCGGATCACCAAAATTATATAAAATCAGTTTTCAAAATAAAAGCATCTGTCGAAAAGTTTAATTTTGTAGGCTTGTGTTACCTGGGCATTTCCTCTTCCTCAAGCTACTTATTTTTTTTTTCAAAATTTGAACGACCGTCCGTTTTCCAAATACCGGGACCCCCGGTAACCTAAAGTCTTCACAAAAATCAAAATATGGCATACTTAAAGACAATTTTAAGATAAAAATTAATAACTAAAAAAAACAACATAGAAAGAATAATGATAATTGCTCGATTGGGTTAGGTAGGAACCAACTTTTTTTTCTGTAGGAATCGGAACAAAAGATTGTTTGCTTCTAAACTTCCGCCTTTAAGGAATGTAGTTCGAATTCCAGGTTCCCAGAAAATCGAAATATTGTTGCATTTCTATGAATTTTACAGCTACAGGAATTAAATACTTACATTAAATGGTACCGCAAAGACAACACAACAGACTTATATAAATATTAAACATATTTGTCTCGAAACAAGAAAATTTAGCATAAATATATCAAGTTTTCTGCTTTTCACGTGGAATCGTTTTTTCTCTTTCTAGATAATTCTTTGATTTTTTCTACCAGCTGATTTTTTTTACATGCCCCTTTAATTTTGAGGCGCTCCATGTTTAGGAACATTAAACATATTTTTGAATTTATTCGTTTCGCAATATTAAAGATTTATAATTAGAGTAAAAAAAAATTACCTCAAATCTTGACTGTTTCACAATTCCGTGGTAACTGATAGAGATCGGATTCAAACCTCGCGAAAATCGAATTTAGTGCTGCAATATCGCTATCGTAAAAACTTACCTTGTAGTTGAATTTTGGTTGGTTACCGATTTTTACTTGGATCCCATAAAAAAATCAATTTCGTACTCCACTCAACTGATAAAATAAAAAATTTATACCGGATTTATTTTCGAAATTTAATTACTAATAAAACTAGTGATAATTTGCGGTACCAGTGTTATGGTACATCCTTTTCTTGACTTGACTCTCTTTAATAATGTGAATTTCAATTAAAATGGGATAAATGAAAACGTAATGTAAATGCATTATATATATATTATATTATATTTCTAATTCTTTAAGCCTAGTTGATATTTTTCGTATTGTCTTTCCAATAGTTTCTTTGCCGCATGTGCATGGAAAACCGAAAGACGATGGGAGATTTTTGGATAAATGGCTTTAACATAATATTTTTTAAGAACTTTTTGTGTGTAAGAAAGGATCACACTGGTGGTAAGTGCGGGGTTGCATTTCATTCATATACAATGCAATAATATATTAGAGACAGGACGAAAAATATTAACAATACCTATAAATGTAAAATTTAAAAAACAAGGCGAGGAGAAATTTCAAATGTACGCAACAGCTGGTACACCGTGTGCCAAATAAATCGATCCACTGTAAACTGGAAACCTGTAGGAGATACGATAAAAAGGCTAAAAGGTTCTTTGAAAAGTTTCGTGGACTCTCCTGAAGATTTAACATATTATAATTTTGTTGATACGGAGTGTCCCATAAGTGTCCCCCGACATCAAGTTTATTATTTTAAATGGAACATGACATTTTTGGAATCCTTGATTAAAATAAGGGTCACTTTCTTAAGAAATTTCTATCCCAATTTTGCATAGTGTAGGCAAAAACTGAGGTCTATTTTTTCATACTTTAATTGCCCCATACTAAATTGTGTTGTGACGCTACTGATGCAGGTATTGCCACGAAAATTTAACTACGGACTAAGGAGATGATGCGCTACTTAATCAGTTTGACAGATGCAGCTCAGCTTATACAGAGTGTCCCAAATAGATGGTACCGTTTGGGCGAATTCAATTTACAAAATCTTAAGATTTTCGAACCTTATATTTGTATTCAGATATCAATTCTAGTACAAAAAATAAGGTAAGTCTGTAATTCATATTATATTTAAGTTTTACCTACTTTTTGAGATATTCGAGGTTTAAGACAACACCCGTATAAATTCTTGTCGAATTTAAAGCTGTCCACATTAGGTCACATTAGGTATTTTTTAAATAGCAAAGACTTCTACTTCTTTAAAAGATATTATACTGCATATATATGTAATGGGTGTTTTTTTTCGATGTATAGAACTTTAAGTTGGCATTACTGTCCAAGATGGCGACCGATTAAACAGCTGTTAAGTGATTTATTCTCAGTTTGGTTTGGCAATTCATCATGAATAGACTCACGCCTGAACAATGCTTGCAAATAGTGCAATTTTATCTCGATAATAATGTTTCTGTGCGGAATACGTATCGCGCACTACGTCCATTTTATCGTCGACAAAATCGTCTATCAGAGCAGTTAATTCAATTAACCATGGAACTTTTTCGCACCACGTTTACTCTTACTGATAGCTCGCATCCCCAGAGACGCCGTACGGTGCGTACAGAAGAAGCTATTGCTGATGTAGAGCGTAGCATTAAGGAAGACCCGAATGAGTCCATCCGCGATCGAGCACAGGAATTGGATCTGTGTCCATCCACTTTATGGAAGATTTTGCGGAAGGATCTTGGTTTACGTGCTTACAAAATTCAACTCGTGCAAGAATTGAAGCCAAACGATCATCAAGTAAGGCGTAGATTCGTCGAACGGGCCCAAAACGAGATTGCCGTTGTTCCCGATTTTCATAAGCGAATTTTGTTTAACGATGAAGCGCACTTCTGACTGAATGGCTACGTCAACAAAACAAAACTGCCGCATTTGGAGCGAAGCTGATCCTCAAGTGTACGTCAAAACACCGTGACATCCAGAAAAACTGACTGTTTGGTGCGCTTTATGGGCTGGTGGAATCATTGGTCCGTACTTCTTCAAAAACGATGATGTCCAGAACGTTACAGTCAATGGTGATCGGTATAGAGCTATGATTACTAACTCTGAATTGAATAACCATGATGTCCAGGAGATGTGGTTTCAACAAGACGGCGCAACATGTCACACAGCTCGTGCCACAATCGATTTATTGAAAGACGCGTTTGGTGACCGCCGAATTTCACGTTTTGGACCTGTGAATTGACCTCCAATTGACTTAACACCGGTAGACTACTTTCTGTGGGACTATTTAAAGTCATTGGTCTATGCGGATAAGCCACAAACGCTTGACCATTTGGAAGACAACATTCGCCGTGTTGTTGCCGATATACGGCCACAAATGTTGGAAAAAGTCATCGAAAATTGGACGTTCAGATTGGACTACATCCGCGCCAGCCGTGGCGGTCATATGCCAGAAATCATATTTAAAATGTAATGCCACAAGATTATCTTTGGGATAAATAAAATTCATGTCAATCAAATAATCCGTCGTTGTTTTATTACAACTTAAGGTTCTATATATTGAAAAAAAACACCCCTTGTAAAGCCTATTGCTAACATTGCAGGGTGTCCATTAATAAGCAGAACTTTTGAAAATAATTGACTCTATACTGCACACTTTAACAGATTTAATAAAGCTTCAGAATTCATATTTAAACAAACATTTAGTAGTTAATTATCTAGCTTGATTGAAAATACCTAATAACAAAAATAAATAATTCAAGTTTATAGGCTAACTAAACAAGGTAATAAATTTGAATAAATAAATCTATAAAACAAAAAAAAAACAGGAAAAAATAAGTAAAAAATAAATAAATATGGTGATACCGTAATATATTTTCAATATATTGTCTCAATCAAAGTATGAAAAAACACCTCAATTTTTGCCTGAACTATAAAAAACCGGGAGAGCAATTTCTTAAGAAAATCACCTTTATTTTAACCGAGGATTCCAAAAATGTGGAAATATATAGAATTTTCCATTTAAAATAACAAAATTGATGTCGGGGGGTGGGGAGCACTTTTGGGACACCCTGTATCAACCAAAATTATAATATTTTAAATCTTGCAGAGAGTCGTTTTATTTGGCGCACGGTAATTTGAGCCACTTTTAAGGCGTCGGCGAAAAAAAAATTATAGAACAAATATATTGTAGTTCGTGTAATGTGGTATAAAACTGAACTAATCATAATCGACACCGAAAAAATGCTTATTAAAATAACAATCAATAAGGATGATCGATTAAGGTCGTTATAAATGGCTTAACCGCAAGAAATGGTACCCGTTTGATAAGATAATACGTTATAAATATTATCTTTGACGCAATTTCTACCACTTTGGTGCGACGCTGCTAAGTCGAGGTGAGTAATTAAATTATCTATCGAAAGCACTACTCATTGTGGTCGCTAGTATCGGCAACATTGAAAGTATTGAAAAATAACAGTTATTATAATGTTTATTATTCCAAATTACAAATTATACGTGCCAGAGCAAATACAAGAATACATAGAAAAGACAACGAGCGGCTTCCTTGCAAGGGAAGTTGCTGGAGAAGGCAACTAAGCCTAAAAAATAACATTAATAGCTCGACCGAAGAGTCGCAGAAATTAGAAATAGGGAGAAAAGGCAGAAATGTTAAGTTCTAACATAATTAGACGAGTGAAAGATATTCTGTTACTAACATTACTGAACAACTAAACGTTATTAAATGCTGTCTGGTAGGAAAAACACTTAAAAAAACTTCTTAACATTTAAACATTATCATAATAATTTTTATATAACAATAAATGGTGAAATATTATAATTAGTACAGTATTGCCTTCTTGAAAATTCATGAAATTTGCATATCATATGCACCGGATCGTGAATGTTAATTTGATTTAACAATTCGGGGACATTTCGTATGGACCAATTTCGCGGTAATAAAAGTACCTTAGCATCTTTTTTAGATCTTTTCAATGTTATAATTATGAATATCATGAGAGGGACTCCATATAAAAGAACAATATTCAAGTATAACCCTGACAAATGATGTATACAATGTTAAAAAATCCCTATAACCTCTTATGATAAATCTGGTAAATTATTTCTATGTGCTCTGAAAGATAACTGAGTATATTATATATGACTAAATTTAAATTCTACTCATATCTCGGCAACGGTTACTTCTATGGGACTGAGTTTGGTACAGATCGAATCAGACACACAGTCAAAAAAAAAACTTTTTTTTTGCCGCGTTTGCATGGGTCTAAGAAAAAAATCATTTCTCAAATACGATTTACGCTATCGAAAGATATCTTATACCAAAAGGTCGGCCAAACCCAGCGCTATAAACTTTTGTTCTTGATAATTTTCAAAAATGTACAGGGTGTGGCCGGTATTCTCAAAAAGAAAATGAAAATTGGGTTCCTCTTCTAGTGAAAATTTACCATAACTAGAAGATTGCAATTCAGAATTGAATTGGCTTTACATCAAAATATAGCTTGGATAGACAGACAGTGTATTTAAAATTCTTACCTAATCTAAACAACTTGATTCTCGAAAACCATTTACTTTATTGGAAAAATCCATGTGTGTGTGTGTGTGAGTGTGAGTGTGAGTGTGAGTGTGAGATCCAGGGCTGTAACATCTAATTCGAACATTGTTTGAATTATATAGAGGGTGTACAAAAAATCTCCTAAAAATTTCCGTTTATTTTGGTAAACTTTTTGCAATAAATGAAAAACTCTAAAAAAAGCGATACATTTATTTGAAGAGTATCATCAACTGCGTTGAAAGACAATTTCGTTTATCATCTGTCATACAGGGTTCGCGAGATATTTGAAAAAATATAATTCGAAATCACAATTACCAGTACAAATTTTAATATCTGCCCAAGTTTGCCGTAAGTTTTAAGTTTGACCAGAGGTGAAAGACACTTTATATAGGGTGTATGCACAATAAAATAATATCGATTTTGCGAAACTTTCATGGTGCTCCGCAAAACAATGCGTCCCTATAGGGCAAGAAGTCCCGAAGCGGCTTCTTTAAAATACGCGCTACACACTACGACGATTTTTCGAAAGCAATATTGAGATGTAATTTACTTCGAACAGTCCAATCACATATTTTCTGTATATAGCATAAAGTTTTAGGGAATCAGCTGATAAAAGTATTCTTGAACTAAAACAATCAAATCATTAAAAAACAAAATAAAAAGCAATGGACCAAGATTGGAGTCCACATCTGAATATCTGACGTTGCATAATAATAGTCAGAGAAGTAAGTGATTTAAAAAAATTAATTAGAATATTATAACAACCGCAATTTTTGCAGAAGACGCATTGCATTTCAAATGTGATACACCGTTACTCATAAAGAGATGATACGTCGTAACGATTAGTTAAAACGGATTAAATAATTCAAAACAGTCTATACCGCCGTTATTTAACAATCGACCGCAATTGAGTCGAACAATAAATCATACTTTAATGCGAAATAAATGTTATCGACGGATTATATCGGCGAACCAATATAAAACACTCCGATAAAGTAAAGGCAAAACAATGGCCTACCCTTACAATGCAAAATTTTCCATTGCAGTTTGAAAATGTCACGTTCATGGCTGGCCTTGTTATTCGTCGCTTGGGGCGCCTGCGCGTACAGGCTTCCAAACAACGTGGTACCGTTCCACTACGACCTGCACCTCAACTTGAGCGATGAGGCTTTCACGTCTACATACCACCAATACTCGGGCATCGTCATTATAAAATTCAACACCACCGAGCTTACGAGCCAGATCGGGTTGCATGCTAGTTACGATTTCATTAATGTCACCCTCATTAGCGTTTCGGGTACAGACGTCACCGATTACACTAGAAACGCCACATCCGACATCCTCTGGATACAACCACCTTTTACGTTGGATCCCGCTTACACCTACGAGCTGTACATCGAATTCACCAGCAGGTTGAGTACTGCCGATATGTACGGGTTCTACAAGAGCAGCTACGTGGCGGACAACGTCACTAGGTACCTGGCGACCACTCAATTTCAGCCCACGTTCGCGAGGAGGGCGTTCCCCTGTTTCGACGAGCCCGCCTTCAAAGCAACTTTCGAAATTTGGATCACCCACCCGAACAACGTGACGGCTTTGGCCAACACCCCGGGCACCGTGGCCCCCGTCGACGACATCGTCGGTCATACCGGGTATTCGTATATCCCCACCACCAGCAGAAATGTTTATCCAAACCTTGTAGTTCTTCGGTGACCGTCAAATTCGACACCACGCCCCCGATGTCGACTTACCTGGTGGCCATCGTGGTGTCCGACTTTACCTGCACATCCGGCGAGAACGTGGAAGGTGGACTGGTACCGTACCGTATATGCTCGACCAACGACACCGTCGAAGATAGGACCTTCTCCGTAGACATAGGACCGCCCCTGCTGAGAAGCCTGAACTCGTTCACCGACTACAACTACAGCCTCATGGGGTTCCCAAAGATGGATCAGATCGCCATACCGGACTTCGCTGCCGGTGCCATGGAGAACTGGGGTCTTGTTACTTATAGGGAGGCGCTGCTCCTGTGGGACCCTCTGGAATCGACGAACGCCGACTTACAGAACATAGCTACCGTGATCTCCCACGAATTCGGCCACCAGTGGTTTGGAAACCTGGTCACCTGCAACTGGTGGTCCGAGCTGTTCCTCAACGAAGGCTTCGCCACGTATTTCGAGTTTTTCACCACTCACGATGTGAGCAATCAATTTTTGACGATTGTTAGATATTTTTTAAGAGAACAGAATCTGTAAAAGAAGCTAGATACAAAAATAGTTTAGGTTAATTTACACTTCGAAAATATTTTATTATTATTTTCTCATAGGAACTTCCACAGGCTGCTGTAATGCTTTTTATAAAACTTCTGGATTCCTCCTGCGTCGGTTTTTGTTGAGTCGAACTATAAGAAGTATTGCAGTAGCCTGTGGAAATTTCTTTGAAAAGTTAACAAGCCTTTATGGAGAGGACATCAAGTTAGAAGATCGCCGACTGAAACTGATCTTTCTGTTATGTTTAGAGGCCATAACGTCATCCCCAATTTTCTTAAAATAACCCATCATGTCAAAACCTCGTCCACTTATAAAAATTCTTTGAAAATCTAGTTTCACACAAACTACCATCTGAAACAGCTAATGAAATTCGATTTGACACCCTAAAATCTCTAAAATCTAATACCGACATCGTAATCCTAAAAGGAAATGCGACGGTGGTCATGAACACAAATGAATATCAGGAAAAGATTCAAGATATTCTCACAGACGGATCATACAGTCAACTTAAAAAAGATCTTACGTCATCTCTGGAAACGCATCCTTAAATCTATCATTATGGCTTCTTCTCTATCACACTCCGTCAAAAAATCTGTCACCCCTCATGACTGTAAACTTCTACGTCTTTCACAAACCAGGATTACCCATTCAACCTATTGTCAGACCCATTGGTACTCCAACATATTCTCTAGCAAAATATCTAGCTTCCTTATTAAAACCCTTTACAGCGAAAACTGACAGCCTCGTACCTAATTCCTTTCACTTCATTGAATAAATAAAAAGCATTACATTAGATAAACAAGATATTTTTGGTTATATATAATATATATAAAGTAATAAAATCCGAGAATCTGGAACCAAACCGTCTCACCTTAATTGAAAAATTCTTGTCTGGAACATACTTTTTCTTATAAAGGTCAAGGAAGCCTTTGAGAAGAAATCTCTTGACACAAATTTTGGAAACGCTACGTCGATGATACTTTTGTTATTTGTCCTTATGATCAGGAATCCCTAGTAGATTTTCTTAGACATTTAAACTCTATACACTCTCACACTCCCATTCTTAGATATTCTTATCAATAGAAAATCAGACCTAACATTGAGTCATTTGGTTTACAGAAAACGTACTCACACAGACCATCCGGCCCAAAAATCATCGATTATTTCCGCCTGAGTCATTAAGCCCAGAATTAAAACACCTTACCTCTGCTCTTCTCTCTAATAATTTCCACATTAAAGATATTAAGCGTTTTATCACAAAATACACTTCACCACAACCTTCCAATAGCAATGAAATCGAAAACAATGCCACACTTGCCACTGTTGTCCTTCCTTATACTCAAAATTCACAATCTTAACCCCAACTCAGGTCTCTATCTGTCACCAATATGGGGAATCAGTCATCCGAGACGGTGTTTATCCCCTCGCTTAGCTCCGCCCCCCCCCCCCAAAACAATATAAAAGCAGGTACAGAGTAAAATGCGAGCCAGTTTCAGTCGAGCTCTGAAGAAGCCAACAGGATGATTGACAAAACGTTAGCTAGTTCAACTCAACAAAAATCGACGCAGGAGGAATCCAGAAGTTTTATTAAAAGAAAATATTATTTTATATACAGGACGTTTATATTTTCGTGGACTTTCTTATTTTAAATGCAACGCTTCTATATTAAATAATTTTGAATTCTTCAGAAAATTTCTTTATTGAAGGGGATCTACTTTAGTGGTCTGTGTTAATATTTTTAAAGCATTGTAAGTATTTCGCGTTTAAAAAACGTTCGACGACTTCGAGCGACTACGAAACATGGCAAAAAAACTGTTTTAATCGTTTCTTATTTTTATGGTAATTTTAATACTAAAAATTGATCTCAAGTCAATAAAAAAAGAACTAAATAATGGAGAAACTACTAATGGCAAATAAAACAAATCAAGAACGGGGTTTATTTTATTTGCAAAATTGAGAGAAAAATATATGATATGATGATGATGACAATTTAGGGAGAAGAATTATAAGAAGTTTCATATATGGCAAATACAATTTCTTCGTTCAAATCTATGATATTAGTTTTTGGCCATGCAATATTTATTTATTTTCCAAATTTCATGTTCCGTAGGTACTGCCCGAATGGGAACTGGACAAACAATTCGTCACTAGGGTGGTGCAACGGGTCTTGGAGACCGACTCGTTGGAGACATCGCAGGCGCTCCAGTCGGGAGCGGAATCAGAAGCGGAGATCTTGGCTCGTTTTTCCCAAGTCTCCTATCTCAAAGGTGAGCAATCGTTTTATTACCGACGTCGTGACGTCTCGCGTGCTTTGCTCCAGGTGGCAGCGTGCTGCGCATGGTGGAACATGTGATGGGCACTGACAATTTCAAGAGGGGCCTCCATAAATACCTCCAGAAATAGTAATTTTGTTTTGAAGCACAGTCACAGTGGTAGCTCACTGTATTTTTTCAGCGCATACCGAACCACGGTACCCGAAGACCTGTGGAACACTCTCGACGAAGAAGTAGACTCGTCCCTCCTGCCCAGAAATCTATCCGAAATCCTGGCAAACTGGGTGAAAACTCCGGGATTTCCGCTACTGCAAGTAAACTGGGCGGTCCACAGCGTAGTGGTGTCTCAACCGGTGAGTAGGCGGACATTTGGATCTTCATTTTGTAAATGAAGTTTGCAGGAACGGTTCCTGCTGACCGGTCACGATAACCGGTCAAGCTGGTACGTACCCGTGAGTTACGCGTTCTCAAATGATGTGGGCGCTTTCAACCATACCGCACCCAAGGATTGGCTGCACACCGTCGGTTTTCTCGAGATAGACGTGCCCGCCGGTGCCAACTGGATCATTCTCAACACCCAAGCTACAGGTAATAATACAACTGATAAATGATTATGACTAGCGCATTCACCAAAACTGATTAAAAAGGGATAGCGGATCCACCAAATTAATTTAAATTTAAAAAAAGTTATATATCATGGAGGAGACTGTGTGCTTGTGGGTTGAAAACGTGTCCATATCTTGAAATCGTATATATTGAGGGCTTGTCGGGTTTTGTTCGCTCGCATGGAAGTTCTTCTTTAAAACGCGACTGTGTGCCTATGGGTTTAGAACGTGTTCATACTTTGAGATGGTGTAGAATAAGGGGTTGCCGTGTATTGTCTTTAGTGTGTAACACAAGTTCTTTTAAGGTTTTTCATGAAACGAAGTTTGTATGCGAATGGACTTGGAACTTGTCTATATGTTGAGTCATATGTATTTGTAGGGTATTGTCTCTAGTGTGACACTCGTATGGAGTTTCTCGTTCTTTAAAAAGAAACTGCGTGCTTATGGGTTTAGAACGCGTCTATATTTTGAAATAGTATATACTGAGGGATTGTCGAGTTTTGCTCTTGGTGAGACGCTCGCATGGAAGTTCTTCTTTAAAAGGAAACTGTGTCCGTATGGGTTTAGAACTTGCTTATATTTTGAAATGGTGTAGAATAAGGGCTTGCCGTTAGGTTTTTCATGAAACGAAGATTGTATGCGCATGGACTTGGAACTTGTCTATATGTTGGGTCATATATATTTTTAAGGCATTGTCTCCGGTGTGACACTCTCTTCTTGTTCTTTAAAAAGAAACTGCGTGGGAATGGGTTTAGAACGCATCTTTATTTTGAAATATTGAGGGCTTGACGAGTTTTGCTCTTGGTGTGACACTCGCATGGAAGTTCGAAGATTGTATGCCAATGGACTTGGAACTTGTCTATATATTAGGTCATATATGTTTGTAGGGTATTGTATCTGGTGTGACACTCGCATCGAGTTTCTTGTTCTTTAAAAAGAAACTGGGTGCGTATGGGTTTAGAACGTGTCTATATCTTGTAATCGTACATATTATGAGCTTGATGGGTGTCCTTTGAGTGACACTAGCATAAAGGTTCCTTTTTTTTTTCTAGAAAAGGTCACTAAGTGTAATTGAGGTAATATGTGTTGTCATTGGTGTGACACTAGCATTTAGGATTTTTTCTTTAAAAGGTGACCGAGTGTTTAGGACGTGTTTTGTGATGGAGCTTGGAGGGTATTGCCTTTAGTGTGACACTCGCGGTGCGATTCTTTGTAGGTTTTTATCGGGTAAACTACGACGACACTCTCTGGACGAACATCGCCGCAGCGTTGAACTCTACAGATTTCGGCGGCATCCACGAACTGAACAGGGCTCAGATCGTCGACGACAGCTTCAATCTCGTCCGCATCAACAAACTCAACTACTCGAGGGTGTTCGCCATAATAGACTTCCTGAGGAGTGACGTCTCGCACTATCCATGGATGCCGGCCCTTAACGGATTCAGTTTCCTGCTGAGACGAGTCGGACACGAGTCCAATTTGGGAAATGCCATGAGGGTAATGAGAGTTTCTGTGATTCCTCGAAATAACACTCGTGTTTTAGGATCACGTACTAGAGCTGTTGGACGCCGTCTACGCGACTGTGCCGTTCACACAGTTAAACGAGTCGGATCACGCTTACACGCTGAAGCAGGTTGAAGTGCTGACGGCAGCGTGCCGAATGGGATTGCCCGCGTGTGTCAACAACGCTTTGGAGCGTTTCGGCGAGTTTAGAATCAACAGGCAGAGGTGAGTAAATTTGAGTAATAAGTGACTCACAAGTTGGGTGTGCAATTGGTATTCAGCCCCCCGAAAAACCTGAGAACAGTGATCTACTGCAACGGCCTGCGCTACGGCGTCGATCCGCAGGACTGGGATCTCCTTTGGGACACCTACCTGTCCACCGACTTGGCCGGCGAGAAAGTCAGGATTCTGAGTACCCTCGGGTGCACCAGGAACGAAACCATCCTCGAAGCGTGAGCTAAGTCAAATCGGAAGCAACACACCACCTGCGAGATCGTTCACTTTTCAGGTTTTTGCAGAAGTCTATCACTCCCGCATCGGGCATAAGGCCTCAGGACGCTCTCTCGGTGTTCACCTCGGTATACTCGAGCAACGACGTCGGCATCGACGTGGCGTTTAAATTTTTGAGGGACCACCACGAGCAGATCGCCTCCAGCTACCAAAGCCTGAACGCGCTCAGGAACATGATCACCGGCTTGGCGGAGAGGTTTACCACCGAGAATCAGCTGGAGGAGGTGAGTTTTTGTGGCCGCACGGTGTCGATATCAAGCCCCTCTTTCAGCTGAGGCGTTTTATCGAAACGGGAAATCTCCCGGAGGACCTACTCCTAGCGGCCAATCAGGCTTTGGAGACTGCAGAGAGCAACCAGGTGTGGCTGGCTCAGTATTGGACCGAGCTTCACGAGTATTATGGTCTGGGGGGGACTAGTTCCACGACGTCGCCGTCGCCCTCCAGCCCTCCTCCACAGACTACGACTCCAGAAGGATCGACCGCGGCGGATCTCGTCTCTTCTGCGATCGTGATCGTTTTGTTCGCGATTATCTCCTCCCTGAGTTAGGGACGACAAGCGCATAATTATTTTCGAAGATTGTAACAAGAAATTTCTCAGAGCGAAATGTCGATTGTTCTATAAAATCGTGAGTAACATTATAAACAAACGTTTATACCCGCAGTAACGTTTATAATGTGTAAATTACCAAACGCAATTAGATTAGATAAAACGGGCTCGGTGCCGAATAAAAATGAACCGCTCAGTGTGACTTGTTTTATTCTGTGATTCGAGGACTGGGGGGTAAGTATTCGAACCTTCTTTATTCCCCAAATCGTATATAAAGCGAAATTTACGGATTAACGAAAAAAGAACTAACCAAAAATGTTTTTTAACGTTGGGTTTTTTACATTTTGATAATTTTTTTGTCTATTCTATATTTTCTGCGTACAGAAAATGCCATTTATTGTGTGCCTGTCGAACAGTTTCTGTTGGTGTTTGACTAATAAGGTTCAACCAAAACAGTTTGCCTCCTGTATACAGACGCGGAATAAATTTATTGGAAATTTAATGTATTATGTATATTATTATACAGTAATGTGTTGTATGAGCAGAAAATAGAACAAATACGACATCAAATACGGGTAGTGTGAAAATAAATAGTAGAACTTTTAGTTTTTCTCTGGTGTTAGTCTTCCACTTTTTTTCTAACGTTCTTGGAGATAAATTTTAAATTTGTATACCACTCCTGGACTCCTTAGAAAAACCTCACATTGGGGTAGCCTTACAGATAACATGGGAATCTTTCCTAGTTTTATGCCTCTTTCAGAGAGATAGACTTTTATTTCAAATCGTAGGTAAACATCATATTTTCTAGTGGTTATAGTGGTAGTATATTTTTTTCTGTACAGTTCCGGGCTAAAACGTTTGACCGCCACGTAACCGGAGGGTATTAATTTAATAATAATTAAAATTGTAAATGTAATATTATGTTTAATGTGAATTACACCGAGTTTAACCGCAAGGTTGTTGCGCGGATGTCTCGGAACTTTGATTAGAAAAAACGCCTTCGAGCGATCCGGCACGACGTAAAAATCGTGTTCTCTCCAATTGCCGAAAAATAGATCCAGGTAAGGCGGGATTAGCAACGCGGTGTAATTAGCGATTATATTATCGTCAATTAAAATAAATCCCTTTCGTGACATAACTCGGCAAACATAATGCGAATTTGCGTCCTTTTTCTATCATTTTACGAGCACCGATTCTTATCTACTCGCAGCGGCGAAATGTTCACCTCGACGCTGCTGCTTACCGCCGCCTTTTGCGCCTGCCACGCATACAGGCTACCGACCATCTACAGTCCCATCAACTACAACGTCCATCTAAGCGTCTTAGAAGACGCTTTTGGCGAAACCAGCGACAACTACACCGGCACTGTCTCTATTCGATTCAACGTCACCGAACCGACAAACGAAATCGTGCTACATTCTAGCTCTAAGCACATCAGGATCGAGAACGTCACTGTCGACTCTGTAGCGTCCGTCAACTACACCGTCAATGCTACTACGGATATACTGACGATAGTACTAGGTGACGTCGTTTCCAACGGCACGGAACATGTGCTCCGGATAGATTTCAACGGTACCCTGGGCACCACGAACATGAACGGCTTCTACAGGAGCAGCTACAACGACACCGAGGGCGTCACGAACTACCTACTTACCACTCAGTTCGAGTCCACCAATGCCAGAAAGGCGTTCCCTTGCTTTGACGAGCCCGCTTATAAAGCCTCGTTTGACATCAGCCTGACCTATCCTTTGGAGTTCACGGCGCTCAGTAATACCCCAGCCACCTCCATCAACACTAATCTGTAAGTCTGTAGAAGTCAAGGTCAGGTCACACTTGAAGATCGCATCATTACTCATATCGCTTGACGCTCAGTTTTCCATAATTCAAAAGCTAAGAGAACCCAGCACACAAGCATTATCTAGCACTTTTAGATGCAGTTAATTTGACCTGTTGCGTTTACTTAGTTCTATTACAATTAGAAAACAATCTATCGCTGACTACTTTGCTTATAAAGAATGTTGTTACAAGTGCAGTACGTGAAGAAAAATCAGAATACTTGTCTTACAATTGAAATATGTTTAAAATTTGTAATCGACCGACTTTGGAAATACCACCTAACTTAAAAAATCGCAGTGACATTAATCATTATTTGACAATATTGACAATTGCGCCCAAACTAGTTTTTTCTATGAAAATCGCAAGTTCAACTGGAATATATCATTTGCATTTAAAGTCGCAACTATCGATTCCAATTCTGATGGTGTTGCACCTGCTAGAATGCTTCAGATGACCCTCCACATTACCGCTCCGAAAGTTACACATAATATTAACTGCTGTTTGGAAGTAGGCTATTTTCCTAGTATTTGGAAGTTTTCTTTGATCACACCATTGGCAAAAATAACAACCCCAGCCCGTTCTCAGACCTTCGTCCAATCAGTATTCTTCCAACTTTCTCTAAAGTTTTGGAGAAAGTCCATTTCCAATCGTATTGCCACTAACAGTCAATCTGAATTTCGCAAAGGTTTTAGTAGTCTTGTCTACTTTTACACATCAATGATCACATTATTAGTTCTTTAGATAATGGTTTTTCTTCACTTATATTTTTGGATTACTCTAAAGCCTTTGATCGGCTTAACCATAAAGTTATATGCGCCAAATTGAGTTACTACGGTTTCGATGATATCTCGACTTGATTTTTTGAAAACTACTTAAATTAACAGGTACCCTTGACAATGTAAGTTCTAAATTTCTCCCTGTTTCATCAGGTGTACCGCAAGGTTCTGTTCTTGGACCTATATTATTCTTACTGTATATTTCTGATGTTTATACATCCATCGAATATTTGAATTTGCCTTCATTTGCTGATAACAGTCAGCTATTTTACTCCTTCGATCCTAAATTATTTGATATTGATTCTTATATTTCTCATTCGATAGTAAATTATTTATTTATTTTTATAAATTTATTTATTTATTATAAATTATTTTCAATTTATATCAATTTGGACTTGCATAACTAAGAAATGCAGTAATGTTCTTTTCTCCTAAACTTAACAGTAAACAAGTATCCTAAATATATCTATTAATTAACGGTGAACGGTGAATTGTGAATTGTAATAAAAACTTTGGTGTTATATTTGATTGTAGACTTAGATTCGTGGAATATGTATTTTTGTTGGCGAAAAAGTCTTATTTGGTTTTGCGCCATTTATACAGGCACAGAACTGTCTTTAATTTCAGTTTACGGAAGCTTTTAGCTCAATCACTTGTCCTTTCGATTATGAACTATGGTTTAGTCCTCCATTACCCATGTCTTGGTATTAATAATAGATTGCAAAAAATTCAAAACAGCTGTTGCAGATTTATTTTCGGCTTGCGTAAATTTGATAGGATTTTTTGCAAAATCCAAGAACTTAGCGGGCTAAAAATTGACAGTACTTTCAAGTACTTTTTGGCGTCTATGGTTTTTCCAACTTATTAGCACATCCAATCCGTCCTACTTACGATCTAAACTGCAGTTTCGTAATGTTGAATCAGCGGCTTTAAGGCACCCCTACAGACTCTCACTGCCACAATATCGTTTAGTTTTTATTATGACGCAGTCGTAATTTTTAACAGTATACCCCATTCAATAAAATCACATTCAATTAAATTCTTTAAAAAATGTTTCAGATTGAAACTGCTAACTTTTAATAATTTTTTTCTGTTCCATATTACTATTACATTTATCTTTGTACTATATTTATTTATCAATGTATAACTTCTTATCTAGTTTTCAACTTAAACATTTAAGAGGTTAAGTGGAGTAGTTTTTGCTACACTTCGCCTCTTCTCTACTGTATATTTGTATATAAAAATATACAGCATTAAAGACAATTTATTATTATTATTATTACCTCAAATGGGTTATTAAATTCTTCCCTGTCTGCGTGAATCATATTTTTTTTTAACCGGCTCGTTTTTCATAATCGCGCTAAAAGCAAACAAACGTCGACGAAAAATTGCGCTAAGTCGAATTAAAACAGACATTATCTAATGACGTGTTAATTGAATCACTAATCCCGATAATCATGGGTCTGAAAATTGATTTGGCAAACACTAAAGCAAAACGAACTTTTTTCTTTTCCTCTGGGAGAATGTTCAATAATGCCTTCTCCGCAGCAACACTGGCTTGGCCACGACCTCGTTCGAAACGACACCGGTGATGCCCACTTACCTGGTGGCCTTTATCATATCCCGCTTTACGTGTACTGATGGCACCCCTTTGGAAGGCAACGCGGCTCACCCAAGCCGAGTGTGCTCGAGGAACGAGACCGCCGACACCAGAAGCTTCGCAGTAGACCTAGCCCCCAGATACGTCGACGTCTTCAACACATACACCGGTATCAACTACACCGGTTATGTATCGAAACTCGACCAGGTCGCCATACCAGATTTCGCCGCTGGAGCTATGGAGAACTGGGGTCTTATTACCTATAGGTAACTATACCATTGCTCTCAGTCTTCCCCCTAGGACAACCAGCTCGCATTCAGGGAGACGGCCTTGCTGTACGACGACAACAACACAGCCGCCCTTTACCAGGATTACGTGGCCAGAGTCATCGCCCACGAACTCGCCCATCAATGGTTCGGCAACTTGGTCACCTGCAAATGGTGGTCCGAGACTTTCCTCAACGAGGGTTTCGCCACCCTCTTCGAGTACCTGGTACCCAACGAAGTATTGCCGGAATACCAACTCGACAAACAATACGTCATCAAGATAGTGCAGTCCATCATGGGCGAGGACTCTTACACCACCGCGGAAGCGCTGAGAAGCGCCGCTTCTACACCCACAGAGATATCCGCGAAATTCGGCTCCATCACCTACTACAAGGGCGGCAGCGTGTTGAGGATGATCCAGCACGTGTTGGGCGCCGAAAATTTCAGAGCTGCCCTTCAGAACTACCTGCGCGACAAGTGAGTAGCCTATTGGTGCAGTTTGAGCCGTGAAGAAGGAAGTTTTTCCAGTGCCAATGGCAGCGCCAAACCGGAAGATCTACTGGTCGCTCTGGAAGGCGCGGTGAACAACAGCGTTAGCAATTTGCCGGTGGGTGCTAACTTGAGCGTTGTCCTCGGAAACTGGATAGATAGACCCGGCTTCCCCGTGGTGAACGTAACCGTGAATGAAACCGTCGCGGTCATCTCACAGGAGAGGTTCCTCTTCTCTGGCAACGACTCGAGTACCGCTTGGTATGTCCCGATCACACTGACCTCCTCCAACGACAGCGGGCGGTTCCAGAATACCGCACCACAATATTGGCTCACCCCAGACGGCGACTTGACTATCGAGCTTGGCTCCAACGTCAGCTGGATCGTAGTTAACAATCAGCAGATAGGTAAGCGGAATCCTTAAAGAGCGACGATGACATTGGCTTCGGTAGGCTTTTACAGGGTGAACTACGACTACGCCTCGTGGTCGAAGCTCGGAGCGGCACTGTCTCGAGCGAACTTCTCCGACATACATGAAATCAATAGGGCTCAGATCGTAGACGACGCCTTTAACCTGGCCAGAGCTGGGTACTTGCCTTACTCGCGCGTATTTGAGGTGCTGGAATTTCTAAAGTTCGAAGCTTCTTACATCACGTGGTATCCAGCGTTCAGCGGGTTCAACTACCTGCTGAGGAGGGTCGGACTGAACACCACATTGGGGAACGAGATCGGGGTACGCCCGACCGCGCCGTAATTAAGACAATCGTCGTAAACTCTGTTTTAGAAACACGTGCTGCGGTTGTCGTCCACTTTGAAAGACTCGGTGCCGTTGCAAGACACCAACGCGTCGGATCATGTCCAGAGCCTAAACCGGCAACTGGCTAACGGCTGGTTCTGCAAGCTAGGGGACGGAGCTTGCGTACGTAATGTCAGCGAACTATTCGAAGAGTTTAAGAGGACGTCAGTGGCGTAAGTAGAGTCAGCGACGCACGAGAACTAGAATCCAATGTGACCGTTTCAGTCCGAATAAGAACTTGAGGTCAGTGGTCTACTGCAACGCGTTGGTCTACAGCAGCAACGTCGTCAACGATTGGGAGTTCCTTTGGAGCGTCTACGAAAACGCGACCCTTGCCACGGAAAAAGCCACCCTCATATCGGCGCTGGGATGCGCAGCTAATGAATCTGTATTGTTATCGTAAGCAATCTTCGATGGTGAATACCTAGTTCCGAGCACGCCACTCTTGCAGGTACTTGCGAAAAACCATCACCGACGACTCAGGAGTCAGGTCGCAGGACTACGTGTCGGTCTTCCAGGGGGTTTATTCCAGCAGCGACGTCGGTGTCGACGTCGCTTTGGACTTCTTCGTGGAGAATTACGACATTATCCAGTCCAGATATACGAGCATGAGGAATGTCATTAGGGGAATCGCCGAATACTTCACGACCGAAGCTCAAGTGAACAAAGTGAGTGTTGGAAGATCGAGCCTTGAGCTTTGTGAACAGGTTTGAGTTTGCAGCTTAGCGCATTCGCGTCTAGTAATGCGACCAATGACAGCGCTGTGCTAGAAGACTGCAGGTCGGCCATAACTTCCGCAAAAAGCAATCTGGAGTGGGCCAGACTGTCTAGGAGTCAACTCTATCAGTACTATGGCTTGGTCGAGGAAGAAACTACCACATCGACCGTCGGACCCATTACTTCGACGACCGAGAATCCGAACTCTGGAGTGGGCGGGTCAGCAATGGCGGCGATGGTCGTAGTCGTTTGCACGATGCTCAGCTGTTTAGTTTCCCTGGCGTAGGGAGGTTTTTCGATTGTTTTGTAATATGTAGTGTTAATTTATTGACTTGAAGTTGTTTGTGAAATTTCGAAGATAATAAAGTATAGTATAAATTGGTTGATTTTGTTCGTCGCCAGTTCCCAACAAACACTTAAGTTCTTTGGGTAATCTTTTAAAACATTTTTATGTGTAATATCATTAACGCGTCGTTAATTGAATGCGATCTTGTTCAGTGCAGTTCAATCAATTTGAGCCTAGAAAAAACGCTCGGTACCCAATCATGTCGTTAATCCGCCATAAGCACTAAACAATAGCGAGCGAGGACATTTACAGCTTCGCTAAGATCGGATTTATCGATAAGGAGACGACTTTATAAGCTTTTCCCGAGGTCGAAGAAGATTTAGTCGCGTCGCGTACCTTCCTGCGGAAACCCAGTAAAAATGTGGACCGAACTCGGCGTCCTAATTACAACTCTCGTGGTGATCCAGGGTCAATCGACCTCTGAGGAGTACGGCGGCTACCGACTAAACGAGATATACTTACCATCGAGATACGTGGTTGACCTCGAGGTGTCCCAAGATGTCTTCGACGGCGCAGGAGTGGCCTTTTCCGGAAAAGTCTCGATCACATTTGAAATCAGCGAATCGACCGACGTGATTCGTATACATAAGCAGAACGCCATCACCAGTTTGACCTTGTTTTCGGGTTCGACACCAATCACCGTCAGCAGTTTCGAAAAATACAACTCTACCACCGAAATATTAACCATTGAGCTGAGTCAAAGCCTAGTTGTCGGCACAACTTACACCCTGAACATAGAGTCGGGTACCGAGGCTTCGGCTACTGCAGGATACTCAATTAGATTCGTTTTTAGGTACAACGGGGATCTAGACACCACGAGTATGAGCGGGTTCTACCTGAGCAGCTACAGAACGAGCTACGGCGCTACGGAGTACCTGGTGACCACCCAGTTCCAGCCCACTCACGCGAGGCACGCGTTCCCTTGCTTCGACGAGCCACAGTACAAGGCAACTTTTCTGATTAGTATAACGCATCCCGCAGCGTACAATGCTCTGAGCAATATGCCTCAAGCTCAACTAGACCCGATTAAGTAGGCCTCAGAAACGTCTACTTGGATCGCAATTAATCTATCGGTTTCCAGCACCACGTACGCGAAGACGACTTTCAAGGAAACGCCGAGGATGTCGACTTACTTGGTCGCGTTCATCGTGTCGAACTTCTCTTGCAGCTTGGGCGAAGTCATCGATGTCGACACGCCCCATCAGGTATGTTCCAGAAAGGAACAGGCTCAGTATAGGGACTTGGCGGTGAGGCTCGGATCAGTTATTATGAACAAATTGGAAACCATTACCGGATTGAAATACGGTTAGTGCAAGTGCGACCCCGAGCGCGACGGTGGAACCCAAGTGTGTTTTCAGCTCAGCAGCTGCCCAAGATGGACGAGGTCGCTATACCAGATTTCTCAGCCGGCGCCATGGAAAACTGGGGTCTGGTCACTTACCGGGAGACCGGTTTGCTGTACAGCGAGGAAGACTCCTCTAACTCGTACAAGAAGAGCATCGCGCAAGTGATTGCTCACGAATTCACCCACATGTGGTTTGGAAATTTGGTCACGTGCAAATGGTGGGACTATACGTTTTTAAACGAGGGCTTCGCGAGACTGTACCAGTACTTCGCAGCTGCTTTGGTAAGCTTCGACTAATGCAATGTGAATATTGTATCGAGCAGAGGTTTGCAGGTCGAGGAGCTGTCAGATTGGGAGTTGGACAAGCACTTCGTCGTGGAACAGGTGCATACGGCTCTACTGACCGACTCGTCATTGAGCGCCGACTCGCTCACTTCGAAAGCTTCTAGTCAATCGCAGGTGTCGAACAAATTCAGTACCATCACGTACAATAAGGGAGCGGCGGTACTCCGTATGATCGAACACGTCATAGGGGCTCAGAACTTCTTGTCGGGAATACATAGTTATCTGGATACATAGTGAGCGGAGATGCGATCACCGTTTCTAGTAACCAAGTGCTTATTTCAGCTCATACAAGGCCACGACGCCGAAGAATCTCTGGGACGTCCTCCAGCGTTTCGCTCCTACGAATTCTTTGCCGAGCGACGCGACCCTTGAAGTGGTCATCGAGAATTGGGTCGAAAAGTCCGGTCACCCTCTGGTGACAGTGACCAGCAGCGGAAACGACGTCATATTATCCCAAGTAAGTTCTTAGGTGAATATGGTGAATACGTCCTTCAATGTTGAAATACTAGACGAGATTTTTGCTGAGCGGCTCCGAGGACAGGGAGTGGTATATACCGATTAGTTACACCTTGTCCAACGACACCAAGGGTTTCGCCAACACCTCTCCCAAATTTTGGCTGCGCCCGGGTCAGGCTTACACTCTGAGCAATGCCATCAACAACCAAGGGTGGATTATTATCAATAATCAGCAGTCGGGTTAGTTGCGGTGACGAGGTTAACTATCACGTAACCATGATGATTGATGCTGTTTTCAGGTTTCTACAGAGTTAACTACGACACAGCCCTCTGGTCCAGGATTAAAGAGACCCTGCAGGAAAATCACACAGAGATCGACGTCCTTAATCGAGCTCAGCTGCTGAACGACGTGTACAACTTCGCGAGGTCCGGTTTGTTGAAGTACTCTGACGCTATGAGTGTGTTCTCGTACCTGAAGAACGAGGTGGAGTACTACCCGTGGTATTCGGCCATAGTGGGGTTGAACCACCTTCTGCAGAGGATTGGTTACGAGTCCACGATCGGAAGGAGACTCATAGCTCACCAGCTAGAAAATCTGGACAAAGTTTACGCGACTGTGCCCTTTAGCAAACTCGATTCGAATAACCAGGTGTACACCATGAAGCAAGTGGCGATCCTGACCAGAGCTTGCAGGTACGGATTGACCAGCTGTGTGGAAGAGGTCAAAGGCTTATTTGAGCGATACAAGAGCGGAAACAGGTAACCATGTGGTACCTATTTAGACCCGTTTGAAACGGTAATGTTTCCTAGCGTTCCAAAGAATCTAAGAAGTATCGTCTACTGTAACGCCTTAAGGTACTCCACCGACCTCCACACTGACTTCAACTTCTTGTGGGACAAATTCCAAAGCGCATCCCTCGCCTCGGAAGTTGTAACGATCCTGGGCTCTTTCGGGTGTGCGCAGGATGCTTCCCACATAAAATGGTGAGTCTTTCGGCAAGCTTGGCAGAGCAAAGACCCGCCCTCCTTCTAGGTTCCTGAAACAAACGATCAACGCTACCTCCGGAGTCAGACTGCAAGATTTCTCGACTGCATGGTCGGGCGTTTACTCAAGCGGGGGACGGATCGGTGCCGTCGCCGCCATGGAGTTCATCGCCGAGAACTATGCCGAGCTGACCGCTTAGTAAGTTGCGCGCTGACTCCAAGAATTATTTTTGATCATTTGTCTTTCGCAGCTATAGCGGCGTCGGGTCTTTAATATCGACTATCGCCAACTACTTCTTCGAGGAGAGCCAGCTGGAGTCGGTAAGTGGCTCGAAAGTGCTCGCGGTTAGGATTTAATTGTTTCTTTAGATCCAGAAAGTATTGAACGTGTCGACGCTTTCCAACGGTCATCGAGCTACAGCCAACAGCGCCATCACCAGCGCTAGGTCGAACATCGCTTGGGCCTCCTCCAAAGCCGAAGACGTATCTGCGTTTCTCGACGAGCTACAGTCATCGGGCGCTGTTCACCTAGCGTCTTCTGCTCTACTGATTGCGATTGGCGCTCTAGCTTTTAATAGAGGACTGGTTTTGTAAAATATGCATGTAGATATTGAAATAAATTTGTTGCGAAATGTGTATTGCTTTTTGATTGGTGTGTCAAGTTGTGGTTGAGTGATTCGTGATAATATCGTACTCGCCTACTGCAAGGCATACTCCAGCTCCACGTCATCGCAATCTTCGTTTTGCTGAGATAAAATCAAATCTCTCGATAATCCTCTCTATCCTTTTACGACAGCCAGACTACGAAAGGATTACAATACTTAAACCTAGTCAAATCGCCGCAATTAAGTTATAAATTACTAAGCCATCACGAAAGACAAATCAGTTTAGCTCCGTCGTAAGCAGAAACATGATCAGGTGGAGCTTGCGCAGCCTCCTAATCTCAGCGTTCATCCTTCGCGTTTATCCCCTGAGCGCGGAAGACTACGGGGGTTACAGGATTCCGGAGATCTACGCGCCAAGTCGCTACGAAGTCGATATCACCGTTCCGGAAGATGTATTCAATGGCGAAAGCCTCTTATTCTGGGGTCGAGTTCAAATCACTTTTCGTGTAGAGTCTGCCACCCGCGAGATCCAAATACACACGAGGAGTACTGTGACGGAAGTAGCGTTGACTGCTGCATCTAATACCGTGACCGTTACCAGCTTCGCCCAGTACAACAGCACCACCCAAATCCTCACCATAAGTCTAGGACAGGAGCTGGTGGTCGGTGTCGACTACGCATTGGCGATAAGCTACAACGGAGAGCTAGACACGACTATATTCAGAGGGTTCTACTTGAGTTCGTACAAGGCGGCTTCCGGGACGACCGAGTACCTGGTGGCGACCCAATTCGAGCCCACCCACGCGAGACACGCCTTCCCCTGCTTCGACGAGCCCAAGTACAAGGCAAAGTTTCAGGTTAGCATTACGAGGCCAGCCACTTACAACGTTCTGAGCAACACCAACGTTGCTTCTGACGTCGTCGTCAAGTAAGTCTATTTAAATGACTTCCCGATCTGCATCCATACTTGTGATTCTGTCACCAGCTCCACGTTTACCAAGTCTACGTTCACGGAGACGCCGCGCATGTCCACGTACCTACTGGCATTCATCGTTTCCAAGTTTACCTGCACCGCAGGCGACGTCATAGCCGCCGGTGTGCCCCATCGGGTATGTTCCAGACCCGAGCAAGCAGATTACAGGGCCCTGGCCGTCGAGTTGGGACCCCCGATTATGCGTTCCCTCGAAAATATTACCGGCAGCAAATACGGTAAGTAGGATTTTTGACCACGTGGGTTACGATGGCAGCGTTTTTCTTCCAGGTGATCAGATCGCTAAAATGGACCAGGTTGCTATTCCGGACTTCGCTTCGGGCGCCATGGAGAATTGGGCCATGGTCACGTACAGGGAAACGAATTTGCTCTGGAGCGCCGAGGACTCGTCTAATTCTTACAGGAAAAGCATCGCTCTGGTAATCGCCCACGAGTTCACCCACATGTGGTTCGGCAACTTGGTGACCTGCGACTGGTGGGACTACATCTTTTTGAACGAGGGCTTCGCCAGATTTTACCAGTACTTCGCCGCTGCTCCCGTAAGTACTGACAGAGTCGTGCGCTCAGATAGCGACAGTCACTTCGACGCAGGTCAGCCAACTGTCGAACTGGGAGTTGGACAAGCAGTTCGTGGTCGAGCAGGTCCATACTGCCCTCTTGAGCGACTCGTCCACCGGCTCGGACGCGCTTACCTCTAAAGCGTCCAGCCCGTCGCAGATTTCGAATAAGTTCAGTACCATCGCCTACAATAAGGGGGCCTCGATCCTGAGGATGGTCCAGCACGTGATTGGAGCCGATAACTTTTTGTCTGGGATAAGACACTACCTGTCCACTTAGTAAGTCGTCCGTCGTTTTGAATACAGTGCAGTTATCTAATTATTGCAAGTTCCTACTCGACCGCTGTACCGTCGTACCTGTGGGGATCCCTCAACAACTTCACGTCATCGTCGTCATTACCCGACGGAGTGACATTGAACGCGGCGCTCACCAATTGGATTGACGCTGCCGGGTACCCGGTGGTGACGGTGACTTCCGACGGAGATGACGTCATCTTATCCCAGGTGCGTCCTCTGCTAAAGTGGGTCTTGGTTCTGTTGACATTGTTTTAACACACAGAAACGGTTCCTGCTGAGCGGTTCTGCGACGACGCAGTGGTACGTCCCGATCAGTTACACGCTGTCCAACGACACGTCATCTTTTACTGCCACTTCGGCTAAAATTTGGCTAACGCCTGGCGCAAACCGCACCCTGAAGGGAGCTTTGAAGGGAAACCATTGGATAGTACTAAATAACCAACAATCTGGTATCATATTCCCGAAAGCGCGATTCAACGAGGGTCACTGCTATCGTTGCAGGTTACTACAGGGTCAATTACGACGACGCTCTCTGGGGTGCTATCAAGGAGACGCTTCGGTCGAATCACACCTCCATCGACGTCCTCAACAGGGCCCAATTGTTGAACGACGTGTACAACTTCGCGAGGTCCGGTTTGGTAAAGTACTCTGACGCCTTAAGTGTGTTCTCGTACCTGAAGAACGAAGAGGAGTATTACCCGTGGTATGCGGCCATAGTGGGCTTGAACCATCTGCTCCAGAGGATAGGTTACGAATCTGCGGTCGGGAAGAGGCTCGTAGCTCACCAGCTAGAAAATTTGCAAAAGGTTTATGCCACGGTACCGTTCAGCAAGCTCGATTCCAATGACCAGGTGTACACCACGAAGCAGGTGACCGTCATAACCAGGGTGTGTCGTTACGGAGAGTCGACGTGCGTGGCGCACGTTAAAGATCTTTTCGCTCAGTACAAAAACGGAAAGAGGTAACGATGGGGATGAACAGAAGAGCGTGCTGGTCTCACCGATCGTAATTGCAGCGTCGACAAGAACCTGAGAAGCATCGTCTACTGCAACGCGTTGCGGTATAGTGACGACATCGAAGCCGACTTTAACTTTTTGTGGGAGCAGTTTAGGAAAACCTCATTAGCGTCAGAAGTAGTCACCATCTTGGGTTCCTTTGGCTGCGCCCAAGACTCGAAGCATCTGAAGTGGTACTAGAAAAAGAACCCGCTCTCCTGGCAAGTTGGCAAGTTTCGGATGTTCCAGGTTCCTGAACCAGACCATCAACGCGACGTCGGGTATCAGGCTGCAGGACTTTTCAACCGCGTGGTCGTCAGTCTACTCCAGTGGCGGAAAGCTGGGCGCTATAGCGGCCATGGAGTTCATCGCCGAGAATTACGCGGCTCTAACTTCATAGTGAGTATGCGCAACCGTATCCGATGACGCTCAGCGATCAAATTTCCAGCTACTCCGACGTGGGTTCCTTGGTGGCGAGTATTGCCAACTATTTTTATGCCGAGGAGCAGCTGCAAGCGGTAAGTGGAGATTGTGGACGCGGAAGTCGTGGGTAATAGTTCCTCTGCAGCTTCAGATGCTGATCGACTTACCGGGGATTAGCGCTAGTCACAACGCCACTGCCGTTAGCGCACTGAATAGCGTCAAGTCCAATATGGCGTGGGCGGCCGCCAAAGCGGCGGACGTGGTGAGCTTCTTGGACGAGGTGCAGTCTTCGGGGTCTCGGGGGTTGATGAAGGGGGGCAGTTGGTGGCTCGCTTTTACGTCTATAGTTGTTGTAAGACGAGGGCTGTGGTAAACTGGTTCAGTAAAGACTTTAAACAATAGAGGCGTGTTTTTTTTGCGCACTTGGTGCTATGGGTTGTTAAGCGGGTATTATCGGAATAGTCGCCTTATTAGCAGTATCGCTAGTCAGATACCACGACTAATCAAAATAATTACCCTAGCGAAACGAAGTGACTAGTCTCGGCGCGTCACGCAATATGCAGCTCCCTTATAGCAGGTAATTTTCGAAAAGGGAGATGTTTTTTTGCTCTTTTTTTTATTAAAGAATCAGTTTTGGTTAGTTTTTAGCGATGCGGAATAACTAGCAACATTTTCTTGTACGTTTTAGACGCATCCGAAATTACAGGGTGGTCTGTAATCAATGGGCCAAAAGTCAATATAAAAAACCTGACTCTGTACAATGTCGCTCATCATTCACCGGCAAATCGTTTATAAAAATGAGCAACAAGGGTGGAGCCAAAGTACTACCCTGAGGCACTAACCAATTTTTTTGCGACAACGAATCTAAAATCTACAGTGTCAACTATAGCCGTCTCAGTAGAATGCTATCCATTTTTAATAAACTCTTATTCACTTGGAATAATAATATGTATCAAATATATTTTAAATTTTGATTGTAAAATTGTTGCCAAAAAATTAATCTAAATTTTACAAAAAACAAACGGCGCGTTTTATCGAAATAAATGTAGTTTTCCCTTTTTTTTAATTAGAAATTACACAACCTTCAAATAAAAAAGTTACCGAACGTTACTAACAAAAAAGTTATAGCATGCGGATTATAGGGGTGTAGTTTTCGCCCTCTGCAATTTATGTGAAAAATTAAATAAAATCCTGTTCGATATCTCGATTGATCCCCGAATCCAAGATTTCACGTAGACATTTAAAAAACGTACTAAAATTTAGCATTGCTGTTTGGCTCTTTATTTTCGGATCACCCTGTATATCTACGACTACTGTTAATCAAAAATATTAAAAAAATTATAATTGCATTTTTGTCCAACCGAATTTTTCATTCCGAAATAAAGCACTTGATAACCTCCCAATCTTTTTGCTTGCTGAGGAAATATTGCTTTGGTCTGGAAAAAATATGCCAAAAGTCTCATCTTTCGCCTATGTGATTTTCGACAATAAATTTTCAATGGTAACAGCGCCATTTTTGACACTTGGTAGAAACTTAAAACTGTAATTCAAAAAAATAATTCAAAAAATACAGGGTGTGCCGAAATTAGACGTCAATATTTTACTCACGTATTCTGTTACCCAAAATAAGGATAAAAGTTCATATAAACTAGAGTCCAAAACGGATTAGTTTGAATCATACAGGATGTCAAATTTGAAGAGGGGATGGCGATTTTTTGTAAATATTTTCGAAACACGTAAATATTTTTACAAAAATTTGATACGGTTACTAAACTCTCTATTTAACGAACTAAAACTTAATATTGGATTGTCTTCAGCGGTGGGTAACACAGTGGAGGCGTGGGAAAAATTTGCCACGAATTCTACTACTACTACAAAATTTGAAGTTTTCTACATAAATAAGGTACCCTTAGCTTTGTTTTTCTTAAATGTCTTAAAAATAACTTATTATGATTGTTAGTAGTACAACAATTTTATTTTTAGGTTGGTAAAATGTTAAGAATGCAAGGCTTACCTAGATTGTAAACATTAAAAAAACAAAAAATATTTCCGACGCCTCCCCTGTGTTACTCAACCATGAAGACAATCCAATACTAAGTTTCAGTTCGTGAAATAGAGCCTAAAAAGGTTAGAAACGGTACCAAATTTTATTTAAAAATATTTACGTGTTTCGCAAATATTTACAAACAATCGCCATCAAATTTACCACCGTATATGTTAAAACCTAGGACGTTTGGGACCCTAGTTTATATGAACTTTTATCCTTATTTTGGGTCAGAATACGTGCTTAAAATATCGTCGCCTAATTTCGAGACACCTTGTATAGTAGAACAATGAAAGTGTTTTGTTACAGTTACCAATTTTTTCGATATAGATATAATTTTTCTACGGTATGATTTTGGGACGCCTTGTATAGAGTCAGAGACCAAACACCAAACTTTCCGAAGCTAATGGAACAAATCTTTTTTATGTAATCTGTATAAACTAATTTTTAACACAGTTTTGAATCATGATAACAAATACCTTAAGTATCATTTACGATCCCGGCGATCTTATCGAATAGTTGTAAATTGAGATAAAGTCCGTAATTGTTTTCGGTTTCTTTTGACTGCCAAATTTTCATTAATCCATCGGTGAAAATTATTACGTCAAATCGAAGAATAAGTTTTACTGCCATCGGCGAATGTATCCATACATTGCGACCTTCAAAGGCGTGAAGATTTAGATTTAATTAATACTAATCTAAACTAGATTAGATTAGAAATCGTAGATTAATGCACTCGATTGCACTTGAACATCAGATATCGAATCCAAAATTTTAATAATCTTGGGTACTCAGGTTTGCTGGTCTCGCCTTATGCTTTTTGTGTCTCGGGTATGCCTCCATCACCATGACTAGTCCACTCTCCGGAGGGTACCGACTCTCTGACAACTACCTCCCCTCCAAATACCGCGTGGAACTGGTCATACCTGCTGAAATATTCTCCCGTAAAAACCTGGATTATTCCGGTACGGTAGCATTAACGTTCCGGGTGAAAAAAACCACGCAGCATATCCAGATACATACTAGAAGCACCGTACTGGACGTCAGCCTGTGGAATGGACAGAGCTCGATCCACTTGGCCGGTGGTGGCCATTACAATTCGACCACCGAGATTCTCGCTTTTCCGACGCCGCTGGAACTCAAACCAGGAACCAACTACACATTGAAGATTAGGTGAGCCGGGAAGGAGTCTGCAAAGACATCGGTGACGTGGTGACATTTTAGCTACCAAGACAAAGTGCAAGACAAAATACTGAAAGGCCTGTACTTGAGTAACTACAAAAAGCGATCCGGAAACGTGGAATATCTTGTCGCCACCCAGTTCGAGCCGGTTTACGCGAGGTGGGTGTTCCCCTGCTTCGACGAGCCCTCATACAAGGCCAAGTTCGAGCTGAGTGTCGTTCATCCCTCGAAATATAACGTCATCAGCAATACGGAAGTGTCGACCACCGTGCGGAAGTAGGTGAGACGTCTCGAGGTATTCGCGGTCGTTATTTGCAACGGTTGTAGCGGCACTTACACGAAGACCACCTTCAGAGAAACGCCGGTGATGTCTACGTACAGTCTCGCTTTGGTGATATCAAAATTCACCTGCACCAACGGAAGTCGGATAGATGGCGAACTGGAGTACCGCGTTTGCTCGAGAGAGGAAGCCTCCCAGGACAGGGCTCTGACCCTGGAGCACGGTACTAGGATCATGGAGAGCTTGGAAAATATCACGGGGATTAAATATGGCGGGAACGCGTCATCTATCACCAAAATCGATCACGTCGCAATTCCAGACTTCGATTCGGGCGCCATGGAGAACTGGGGCATAGTCACATATCGTGAAGTTGGGCTTCTCTGGAACCAGCAACTCTCCACTGATGCGAACGCGAAGGCCATCCTTCTCTTGGTGACTCACGAGTCTTCCCACATGTGGTTCGGAAACTTGGTGACGTGTGTCTGGTGGGATTACCTCTTCCTGAACGAGGGCTTCGCAAAGTACTTCGAGTACTTCGCGTTGGCTCGCCTGAGCGCTCTCTCTCGATGGGAGCTGGACAAGCAGTTTGTGATAGATCAGGTCTATACCGCCTTGCAGGTAGATTCTAGGTCGGACTCCGTGGCTTTGACCTCCGCCGCGTTGACTCCTTCAGAAATCTCGGCCAAATTTAACAAGATAACTTACAGTAAAGGCGCCTCAATTTTGAGGATGCTCGAGCGTTCGTTGGGGAGTGAGACGTTCGTCTCGGGGATCAGGCAATACCTGAGAATTTAGTGAGTAAAAGGGCGAGAGAATAGGTGGGATTTGACTTAATTCGAATTGGCAGCGCGTACCACACCGTGGTACCCACGGACCTGTGGCGCTCTTTAGGTGCTGTCGCTCCGAATTCGGTCTTGCCCGACGGAGTTTCACTGGATGTAATCATGGGCAACTGGACGAACCGGCCTGGTTATCCCGTGGTGACGGCCTCCGTCCGCGGAGACGACGTGGTGCTGTCGCAGGTAAGGTACCACTTAGACGCAAGCGATTTTAATATTAACGGCGGCTTAGGAACGATTCTCGTTGGGAAAAACGACTTCGTGTTCTTGGTACGTGCCGATTACCTACACCGCGTCCAATAACACCAGCGCATTTTCCGAAACAACCGTCAAGCTTTGGCTACGCCCAGGTGAGACCGTCACCATGAGGAACGTCCTCAGAACCAACAGTTGGATCATCTTCAATAATCAACAATCAGGTGACGATTGAATCGTAGTCAGTGTGGTCAGTTTTATTTCTGGCAGGTTTCTACAGGGTGAACTACGATCCCACACTGTGGGCCAACCTAATACGAGTACTCAAGAGCAATCACAGAGTGATAGACGTGTTGAACAGGGCAGCATTGGTGAACGACGCGTATAATTTGGCCAGGTCAGGCGCTATACGATATTCCCTAGCGTTGACGGTCTTGTCGTACCTGGAAAACGACACCGAGTACTATCCTTGGACGTCAGGACTGATGGCTATAAAGCACCTCCACCGCAGGCTCAGCGGGTATCCCGCGCTAAGCGATCTGGTGGCGGCTTACGCATTGGATCGACTCCGGAAAGTATCTTCCATTGCACTCTATGGCGACGTCAATCCCGAGAGCCAAATAGACAAGTTGAAGCAGGTGGCAATCTTGTCGGCACTCTGCGAATACGGCGAGCCGCGCTGCGTGACCACCGCCAGGGCTTTGTTCGAACGGTACAAGGAAGGAGCCCAGTAAGCCACCAGTTTGAAAGAAAGTCATGGATTGAGTGTTTCTTCTTAACCGCAGGGTGCCGAAAAACCTCAAAATTCTCATTTATTGCAACGCGTTGCGCTATAGCGACGACGTCGACTCGGACTTTGGCTTCCTGTGGAAGGTTCTCCAAGAGGCAGCGGGGCAGGCCTCGGAGATGGGGGCAGTTTTGCAAAGTTTGGGATGCATTAGAAATTCGACTTACTTGAATTGGTAATGTCGATCGGTCGCGAGGGTTTAAATCTATTGGGTGTGGTTTAGGTTTTTACTTCAGACCGTCCATCAGCCTCCGGGGGTGAGGCTCCAGGACGTGCTACAGGCCTGGACGTCGGTGTATGCTAACGGGGGTCATCTGGGCACGACCGTAACTCTTCGGTTTGTTTTGGACAACTACGTGCGAATAAGGGATTAGTGAGTATGATATTATCGTTGACGTTGCTTTGTTTAAATTTTCTGTCATTATGAATGAAACTATGAAAGAATTTATCTATTTGTGTATTTCAGTATTTCAAACATTACAATTCGAGAAAAGTGAAGTGAGAATTTAATAAATATAGCCCAAGAAGTAAAAAAATCGAACAGCAAATGAAAGTACAATAAATAATTGTTGGTATGCTACTGCGCATATAACACTGGTTTGCAATGAAATCCTCCTGTAAAACATTTTATGATAAATATAATGATTCAAATGTTTTGAATCTATCCCCGTTGGCAGATTTTTTCTATCACGTCTAGATTTTTCGATTTTTTTTTTATATTTCAAAATTTTGTTTTTTTTTTTCAATTTTTTCATTCGTCAACGTTACAAAAAGTAAATATACATACAAAATGAATTTCAGAGAGTTGTAAGAGAAAGGAGGGAAGTGCCGAAGGTGATTTTTATGGTAGTAAATACGCGCGTGCGCAGTATTCATTGTGACACTACAACAGTTCAGTGAAAACTTGTCGTTTAATTGTTTACCTTTTATATCAAATATTTTGGTAAGTTTTGCGTAAAGTTCATGTTCTCTACGTTGGATTTAAGTATTTGATGCGTAGTTTGAGTATTTTTTTTAAGTAGAGCCAATAAATATAAAATATAAGTTTGAAAATTGTTTTAAAATTAATTTTATGTAATTTTAGGTTACAAAATGCCACAGACTTGTAAAAATTCCTCAGATTGTTTTTGCTACATTTGTGTATTGATTGATTGATTGTTATTTCTGCATGACATTTACACGAGAATTCTCGAAAAAAAATAGAAATAAGATTGTTTATCCGAACGTCCTATCTGCCTCGTGATAAAGACACTCCACCTCCAGTTCCACCAGTTAATGAGAAGGCTGAAAATAAAAATATTTCAGGTCTACAATCTCAACCTGGATCTTCATGTTCATCTACAGAACCTCATTTACTTGAACAATTCGACCTAAATGATCTTGTTAGAGACGTGGGACTTTCAAACTCTAAGGCACAGTTACTCGAATCAAGGTTAAAACAGTGGAATCTATTGGCTAAAAGTACCAGAGTTTCATATTTTCGTAATAGGCAAGAAAGTTTTACAAGTTACTTCTCCAAGGAAGATGATTTGGTATATTGTAATGATGCTGCAGGGCTTCTTCAAAAACTAAGTTTTCCAGAAGATTCTAGTGAATGGAGACTTTTGATTGATGCTTCAAAGATAAGCTTGAAAGCCGTTCTACTTCATAATGGTAATAAATACCCATCTGTCCCCATTGCACATGCTACAAGCATGAAAGAAAATTATGCAAACCTTGAGGTATTACTTGAGAAAATTAAATATTCCCAATACCTATGGAATATTTGTGCTGATTTAAAAGTTGTCGCTATACTGACTGGACTACAAGGAGGATACACAAAATTTTGCTGTTTTCTTTGTGAGTGGGATAGTCGCGCAAAAGACAAACATTACAAAGTAAAAACGTGGCCATCAAGAAAAAGTTTGACTCCTGGACTTAAAAATGTTTCTCATAAACCGTTAGTGCCATGCGAGATAATTTTTCTGCCACCCCTTCACATAAAGTTGGGACTCATAAAAAACTTTGTGAAAGCTATGAATAAAGATGGTGCAGGTTTTCAATATTTAAAAACAAAATTTCCTCGAATCAGTGACGCGAAATTGAAGTAAAGAATTTTTGTAGGTCCGTAGATACGTGAGCTCATGAAGGATGAGGTTTTTGATTCGAAGTTGAGCAAAGCAGAAAAAAAAGCTTGGGTAGCGTTTGTGGAGGTGTGTCATAATTTTCTTGGGAACGCAAAAAGTGATAACTATCAACAAATCATTCGGGAGCTACTTTCTGCTTATAAAGCTGTAGGATGCAATATGTCACTCAAGATCCATTTTTTAGACCCGCATTTAGATTTTTTTCTGAAAATCTTGAAGCTGTATCAGATGAACATGGTGAAAGGTTTCATCAGGATATAATGCAAATTGAAAAACGCTACAATGGAAAATGGTCAGCAGCAATGCTTGCTGATATCTGTTGATCAATTCACCGAGAAACTCCAATGGAATCTATGAAAAGGAAGAAAACTACTAAATAATTTGAATTCTATCACTCCATAATGAAATATCTGACGATATTTATTAGTTTTATTAATATAATTTAGGATTTTTTACTGTAAAACTCAAGCCGCCACATTTTTTTATTTCCTTATAATAATTTATACTTTAATAATATTGTTTTTTGATGAAATAAATATTAAATTAAAAATCTATGTGTGGTACTTATTTGTATACCAGATTCCGTGTTTAGAGCATAAAATAAGATGAATTCTTGCATGAAAACAAGAAGGAGAGAAAAAAAGTTTTTTTTTGCAGACCAGTGTAATTAACTACATATGGAACCATTGGAAAAAATCAATACGAAATCAAACAAAAGCATCAATTGCTAATTTTCTTGAAAAATTTATAGGTGAAATATGTCTGGGTGACAAAACTAGTGATCGCAGTTGTTTTGGATTTGAGTAAAGTGATTTTCCAATATACTAGGCGTGTTCAAAAAGTAAGGTGACTTTTGTAATTGGGCGTGCTACTTACATTCGATCTTCGATATATAATTTTTTATGTTGATATACTTGTCCCTAGCAACTTATCCTGTCCAGCTGATCCTGGCTCCAAAACCTGTCCGCTATACCGAATAGTAAAGAGGATACTTCACCTGGCAAGCTGCGGAAGAAAATAATATTATTTTCCGATATCAATTTGACAGACATATATTCGCAAAGTTCGAAGAATAAAGTAGAATAAATTTATTGACTATTTTTGAACGAGGTACTAGTAAGTTAAACAATTTAATATAAACACACATATACACAGATGACTATAAAAATTTTAAAATATCAACTACTAACACATTAACATTCGTTTAATTCGAATTAAAGTTACTCTCAATCATGCCTCAACCACCATACTCACCGGATAGATAGATAGATAGATTCATTTATTGACGTTTCGTACAAAAGGAACGTACAATTGTAGCTCATCGATACCAGTGACAGTGTCAATGTATGCTCGCAGGGAATAAAAACAATGACGTTGTAGAAATTCTTTAATAGTGTGTTTAAATTTTCTATTGCTCATCTTTTTCGCGGTACCTGGCAAAACATTATACAATTTCAGGTTCAACGAGTTGCTCTCAGTCTAAACCTAGGCCGTCTAAGGAGATCCTCCGAACGAGTTGGATAGGCATGGCAATCGGAATTAGCGCTAAAGTTTCCTTTCGTTCTTTGTATCTCTAATAACTGGTAGTAGATATAGATGCAAGGAAGGGGCATCACTTTAATTTTTATAAATTAAGGTTGACAATGGTTCCTATATCCTATATTAGCAGCGACTCGAATGGCCCTTTTCTGCATTCTAAAAATCTCCACAGCAGCTGAGGATTTTCCCCCCCAGCACCGTGCCATAGCATAAGTGTGAATGCAACAAAGGAAAACAGACCATAAGCAGAGTCCTTGTTCCTATCAGGCCTCTCAGTCGTCGAAGAACGAATATGTTGATGATAAAAACAAAATCGCTGGCTATACCAGAAAGTGCTTACCTGGAGTGCTTTGAAGGGGACAACATTAATTTTGATGAATAAATAAATACTTTTTGATAAAACTTAAAAGTCACCTTACTTTTTGAACACACCTCGTGATTATACAACCTAACGTCGTGGAGTTTTTTTTAAAAGAATAGTTTTCGTATAAATGGAAAGAATGAAACTGATCTTCTGGAGCTCAGTTTTAACGTCGAAGTATTGAAAGTAATTTAGGTTTATCCAGAAATTTTTTGAACGTTTTCTATTAACTTTATGTATTTAAAATACATCGGATTCCATGTTCCAAAGTTAAACTCAGATGTGTGTTATACAGAAGAATCGCATATTTAGGATTAAAGTTCCCAGACATAGTTAAAACCGCCTTATGTACTTTACACCGTCCACTTTAACAAACCGACATGCAACGGTAAGATTTTGGGGTTTAATTTTATTTTTTAATAGGAAAAATGCAAAATTTGCAAATTCCGAGTACTGTGCAAAATAGTGAACAAAACTAAGCTCATAACCATGTTGTTGTCTCCTTAAGATTAGACTTCCAGATTCCTTGATTTTAGATCGTGTTAACTATGGTTATGTGGTGTATGGGTCCATGTTTAGACTTTTTTGGAGGTTTATTTACATCCGTTATTTCACTTGTTATTATATTTTTGTGTTAAGAGTTAATTTATATATTTTTTAAATTGTTTTCGACTATTTCTGGCTCCTTGTTTACTGTGTATGGATGGCACACAAACTTAATTATAATTATTAAGTAATTAATTAATAACGTGGTTTCAAATCGTTCGACTTTCAGCTCGCAGGAGAATCTAGACAAGTTGATCAAGAATATAGGGACGTTTGTGACGACGACAGATCAACTGAGAATGGTGAGGTTATTCGGTTATAAACAATTGTAGTTTATATGGACCGTTTTTAGCTGGAGGCACTGACAAAACACCCGAACATAAGTGAGGAACACAAATCAGCTGTCGAAACTGCGCTGAAAGAGGCCAAATACGAAATCGAGTCAATGGCGGTTAGGGTCCATGAAATCCGGGAGTTCTTCGACGAATTCCGGGATGGTTCTTCGGTCAGCAGGGTCGCGCCCGGCATGCTCTTGTCTGTAGCGGTGGTAGTACTTTTGGCGACAATACAGTCTTTTGATTAGCTTAAGTATTAGCGGGAAAAATATTATAATATATAATTTCAACCATCTAGTAGTAGTAGTGGTTTTAAGATGATAGTTTATTTTCCTATTGCTCTATTATAGTTAAGTAACAGATTTGTTTGAATTGAGACAGCTTGAATCACAATTAAAAGATATTTCAGAATCGGAGTGGTTCAACAATTGGACTAAACGGCTCGAATGTGTAAATCGTTGAGATATAGGTAACTAATAGTGTAGAGTTATTATTAAACTTTTGATTGGATGGGCTTTGCTTGTTAGTAATAATATATTGTTTATTATCAATAAGGGGTCCACTTTTAATGCAAAGCTACGGGATACACAATCATCTATTATAATAAAATTTGTGAAAAAATGTATAATGCATGATTAAGTTTGAGCACCACCGCTTGTTATCGTAAGTGCTATTTTATTTTTCAAGTATTTTTTTACTAACGGCACAACTAAAATACCAATTTTGCCATGTTCGGTATTCATATTAGGTGCACTTAAAATATTTGCGAGTCAAACAGCGTACAGGGTACAAAAAATACAAAAATCGCGCAAAAGTAAGAAAAGTTGTTTAGAATTAAAAGTTATGCCATAATATTTAAACAGAACGTACTAAGATAAAAAATGTTGTGTGTTGGAAAAATATTAATAATTTCCTATATTATTTGCTCAATTTTTTGAAATGGGGGTACTTTACTCATGTGTAATTTTTATATTTTTTGTTCCACCCTGTATTCTATTCGGCTTGCAAATATTTTAAGTGCATCTAATACGATTATCGAACCTGCACCAACTTTGGCAATGTTATTTCCCCATATTATTTTGCCAATTTTTTTGAAATATGGGTACTTTACTCTTGTGTAATTGTTGAATTTTTTCCCATCCTGTATGCCGTTTGGCTTGCAAATATTTTAAGAGCACCTTGTATGATTATCGAACATACACCAACTTTCTTCAATATTATTTCCTGTATAATTTTGCCAAATCTATTGAAATATAGGTACTTTACTCTTGTGCAATTTTTGTATTTTTTGTCCCACCCTGTATATTGTTTGGCTTGCCAATATTTTAAGTGCAACTTATATGATTATCGAACCTGCACCAACTTTGGCAATATTATTTACCCATATTATTTTACCAATTTTTTTCAAATATGGGTACTTTACTCTTGTGTAATTTTTATATTTTTTGTTCCACCCTGTATTCTATTCGGCTTGCAAATATTTTAAGTGCATCTAATACGATTATCGAACCTGCATCAACTTTGGCAATGTTATTTCCCCATATTATTTTGCAAATTTTGTTGAAATATGGGTACTTTACTTTTGTGTAATTGTTGAATTTTTTCCCATCCTGTATGCCGTTCGGCTTGCAAATATTTTAAGTGCACCTTGTATGATTATCGAACATACACCAACTTTCTTCAATATTATCTCCTGTATAATTTTGCCAAATCTATTGAAATATAGGTACTTTACTCTTGTGCAATTTTTGTATTTTTTGTCCCACCCTGTATATTGTTTGGCTTGCCAATATTTTAAGTGCAACTTATATGATTATCGAACCTGCACCAACTTTGGCAATATTATTTACCCATATTATTTTACCAATTTTTTTAAAATATGGGTACTTTACTCTTGTGTAATTGTTGAATGTTTTCCCATCCTGTATGCTGTTCGGCTTGCAAATATTTAAGTGCACCTTATATGATTATCGAACATGCACCAACTTTTGGCAATATTATTTCATATATAATTTTGCCCAATTTTTTGAAATATGGTACTTGACTCTTGTGCAATTTTTGTATTTTTTGTCCCACCCTGTATATTGTTTGGCTTGCCAATATTTTAAGTGCACCTTACATGATTATCGAACATGCACCAACTTTGGAAATATTACTTCCTATATTATTTTGGTCATTTTTTTTAAACAGGTATACTTTACTCTTGTGCAATTTTTGTATTTTTTGTCCCACCTTGTAAGTTCATTCACTTGCAACTATTTTAAGTGCACCTTATATGATTATCCAACATGCACCAACTTTTGGCAATATTATTTCATATATAATTTTGCCCAATTTTTTGAAATATGGTACTTGACTCTTGTGCAATTTTTGTATTTTTTGTTCCACCCTGTATATTGTTTGGCTTGCCAATATTTGAAGTGCACCTTACATGATTATCCAACAAGCACCAAATTTTGGCAATATTATTTCATATATAATTTTGCCCAATTTTTTGAAATATGTTACTTGACTCTTGTGCAATTTTTTTATTTTTTGTCCCACCCTGTATATTGTTTGGCTTGCCATTATTTTAAGTGCACCTTACATGATTATCGAACATGCACCAACTTTGGAAATATTACTTCCTATATTATTTTGGTCATTTTTTTTAAACAGGTATACTTTACTCATGTGCATTTTTTGTATTTTTTGCCCCACCTGTATGCTGTTAAGTGCACTTAAAAAGATTACATTCAACAACTTTTGACAATAGTAGTATTTCAGTTGTGCAGTTAGTAACATAAATCCCATGTTACACAAATTTACAAAAATAAGCCGACCAAAAGAATAAAGACCAAAGAAGAAAGAGGAACCACTGTTTGGGCTACTTATATACTGCTAAAATAGATCAAGTCAGTTGAATCTGGGGGTCCTTAGACTTGCAAATTACTTGTTAGAAGAAGTTGGTTCAGTAGTTCCTTTTTCATAGCTACATGCCGATGGCTTAAAGGTTTTTGTGATTATTTGAGTTCGTAAAGATGAGGTTAGTTTACAGGATAATTTCGAACGGTTTGCCCTATCGTTTAATTTAACGTTGATGTCAGTTTCTGTTCCAGAGTTACAGGGTATTTTTCGAAAATGTGCATTTTTAAAGAACCTCTGTAACTTTTTTGTTGTAGAAATTTTAGCATATAATAATAATTTTTTATACCAACATTTTATTAGGGATTAACCGAAAAATTGATTTTCCAGAGCTTTCCAAAAATATAGCCTTGATTTTTGAACTTTGAGCAAGTAGGCTTTGGATAGTGCCACAGTAATACAGAATACAAATACCTGGACAAATTTTGATTTTGATTGTTTTGTTGTCCGTTGCGTTTTTACACTTTTTTGGTATTGTGTGCCATGTATGTTCAACTAACGTTAGTCCTTATTAGTCTTGTTGGTAATTTCATCTTTACGCTGTAAAATTATTTTTCCCGGCTTCTAGAGTCGTTATTTCTTGTAATTCTTAGGGAGCTCATCATTACCGTTAATGAAGTTGTGTCGCAATGTTCCGAAAATGTCTTCAATGTCCAATTTATTTGACCGCCAATCAAAAATACCAATACGCAGTTGTTTCCGGTATTTTGGTCTCAGCGTTCAACGTGTACGTGTTCAAACCGCTCTAGCGAAATATCAGGTTTGCTATATAATAATATATAATAACTAATAAACTGTTGGTTTTAAAAATATTGTATTAAAACCATTAAATTCTTATTTTCGTTCCATTTCCTTAATGTCCTCGTGAAACCTGCTCTTCGATAACTTCGGGAAAATAGTTGAAACTCATATTACAACCTAGACGATGAGAGTTCCCAAGAAACTAATCAATTACTTCCTTAAATTAAACCCAGGCGCTTTTGTCGACATTGGTCATTGTGTTTTGAAAAGCCTTGTTGTTCTAGGAGTACGCACAGCACTTTAAAGTCACCACGAAGCGCCCACTGATGCTCTTTCTTCAAAAGAAATCTTAAATTTTCATATATTTCTTTTAAATCTACGCGTTTTAAACTGCTCTTACTTGAGTCAATAAACAGATGCCATTTTTCTTTTATATATGGCACATTTCCTAATTTTGAAACTAAGTTAGGGATATTGTTGAAATAGACTAGCGGTCCTTCCAATGTCTTCTTTCCTTATTTATACGTTCTCGAACACTAGAAAAACGCAAAAACGAACAACCAAACTGCGCAGGTTACAAAACTGCATTGGAGCTTCTGCGCCTACCCTGCTGCATTGTATTGAAATTGAATGTTATCCGGTGTCGCCAAGTCACATTGACATCACTAAAAATGACGTGATAGAGCAAAAATATGACGTTTTTTGGAAAGAGAGCCGCCAAAAAAATACAAATAAGCAAACAGCTTTCGAACATCAAGACCTGCGTTATTGGGTTATCTTAAAACCGTTTGATTTTTTTTATTCCGCTGTATTCGCCATGGCAATTTAAAAGTAACAATTTAAATGCACGTTTGTTGCAATTTCGAGATAAGGCTTGTCGAAACGGATAAAAAAATTTCTAGCGGCAGATTCGGACCTCGCAACAGCAATTTAAGATGACGATAAGTTTTTTCAGTATAAATAACAGCCAGGTTGAGGGTGGCTTGTCATTAGTGATGGCGCGATTCTTTTGTTTCGTACCGTTTGTTTCTATACTCTGGTCCGGCGTAGCCGGTCAGCTCAGGCTGCCTGGCATCGCAACGCCATCCAGCTACGACGTCGAGCTAGAACTAGGGGCAGATGTCTTTACGGGCAACGACACGGGTTTCACCGGAAACGTGGGTATCGTATTCAAGGTCAACGCGTCCACCGACGAGATCAAGATCAATTCCCTGGTCACGGTTAATTCAGCTTCGCTGACCGATGCGAACTCGAACCAGGTGACGATTTCCAGCTTCGATGATGTCGATTCGAATACGCAAATGTTGACGATCGCTCTGAAAGACACTTTATCGCCAGGCATCGATTATACGCTAAACATGAGGTAATTTTTCATTGTCGATTGTTTTTTCTCAGGTCAGCATCTTTACCAGCAACTCGAAGAGAACTACGATTTCCCTTATCGAATAATACAGATAAGGAAACGGACATGGTTACATGTTTAATTTAATCTCCCAACTTAACAAGCTGGACGATAACAAAAATCGATATTTTTGATGTCATCGTTATTAACTAGCAAAAAAGCAGAATGCTTGAAAGTAATTGATAATTATAATTACAATCGATAATGACCGAAATAATATACATGGACTAGGTTCTTTTTAAAATTAAATTTCAGCCTCTTGTCTGATGTAATATTGGGTATATTGCTACAGATTGATGCAGTGAATATTGAAAAACATTTAAATGTCCTCTGATAGCCCTCAGAAATAAAAGTTTGGTATTCCCAAGTCTAAAAGAAATGACGGTATGTCTTCATTCAAAAGTTCTCTCTGAAATCGAGATTATTCCAGTTCCTTCCAGATGGCTTTGGTTGATCGAACGATCGAGAAAGCCTTAAAAATCGTTCTACACTGGAAGATTTGCTCAAATTCGCGGTTAAAATAAAAAAATCATAGATACTGCATACTGCATATTAACAGTAAGTTGCGAAATCGGCCATGTTATAGTTAAAAACAATTGCTAGCGTGACAGATTTTGTTAGTTACGGGTGATACTGTTAATATATTTGTTGCTCTAGAGGATGAACTTTTTATATATTTAAATTAACGTCCGATTTTCACTTCTTTTTACAGTTTACAAGTTAAGTTGTTTTGTACCTCTCTTGATCCTCCCCTAAAGTATTTATCTTATAAGTATTTTTTTGAAGAAGCAAAAAAATTAGAATATTAAAGATTCTATAATCAACATGGAATTTTAAGAATTATAAAATTGAGTGCTTCTAAACTTTTAAATAGAGCTCCATTAGTTTTGACATACAGAGAATTTTTGGATATTATAAATAAATCTACAAAAGGTAGTTTACTTCCTTTAGTCACAGAGACTGAAGCTAAAACTAAGAAAATAACAAATCATGAAGTGTTCCTTTTTAGTGGCAGTTCTTAAATTGCTACTTCAATATTCGAAATAAAATTACGAAGGCTTTTACTTCATGAAAATCCATTTAACAAAATAAATAAGAACTAAAAGTTCAGATTTTCATGAAATTATATATTTTCACATGACAATTGTTTCGACAACACGTCTTTATCAAATGTCATGTTTACAAACTACCTGCTACTATATATGCCGAAAAATAACAATAAAACCTTAATATTGTTGTGAGAATTTAAGTTCAATAAAGGAGAGGTATTTAAATCTAATTGATCGTTAAGCAATACATCTGAATGTCTCATTTTGTTAATCTCCATGGCTTCCAATAAATTTAATTTTCTACTTCTACTACTGTTTAAGTGTGTAGCATAATTAAAATGTAGACTATTGTTTTTAAACGCTCTTTTATGTTCGTTAGTGCGTTTCTTGAAGGATCTACCTGTTTGTCCAATATAAAGTTTAGGACAAGATCTGCAACCTGTAGACACGTGATTTTTGGGATTTTGGACATTTCGTTTTATTGTTTTTTAAAAATTTTCCTATTGTGTTGCTAGTTCTGAAAGCTATTTTTAAACCAGATTTTGACAAATATTTTGAAACTTTTTCACTAGGTTAGCCTATGTATGTAATTGTTTTAAATTGTTCGTGTTCTGTATTAAGTTACGGATAAATAGAGCTTACTGTTGTCTGGATTTGTTTTTTATTTATGATTTTAGTTTGTTTAGTGCAATTTGTTAAATGATATTAAGTTCTTTGGTGTAATTTTCTGTTGAGAGGGGCGTATTAAGAAGTCTGTGTATAAGAAAGTGAGAAAAAAAACAGCTCAAATCACGCTTATACACAGACTTCTTAATACGCCACTTTCAACAGAAAATTACAACAAAGAACTTAATATCATTAAACAAATTGCACTGAACAACGTCTACAATCCGTCCATTATCGATAATATTATAAATAAAAGACAAATCCAGACTCTATTTATCCGAAACCTAATACAGAACACGAACAATTTAAAACAATTACATACATAGGAGAATGTGGTTTAAAAATAGCTTTCAGAACTAACAACACATTAGGGAAATTTTCAAAGACAATAAAATGAAATGTCCAAAATCTCAAAATTCAGGTGTCGTTTACAAACAATACAATCTAATTATGCTATACACTTAAACACAGAAAAACACATTTTTGACGACAATTTTGATATTTTACATACAGCCACAAAAAGTAGAAAATTAGATTTATTGGAAGCCATGGAGATTAACAAAATGAGACATTCAAGTGTATTGCTTAACGATCAATTAGATTTAAATACGTGTCCTTTATTGAACTTAAATTGTCACAACAACATTTGGGGTTTAATTGTCATTTTTCGGTATATATATAGCAGCAGGTGGTTTGTAAATATTACATTTGATAAAGACAGTGTTGTCTAAACAATTGTCATGTGAGAATATACAATTCCTATGCATTTGCAACGATAGTTCTAAGATAATTGATTTTTTTATTCAGTAAAAAAGTGAAATCCTAGTTAAAAAAAATGAAAAAAAAAACTTTACTTATACTTCTTGAGTACATCGGGTTCATGAGGAACTGGTCCAATAGCAGAAATTGAGATACACAATTTGTTTCTTATTTTTTCTGTTGAATAATCTCTGTGCTTCCTAGGCTCTCGCCATACCATAGGAACACCGAAGATTAAACACGCGTTCCTACCTTTTTGTCCGTTTTTTAAGGCTTCAACGCAAACGGAGCAAACAGTATCAGGAGCCCAGGGCTTGTCTTGACTGAAGAAGTTAGAGTTTGCCTCTGCTTTATTATTATAATTATTTGGATTGTTCACACAACGTCTTCTTTCCATGTTTATACTTATACGCAACTCTGTTTGTTGCTTCGCAGGGAAATCTAATATTATCCAGTGTGGCCAATTCATATTTAATTTCATAAAAATCAATTCATTTAAAAATCAGACCTAACATGGAACAAACATATTCATGTTATAGGTATGTATATTATTCAAATAACAATTTTAAGATATAGAGCGCTATAAAAAAATGACGTCATAGCGCAAAAATATGACGTTTTTTCGAAAAAGGACCCCCAAAAATATACAAACAAGCAAACAGCTTTTAAACATCATAATAGCTGTAGATAATTTTAATCTTACATTGCTGGATACGTTTTTTTAAGTGCCTTTTATATTTACCTTACAAGATCGACATTAAAATATGATAAGCTAGAGGACCTGAAGATAAGCTAAGCATATCAGGATCAACATTCAGAAATAATTTTGTTCTCAAATTGGCCTGATTGTAGAAAACCCAAAGCCTGGCTTTGACAGTTCCGACTATAGTCACACTGCGCGGAGATTTTTTGATAATACCGAAATAGTAGCAAAAATTACTTTTTTGTTACCAATTGCAATTTTAGCTGAAGTGGTATAGGAAGCCCGGAATAAAGATATTAAACAATTTAGAGAACATTTTTCTTAAAAAAACCTTCTAGGAAAGAGAATTTGGCAGACACAATTCATCAGATCATTTGGTTTCAAGTTGCAAAAGAAAAAATATGAAATAATTTCTTCCAAAAACTTTAAGTTTTGTTAGATTCTGCAAAGCTTGCTATAATATAAAATTTTAATTACTTTTTAATATTATTGTCTCTATATCTTGGTTGTTTGCAGTGATATTTTTTTATATTTGTTGTGTAAATTATCTGAGTTCTACTATTATTATATACATTCTATTTTCTACCACTTTACTTTATTATTAAAAACCAACCAAGCGTTTTTATGTAAAAATATTTACCACTTACCGGTGACCCAGCTTCAACGGCACTATCAACATCGACAACAACGACGAGAGCCTCTTCAGGGCGGATTACCTGGACGATTCCGGATCTCTATCGCATTTGGTGGCCACCCAGTTCGAGGCGAACTTTGCCCGAGGGGTATTCCCTTGCTTCGATGAGAACAAGTACAAGGCCGCGTTCCAGATGACCTTCACTTACCCGAGCGGACTGAATATTCGTTCGAACAGCCCCCAGCAATCGACCGGCGAAGCTTCCACTGCCGGGTTCTCCAAAACCACCTTCTCCCGTACTCCCGTCATGTCCACCTTCCCCGTAGCGTTCGCCATTGGCGACTTCACATGCACCGAAGGCATTATAAACGTCAACGTCAGCAGCGAGGTGTGTTCGCTGCGTGGCTTGGAGGAGTACAGGACCACCGCGTTGGAAGTGCTGCCCGAAGTGGTGGCCGCCCTCGAAATTCTCACGGGAATACCGTACGACAGTTTCCTCCCTAAACTCTCCCTCGTGGCGATGCCGGCTTTGGGGTTCAACGGGGAGGAGAATTGGGGCATGATGACCTACAGGGACAGCGTGGTACTTTCCGGCGACGAAACCTCCGATTCGGACCTCCAGTTCTCCTTGATGATTATATTCCACGAGACGAGTCACTCTTGGTTCGGCGACCTCGTCACTCCATCCGACTGGGACTATTTGTATCTCAAGGAAGGGTTCGCTGTTTATTTCCAACATTTTGTGGTGCCCAGTGCGGTAAATAAACAAACACAACAATCAGGGCTCTCCGTTACCCTTGGTCGGAATTCCAGGTAGGGCGGAGCGCCGATTTTCAGCTGGACAGGCAGTTTTACACCGAGCAAATGCAGTGGGGTTTGCTGTCGGATTCGTCTTCTGGCGCCGTGTCGATGAACAGCCACGTGGATACCCAAGAGGACATCAACAACAAACCATTGGACGAAGTCAACTACGCCAAGGCTGCGACGGTTCTCCGGATGTTTCAAATCGTCATCGGCGAAGATAACTTCTTCACGGGTGTGAAGAACTACTTGAACGACCAGTAAGTTGATTGTGCCATGGTCGGGTTAGTATACCATGACCAGAAATTTTGTGTTTTTGCATCCGATCCCGTGTCACTCTGAAACCGCGGCCCCTTCCGTAACCATTCCAGGACCGTATTAGGAATTTATTTACCTATACACTAACAAGCGGGATATAAGAATGGTTGAAACATGTACAAGGTGGTCTAAATTCGAGGGGCCTCTATGGCTTTAAGCATTTGCAGCAGTGTTAGCCCAAAAGTAATATGCATATTACCTACTCGATTTTCTAGACAAGTCAAAAACTGAAAAACGCATCGTGATATGTCAAAGCGTTTTTGAGCTACAGGGTGATTCTCAAAAATGTGCGATTTAAAGGCTCTCTATAACTTTTTTTAATTGTAAGAATAGAGCTTTGGGAAAAAAAAAATTTTAAGTTTTTTTTACCCGTTTTAAATGGGATACTCTCAATTTTTCTAAAAAATCCGTTTTCTGATAAAATTTTTATTAAACGGCTTGAAATATATTTGCAATTTTTGATATTTATCATAGTAGGCGCTATACGTCCTAGGCCGCGGTTTTGTAAAGAATCCGTATTCTTGTAGATGAGGTTTTAACTTCAAAAATATTTTTGAACTAGGTTGCCATCTTTCCGGATATTTTATCATGTCATACTTTTCAAAGTTTTCAATCATTTTTAAAGCTTGACGAACAACACCTCTTTTGACACTTGGGCTTGTGTATTATGGTAATTGTTTTTATCTGATCACAGCTACCTAGATAGATACCGCAAAAGGTCAGAGTTGAGCATAGGCTACTACGGTAATTATTAAAACTTGCAAATATGTTTTTAACTAATTAATAAAAATAGGTGTATGGCACATCGTTTGACAGGAAATTTTATAAGAATACTTACTTAAAAAAAATAACTTAGTGTTATATCTCATGAACTAAAAAAACTTTAAGACAAAATCGGTGAAACAGGTAGATTTGCCCTTAAACAATATTCAACAAATATTTTAATTAAAAATCTCTATCTTTACAAATAAAAAAGTTATTGAGGGTTTTTAGAAATGCAGATTTTTAAGAATCACCCTGTAGCTCAGAAACGCTTTGACATATCGTGATGCGCTTTTTAGTTTTCGACGTCTCACGAAAATAGAGTATTTGGAATTTTTCTAATTTGGGCTTAATGATACGATCCAATACAATACCAGCATTTAGCGATAGTTTTGGCAATGGGTTATTCTCAAACCAGTCTTCAAATATCAAATATAAGACATCTTCCACCCAATGATTTTTGGACCCAGCATGGAGGCGGCACATCTAGTACACACTTGTTACTATTATCACACCATCCTTTTTTTACTGTGTCGTGAGTGTCGAACCAAGTTTCGTCTAAATTCTCTCTATTTTTAATTTGTTTACAGTTCTTCTGCGTGTTGCTTTTTAAAAAACTAGCGAAGTACCATCATCTTCTCTTACTTTTTGTTGTGCTATCGAAACGCGAATATGATCTTAAAAAAGACTGTTGTTGTTTACAAATCCAAAAAACTATACAAGACACCAAAATACAAGAAGAAAAATGTTGTTAATCGACAGGCACACAAGACAAAAGTGATTATTTTCAAACTTACTTTGAAATATCTAGTGAAAACGGAGGACGATACATATCACCCGATGTTAAAATAAACGCTTCTACTAAAATACCCAGCAGCATCAATGCTTAATCAAATTTAAAACGATTTATTTAAGTTTAAAACAAGAATTTCGTCATTCCATCACTTCACTATAATCTTCCAATAGCAATCCCACACTTGATACTGATGTAATTCCTTACATTCAAGAAATATAAAGTCAAAACCAGATTTAGCACTTGTCTCAAAAATTCTCAACATCTTCAATTCGTCAAAGACAAAATTCCAGGAATTTACAGCATTCCATGCATATGCGGCAGAGAATACATTGGATAGACTGGACGAAAAATATCAACTGGGATCAAAGAACATACCAAACTAACTAACCAAAACTAAACTTGCATGTAATCAATTCTTCTACCAATAAACAATCTGAGAGTCTATAGAAATCTATAAGCAACCTAACGATCTTAACCATCTTTACCTGTCACCAATTTGGGAATCAGTCATCCGAGAGGGTGTTTACGCTTCTCACTTAGCTTCGCCCCCCTCAGACAATATAAAAGCAGGTACAGAGTAAAATGCGAGCCAGTTTCAGTCTAGCTCTGAAGAAGCCAACAGGATGATTGGCGAAACGTTAGCTAGATCGAGTCAGGAGAAATCCAGAAGTTTTATAAAAAATATTACAGTAGTCTGTGGTAGTTTCTTTAAAAAATTTAAAAATTTCGAGTTTCTGCAAATATTAGTTCCGTTCTATCTCAGAATAAACATCTGTTGGGATGGATTTTACCGCGGTCTGCGGTTAAGTTACTTTAAAATACTTAAAACGTCAAAGCAATAAATGCACAATACTTAGCACCTAAGAATGGTTCAATTTTGTAAATTGCTATAATAAGCTTTCATTTGAACTAAACTATAAGTGCAACCAAGATTTACCCCACGATCCGCTCAGTGTAGGTGCCATCGCCGCTCCGTCTGACCTCTGGGACGCCTTGTCCCCGTTTTTCCCCGACGTTCTAGACGTATCGTTCACCACCGCGATCAAAAATTGGACCGACCTCCCGGGACATCCCTTGGTGACCGTTACTGCCAACGGTAACGACGTGGTTCTCAGCCAAGCAAGTCAATTACCTCGAAGCCATTTCTTTTTATCTTTCTTTTATCTCTTTAGAGGAGGTTCCTAAATCCCGAAGCCGACGACGACTCCCAATGGTACGTCCCACTCAGTTACACTCTCTCGTCCGACAGCGACAGGTTCGCCGATACTTCACCGAGGGCATGGTTGGTCCCGGGACAAGACCTCACTCTTCAAGGCGCTTTGAACGGGAACGAGTGGATCGTGCTCAATAACCAAGCTATTGGCTTCTTCAGGGTCAACTACGATCAACTCCTTTGGGGGAAGATCCAATCCGCTCTAGCCAACGACATAAACCAAATAGACGTGCTGAACAGGGCTCAAATTGCTTACGACTTGTTGAGCTTCGCAGACTCGGGACTCATGAACTACACGCAGGCGCTGAGTATAGCAAAGTTCCTTAAAAACGAAACCGAATACTTGGTGTGGTACCCGGTCATCGCGTCTCTAAATAGGGTGGTGAATCGGATAGGAGCAGAATCCAGTACCGGTGTCAAGTTGTCAACGTATTACAGGCAGATATTGAACACGGGATACCAAGCTCTGGCTTTCAACGAGAGCAGTGATCACATGTACGCGTTGAAGCAGAGTCTGATACTGAACAAGATGTGTTGGCTGGGTGAGGAGTCGTGCGTTAACAAGACCAAGGAGCTCTACGCCGCTTTCAAGAGCGGCACCAGGTGAGTCCGGCAACCCAGGTCTCTCGGCGTTGCATTGGAATACTCCGCAGCGTTCCCAAGAACCTGAGAAGCACGGTGTACTGTACGGCCCTCAAATTCAGCGACGATCCGGCGTCGGACTACGAGTTTCTGTTTTCCCATTTCCAGTCGGCGACGCTACCCAACGAACGGGACTTGGTGATCAACAATATCGGCTGCCTAACCGACCCCACGTCTTTGAAAAGGTAACCTTTTTTGGGCGAGGTTAACGGGGACAGTTTTTCGGATGTTCCTTTTGTAGGTTCTTGAACGAAACACTCGATCCTCGGAGTGGTATCCTCGTTCAGGATTTCGACGCGGCTTGGGTCTCCGTTTATGCGACGGAGAAGGTCGGCACCGACACCGCCATGGAGTTTTTGGCTAACAATTATGACCGGATCTCGGCATAGTAAGCAAACGTCAGCCCGATTGGGGAGCAAAATGACTAATATATGGTCATCATTTTGGGAAACCACTTTTCCAATGATATTATCTCCGACATTTTCCTGGATCCCGTCCACGAAGCAGTAGTCCAATCCTCCCTGTTGATAAACAAGGGTTTTTTTATTCAAAATTAATAGAGTTCTACCCCTTATTTGGGAAGTTAATGGAATGATTTTTAAAAGTGTTGATAGTGTATTAGATGTGCGACTCATTCAAATCCTTCAACTGATTTGATGATATTGTATTGAGAAAAAAGGGGCACGCAGCACAATAATCATTAGTCGGTCATTATCTGATTCCGTAAATGCTGCTTTAGATATAACTGAAAAGCAATTGCCAATTTTGAACAAAGATAACACCCAAACGTTGAAAATACCCTCTAACTCAAATTTAGCAGCTATTGAGTCTCACTATAGATGTGCATACGAGGTGTCTTCAAAAAGTAAGGTGACTTTTCAGTTTTATCAAAGAGTATTTATTAATTTATCAAAATTACGGTATAATACACTTGAACGAACGTTTTTCCTAATCCTCCAAGCACTTTTGGTAAGCACTTTCTGTTATAGCCGCCTTGAGTTCATCCAGCTATTTTTTCTTTACATCCTCAATCATTCCAAACCTCCTTCTTGAGTTTGGATGATGGTGGTTTTCTTTTTGGCGAAAAAGTAACGATGAGTGAGCATTATCGTGAATCCATGAATTGTTTTCCCATAATTCAGCACGTTTTCTTCGTATTTCCTCTCATCAAGGCAAGGGAAAGTAAGAACTCTTGATGTACTACGCCACGATGATCAAATAAATCAGTAAGCAACGTGATGTGCTTTTTTCGGTCTTGGCGACTCTGAGTTATTCCATTGGTGCGACTGGGCTTTGGTTTTGACGTCATAACCATACACCAATGATCCGTCACCGGTTATGATCTTTTTGAGCATAATCAGGATCATCATTAACGTCGATTAACAGCTCTTTTTACTCAAAATTAAGCAGTTTAGTATCAAATTGTGCAGCTACACATTTCATGCCCAAAACTTAGGAAAAATTGCATGGTAAGAGCCAACAGAAATGCCGACGTCTTCAGCCACTTCTCTAAAAGTGATTCAACGCCATTGGTTTCACGCTTTTATCAGTTATTGACGTACTGGGACGTCTTGAAACATCTTGTGCCATTTATAAACTTTTTTTATTTTTTACACAAAATTATATGCAAATTCTTTGTTCCACTTTTTTTGACAGCAGAAAATCGCCGAGGGCACAAAACAAGTCTAACGCTTCTGTCTCCAAAAAAAAAACTAAACCTGCAAACTGACTTCAACTGTGAACATATGTTAGGGGCGAGGGGCGTGTATACCAACATAACAAAAAAAAATGTCTAGAATCGAATGTACAACAGATACATTACTTATTGAACATATCAACTCTCCAAAGCTTTATCGAATCTGATATTGTTAATAAGAAGACTTGGATTTTAACCTCTGACACCCCGAAAATGAATTTATTTTGCACCACTCATTTTTAAATTACAAGAGAGAGCAATAGGGTTATGTGTATTGCTTATTATCTGCTTGCTTCTTGTTAATTTATTAGTAGTTAATATTTTAATATTTTTGTAGTCGTCTGTGTGTTTGGCTTACTACTACAAAAATAGTCAATAAATTTACTCTATATTATTCTTCGAAATTTGCGTATATACGGCTGTCGAATTAATATCGGATAATAATATTATTTTCTTTCGCAGCTTGCCGGGTGAAGTATCCTCGTTGCTATTCGGTATAGCGGACAGGTTTTGGAGCCAGGATCAACTGGACAGGGTAAGTTGCAGAATGCCAGCTCGGCCGTAGCCGCGATACTCTGGTTTCAGCTTCAAGCGTTCGCGAACTCCAGCAGCCTATCGGCCGACGACAGGGACGCCGCCAATTCAGCACTGAGTTCGGCAATGAACAACGTGGCGTCGCTGGCGTCGCTCAGCGCGAATCTGGACTCCTTTCTGGACGTCGAATTCTCCTCTGCTAGATAATGTTGCACTTATAACCTGTAAATAAGTGTCAAAGAATAAACGTTGCTTACTGATATTAAGGGACATTAGCGACATACCTAGTTGCCTACCCGCCGGCGCCGCCTTACCTGGAGGACTACCCCGGACGATTACCGAAGCGGGGGAGATAAAGCGGAACGCGCGCGGAGGGGATAAATGCATTTAAAGTGGTTTGATATCAATTTACAAAAGGGATCTACATCTGTTCGCTTATTGTTCGGGATAATTGATGGTGCGAAGGGAGGGGGCGTGTTGATAAACGATTTTGTTTTGCCGGATTTAAGGGGGCTTATGTTGAATCGGTCCCGTTGCGAATGTCCTTTTAAGGCCCGGGGGTAATTAATTTCGACCGTTTTGAAAGAGGTCGCTTTTAAGAGACGCAAATTCGTATGGGGAAACAGTCGTTCTTTCATTCCATGCCGCGAGCAGTCGTCCTGCTTCGAGATTCCAGGAAAATGGGGGCCCGTTCGGATTGAAAGCACGGAAAACCAAAAAGTATTGTGACGTCACCTAGCCCACTAGAATCTAGTTTTGTTTGGGAGCATAATATATATATATATATATATATATATATATATATATATATATATATATATATATATATATATATATATATATATATATATATATATATATATATATATATATATATATATATATATATATATATATATATATTCTCACGTATTGATTCACGGATGGAAAAATGTGATGACACTATATTCCGGGATATCATCCGTTCGCTCGTTGAACTCCGACTGGAATACTGCATCCGACTGGAATCCTGCAAATCCTGCATCCGACTGGAATCCTGCAGACGTTTCGCCAAAATCTCACTTGGCATCTTCAATGCTCGCGCTCCGAAAACACTGTGTTCGAAGTGTTTTCGGAGCGCGAGCATTGAAGATGCCAAGATGCCAAGTGAGATTTTGGCGAAACGTCTGCAGGATTCCAGTCGGATGCAGGATTTGCAGGATTCCAGTCGGATGCAGTATTCCAGTCGGAGTTCAACGAGCGAACGGATGATATCCCGGAATATAGTGTCATCATATATATATATATATATATATATATATATATATATATATATATATATATATATATATATATATATATATATATATATATATATATATATATATATATATATATATATATATATATATATATATATATATATATATATATATATATATATATATATATATATATATATATATATATATATATTTATATATAACTTTTGGGCTGGTTTGGGCGGAATTAAGATTAATTGTGAACACATATTTAACATATTAAAGAACGTATTTAAAAGGATAAATAACTGGACTGAGGTGGCTTTTACTTGATGAAAATTCATTTAACACAAATTAAATTAGAACAAAAAATGTTCAGATTTTCACACGTATGGGGAAACAGTCGTTCTTTCATTCCATGCCGCGAGCAGTCGTCCTGCTTCGAGATTCCAGGAAAATGGGGGCCCGTTCGGATTTAAAGCACGGAAAACCAAAAAGTATTGTGACGTCACCTGGCCCACTAGAATCTAGTTTTGTTTGGGAGCATTTATATATATATATATATATATATATATATATATATATATATATATATATATATATATATATATATATATATATATATATATATATATATATATATATATATATATATATATATATATATATATATATATATATATATATATATATATATATATATATATATATATATATATATATATATATATATATATATATATATATATATATATATATATATATATATATAGCTTTTGGGCTGGTTTGGGCGGAGTTAAGATTAATTGTGAACACATATTTAACATATTAAAGAACGTATTTAAAAAAAAAATGTTCAGATTTTCACAGTTTTTAATGCTTTATGACAGCTGTTTCGGCAACACTGTGGCTTTTTCAAATACAAAATGTCTTCCGAGAGTGACTTTTATTTTTATACGCCCTTTTATGTTTGTTAATGCGTTTGTTAAATATTCTACCTGTTTGTCGGATACAAAATTTGGGACAAGATCCACATTTCGATTTGTAGACTCGAATTGTTGAGTTTTTCGTAATTTAGTTTTAGTGTTTGTTGGAAAAAGTGCTACGGTATTTTAAATAGATTTTTCGAAATCTATTTGCTATTTGCTAGGTTGTCCTATGCATTTTATTGTTTTATAAATTTTGTTTTCAGTGTTTAATGTGGGATAGATAGATTTCAGAGTTATTTGAAACTGCTTTTTAGTTATAACCTTATCTATCAAAGAGGGGTCGTAACCACTGTTTAAAGCTATTTGTTTTATAGTATTTAATTCCTTTTCAAAATGTTCATGCGGAAAGGGGTATATTAAATAGTCTTAAATTAAATTAAATAGATGATAAAAGCAAAAAAGGTAGACATTTTGTGGGTATAAGGGTGATTTGAGTTATTATTGTAAATGGAAAAATCTAACTTGTTCTGTAGTTTAATTATAGTTGAGTCCAGAAAGTTTAGAAAGTTATCTTGTTCCGTCTCTATGGTAAATGCGGTTATGTGTCGAGTTAATATGAAAAAGGAATGCAGTTGTCTTTCGGTTCCAGTGAAATATATATAAGTGTCGGAATATAGTCATATTTTATATTTGATAAAGGCACGGTGTTGCCGAAACAGCTGTCATTAAGCATTAAAATCTGTGAAAATCTGGATAAATAACATTTTTCAATTTTCGAACTATAATTTCAAACAAACTCTAACATCACTGTATTTGCTCATATTTTTTCGCTGATAATTGTAAAACATAGTACAATTAATTATTAAAAAGTAGCATGTTAAAACCTTGAAAACCTTGGTATTTTTCAAAATCAATCTGAAAAATAAAAATTAAAGAAAAAAAATAGCATTTGAGAAAACCACTCGTATAACAACGCAAAAATATAATTTCCTGCAAACAAGCGGAGCCGTTCCTGCTCGCCTTTATTAGTTTTATATACCGGAGCGTTCGGCAGGAGAGGGGAGGACGGGCAACGGCACAATCGGTTACCGGTTACGATATAACAGTGGATGCGAAAGAAGCTGTCCGCAGCACCTGTTTAAAGCTGTTATAACCACCTATGCGGGGTTTTCCGCGGCTGCTAGTCTCGACGCGCGCGCCTGCAAACATATAAATCACCCTTAAAAGCTCTTATGTGCGCTTTTCAGGGCTTTCGGAGTCCACGTTTTGGTGCGGTAATAACGTTATCTGTCGCTACTAGAACCGAACGTTTTCGGGGAAAATTCACAAATGAGAGCCAAGCTCACATCAAGTTCGAATTTCGCAGGTCACAGACCACCAAAATTCTCATTTGCATAGTTTATTTTAAATATTACTGACCCTAAATTTGACCCTTAATACCGAGCGTTACAAAGTGATTATATCCGAAAAACGCTGAAAATATTTATCAGGGCTAGGGAACTATGGTTATATACCAAATTAGCAAAAAAAAAGCTATATCTAGTTCTAGTTCCCCAGAACTTTTAATATATTAATGATAGTTCGGAACGGCAAACAATGACAAATAATAAGAGCATTGTTGTGACACTAACGAGCACCCCGTATATTATATACGCATTTAATAGAATATCTTATTCCGATTACAATGATATGGCACACTTTATACTTTAGTCCACTTGGATTTGACAAATCGGCAAAAATAGGATAACTTCAAAACTCCGACTGACAACTAAAAATATGTTTATGTTGATATATTAGTAAACAACCTTGATGGTTGAATTATTGCTCAAGTCATTATTGTTAAAATGGTTTTTCGCGAATTTAGCATCAGTGAAAGAAAATGATATGCTCCAAGGATACTTTCTGAATAATAAAAGTTCAACCGAAGCTCGTCGTCAGTACATTAGACTTTATCCAGAGCGCCGAGCTCCTGCAAAACAGATATTTCCAAGGCTGGCAAAGAAATTTGCTGAAAACGGTAATATGCTAAAAAGGTATGCCAGAATCATAATGTTTAAAATGAAGAAAATAAGGCAAACATATTAGGATTCTATAAAGCACATCCAGTTTCTTCTATTACTAGAATATATGAAGAGACGGGTATTTCTCAGTTTAAAAAGAATATAAATTTAAATTTCGTAAAACTCATAAACTAAGTGCAGAACATTGTGTCAGGAGGATGCAGTTTTGTTTGTATTTTTTAAATAGACATAATGAGAATAATAATTTTTTGAAAAGCATTTTATGGACTCATGAAAGTTCGTTCACTACAAGAAAGGGTTGTAATAGACAGAATACGCGATGTTGGTCTTTAAATAATCCTAGACAAATACACGAAATAAAAACCCAGGAGTACCAATTAATTAATGTATGGTGTGGGGTCATAGGCATAGGTCCGATATTTATAGATCAAACGTTAACTGGAGATCACTATTTACAACGCTTAAAACACTAAATAGGACAATATACAGAAGATTTATTCATTTATTCAGATTTATTCATGGTGGTCTCATACAGTAGTATTTAAGACAGTCAAAGGATTTTGTACTTTACTGTGCCTTGTCATTTTTAATGTTTTTGTTCTACTTTAATTTGGCACTCTTGAAATTATATAAAAAAATTTTGCCGATAAACACACATATCATATACAGATGCAATCATTTCACATCTCGTTCACATCGCGGCGTCCAACAATCAAAATTGCCGCTGACAGTCCGTCAATTATACAGCGTTGAGTTTAGGTGGGGGTATTTCTTTGCCAAAATATGCCCAAATCCATGTCACTCATACAATTGATATTGTTGTTATGCAGATATATGCACTTAGGCCAATGGTTAATTTAGGCAAGGAACGATTTTGGTGAGGAGCGTTGCATAAATACGAATGGTTGATATGGTAACCACATGGTAACCACATAAGGGTGCGAGAGAATCATTATAAAGTAACGATATTAAAAAATTCGTAATTATATTACAAATACTTAAATTAAACAATTTTGACACTCTTTTAAAAAACATCCGTTGTATTTGGAAAACTGC